CTAACCCTAACCCTAACCCTAACCCTAACCCTAACCCTAACCCTAACCCTAACCCTAACCCTAACCCTAACCCTAACCCTAACCCTAACCCTAACGCTTTTTAAGCCTAAGCTATATTACTTTTTAATTTTACTAAATATTTATTTATAATTATTTTATATTATATTTTATATTTAAAGTATATATAATAGGATATATAAAGTATAATTAATGTAAAGGAATATAATAAAAAGCTGGTTAATATATATATTCCTTATTTACTTTTTTATATTAAATTATTTTAATAAGCTCTTTAAATTAAACAGTATAAATATTATTAAGCATTATATTAGTTTAATAAATTATATTATAAAGGTTAGGATAAAGTTATTTATATCCTATATTAATATAATAAAAAATGGGTTATATATAAAGGGGTTTATTAATATAAATAAATAAACAATCTTTTAAAAGATAGCATTATAAAAGTTAATAGCTATAGTAAAATAGAACTATAAAACCTATACTTTATAACAAATGCTATAGTAGATTAATATAATAAAATTTAATATATTAATTAATATATTATATAGCCTACTTTTTTTTACTTAAAAGGTTTATAAAATAAAAGGTATTATAAATAATAGTCTTTTATAGGTTAAATTATTACTTTTACCTAAATAATAGGTTTTAATTAAATTTAATTTAAAAGCTAATAATTTAAATTATAATATATTAAATAATTTTATATTTTTATTAGGAGTTTATATATATTATTTATATAAATTATAAGCTTTTACCTAATATAGGGCTAGTTTTTTTACCTTTAAACCGGCGGATTTTTTAATAAGTTTTATTAACTTAATATTTTACAATAGGTATTATATATAGTAGTAAATTGCAAACCCTTTAAATATAAGGGAAGTACCCTAAATACTTTTTAATAAATAATTAAATTTAAAAAATAATAAAAATAATAAGTTTTTAACGTTTAATAATAATTATAGTCCAATTATATAAAGTATATTATAAAAAGTAAAGTTTACCTATATATCTTTTATATATAGGTAATCTACCTTTATAGGGATAAAATACTTAATATAAAACTTATATAATGCCCCCTCTATTAATAAATTTAATATAATATCTTTTAATTTATATTTTTATAAAATTAAAATAAAGTTTTTAAAATATTTAAAACTATATTTATTGTATAATAATTTAAAATACTTTTAAAATAATAAAGTATATTTATATAATATATTATATTATAAATAAATAAAATATAAGGTATTATTAATATTTTAATAAATATATTAGGATATATTAGCTTTAATTTAAACTTAGGTAAAGCTTATAAAGTATTATATAATAATATTTAATAGATATAATTAATATAATGTTAAAATTATATAATTATTTATAAATTATTGCTACATTTTAAATGAAAGGTATAAGGATACATTTTTTTAAATAAATATTAAATGTAGGAATATAAAGTAAGTAATATTATTATAGTTAAACCTAAATATTTTAAGGAATATATTATATACTTTATATAATATAATAAAGTTAAAGGAGTAATAAAGGTTATTTATAATTATAAATTTAATAAAGGGTAAATATAAAAGGGAAAAAACATTATTAGGAAAGGTAATTAATAATTAAAATTTAAATATAAAGCTATTAATATTATATATTTTTATAAAGTTTAATTGTTTTATAATATAATTATACTTTTATTATATAATTAATAAAAAAAGTTTTAATTTATTAATATTATTAAATTAATATTAAAAGGGATAGCTTAATATATAATTATTAATATAGCTTAATAAAATATCCCTAATATTAATATTAATTAATAAATCGAAATATTTAATAATATACCTTTTAAAAATAAAATTAATAATTTACTTTAATATTTAACCTTTTAAATATTTATCCTTATTTATAAATAAAAAAATAGTTAATAAAAAACGTTAGGTATAAGTATAGCTTTAAAAAAATAAATATTAATTTAAATTAAATATTTATTTTTTAAAAGAGTTAAAGCTTATTATAATAATAATTTTAATTAAATATAATAAATATTTAACTTTTAATATACTATTATTTTATATAGGGCATTATAAAGAAATGCTAATTTAATTAGGAATATTATTATTTATATCCTATATTATATACCCTATTATAAAAGGTATAGATATTAAAGTTATTATTTATTTTAAAAACTTTATTGTTTATATTTATATTAATATTTATATCTTTAATATTTAAAGTAATAATAGAATTATATATAATAGATAATATTATTTTAATATTAATAGCTATAATTGTTTTATTTTTTATTATAATATTATTTTACTTTATATTACTTTTTTTACTATTATTAATTATTAATAATATAAATCCTTTATAAATAGGAGGAATATTATTTTTAAATTTAAATAGTTTAAATAATTAATAAAAGCTAAAGTTTATAAATCTTTAAATAAATTAATTTAAAGAGGTAATAATTTAATTTATTTAATTAATCTTTAATAAAAATAATTAAGTAATAATATTTAATAATTAATCTTTTATTAATATTTATCTTTTTTATTATATATTATAGTAGTAATAAGGAAGATTATTAAAAGGAAGCGGTAAATAATATATAGGTTTAATAGCTTTTATTATTAAACTTAATTAAATAATATTAATAAAGCTTTTTATAAAAAGGATAGGGTTATTAAATATTTATTAAAAATTAAAGAGTATTAATAAATAGAATTAATTATTAGGTTATAAAGATTCTGCTTTTAATATAATTTTTTATTTTAAATATACTTTCTTTTACTTTTAATAATTTTATTTAATATTAATTAAAGGTATTATTAATAAAGATTATATTAATAAGATTTTATAAAAAAGTATTAATATAATAAAGATATTCCTTATATTAAATTAAATGGATAATAAAATAAATAAAAAATAGTTTAATAATAGTAATTTATATAAAATGCTTTTATAAATATTATATTTTTAAAATAGGAAGAATATAATTTATATATATTTTTTTTAAATTTATTATTTAAAATTTATATTTTAAAGTAATTATATTAATAAAAATGTAATATTATTTTATTTAATAGTAAATTATTTATATATAATTTAAATATTAAAAAAGTTATATTATTATAGTTTATTTTATTATAAGTTATTTATATAGGATTTAAATATTAAAGTAATTATGTTATTTTAAAATTAATTATTTAATTATAACGCATCTCCCACTTGACCTGGCCACCCCAATAACCTATATAAAACCCTATTATTTCAATCTTTGATAACTTTACGAATATTAATCGTACGATTTAATAATTAATACCGTTAAATCCGTTAGATAAAGGGGAATCCAGAGGTATTTTTTACTATTTTTTATAAAATTTATTAAGCGAGATATTCAGCAATACGCTAAAGGGGCGCTAAGCAAGGATTAATTTAGCGCTTACTTTAGCGTATTGCTTAATAACTCCGCGAATATAAGTCGTAAAAGTTAGTAAGGGGTACCGTTAAATAGCTCTTTTTATTACAAATCTAATGGTATATTTTATTATTTTATACGATTAATATTCATAGAGTTATTAAATTATCACGTGATTAGCGCACCGACGTTATTTGTATGGGCTGGGGGGTGGCCAGGTCAATTGGGTGGCCAGGTCAAGTGGGAGATGCGTTAAGGATAAATAGTATATTATAATTAATTTATTCTATTTAGGTTAAATTATTTAAAGGTTAAAGTTTTTACTATATTTAAGATTATTCTTTATTATAATACCTTTTACAATTAGGTATAGGTTAAATAATATAACTTATTAAAGTAATAATAAAAATTACCTATAAAGGTAATTAGAAATATATATAATGCTTAATTATATTATTATCCTTTATTTTTATTTATAATATTAAAGGACCTTATAGTAAAATTAAAGCTAAAGCTATATTAAATAATAATTATAATAGATAAATTTATATATTTAAAAGATTTAAAGTTTAAAAATATTAATATAATACCTTAATTATTTAATTTATATAAATATTAAAGCTTAAATAATAAATAATTAATTAATAGCCTATTTCTAACTTATTAATTACTTATTTAAAGGTAAAGATAGCATTAATTTTAATTAATTAATAATGCTTTTAATATATTAATTAATAAAAAAGAACTATTATAATTATTAAATAAGGGGGTAAAAAAAAATAAAGTTAAATAGAATAATTATAATAGTTGAATTAATTAACTAGTTAAATTATAAGGTATACATTTTAAAGGTACGTACGTTATAAGGATAGCAATATAAAATAGTAGGGATAGTAATACGAAAGAAGTAGGTAATAGTAGGGATAGCGATACGAAATCTAACGCCTTGATTGGCCCTATATACTTTTGGTAGCTAGAATTTAACCTTTTTTTCTTTAAGTCCAACGCTAGCTGCGCTGTTAACCCTAACCCAGAGCTTGCGTAGATTTAAAGGGAGCATCCAAGTTTTATATATTTACCTAAACCGTAATTAAAGCTTAAAGGTATAGAACAAGTCTCCCTTATCTATTAGCCAAGTCTTCAATATCTTAATACATTAGGGTAAGGTATAGCTGAGTCCCCTTGCAGCCTTGGCTAGTTGAATGGCAAGTCTAAACTTTAGTAATAGGCCAACTCTTATGATAGCGCCCATTTAGTTACATGCTATTAACAAAGTCTATTAATCATTCAAACACACACTGTCAAACACCGCCGCCTGGCGGGTGTGACACATAATGGCCTGTCCATCTATGGGGTTCACTTCTGTATTCGCCTTGGCCGCTGGAAAATTCAACAGACCACGACTACCGACCAGATGGTGAATGCCTCAATGGCATCAGCGGTAAATGCTCAGAATACTGATCCCCACGAGAACACAAACAAACATATATTGAATGGCAATGGCTGCCGTACAAGTTTGCAATATGCCCAATAGCATGTAATAATGAAGATGGATTTGTTTGCTTTCTCATAAATGGGTTCACCGGTCATTTGTATCTTATGACTCTTCTTACCCAGTCCACTCCAGCTATATAAATCTACACGCAGTTTCTCCAAATACACTATTCCATCCCAAGATATTATCTCGTTAGCTCAACTTCGGTCTTCGTTTTGTGACGCTCCCCGCTATCCCTCCGAATACACCCATCATTTCCCCATTGATAACAAAGAATCGGCAATGTTTCGCACTACCCTCCTGCACCGCTGGCACAAGATGCTCGGCTTGCCACGCCAATCGCCGCGCTCGTGGCATCTTGACCGATATAATGAGGAGCGCATAGAGCTTGAAGCCGCAAGAACCCGGTTGGAAAAGCTCAGTGAGGCTTCGGACGTCTTTTTCGCCATCAGCCGCGCTAGATATGACGGGTTTCCCATCGCTGACTTGCCGCCCGTCCATGGACGCCACATCACCATTTATGGTTATATGATCGCCAAGTACACCTCGCGCTGGGCGTTTTACCGCATGCTTGCCTTTCTCTGTAAAGCACCCTCTCACTCCGCAGTGCGTGAGGTAGTGAACCCAAGCAAAGACGAGAAGCTCGCGGTAGTAGCCCGCCGTCATGATATCGACCCCGCTAAATTCACCTCGTTTGGTCGTCAACTACGACGAGCCTGGCCATTACTACCGTGAATTAAGAATCATCAAATTCAACGACAAGCTGTGACGCTGGTATCACCACTACCCGTCTAGCTGGGGACTTGATTGTCATCATCTGCGCATAGCAGTCTGCCTATGCATCATTCGAACCCGTCACTAGGGCATGGACGTATACACCCACATTCTCTAGTTGAAAGCTTTTGCTGGGCGAACTATTAGAGACAAAACACATAAGAAGAACCAGGCTGGAGGGGGCTGTCAATCATTTCGAGTCGTTACTCCACATTGTCTTCCCGAGTGTCTGAAAACAACAAATTAACATCCATGCCCATTACAAATTTGAACAGCGCATGTGCTTAAGGCTTTGGCAAAGGGGAGAGAAGGGCTCACAAGAGCATGCCCGTAGTATCATGTAAAGCAGATACCCAAAATTAGTGGATGCTTCGTTGAAAACATTGTGGGTTGCCATATACTTCTACTATCACTGCAACCCGTTATGGCCCAGTGAGTACAGGCATGTTCATTTCAGTTTATCGTCTTGTAGCGCAATCACAATTACTGTATTAATCAAGCTCAGGGGACGGTAATGAAAGTAGAACTAGAGAACTTTTGTGTAACTATTGCCAATTGCGCAGCACACATAGTATTTAAATTCACGACATTCTTATTTAAGTGAACTGATATGCCGGGGGTTCTGGGTGTATTCAACGAGGCCCAGTTGCTTTGTAAATTCAACGTCGTTAAGTGAAGAGGTGAGAGCACAGAGCCAAAATATATATAAATTAATAAGACATACAATATATTAATGGTACTTCAGAAAACATAATGTCTCTAATAGTTGTATCGGTAGCAGAGGGCGTCACCCGAGAGAGTGTTGATGATCTGCCTAATCGTCACATCCGGTCGAATGCCACCCATGTAGATGACTGTGTCCAGAGTCAATGGGTTGCCATTGATGTCTGTACCGTCAATCGAGGCATATCGGTTGGCCGGGTCTGCCAGCTCCCAGATTCTCCAAGCGCGGTCAACGAAAGTATGGTGGAACCAGAAGAAAGGTTCGCCAGGCGAGGCATACACATCAGCCATCACACCTCCAACGCCATTATGGCCATAACCATGAGGTCTAAGCACAACAGTTAGCACGCTTGATCGAACAACAATTAGGAAGTTACCATAACGTCACTCACCCAAACTCAAAGCACCTCTCGAAATCCTGGTACCTAGCATTTGACAAGCACGAGTTGACATAGTTGGTGTTGCATTGAGCAGTAGCCGAGGCATCTCCTTTTCGGCTCAAACAATGAACGGTGTTACCACTGCCGGGACCAACATTCAAAGTGAGTCCAGCGAAGACACCATCAGTTACGCAGTGGCTGCTGCCTCCAAGAGACCCGAGATACTGAGTACTGAAGAGGTCTGATTGAGAGAAGGCACCAGCATGCTTAGTCTCGTCGAACCAAACGAAGGCGCGGTTGAAGCCGCACTCATCGCGCAAGACTTGTTCGAAGGTCCATATGAAATAGCGATGCCATGGCAAGAACTTGGCGTTTTGGTGGACGTTCGGGGTGTACATTTGATGAAGGCGAGCAAAGTCCTCCCATCGACTCTTGGATGCACTGAAGGCGCCAGACGGCGGCTTGTTCATCAAACACTTGAATGCGCTCATAAGTGCCTGCCTGTCTGACGTCGAGTAGTCGTCCCACTCGAAGCGGGTATTGGGATTTGTGCATGAAGCTGCTGCTTCGGTTGATTCTGTGGTGAACGCCCCATCCGTCAAAGCCGATTCCACAGAAGACGCTGTATCATTGTAGGTGGCTGGATCCGAGTCTGCTTTGGGAACATTGGCGAACAGGTCTTCGGCCTCCTCAAACGGCACCAGCTTATGGTCCATTCCGCTGATGGGAATCAGAGGAGCTAGGGCAACTCGAGATTGCCTCTCAAAACCTACAAAACCATCTTTCGCGGCCTTGTTGAATCCTGGAAGCGCTACAACCAGGGTGGCACCGTAGAGTGACTGGGAGAGTAGTGAGAACCGCATGATTACTGCCGCGTGGTGGTGGTGAAATGTCTGCACGGAATGCGTTACCAAATATCGACCTAATGAAAAATAACGAGTGACTGGTCGTCGGGAAGACCCAAGATTAAGGTCTAGCGGCTACACTGGACGCGAAGGATAAACGGACTGAGCGCGACGGTGACGGCATGGCGGTGTATTTATCTAGGAAGTAAGGGGTAGTGGGCACTCGCTAAATAGTCGCCTCACATCTGGAGGTTAATTACCAGGGGTCTTGGGCTGGCACCAGAAATTACGATACAAAGGATTCGCCCAAATGGTACGCTACCTGGAATACTCCAGAAGACACGTACCGCAGGGAGTTGTCTTTTCCCAGCAAGTGCCCAATGTGGCCAAAGTAGCGCGCCACGAACGGTCGGGCTAACAAGGCTACCTTGGCAGGACTATGGATAGGACCGATTCTTCTCAGACCTCGCTCGCCAAGGATACTAACAGCGGGAGATCTAGCGTGTACCAAACCATCACACTACGCTACACTACCATGCAGCTGATGTGGGCTCGGCACGCTGGTTGCCAATCCCATGAATTCACATGAATTCATGACGGCATGGATACGAGAGTGAGATGTCGGGAGTTCGGAAATCGCCATAGGCTATGATGCTGCTGTAGTGGACTGTAAGTAGGTGGTAGGTTGAGGGAGAGGAGAGAGTGGAGCGAACACGCAAAAGAAGAATACGAGTTCTAGCGTAGCAGGATAAGCTGACGGTAGGTATCGCTGCATCCTTGCATACAGTAGGTACTACTACCTAGGAAAGTGTATACATAGTATACCCATTGTGGACCAAGATTATCGACTTCCCTTTTCTTTTTAAAGCTACAGTATTGGCCATACTGTAAGTCTAGATCAGATATTTGCAGAATCAGCTGCATGCCTGCGCGAAACAACCAGAAGTCGTATGTCTTATTTTCATCTAAGTATGGGCTCCGGGATCTTGTACCATCGGAGCTGATTGAAGGCTCTGATGTACGAACACTGCAGCATATTACTTCGTACGTATTGGAAGTATGTAGGTAGGTCGGTACAGAGTCGGTACATGAGACACAGTGTCGTTGATCCGGAACTACCTACCCTAAGTCGCAGCCTCTTTTGCCTATGAGGGAAATACTTGGTACGTTACGTGGCTTAAGTAATAGCTTGAATCCTTTGTTCTGAAAAGGTACCATAGCCCATGGGACGTCTAGCTAGGTAGTTCGTAGCACCTATACCTACTATGATATCTGCTCGAAAGCTTGCTTGAGTAAGACATTCTTGGTCGGGGCCTTTGAAGGACGAAATGAGATGATGGAGGGGGCTAGCTGATATTTCCGACTCTGTGGTTCACAGGCGACGAGGTGGTGCAGTCAGTGCTGAGATGCACGTGGATAGTTACATAATTGATCACACCTTTCACTGACCAATAGCCTGGAGATATGAAGCATTGTCCAAGTACCAATTGAACATGAAAGGATCATGAATACAGCTAGGTAATCTAGCGGCGTACAGTATGAGAGGAGGGGCTGGGTATGCCGTAATACCCGTCAGCCCACAGAGTGATGTGGCACGATGGAACGCGCGATGGCAATATTGAAGCGTGGTGACGGCGTTGGTTACCAACACTACAGTCAGTCGGCAGGTAGTGTAGCCTTTCTATCTACCTTTTCGTCGTGCAATACGTAGGTTGTGGTCGCAGATTTCCATCAGGCTTGGCACTATAAGCCAATACTAACGGTGATGGATATTTTGGACCCCAACCTCCGTACAGTCGTTGATGATATGCAGCAACGGTGGAATGGTCTGGACAGAAGGCTTGTAAGTATGCAATCCTCGCGCACTCTGCGTGTATTCCTGACCGCTGAGCTGACGAGAAGATGGGATGACACCGAACGACGCACCGCCTCAGTCACCGTTGCAACGTCACATACCTAGGTGCCTGGTATTCTGCGAGTGAACAGAAATACCGTAAAACAGGCTTACTTACAATCCAGCAAAAGTTCCAGTCATTATGGGCGAGATGTTCAAAGCCGTGCTTGAACGGATGGTAATACGAAGTACAGCATATTTAAGTATTATAATATACCTCCCTAGTCCTTATTACTTACTTAGTGTGTACTAGCCTACCAGTTAGTCTGTATCAGTACCGGGAGCCGGGGCTCTGGCTGGGGAAGGCCACGCAACGACCTGCCAAGATAGCCCTACTGAAACTCACACCTTATCTTACAGGGGTTGACTTAATCTCCCGAAGCTTGTCTTTCGGCTACCGCTGTAGGCCCCCTTTTAAAGATAGCAACTGTTATAAGGAGAAAGTTTTCATGAGCCCATGGTCATAGCAATGAGCTACATGAGATACTAGATGTGTCGATACGCATCGATGAGTTAGGACGTTGTGATATGACCAAGTAACCATATAAAATCGTGCTCAGGTACCTACACTTTTATCGCTCGCTGTCTGACTGTGACCACCAATCCTATATGGTCGTCGTGCAAGCTGAATCTATACAATAGGACTGAAGTATGGCAAAAGGCCATACATACATAGTAACATACATAGTAGGTAGGACTGTTCAAGGAAGGCAGAGATCTCTGGTTACCCGCAAGCTGGCCTACGCTAAGGGGCTATGTTAGGTACCTAGTAGTACGCTAATGTAAGCGATGTTAGTCTTAGAAGCTGGGGCGGATGCGAAAAGCTTGTTTTGATCTTATTACTTATTCCAAGGGCCACTCAACGTCGAGTCATGCAACCTAACCCAAACAGGCTCATGCCTTGATTATCAACTTAATTAACTTCATGAAGTCTAACGAAAGCAACAAGAATGTAGAGATTCACTGTCTCTAGGCATCAGCTCCTATGTTCTATCCACGTGTGCAACAATACCCATCTTCTAAACAGCTCGCTGCCCATTTGTTTTTCAAAATCAGACATTTTCTACAGCATACCGGAAGTTCGACTAGGTAGAAGCTTACCTGCAATAACCCTAAACCCCCCACCGCTCTTCAAACACAACTCTAGAACTCAGCAAAAGGTGTATTCTATCATCGTAACCATAAAGGTGGATAGCTTGTGTGAGACGGTTGAATCCGCCTTGTCGTAGCTTGGGGTTTCTGCGTTGGCTACTTGTCGGAGAACATCACAATAGCGGCATCAAAGGAAGCGTTCGTGCCCTGCACTCGATGGTTAACTTAGCCAGTAACGGGACGTTCTGTGCACATATGTCAATAATATAAGCATGCCGGCTAATATTTTCCAAAATTATCTCTTTTCCGTGGGATAATAAGAAACAGTCTCATAGAGAGTATCTATTTGCCGGCTGAAGGTGTCTCGCTTTGGAGATGGCTGGTGTCAAATCTTAATCTACGTGAATGTAGACGCGGAAAGCCTAGCTAACTCTAGAGGACTGCTTAAGTGAGGATATATCTTATAAGCGAGTAACAGTTATTAATGGTGGTCATCCAATTACTATAGCCACCATGTATTGAACATATAGGCCAAGATCAGATTATAGCTATGCACCATGTCCCAGTGGCTCTCGCATAAACTCTGGAGCAGAACAGGCAGCCCATTTCTCGTCGACATCCCGCCACATGTCATACGTTAGCAACCACCTTGCTACTCCATGGTACCTCCAAGGGAAGGGATCATCGCCAGTCTCTTGCACGTTGGGAAGCATCGGTGTTTCCTCGCTCAACCATTCCTTATCCAACTCTTGGAATATCTTGAACTTCACATCTCGCTGCGCTTGCTCTGGTCCATCTGGCAGATGATACACCTGCTGATTATGAGAACCACGCTGAACGACCTTTTCCGTCCTCTCCCGCCGACACGCCTCGTACACTTCAAGTGCTTTTCTTTTCGAGCATGGGGACTTATCAGTAAGCCTGCTCAAACACAGACCAAGAACCCCGCCATCTTCCAGAGCCATGCCAGCGCCACTTGCCAAGTATGGCAAGGTTGCGTGGACAGCATCACCAAGCATTGTGAATGCCCCCGAAGAATCGGACCATTTGGGTTCAAGGGCTGGGCGAATGCAGAGCCGCCACTTCAGTATCGACTGGGAGTCACATAAAGCAGCTAGTCTTCCCAGACGAGGATCCCATTGCTCTAAATGATCGCGCATTTCTCTAACACCTCCCTCGACGGTGTATGTCTTCCCTGCTGGCATGTCATCTGGAACAAGTAGTACCATATTGAGCAAATCCCCTCCTCGTAAGATATAGTTAACCGCACTATTCGTATTCTGAAGTCAGCGAGGGCTAAAATGATCATAATTTTGATATACAGATTGATAAAATGCAGCAGAATTGATATCTAAAGAATCTTAAGAAAAGAGACGGGAGATGAATGACACTAGGTGACTAACTGTACACTAGGGCCCAGCCAATAATTAACCTGTGGGTTGTCCACAAAGTCGCGCAACTCAGGGTCTGTCATCATGCACTCGGTACTCAGGAGAAGACGGTAGGCTAGGTCGCCTGTTGGGATTGGCGGATCTTCTTTCCCAAGGAATATTCCTCGCAGCTTCGAGTGGATGCCATCAGCACCGATGACAAGGTCGGCAGTCATGGTTCGACCGTCAGACAAGAAGACTGTCGCCGAGGACTCCTTGGACTTCTTGGTCCCTATAGTGAAGTCTTGCACCCTTGCGTTAGTTATTACTTTGGCGCCGAGTTGAACAGCCCTCGTAAGGAGGCCGTCGAGCAAGTTTGCGCGGTGAAAGTCCCAAAAAGGGGCTTTGGTCACGTGAGCATATTTATGGAAGTCCATCTCGGAAAGATGATTGCCTTTCCATCCCCAGAAGTTGCATTTCCGAGGCAGGGTAGCATGTGGCTCCAAAATATCTTTCAAACCCCAGGAGAAAAGGATGCGGGCCGCGTTCGGGAGAATCTGAATGCCCGCTCCGATTTCTCCAATATCGGATGCTGCCTCAAGAACAGTGACGTCGTGTCCAGCAAGTAGAATAGCTATCGCTGCACCCAACCCCCCCAAACCGCCACCGACAATAATGATCTGTATAGGTCGTTCAAAACGTTAGTTGGCCAAATACCTAGCTCATATGTAGGACGTGTACCCACGTCTAGCCTACTCTGCTCGTCACGTCGTGCCTTCTCCTGGATCGTAGCATCGCCGAACAAGGGATCCATGGTCAGTAAATGCAAAAGTCGAGATCTTCCAAGCCTGGGTGATGCATTGAAATTTGGAGGCCGAAGTATAAACTCACGGGTCGTAGCAGCTTATTACAAAAGAAGTACTGACAGGTGCTCGACTGCCTTATGGAAGGGTGCTACATGCGACCTGGGTGACGAAAGCCGATTTTCCTACCGTTCTAGGTCATATGCTGGAACAACACAACAAACCTCAAATTTATTGGCTTAAAACCTTGGGCTTCTCTACGATTGCGGGCCTCATCAGGAATATCCGGAAGCAAAATGACAAGTCACAGGGGCGCATGCGACCTGCACTCCAAATCTGTTCCGTATGGACGTATCAATTAACAGCTCCCGATAAGCAATCACAGCGGGGTTGAACGCGGGGCGTGAAACCGTGAGATACTTAGCTAGACTGTCATTTCTCAAGTATCATATGAGATACCAAGGTCCTAATGTGGGTGGGAAGTATGCGCATATGGCGAGGAGGGGGTACGACAATGCTCTCCTCATTACGCGGCCGTTGGGGTACATAAAGTAACAAGTCGTACCATTCTCGATGAAATAACTATATCACCTTGAATGCCGTTTTGAATCTCTTGTATGGCAATGCTAAGAGAGGTACTGACCAGATTGGCATGAGAGACCACATTGTTCTTTAGTCCATCCGTTCCCCGCACCAATTATTGCACTCTGTAAAAGAGCTTGTCAGTCACTTGCATTGTCTGTGACGCTACTCTCTGCCTGAATTACGACCGAGTAGCAAAGCTCCATTAATTGCAATGGTATTTGCGTACTAACGATCCCCAATCCCCAATACATCATGTCTAATGTGTGCCTAGCTCTCACTTAAAGGTCGGGTGGCAGTTATTACTGGGGGTTCTCGAGGTATTGGCCTTGCATTTTGCCAAGGGTTGGCTGAAGCCGGAGCCGACATTGCTATTTTCGACATCATCTCGCCTTCTCCTGCTTTCGAGAAGATATCAACTGACTACAGTGTTCGGACGAAATCATATGAGGTTGATGTGACTTCTTTATCGAGCCTGGAGGCAGGTTTTGCTTCTGTAGCGGCTGATTTCGACGGGAAGCTTGACATCTTTGTGGCTTGCGCTGGCATAAACAAGATGGTGGAATTTCTCAACACAACTGAAGCAGACCTTGATCACCTACTCAATGTTAACGTCAAGGGCGTTTACTTCGGTGCTCAATTAGCTACGAAGGCTATGATCTCAAATGGAACCACTTGTGGAAGTATCATCCTTGTGGCAAGCATTGCCTCGTACATCACTATTCGATCTTTGAGTCAACCAGCTTATTGCGGAACGAAGGGCGCTGTTCGCGCGTTGGTTGCCCCGATGGCGGCTGAGTTAAGCAAGCACGGAATACGAGTCAATTCCATTAGCCCTGGCTATGTTAAAACTGAGATGACTGCGCCTTTCCCTCACATGCTCGAAATTTGGAAGGGGGAGATTATGAACGGGCGTCTTGCTGAGCCTGATGATCTCAAGGGGGCTTGTGTGTTTCTTGCCAGTGACGCTAGCAGGTTGGTAGCCAACCGCTGTTTGACACCACTTGGTTCAACGATAGTTCCATTACTAACTGTAGTACAGATATTGCACAGGCAGTGATATCCTTGTAGACGGAGGAGTTACGAAATGGTAGTATGTAAGGAGTTCATAGGACACTGAATGGACAGTATGTATGCTAGGAAAAATATGTTATCACGGTACCATACAGGAAGTGTGCGTAGTCAGATTCTTATCCTGACAACGTACATTATTTGATACCGTCGCGATGTACCGCTGCACTTATGTTCCTCGCGATGACGTCGATCGCTGTGATACCAGTTCATACCATGACTTCACTCCAGTTGAATGATACTATGTCTACTCTAGGTCACGACATCTATTAAAATTTAAACTACAGCTACCATGCATGGCTGTTGCTAAGATTCGCATCTACCGGTTTTCTCATCAACTCTCCAATACATGCCTTCGCTCGTAGTCCTAGAGTTTCACGGCCTTTCGACCGGTTTTGTGATGCTTTACCGAATTATGGCAAGTCTATAAAATACTTCCGTACCCTTGGGCTCTTTATGAAATGTGTTGACCTGTTATTATCGGAAGATATGATGATGCAGACTTACTACTCCAACAACGCCGAGATAAGAGAACGCTAGGATGTCTAGATTGATAAAATGTGACTAGAAAGCCTCACAGCACTGGCAGTGCTAGGGTGTGCACACATGGACAAAAGAGATACTTGATAGATAATGATCAACCACTGACAAGACCCGGTGTCCCTGCAGGTGTCCCGTGTGGGCAGCAATGCGCTTTGTTGGTATCTCTAGCTACCTACCCCGCTCTTGTTCAAGAAGCTACATCGTCGTAACGCTGAGATGAGCTTGAGACGGAGTACGGTCTCTCTATTTATGCTAACTGAGGCGAGCTATATCTCAAGAATCCCGGACACTCGTTAGAACAAGAGACAACTATGGGCAATAAGAAGGTTCTTGTGTGGTAAGCAACATCTGTTATGCTGCGCCGTCATCTTCGCATTGGTTACTAAGTACGTGGACTTAGCTACGGCGTTGATATTGATGCAGTCGCTGGCTGGCTAGGCTCCTATGGGGGCGAAGACAGCACTAGCGATATCAGTCGAGGTAAGTTGGTGTAGTACGTTTGTTCAGCTGTGTCTCGGATCTTAATCTCGTTGATAGGTCTCTGGGCTGGTACAGTCGGTACGCGACGTTTACTCCAGCTCTTTCAGAAATACAAGATCAAGGCATCTTGGTTCATCCCTGGGCATTCCTTGGAAACCTTCCCAGAGGAGTGTGCCATGGTACGTGACGCTGGTCACGAGATTGGTCTGCATGGATATAGTCATGAGAACCCAGTAGACATGACGCTTGAGCAACAACGGGATGTTCTTCACAAGACGTGGAAGCTTTTGACCGACTTTTGCGGTAAACCACCACGGGGTAGTGTTACGCCGTGGTGGGAAACAAGCAAGGAGGGCATTGAGTTACTTCTAAGCTACGGTATTGAATACGATCATTCCATGTCCCACCATGATTGCCAGGCATATTGGCTGAGGACCGGAGACTCCTGGACAAAGATAGACTACAGCCAAAAAGCGGAAACATGGATGAAGCCTCTCATTAAGGGCAAGGAAACTGGGCTTGTAGAGATCCCAGGTTCTTGGTACATCGACGACCTACCCCCGATGATGTTCATGAAAAACTCGGCGAACTCTCATGGCTGGGTTAATCCACGGTATACTCATGCCAAAACTCCGAACTCTATAGTCATGTATTCAATACTAATCATCTTGACAGTGATGTGGAAGACATATGGAGGGACCATTTCGACTACTTTTACAGGGAATACGGTGAGTGATAACTAGATTTGTTTATGATGCTGCATGGTGTTCAGCGACGTTATAATGGTGTACTAATGATCCTCAAAAGATGAGTTTATCTTTCCCATGACTATACACCCGGATGTATCTGGGCGGCCACACGTGCTTCTAATGCACGAACGCATTATTGAACATATCAACAAGCACGAAGGGGTTGAGTGGGTGACGATGGGTGAGGTAAGAACTCGCTGTACCTTCCTGATGGTATAGGCTAATATGTTTCAGATGTGCGATTGGTTCAAGAGCAAGAGTTCACCGTCTCCGGACGCAGTGATGCCGACCAGCGTGGAGGAAGTCCTGAGGAGATACCAGGCCACAGCCTAGACTGTCATTGATGGCATGTGATGATTCAATGTACTTCTCTTCGGAATATCTAAGATCCCTGTAGCAGATGAATGAGAGAAGACGTGCTATGCCAAGTGACGTGTGCAGAGCAACTAACTGATGATGCATTTATCATACGATTTTCTCAGCTCACATCTCACAACTTTCAGAGTTGAGTACTATAAGCAGTGTTATAGGCTTCACCAAACATGGGTCATCGAACTATGGCATCAATTAAAATCCAAGCTAGACTTTAGTGACACGAAGATGTCTAGCAGTTGGTGACTCGAATTAGGCATCTAAGATCTAGCATCTAGGGAAGTACAAGAAACGCCATGGTTTTACAGTACATGCAGAGAGGGTCATTATCTAACTGGCCAGCTCAGTCGTCTTCAGTCGGTGACCCCCAAAGTAGCTCATATTGAATAAGTTCTTGTTATTCGGGGTAAACTTGTTACTGAATATCAGGTCAATCAAAATTTGCCCCTCGATAAATGGCGATCCTCTACTGTATCCTACAATAATGTGAGAAGCTGTCACGATAGTTCTATCTATGTATCCTACGGCGTTATGTGAACTGCGCCTGTCTGCACGCTGAGGCGATATGTACCAGGAATAGATACTCTCCAATTCCTTGGCGAGCCTCTGCACTGCAAGTACAACAATGAACTAACAACCATATACCTAGACATCCGCCTTGGCCCATGGCAACTATCCACCGTATTTACGACATCCATATACAATATCTATCTCCATCTTCTAGTCACACCACGTACACACGCAAGCATGAACGCCGTGCTATACCGGTGTGGGTGACTGTCCAATGAAATCTAGGTGTAGCGAGGGTGCGATGTCCGGTTCCACGACGATAATGCCCGTTGCCGTGGGTTGCCGGATAGCTGGTAATATCGCTAATCAAAATTGTCCATCCATCTGACCTGCCAGGAGGAGATAATCAATGCTCCCAAGTTCAACCTTTTATCCACTCATGTGTGCAGTATATTACCAGAATGTGACAAAGTGGCTTGAGGAGAAACTCGATACAACAACGCAGCCGATGTTATGCGCCGCCTCATGTGTCCAGTTATTAGTATTAGTCAAGATATCGATGATTGGCGATCAATGAGAACGCACGGGAAGAAGGTCAGCTATCTTCAGCCATACAGCGGCATTGGAATGTAATACCTCTGACCATCACCCCTCCATCTCATATCGGAGAGTTTGGCGTGGGAGGCTCAAGGCTGGTCTTCCCCGCTTGCCACAGTCCTACCACCCAGTCGGGGTGCGCCAATAAACTGACCGGCGCAACTGGGGGAGGGGGGGCTGACTATAGCTAGAAGCGAGAGTGTTCTCCTCATGCAATGAAGCCGCGGAGACGCGACTGAGCGCAGGGAAACCATGATCTGAGGGATCGATGCTGGGATACTGGAAATCGGGATAGACATGACCAACCACGCTTACAGGTTCTCGAGTACTAATAAGGGGGTGCCCCTCGTCCTCCGCAGGTGATAATTTTCATCCTTTTCTCGGTGTGCCCCCCCATCTATCAAGAGCAACAAATACCCATAATTTTCACTGCCAGAACAGCCATCGTCGCAAAAGCCTCCAAACACTCCATCCATACCAACATCTGTCAACATGGGTCCATGCGATTGTACCACTTGTTCCTGCGGAGACTGGTAAGTCCATGCCTTGGGCCGTGATTTCTATCTATTCAGTGTCTTGAAAGCATTAGATATCTCCAAATCAACTGATCGCTGACACTGCACTATAGCTCTGGCTGCTCTTGCTGCGTAAGTGCCCGTTATTCTGCCTCATCAAGACCACTCTCGTTAGTAGTATATTCACATTTATTTCAGAGCCATTGATGAGCAAGTCTATGAGTGACGAGTTTTCGATTGTGGTAGATCTGGCGTTTAGGTTTGGATGCTGTTAGTGTATCTAGGTGAATACATGTGGTTGCGAAATGCCGTCCAATACAAGTTGTTAAGTCGGTACGCGATAGTCTAGTGTGCTCATTGTTGCAAACAAAATGATGTCTATTATGGGAGGTGGAATATAAAAAAAATGCTCATGCATTATGTTGTATGCTTATGAATATGCTCGCCTGGGTATCGAATGTAGTGTCTAGCCTTCCCCCCAACGCCCTCTATATGCAAATCGGAACATGATCGCTTCATTCACTCCTTCATGGGAGCCCAATTCATCAGCCACTCTCGAGCTTTGTCCAAATTTGGACCTTCGGCCTCACACGCCGCTATACACCACTCGGGATCCCAAGCCTTTTCGCTTGCTAGCATGTCAGCCAGCGTTCGTCTCCTTTGGTTGGACTCGTCCACACAAAAGTACATGGACGTCTGGGTGTCCCGGAAAGCATCCATCAACGGTTTGATCAGCGGAAGAACGACCTGGGTCGATGATCCTTTCGCTTCAAGGTTCGCGTTCGCTCGGCCTGTCTTGCACCACTCGTTTCGGCACCATTTCTTACCACATCCCGTCATCATCTGCGAAAGATATTTTCGCTCAATGCGCCGTTTTAGGGCCTTGCCTTCCGGGTCGTGTAAACTCACGTAGAGAGGCGAGTAACAAAGCGAGCAAAGGCCAATGTCATTCCCAGGACCTTGTCCCATATGAGTTCCGGACCCAACAGCCCCATTTTTGCCGACACCGTGCAAGGTACGTCCGCAATTAGCGTTGCGACACACAGCAGGTTTAGGTCTATGAGCCTTTTCAAGCTCATGGTGCTTAAGGTGCGTTGCCATGTCACGAAGACGGACGATCTTGGAGCAGAGGTGGCAGTTAGTGGTACGAGCGCCATCGGCAAGCTCGTGTTCCGAAAGACCGGATAGAAGGCTTTCGGGAGACGGATTGAACGGATCTCCCTCTTGCGGCACCTCGAGATGGCAGAATCTACATAGAATGATTTTGCCGGGGCAGATGGTGGTCCGATGCCTTGCTAGGTCTGGAAGCGAGTTGGTCACAAACGAACACGACTGGCATTGATGTCCACTGTGGTATATGTAATCGTGTTTCGATTTGCTCATCTCGGACGAACCTTTAGCATTGTCATGGGGACAATGCCAATGCTTTTCCCACTCAATAGATGACTTCTGGAAGACAGCACCGCAGTCAGGACAGACTATATTGTTCCGCCGACAAAAGTTTTCGTGAAGAACCATAGTTTGCTTGGGAATCCATTGTCGGCAGTTCTGACATTGCTCGTCGTTGTCTCCGTGAAGTCTGGTAGCACTCTGGGCAGTGGTTGGAGCATCCTCGTGATTGGCAGTGATATTCCTTGCGCGGAGCCTGAAGGGACGAGGCGATTGATCTGAATCAGCTGGGGTCGAGGCATCACTATAACCGTGAACAGAGATGAGAAGAGCCTCAGCCTCTTCAAGCTCAGCGTTAGTGGGAGGGATTATAATGCGCTTGACGCCTGTCTCTCCTTGGGGAAAAGCCGAAGCACCGAATACATGCTCGGAGTCTCGCGGCAAAGCTCTCTGGCGTGAGGATTTGGGACTAACATATAGATCGACACCATAGTCATCGTCAAGTTGGCTGATTTCAACTTCCAAAGAGCGAGATCGAGCCCACGAAGGCAGTTCGTAGTCAATGTAGTCGCCAGGGAGAACCCGACCATCGACAGCTTTCCAGATGTTGAGCTCCTGGCCGAGTGAACTACCCTCCGTCGTGCCCGCGGTAGTCTGTGCCTTGGCTAGAATCTGTCGCATAGTCTCCCTCGCCTGTTCTTCGTTTAGGGCCTCAATATCGACTTCTAGGTCGGTATCCACGACACATATGCCATCCTCTTCGGGACGAAATTGGTCAATAAGGAAACGGAAAGTCTCGCCTTTAACGCCACGAACGGACAGGAAAGCGCCATTCGTCAAGGTGGTGAAGCTTTCGCGTAGCTGACGCTCTAGGAGCGATTTCCAGTCGTCTGGGTTGTAACCGGCTTCGAGAGGCCTTAATCGGACATAGGTGCCCTTAGGAAGCTGTCTCGCGTTAACAGTGATCTTGGGGGCTGTGGCGGATGTAGTTGAGGACTGAGCATCGGGATCGGTGGCATTCGCGGAGGGTGAGTCGTTCTGTGAATTCGCAAGCTGATCGGGGGTGATGTCAAGTGCCTCCATCAAGTATGGGCTGAGTAAAACCTCGCCTTCACGTGCCGAGAACTCACGAATGCCTGCATGTACCGTATTGCCGTTCGCCTGATTCACAAGGCGGAACATGAGAGGGTTGGGAAGTTGTTGATGCGTCTGTTCCAAAGAGTTGGTGAAGGATGCGTGGGGATAAGCACTCGCGTATGGATTTCGTCGGTCGAAAGCGGTAGAAGAGGACGATGACGACGTTGACAACGAGGCGGCCAGGAGTTGCTCCAGCGCTGATTGTGGCAGAATGATCTTGTCGCCCTTCAAGTCTGCCGACGGCGGCGCAGCCGTGAAGACGGCCGACCACCTCACGGCCGGCTGTTCAGCCATGGCCATCACGGCAAGCTGTGTATCAATACGACCTCTAACAGAGGGCAGTGGAATTATGTCAGCGGTGATGGTGTTAGCATCGAGGTCGCAACTTCAACATTGAGTCGTCGGTATATCTCGCCACTACTAAATGCAAATATGTACCGAGGGCCGTGTATTAAATTGACCTTTCGGGAAATAGAAAATAGACGGCGATGAGGAGGAAAAAACAAGAAAATTGAGAGAAAACAGGACGACACCATAAGATGATGGATTACCAAAAAATGAAGCTCATAAAGTCAGTCGTCAATGGAGTGAATCGTTTTGGTTCATCAGTCATCCTATTCTTCGAGGTTCCTTCGAGATTCCATGACGCCAGCCTGGGCGAGCTGGGGACTGTTATCAGTTTATCTATGTGGGCCTATAGCTAGCTAGGTAGGTGTACTTAGGTACGTACATACGCCTTGGCTTCTACTACCGGTACCTATTCACTATTCCTATATGTACATAGTCGGTACGCTCCCACGCGTCAGGGGAGAGAGAGAGAGAGAGAGAATGAGATGCGCATCTTGTCTTGAAATATCGAATGTCTTCAAGTTTTTCGATCCTCTGTTATCACGGTATGCCGCAGTGTGAGTAGCTGAGTTATCATAGTTACCCTGTGCACTACCTACCCTTCCATATAAGCACTTTCATAAGCATACAAATAACCTTACCCGATAACATGTGAGCATTTAGTCATGGGTGAATCCGTTGAATTCATGGACAACTGGTTTCAGCACTTCGTTCGTCCCCAGTGATGTGCAAAGGATTGAACACGTATTCATCGCCTCCTCTAGCATTCACCATTGCTGTCTCTACACGACAATCTACATACATAGTATAAGGATAACGCCGAATCAAACCGACTTTGCCAAGTCAGCCAAGTCAGCCAAGTCAAGCCAAGTCGGCCAATTCAATATACCAAGCTGTTGCCCAGCTCCCAAGCCCTGGATGTCCGCGGATCAAGCTCTCTTTTTCTCTGTTTATCCAAAAACAAAATATCGGAACAGCCTGATTGATGCCGGAAGGATACCTAATTGCTAGCGTTGGCGAGGACAGAGACAGGAGGGTCGAGGTTAGCTTGACTGTGTTAGGCTGGCGGGAGAATACCCAAGTTATCATGTGATGGGTGGTCGCTGTCTGTGCATATATGTACACATACTACCTACCTACCTAGGTAGTTTCAGATGGAATTAAATAGTAGCTTCATACTTACTGAGTGAACACCATATACAAGTTACCTATGTTTCCTGCCTTGGGGCATATATGTAACCGCAGATGTATAAGTATTTTTGGACCTCTACTACATCCTTACGTATTTACGGTATGAGCAGGGTTATTGCTTAGTACATACCTATTCCCTTCTCACTCTGCCAATACCCATCTAGGTACTAGGCCTACACAGTTGGGTAGGTAACTTGTCTGACTACAGATACTTAAACCCCTCCTAAGTAAAGTAATTACTTGCATAGAGTAGGTAATCTACGCCGAGGAGCGCGCCGCTGCGGTAATGGACGTATGTTACTTGGGCACACCGCTCTCTGATTATATAAGTACATACTTACTTAAGTTAAGTCAACGGCCTACCCCGCGCTGTTGGTATGTATGGAGGGATTGGTCTGATATATGAGGTAGTAGTAGTGTGAGGCATATTTGGTGTGGTGTAGTCTGTGTCCCGTGAGCGGCCTTTTCCCCAACGAAGCGACACCAAGCCAGAGGACCAAGCTTTTTACATGCAAGCCTCGCCTCGCCTCCCACTCCCTCCCATTCCCAGTCGTGGCCGTGGTGCGGAGAAGGGGTCCAGCAGTAGTAGACCTTAAGTATGTATAGTCTGGCAGTATCTATAAGTATAGTCTAGCTCTATCCAGTATACTATAGGTAGGTAGGTATACTTATGTATATTTACAGTAAGACGTACGTCTACGCCCATATCTGCCAAATATCTGCCAATGCGACCCCCTTCTTTGGTCGGATCGACCTGCCAAGCCTGTCTGAATGTTCATCTTGCTGCGAATCCCGGCCGCCAGCGCGCCAATCACCCAATTCAACCCCGGTCTGAACCCCTTCAAGATGCTGCCAATGCGCCAATCCCTCCTCCTCCACCACCCACCGCGTCTCTAATCGGTGCCGTAGCAGCAGGGATTCGAGAGATCCTCACTCGGTTTGCCCTGCTCTGCCGGACGGCCTCTGCCTCTGCCTGCCCACCGCTAACACATGGGTGGCTATAATTTGTCGCCCCGGCTTGGTAAGCTTTGGTTGGTCTTTCATCGCCGCCACCGTCGCATCATATATCACGCCTCTCTCTCTGTCCGTCTGTCTGTTTGTCTGTCTTGTCTGCCAACCTTCATGTAATGTAGTCGTCACCATCCATCTCTCTTAGTATTCACTTTCGCTGGTGTCTAGAGTCTGTAGACTTTGGACCAATTCAGATCACTCTCTGTTGCCTATCTTTTATTTGATTGTCTCTGACTTCTCTGTTAACCAAGGTGGTGGCAGCCTGGTCTGCGCATATTCCCACCTTCATTAATTCCTCAAAGTTGCTCCTTACCCCCTGCGCCGTCATACCATCGTGGGCCGAGCCCAGCCAGAAGTTCAGTCTCTACGTCGCCAACAGCCATCATCCTTCTTCTTCTTCTTCTGCTTCTTGGTCACTGCCATTGCTGTTGTGGCGGCAAAATCACTCACAGCAATCTGCAGACTGGACTGGGCTTTGCATGTAATGGCCTCCGGGGATTTAGGTCATCAGCACACGCGCGATTATCTCGAAACCTCGAACCACACATCAAACCTATTCGGCTTGCTATCAAACAATCTTGTTTTGTACCAAACTCTCCCATACCTTCCCGTATCTGCCATCCTCAACATTGCAGCAACCTCCCGACCCTTCCGTGACCTACTTCTCCACGGTACCCCTAGCGTGTTCAGACATCTCGACTTGACACAAGTCAAGACCGCGCAGTTTGACATCGATGGCATCGACCATGGCGGGCAAGTCTGGCGCAACGTTCAGGTTGATGAGAATCTCACCGAAGATGACTTCTACTCGGGGCCCCTGAGGGGCATCTTCTCAAGCCTCCGAAGGCGCAACATACTCCAGGACGTAGGCACTCTAGTTCTCGACGGGCTTTCCGTGACGTCCGAATTCCTCAACGACATCCTCATCGATCCTGAGTCGCGCGTCCGAATACTCTCGGTACGAGAAGTCAAGAACCTCAATGAGCGAAAGCTCATGCAGTCCCTGCGCTACGCCTGCCGACCGTCGCGAACAGAGGGCATGCCACGCCTAAAGGCGCTCTATTACTTTGGGAAGAAGGATGCCGCACCGCTCCTTGCCGCACCGCCAGCCGCGCAGAGTGCTGCGACGCCCAGAGGCGCCAACATAAGTGCTGGCTGGAATCAGAAATCCCAACAATCATTGAAAGAATCCATTGCGGGAGACGGCGATGACTGGTACGGCCGGAAAGGCCGAGTGATCAACAAGCGCATCATCGACGGGTGGGCTGAGACATTACTTGACTGCCGCGAGGTGTTGCAGTTCGACACCGTCCTCTGCACCGGCCCACGCCACCGGAACTCGCCTGCATTTGGCAAAACACCAGTCACGCCGGCCTCAGCAAATGGCGGTAGCCCCTGGGGTGTCGCCACCTTTGCCGTGGGCGGATGTGCCTCGTGCGGCTCTGCCCCTGAAGGCTTCACCGTGTACGGCTCGGCTCGCCAGCAGGACCTTCCATTGCTGTCTCCTGTGCCGCTGCACTCATCGAACGTCAAGTCTGCTACGCGTCCAGCGCCGACAACGGTGAACAATTTGAACGGACAGCATGAGTTTGTCCCCCGCTGTCTTGAATGTATTCGCGAAAGATACTGTTTTAGCTGTAACCAGTGGTGGTGCGAAGCTTGTTATCAGGTTCCGAGCCGGGAGGAAATGACCCTGCAACACGTCCACATCGTAGATGAGGCCAATGGTCTGAACGATCACGAACTCGCTGCTTTCGAGCAGCCAAAAGTCAAGGTACGGATGGGATATTGCCACGACTGCGTCTTGAAAGTGACCCCACGTTGATGGCTCCTCAAAAACCCGCCCACCTCTAGAACACATGACACCACCCGATGAATCTCGTGGGGTGGCGAACAGGATGCGAGTTCTCCGCCCGTTTCCCCTCGTTCTCTAAAATTGTATGCCGACAGAGTTGCGCCCGCAAGGCGTGGCTTTGAACCCCCTACCCATACACCCAGGAGGCCAAAGAGAGCTTACTTAGGCTGACGCGACGTTGAACAGACGCCGAAAATCACGCGTAGCTGCTGGGAATGCGAACATAACGTGAGCCGCCTTCCCTAATCCCGACCCGACGTATTGAACTTCGTAAATGCTAATCCAGTTTATTCAGTGCCTTGATTGTATTGCCGAGACGCAGAAACGCTGCCACGGGTGTGGCGGCGGCTATTGCATCATTCACCACGAGGGGTCAACACTCAAATTGGTAGGCGCCCTATGTCAAATTCATGCAGTGAAAAATCAACTAACAGCCTTCCCAGTGCGATTGTATGGCCGACGTCTAGTCCTTTGATGCTATCAAGCGGATTTGCTGACCGTTCTGTATAGGGTGCTCGCAGCGCCGTGGCCGTCGATGTCGCGAGCTTTACTAAAGATGAGATATTCAGCTAGAAAGGAGTGAAACCCTTTACCAGCTGGAACACAAATTACGAGCCAGGGAAAGGAATTTGAAACCTACCAAAGAGTGTGGTTGGCGTTGATGTTACTTGATTTGATTTGATTTGATTTGCATATCCTTTTGAGGAATACTAGCGAGAGTGAGACGAAATTGAACCATGATCGGTCAGAACTTTGCTTCACTCTACGAGATGGACTAGGTTGATCTTCTCTACTCACCAAACAATATATATTAGCCAATTGATACCAAAAACACGAAAAAGGCCTTCCCGATTCTAAGCATTCCCATTTCTAGGCGACCCCCTGCGAGTGACATATATTTTGACATGTGTCAAATGCATCCTGTCATATTTGAGTGATTGTGTGATGAAGTGGATATAGATCTCTACTCGTGGAGAGCATATAATCTGTAACATTGTATGATAACGTAATGTAAGGCATCTCTATGGGCTCATTGAGCCCGGAGTCGTCTTTACACATAGTGTAATTGGCAGGGCAGAAGAACATATATATCTCGTTACATCAACTCTCTTGAATTGCGTCCTCCAGACGACGAATCGTCAACTCAGCTTCTCTGCCACTCAAGACTCCATTAGGCCGTGAGTTCTACACCGTCTCCTTGGATTGGAAAGGCCAGGCTAGACTTACACGATCTTGGCGAATAGAGGGCCAGAACTTCTCAGGCTTAGAGGGAGGAACAATTATCAGATTCCCAGACGAAAGCTCGCAAGCCTGTCATGTGGAAGGTATACTCACTATCCTAAGGATCACAGACTCGCTCATACCCACCTAAAGGTGCCTTGTCGCAAGCGGCGATGGTGCCATTGAACTACAGTCTCAAGCACTGAAAACCCAACAGTATTCCCCTCCATTCAGGACCACTCACCCCAGCTCATGAGGCTGCAATGAGTCTTCAATCCGGTTCTGTGACGGTGACAATCCACTGGAACGTGGGCCTTTGCGCCAATGGCCAGATGAATAACTGTTGCTACCCTTCATTCAACAATGGAATACCTTCTTACAGCAATGGAATAGATTCCGGTATTATGCTATTGTGACCCCCCTGAAGAATAATCCGTCCTTGCTTCCTCGTCATGTCCAGGAACTTTGTGGCCACTCATAGGTGCAAGCCTTGGAGAGACATGCAGAATACACCGACAGCCGAGGATAGACAGAGTCCAGATATATAGGTAGGCCAGATAGGGGTCGAAGCACTGCTTGATTCACCTCAGAAATCGAACAACCGGTCCTCAGGTGGCTCATCGGCGCAACGCAAATGATTTCTATTTCGTCCCAGAAACTTACACTGGTGACTTTCGTCTTCAAGGGCCGAGACCTGCCGAGAATTTGCGGGTCAACCAGGCGCTCCCGTGCTCTTCGTACTCGAGCTTAGTGACAGCAAGCGAGTCCAGGTGGCCATATCTGACCAAGTTGGCGCCGCCCAGCCACGTGTTCGTAACAGGGTTAGGCGGGCGCATGACACGGACAATACAGCTATCAGGCACGAGTTTCGTGATCTCCTCATGCAATCTCTTGGTGAAACCCTCGAGGAGCGAATTGCCGCCCACGACCAGTATGTTGGCAAGAAGACCAGGCCATAGCCCAACGGGCAAACATCTCAAGGACTCGAGGACCAACTCCGGTATGCCCGGTTGGCGCATGCCGATGTCGGAGGGGTTGAACAGGATCTCGGGAATGGTGAATCGCTCGTTGCGGAGCGTGAGGACGTCCTCACTGGACTCGCCCACGGCGACCCGTTTCGCGCGCGACGCCTGGGCTGGGTCATAGTCGCGTACCACGCCTTGCGATCTCGTATGGAAGTCAGGGAGAACGTAGTCCTTGGCTATCCCGCCACCGCTGAGGTAAGGTTCACGGCGCTCTCCGCGGGTGCCTTTCCACGAACGCTCCAAATCCCCTTTGAAGTCGAGGGACACATAGCAAGCGGCCTCCTTCATCTCGTTGACGATATGAGCCTCGTTGCGCATATCATAGTGTCGGAGGGATAGGACGCGGGCCAGGTAGTTGGTGAGCAGTTTTCCGCCGACGTCGAGTCTCCGGACGGCAGGGTGAATGGGCTTGCCTTGGAAAACGGGGGTGACGGTGGTGTGGGAATGTCCGCTATCGATGAGCAGAACAAGCTCAACAGGATTCAGGGCTCCAGGCGGCGTGGCCAGCTTGGGCTTGTTTGGGTCTGGTCCTGGTGCTAGCTCCGACGCTGACTTGTCTTGAGGCGGCTTCACCTGAGTCGGGAAGATGGCTTGAATATTGTGGTAGGCGTTCAAGGAAGCGCTCAAGGCGCGATAGTAACTAGCGAAGCCGAATTCTTCAAAGACCATTTGATCGCAGTTGGCCTGCAGCACGGGCAGCGAGTTGGAGGGTTCGGACAGTAGCAGGCGGGTCTCGGAGGGATCGCATGGCTGGAGGGAATTGTCGTCGAAGAACTCGCGCTCCCAGATTTCCTTCTGGGCTTCCCAGTTCACGATGAAGCCCTTCTCGACGGGTCGGCGGAACACGGCCTCGCTAAAGTCGGCGCACTGGGCAAGCTCGGAGGCGACATAAATCTTGCCATGGCGGTCGCGGACAATTGAGTTGGGGATGGCACGAGGGTTGTCGACGGCGCCGTCGGCCGACACAAAGCCTGCTTTGATGGTATAGGCGCCGTTATCCAGGACAAGCGTTCTCGATGGCGGTGCTGGTCGGGCAGGCTTGGATTTGCGTGAAGGCGCCATGACATGGCGAGGCCGAGGCTGTTAGAGGACTGTTCAATCAGAAGTGACATACAGCCGTCAGCCAGACATGTTGATGCTGGACCGAGCCGGTATGACGCGATTAGAGATTGCAGGGTTTGCTCTCGAAATTATGTGAAGCTCGTCAAGGTTAAAAAGTCGCCTACCACCTACTGCAGGTACCTGCCTAAAATAATTACATCTTAGCGCACCGTAGTGTACTCCTAGGCAACTTAGGTAGGTAGATGCGCCTATAAATAAGATAAATAAGCCCCTAGAGCAACCATCCAGCAATCATCCAGCATTCTCACAACAGAAACCAACATCAAAAGCAAGCTTGCTTGGGCTTTTCGTTAACATGTGTCTCTACAGTACGAGAATATCCATTGTGAATGACATTATGAATGGCTAGGTAGGCAAGTAGGGGGATGGAACACGAACCGCTTTGTCGCATACTAGGTGCCAAAATGGCTTCACTTTGGTTGAATTAATTAACTACCTAGACTAGACTCGATACAGCTTACCGACTGTCCTACCGGGTAGGATGGCCCACCTTAAAAACGAGTGACGTATTGGAAAAGGGTGCGCAAATCCGCAGCATGGTTTGGTTATCTGTCTAATTCTTTTCTATTTGAACGAGAGCCAAACTCGTGACTAGACCAACCAACCAAACTAACAAATAAATGAGCATACAAGACACAGGTCCGGGAATATCGAGGGGAGCAATATGCTGTATACCATACGCACGCCCTCGCGAGAACATTGCCATATCCTCCTCATCGCATCAAAGCCCATCATAGCTATGCCCATTCTTGTCTCGATCGATGCCTTAATATCCGCGTCTACTGAGGCGCAATTTCCTCCATGTCGCCGTCTTATTCGCCGACGCCCATGACCCGAACTTGTCCGATCGCGCCGCCCCCAGGTCGTGGTACCAGTGCCCGACCGAATCGTGGATGCTAAACTGCGTTCCACTGCTCGCAGGCTCTTCGACGGGCGTCTTTGAAAATGCGTAGGCGAAAGCGGCTAGTCCAGCCCCGTCCAGCGTCATCGGGTTGCCGTCGAAGTCAGGCCAGCTCGCACAGCCCGCACAAAGAGCCGTGAACTTGAAGTGAGTGGCGTTGACTCCCGTGCCTTTGAGCACCGTGTACTTGGCGTCCTCGTATTCTATCGGAGTATAGTAGCCACTTGATGAGACGGTTAGTATCTTCCACTGTCTACAGAGATCAGTCAACGGGAATATCACGTACAGCGCCTGTCGCGACGAGTGGACCACTTCCTCTCCGTTGACCCAGACCACTGTTAGAGGATTATAGGTCATAGTGCCGCCCCAGGCCCAGCCAACCCATCCCATTTCGATGGGGGCTACGACCTGAAGGATGACATCGTACGGTTTATCGGCACTGGCATCGGCGGGGAGGGCTAGTCGATATGTGACATCTACTTCGTTCGTGAAGGACTGGAACGTGATGCCTGTCTCGGCATCGTCAAACGTCCCCGAGTCCGCTTGGGCAGAGACTAGATATGGTTGAGCACGTAATCATACAGCGTTCTTTGGAGGCCGTTATCTCACCTAAGGTCACGAGGCTCAACAAGCCTGAGAGGGAAGATGCCCACTTCATCGTGTACGGTCAAGGGCAGATTACAGCTGATATTAGACGGCTCGTGAAGAGAACTGGCTTTTGGCCCTTTATGTCAAACAAACTTGATCAGCAGAATGAATCGCGGCTCACTTTACTCCTAACCAGACGCCATATTCGGTGAGAGCTTTTCCGTCTGAGTTGGCATGGCCAAGGCAATATAAACATTTTCGCGACCGGCACTCTAGCTAGGACACAGGATAAGTGACTGGGTGCTATTTTTGCCCCCACGACTTCGCAGAGCTTGACTCGAGTCATTTGACGTCAACCCCGTTCGCAGTGAGAACGGCGACTTTGGTGAACAGGCGAGCTTGGAGATTCGGAGACTATGGGATTTGTTCCGGGCACTGTTTATTATCCCTATTGCCCGATTGGGGAATGCTTAGATCACAGCAGCTGTAAGAGGGCAATGCCCAGGCCAATCTACTGCAAACTACCTATATACCTATCATTGTGACGGACTATCTTACTTTAGCTACGATCTGATAGGGGGGATAAATATCTGGTTGGAATGCTGAATAGATTGCGATGGGGTTAATCTCCTATAGATGATGCACCAAAAGGCTAGATCGACACCGTGACAGGGAGCCGCTGCCGGATTCCCCTGGCCTAGGCTATTCAGGCTAATACATAACGACCTCACGACAACAGGCCCGTCTATATTCTATTGTTGCAAAAGGTCCCGTTAAGACTCCAGAGTTTACACGTGTGCCAAGTCTTGGTAGTCAAAGCAGGCAGGCAGCCCCTGAGTTTTGGCTCTTGAGGTAGAAAGAGTTGCTTTCCATGTGATCCTATGCTTGGTGTAGATGGGAAAATAATTAATTCACTTCTACCAAGGCAATATTTCTATCTAGAGCTCCCGACATTTCTTATCATCTAGGGGTTCAACTTCGCTCGTCGCTTCACTACGTCCCCCATCTGGTACATCTAAAAAGCTGTCATAATATTCATCTAACCAGTGCGCTGCCGCTTCACCAACATCTTGCCTGGAAACGTCCCATTTCTTGATTGAGCCTACATAGCCGTCTGGGCGAACATTGACAATAGCGACCTCGCCATGCTCGAGTCCTCCTAGCCATTTCGGTATGCAACGTAGGCCTTTCGTATCCAAATGTGGTACATCATCTAGATAGACTGTCCATGGACTCGTAAAGAACAAGGAAGGCAGCGATGCCAGCTCAAAGTCTTCCTTGGGCGTTGACGCTACGGGATAAATGAACTAAGCACGAACATATAGATTATAGGGAGGGCCTCACTCACTGAGTAAACAGAATGTGAAAAGCTCGCTGAAAACCCGGTATCTTTCTAGGCATGAGAAAACATCGATTGGCCGGAGAGGTCTGGGCTTTCGGCGATAAGATTCCGAGGCAGCACGCGAGAGCCTAGTTAAGAAGGATAATTCCGATTCGACAGTATCGCTCAAGTCGCACAGAAACTTCTTCTGATCAGATCCGAGTAGATCTGGGACGACGACATACACTCGAAACTGACCTAGCATGGGAACGTCTAATTGTACATCGACCGGGTTCGCGTCTATGTACCGAGTCGCCTTTGATGGTGGTAGAGTACAGCCTGGTTTCGCAAACCCGCCGGTCTGGTTATACCCGTGATTGATGATGCTCTCGGCGTATTCAACTCCCGCTCCAGCAATGAAGCGCGTGTTGGCGCGGAAATTGTCCGCCAAACGCTCGATATTACCCCCAGCGATCTCATTTGCGTGTTCGAAATCAAAGTTGATGAGATCGTGAGCAACTTTCATACGTTCCACCTCGTAACTCTCAAGCAACGCAGGCTTAGCGAAGCCGCGAACTGACAAGTTCAGTTTCCAGCCTAGGTTCCACGAGTCGTGCATGCTTGTGTTCATGCCCTGGGCGGCCTTCGGACTGTGGGTGTGGCTCGCATCTCCAGCAATGAAAGCACAGAGACTTGGATCTGAAAATCGTGCGGCTACGCGCTGCGCAACTCTACACAAATGAAGTCAGTCGGTTCTGCTAGGGTCAGTCCGGTGTAAAATATCAGAACCGGATTCAGCTCTAGAAGCTTATCTGAAAATATTGTATGTCCAAGGCTTAAACTACTTACTGGTAATTGCCAAACCATTCCACTGAACGCCATTGGACTCGATAGGGTGCTAGGACGAGCTGCGCCTGTTTCATAACGAAGGTTTGATCAACGTTTTTCACAGAATGTGATGATTTCATCTCAATATAGATACGTGTCAAGTTTCTCTCTCGTGGAATAATGAGCACGGAACCGTGTTCCTCGGAGAAGACGACAGTCTTACTCCATATATCGGGGAAATCCGTATCTAGCACACCGTCCAAGACTCCCCAGTATGATTCCTGAGGCTTTGCTATAGCGTGGGTGCCTGGAATATGCTGTCGTACGAGCGATCGAGCCCCGTCGCAGCCTACAAGGTAGTCTGCTGAGACATGCTTCACATCATCTTCAGGCGTCGTTTTCAGAGAAACAACTAAAGCACTGCTGTTCTCTCCAGCCCCGTGATCGAAATTTGTGAAGCGGTGATCGCGATTGATGCGTAATCCACTGGCACAAAGATCCCGTATCAGGACCGATTCAATTGTTCCCTGGTGGCAGAGAAGGATGTATGGATGCAACAAATCGACGATAGATGCCGGATAATGAACTTGACGACTAATGCGACGAGTTGAAGACGTGGCCGAGCCCCTCCACATGCATATATCGTAAACTTTTACCCCATCGCGAAGAAGTTTGTCGGCTAGACCTAGCATCTGTAGTGTCTCTATGGTTTTGGGTTGAATCCCATCGGCCCTCCCGACAAGCGTTCGGCTGGGTCGCTCGTCAAACACTGCGGTGCAGATACCAAGTCTGCCTAGTACGACGCTGTATGTCGAAAATTAGAAAGAGCTCGATAACTCGAAATTGATATCCAGCCTACGCCAATGTCAAACCAGCCGGTCCGGCTCCCACGATAGCAACATCATATTTTTCTGGGTGTTGGCGTTCATCGATGGTTTGGGGTCTCATTGTAGGTAAATTATAGTCAGTGTCTGCCATGATGAAATGATCCACGCGGGGTAGATAATGTCCCGGTAAGACTGATAGAATACTGCAAGTATACTCAAAGATATTTTCGAGAAACGGCAATTCGTTCAACCATGATAACTGAGGCGGGAATAGGAGGGCATGGAACTCATCTCCAGGCTCATACCGCTATGAACTCCTGATCACATGAGCTGTCACGCTGGCGAACGAATTTGCGATGAAAACTATTCTGATGGGACTCCAAGTCTACATCCCTCGTTGCTTACACATGCTTCATCACACCAAATCGGAGTAGTATCCCCAATCGACACTGGCATAGCAAGCTGTTAGTATCCACTGTGCAAGCCAATGGGATTGATTCTTTCTATATCATACCTACCTATATGATTGAATGATCAGTGCGATGTCGCAGGGATCGGCTCGACAGTTTGATTCCATGTCGACTTCTTGTTTTGTTCTGTAGCCACATTACGTGCACTCATCGATGCGTTACAGTAAAAGCCGATGTAATTCGAAGGACAGAACTGTTTCAAAGCATGACCACTGCCACATCTCCATCTATAACCAGATAGCCGAACTCTCTGGCACATTGGTGTATGAAAAAGCAAAGTAAGCTGCTGGTTTCATGAAAAGTTTAGGTAAATATTTCTATGAGTCGTGAGGAATTTGTAAACGAATGTGTTGACGGATGTGTTGGGTTGCTGCGATGAGCATGATTGATACCCCGAAGAGTGTGTTTTGTGAAAGGAGTAGTTCCTCTCGGTAATTCAGAAGATGCAACCTCAACACGATTGATGGTGCGTAGATTTGATCGAAATGTCCCGTTGAACTGCTATGGTACCAGCACGCGAGCGATTGCAGGTTATCCTGCTGTAGTGTGGTATAGTAAGAGCAACCCCCCCTTTATTAGGTTCAGATCTATAAAGTACGGCCATTTTCAAGTAGCCACCCAACTGATTATCATTGTCTTGCTTCTATCGAGTGACCAAGATGCCAATACGCTTCAAGTATTGAGAGCTAATAGTAAGCGCACTTGCAAACATAGCCACTCCGGTGAAGACGACAACCCAGCGGTAGGACAACGAGGATGGATTCCCTGTCGACTTGGAGATAGAAACCAGAGATCCTCCAATCGGCCCAGCAAGGACATTTCCAATGCCTTTACCGAAGTTCAGCAGGCTGAAGACCATCGGCACCGCTGTGGCGTCAGCCGTGATAGCAGTGCTCATTCTAGCCCAAGTGGCGGTAAATCCTGCACCAAAGAAGCCGTACATAATAGCAAAGATAACCAGGACGGGGAATGACTGGGCCAGTCTCCACGTTGTGAGGCACGCAACTGCTGCGACCACTGTTGACAGGCAAGCCAGGACATCAAGTGGCACCTTTCGGTCTGACAGCAAGCCGAAGACAAATTGGCCACCAACCTGACTAACGCTCATGAGGGCGAGGAGGAGGGCGCCGCTCTTTCCACTGAGCCCTAGGGAGGACGCAACTGAAGGTAGATATAGAGATGGGAAGAAGTACCCAAAGCCTTGCAACAGGTTCGATAAGGAGTACACCCAGAAGAGAGGACTCTGTAGAAACGCCCAGCTTATCTTAGGGGTACTAGTTCGCTCTGAGGATGGCAAGCGGCCTTTCAACAAAGGGATAAAAGGCCCTGTGAGCAACGTGAGAGCCACGGCTACAGCACGAAGAGTTGTCCTGTATCCATACTTGGCTAGTAGAGCTTGCAACACGAATGGCATCACGGAGCCAGAAACACCCGAGGCACCGCATAGAATTCCATACGCCATGCCACGGCGTGTTACCCAGTGTTCATTCACCATACTGAGAATAGGATAATAGAATATGAGGAAGCCCACACCGTACGCGACACCTTGCGTAAGAATGAGTACCTCTAACGTTGACGCGAACGACCCTAAGACAAGGCCCGCGATGCAGATAGACCCTAGGAGACATTATATCAGCAATCTCATACCGTATATTAGGAATCCTCAAGACGAACATCCTGCGCAGATCATATGTCGCCACCATCGCTGATAGCGCTGAAGAAGAGGAATGACGATCGGTGCCCCAAGATAGCCGAACCCAGAGGCTATAGTGCCGACGACGGAAACATAACGGCTACCAGCGAACTGCGGGACTTTAGAGTAGTATTCCTGAAAGACACCAAAGGAGAGTGGAAAGCCTATAATTTATATCGGTTTCGCCTCGATTAGCATCACCTGTAGGTCGAGGAGAGCCGCTTACCCCACAACAAAGCCTCAAACATGAAGGCAGCACACAGTAATTTCCAGGCAGCAGGACCTCCATCGACAGGAGCCAGCTCTTGTTCTACTCTCACGCTTTCGACTAGATGGCCCTCTTCATCTTGGAGTTGAAGCGATGATAATGTCATTCCATTGCGCTCAGTGGCTGAAGGAGCTGTCGCTGGCGCGATGACCACCAGCTCTGTATCACTCATGGCAGAGGTTCTGGTGATAGACGACCGAGAAGACTCTAATAACAACAAGTGTGCTACGCAGCATAGTCTACCATGTCGGGTTCTTGGGATATGTTAGAGGAGAGAGGGGTTAAGCATTACTGCTTGTGATAATGACGAGAGTGAGAATCAGTCTGTTTCATCCTACTCTAAGTCAAATAAGGGTTAGTATGCCAAGTCTTCGACATAATATGGCTGATTTCATCTTGCGTCGCGTGAATATACTTCAACTGCCTACTTCTAGATTAAAGTCTCCAGCCAAGACGGCCGCAAGAAATACAAGCCGTTTTTACATAGGATTCAAAAGGATTTCATTCTTGTTTCGCTTTTTCAAAATACATCTCGAGGGTGCTCGCTCGCGCGGTCATAGGGGATTCACAGTATGTTCCATTAGTCCGCCCGCCACTCTGCCGCAACCCCGCTTCCTCTAGTATTCAACATACTTTTACTTTTAATACCCTGTTTTCTTCATAGGAGAACATAGTGCCACGGAAATGTGGACTCTGGTATTCCTAGGTCTAACGCCTATTCCGAATCCAATCGTCCTGGTGATGTAGAGACTGAGAACGGGCATATTCTTTCGAGCGTGCCCTATCCGCGCCAGACAGCCTCGATGACAGCAAAGAAGGTCAGTGGATCAGCTTTGATATTGACCACGTCGTAGCGCTCATCCGCAGCCTTGAATATGCCTCTGTATGACTCGGCGGGACGTTCCTATATCACGCGGTATAAGTTGTCAGCCTTGTGCAAAGTATCCAAATAATGAAGAAAGAGAAACGCTCACCTTTGCGTTGAACATGGCCATCATCCTAAGGTCTGTGGCAGTGCCCATTTGCCGAATAGACAGAGGCAAAGCGTCCTTCTTCGCATCGACATCATCTATGCCTTCATCTACCTTACCAATGTACTCGATGACCAGTACGCGGTTACCCGGTCGTAGGGCAGGTGTTAAAGTCTTGAGGATCTTGGCGGCTTCCTTTTCCGAGTAGTCGTGAAGGATGAGCTTCAGCATGTAGATATCGGCCTGAGTATTCTGGGGCTGGTACATATCGTGCGCGACGAATGAGACACGGTCACGGACGTCGTCGGGTAGATTTGCTTCGAAGACGGGCTTGACCATGGGCATGTCCTGCACAATCATCTTCAAATCAGGGAACTTGCGCGCCAGCAAGATCATATCATGACCTGCTGATCCACCAACCTGGCCATTACACGTCTATTAACCATCGGTTTCTTCAGCGTTCCTCAACTGCTGTGGCTTTGACTTACATCAACGACGGTTGATTTCCCGGCGCCTTGCCATTCGTACGCGTCGGCGACGATACTTTCAATGCGGAATATCTCGTTGAGGTACTGCATGAACTCGACGAATTTCGCCTGTCGCCACCCTCGTCTCTCTCCTTCGCCATCATTCTCAAGGTACTCCCACGAATTGGTGTACTTCTTGCCAAACGGGCCGGTACTGTGGAATAGAGCGAAAGCGGTCTCGCTCAAGTCTTGTGCTAACTCGCTCTAGAGTGTTCCGAATTAGCCATGCTATTATATGAAATTTCTAGCGTAAAGTAGGGTACGGTAAATTCCTTGGGGAAAACAACAAACTCCCTCGGAGATTACTCACCTTTCCCTTTGAGTACTTCTCCAAAGCACTAGTCATGGCCATCATCGGTGCGCCAGTGATGTCTAGGACCGATGAGACGAGCGCTTGTAGGCCAGGCTGTCGTGCCAGCGCCGCTGACCGGCTCGTGTGCTTGACGTGAGAAGCGCTGACTTCTTCAAAGAGGCGTAATGTGGTGGCATGTTGAATTACCCGGGTGGCGACATCGATTGGTAGAGACACGCGTTCTGCGATTTCGGAGTAGGACGCAGAGCCCTCGACAGGCACGGCAGCCCAGAAGTTGAAGTGCTTGAGAACATTGAGACAAGCAGCGTCTGGAACAACCTGAAAATGATTCCATGTTAGGAAACGGTGTCTATTCTATGTAATTGAACGGTACCCGGCGGTCTTACATTGTGGACGTAGTTGTAGATGCTTTCACTCGGGCCTTGGACCAGATACCACATGTCGCTCAGTTTGTCACAGAGCGTTTGTCTCGTCATGAACATCTCTGACGTGATTCCATCGTGTTTCATGGGACTATCGACACTGAAGCTTGCCTCAGGGAGACCTTTCTCTTCGAGAGAGCTTGCAAACGAATCCGCTAGTTTCGTGATCTCCGCCGCAAGGGCACGGAGCTGCGACTCGGCCATGACGTGTTAAGGAGAAATAAATGGGTGCAAATTGAACGGAAAATAAGAGACGATATGAAGGACGAAGAATTATCTTCAAGCACGAATTCCCTCGTCTATTTGAGTAAAATTCGAAAACGCGCCGGAGGAGTCGGTCAAGTGGCCAAGGTGTACCCAAGACCACTACTCATTCCAAACGCAATGGGAGCTACATAATAATGTAGCTCTCCAAGCTTTCTAGCCAAGACTCTTGCTCGAAATAGGCATCTTGTGAAGCCCCCTTGACGTAGTCTTGCATGCATAGTTCCGATCTCGCTTAGCAGAATCCCGTTGAGGCAGATTAGGATGATCTTATCGAATCTAATCAGATCATCTTATCAATCAGTGTTCCACACGCGGCACCATGCATTTTCAAACAAGTATCACCTAAGCCGAGTGCTGTACAAATCGAGCGTTGTCCGTCAGGTTCGAGAAACCCTCTTGGTTGGTAACATATAGTCTAGAGAACTTTGAGACCACAAAACTCTGTTGGCAGAACGATGACGCCAAGCAATTAGTTGGGTGCGCAGAGTATCAAGAACCTCAGACAGGAAGATCGCAACGGTCAAGTTCAAGGTCCATCCCCAAGGTCGCAGGTTCTGGTTCGATTGTATCTCCTCACTTAAAGGTACTCAGTGGATCGTTTCCCTCTACGGCCATCAACAGACGCCAGTCAAGGCCGAGTCATTGCCACGGTATCTAATTGCTTATTTGTAATATCATAGAACTATGTGCTTAAAGAACTATTTTCAGTAAGATAATGGTAGGTTTCATCTTAAGTGAGACAGTACCAGAAAGAGCATGAGAAAAGTAGAGAGGTAAGCGGTATTGCAAAAGCTGCTTCCAGAATCCCAGCATCCTGCCCACTAGTGAAGGTCAGGTCCTACGAAGCAAGCCTCTGGGTTGGCCAAGAGAAATAATCTAATCCGTGGACTGCCGAAGGTGCTGCTAGTGAGATGTTGGCTCGACCACCGCCCCCACGGCCGTGTGTTTTGGCGAAATGAATGAGTAATAGAGTCGAGAATAGATACTGTCTATAACAGGTAGGCAAGTCCGGTAGGTCTTCAGGAATACCAAGGCTTATGTGGTAAATGGGAATCAGGGGAGTATCGGGCAAATCGAAGGAGATGAAAGGGGACTAGACATGTCCCTTGGATAGCTATTTTGGAACGGGCAACGACAAATACGGTGAGATAGTTAACCTAGAACAATACCCAGAAATACAATGTCTAGTACCTATCAAAGTAGAAAGTAGGCAGGACGACGCGCGGCGAGTTCACCTGTGCCCCTCTCCTTCTCTCTTACTATCGTGACGCGGTATTTTTTATTTTTATTTTTCCCTCGCTCGTTGACGCCAAGTTCCAATCCCGGGTTTAGCGCATGTGGTGAACGCACTACTACCACTCATTTCTCCCGATTTCTTTGAAACTCTACATCTCGCCCAGTTTAATGTCTTTGCCAGATTGCGATGGATAGCCTTGGCGAGCGCAGGGTTGTGATGACGTGCTCGCACCAAGATACAATTTTAGAGGGGCTCAGCGCTATTGGCGGGGGTTTTTAGCGGGGTCTTTAGGGGGGCCTTTGGCGGGGTTTGTAGGTGGGATGGGCTTTTTCTCTCTTCCCCCCGCCAAACCCCCTCCAAAGCCCCCCTCCAAAACGCCATGGAAATCCCGGATTCATCACGGAGCACTTTTACTTCTCGATCTTGGAGAATCATCCTCCCCCCGGCACATCTTGAGTGATAAGTACCTATCTATCTACCTACCTACCTAAGTAGGTCTGTCGGTACGCATAGGTAATTGTAGTGCCGATTTACCTGGCAATTGGTCACTGAATAATATTCCAACATATTGGTCTTCTATGATGCTATCATCCCCAATATGACGGCGAGCCTCTTCATAAGACATCACACCCGGACATCGATGAATCACTTCCATTAGGTGGGTAGGTATATACGTAGCTAGGCTACTCACTTCCGATGCCTTCGTGTTAAGGATATCGCCCTATCTTGAACCCAGACGGACTGGATCTATCCTAATCCTGCCAAGGTCCCTGAAGATCTCGGCCGATCTAGACTACCACATTTTCTCCCTCCGAACCGCCGTCCATCGAGAAAGGTGTCGAATCCCCCTACATAGTCCGAGCCCCTTTTGACATTTTCCCATTTCCCATCTTGACTCTTTCCATTAATCTTCCCCTCCGCCTGTCGTAGTGCTTGTCGCGTGCACTCAAACCAAAATCCCCCATATTTATCCCTTACCTACCTGCCCTGAATCAGGTATCATCCCCATCAGGACTGCCGAGTGCCCACTTCATCGCTCTTTAAGATGGCGGACCTCCTGCCTTCGCCGTCGCGGCCGAAGCTGCACACAGTTCTCCCGCCTCTTGTCATGGGCACCGCTACCTTCAACACCCAGTACGTGCCCAACCCTTTCGACCTGCCCGCCGCCTCTCTGGTGAAGCGCGCACTCGACCTCGGCGTCACAGCCTTTGATACATCCCCTTACTACGGACCATCTGAGATCATCCTCGGCAACGCTTTAGCGCACCCCTCGGTGGCATCGTGCCATCCGCGGTCGTCTTATTTCCTCGTCACAAAGGCCGGCCGCATCGCCGGCGACGAGTTCGACTACAGTCCCGAGTGGATCAGATACTCCGTGTGCCGCAGTCTAGAGCGCCTGCATACCGACTACCTCGACCTCGTCTACACCCACGACGTCGAGTTTGTGTCGCCTGCCGAGGTCTTAGCCGCCGTGCGGGAGCTGCGCCGCCTGCGCGATGAGGAGGGCTTGTTGCGCTACGTCGGCATCAGCGGATATCCGGTGAAGACTATATGCGAGCTCGCCGAGATGATACTGCGCGAGACGGGCGAGCCGCTAGATGCCGTGCTGAGCTACGGCCACTTCACCCTCCAGAACACGACTCTAGGCTTGGCCAGCGACGCTATGCAACGCTTCAGTGACGCCGGCGTGGACATCGTGCTGAACGCGAGCATGTTGGGCATGGGCTTATTGACCACGCGAGGCGCCGACGCTGGGCCGATGGCCTCGTGGCATCCGAGTCCTGAGGGCCTACGTCAAGCGTGCCAGGATCTCGTACCTGTTGCCGCAGCTGCCGGTGAGAAGCTTGAGGTCGTGGCTATCCGCTGGGCCCTGGACAACTGGGCGGTAGCCGGCGCGGCTAGGGGTAGTGGCAATTCACGGTTATCGACTGGCACGCGCGTCGGAGTGAGTGTCATGGGCGTCTCGAACATGGCCGAACTTGAAGAGACCTACCGTGTCTTCAACAGCGTTATCGAGAGTCTCGAACCCGACAGTGACAATGCCGAATTGATGACCCGGCAAGAGTGGAGCCGCGAGCGACGTGTGAAGATCCAGGCCGTCGCCGAGAAGATGTGGGCTGTCTTGGATACGTGGAGGGATTACAGCTGGAGTAGCCCTGGCCCCGGGTTCGTCAACACGCGAAAACTTACCGAGATCGGTGTCACGCCTGATGACGGTGTCTTGGCGAGGCACAGGCTGAAGGAGCCGTTAGTTCAAGTCAACATTCAGGAGGTACCCGAGTTAGTCTAAGTCAGGGACCCTCGATACTACAACGCTACGAGGATCAAGGGCACAAGTAGGTAATGGCCTTGTCGGGTTTAATCAGATCATATTGTCTATTTTGGTAGCATATTACAGCGCAGCGGAAATGGTTATGTCTATGGCTATGGGAAATGACAATGATATAATACCATAATACGAGCGATAATCCACACGATATCACTTTATTTGGAACCATCCAGGTATCTCGCGAGACTAGGTATATAAATGTACAGACCAAGACAGGTCATCCATCTACAATATCGTAACGGGCACCAAAACATCTGATCTCAAGTACGGAATCTCCAAACCAATAACCTCCTCCGTCTCAGCATCCAGCACAAACACGATCCGATCAATAGGCTCCGAGCCATAGTACATCCAATCCGTCAGCGTCCAGGCGAGACAATTCTTATTCGAGAGTCCCGCACCAGGCAAATCCGTCTCACCACTCGCGAGAAAGTCCCAATCGAGCCTCCAATCCTCCCGCACGACTTTCTTCTCACTACCATCCGCCATCGGTAGCTTTACCTCCTTGCGTATCTGAATAGGAAAGATGCGCGCCGTTGACGGTGTAACAGCGAGGAAACCCCCAATAGTAACCGTCCAGATCTCGCGCAACGAAGCCAGGATATCCGTGCCGTTACGCTCGACACCGTGTAGTACAAGGGAGTCCGCGTCCTGAACAACAGTGACATTAAAGTCGGCGCTTGAACCATTCCCACAGCTAGCGCTATTTCCATCCACAAACACCCCCGTATACCCTCTCTGCCTCGCCTGCTCGCGCGCGATATCATCAAGCGCAGGGACCATCGTTGCCAGGACAGCGTCATATATCGGCCCCGAGGCAAGCGGCGATCCAGCAGTTAACACGACGATTCCGACGCCGTACTCATCGACTAGGGCCATCTGGGACTGATATCCGTACGCGGAGCCGCCTTTAGCGTATAAATCAACTGTGTGGGAGATAAGCTCGTTGGTGCGGTAGATCTCCCAGGGGGTGCCGACGAGAGAGTACAGTGAGCCCGTGGAAGATGTTGGCTTGAGCCACTCGCGGACGGCCGTGGTGTTGTCAGCGCCGAAGATAGTGCCGTCGAGGATCGCATGGATGAAGATGGAGAGGTCAGAGAGAGAGGATACGAGGCCGCCACCACTACACACACACACAGTTAGTCAGTTCGTTCAACACAAGCACACGCACGTCTGCTGTTTGTCGTGGGTGAGACCATCCGTGAAAATCATGGCTTACGGCGCATTATCCCCATAATCCGATCCCCAACTATTATCAACAGGCGGGATAACAGCCTTGTCGTCATCGCCAGGGCTCACGATAGTATTTTTCAGTGCAAGCGGGTCCGAGACGTATGTCCGCAGGAGCTCGGTGTAGTTCATGCCCGTGCGGGATTCGACGGCGTACATGAGCAGCGTGAATGCGATGTTGGAATACACAGGACGCTCAGCGGGTTGCGCGACGGGGTGGGATTCGAGCATGCCTTTTAGGAATTCTGTCGCAATCAGTCGGACTTATCACAGTACCCCTTTCGATACAAACAACACATAGCGATGTAAGAGGTATAGCCTAGGATGATATCACCATGAAACTTACGTTCGCGTGTACATCCTCCATTGAGCCCGATGATGCCACATTCAGCATACGCCTCGTCTTCAACGTGCGGGAAGCCGAGGGACTCAAAGTAGTCTTTGAGATAGTAATACTCTGAGAATCCATCTGCTGGTCATTAGCTGTCCAGCCCCTCCTTATCCATTCTATGCCACGCATACCACCATTCATCCACATCATTCCCATTTCCCAAACAAAACGCAATAAAACATCCACTTACAATTCGGCGGAATGCCAGCAACCTGGGTAGCAAGATGCCTCAACGTTATATCCCCCCATCTAATCGCGGACGCTTCATCCCTCAGCTCAGGAACGAACTCGGCAACACTCTCATCAATATCAATACCACTCATCAACAAGATATAATCCGAAATAACCTTGCTGATAGAGCCAATAAGGAACTGCGAGTCTCTCGACAGATCCTTCGTTCCATTAACATTCGCAGGTGAAAGATAGTGGTATTCCCAGACCGGCACAGCAGCATTTTCCTAATCACATCACATATCAGTAACTGGTAGACGTAGGAGTAGTCCAACTTGGTTTTCATAAGCTTTGAGGCCCGAGATAAATAAGATTCAGGAGGAACTTACCTGATCATGCGCAATCACCCCAATACTAAAAGAAGTCTCCTCAACCGGCCACCCAGCCTTAATCTCACCCATCACCGCATCCTCAAGCTTACCGCTAAGCTCCGTCGTAGCCTTGACAAGGCGTTCGTGGCCATGGATATGTCTCGGCTTAGGCACGACGGGGCCAGGGGCACGACAGTCGAGAGACGCCTCAACAGTAATGAAAGAGGCCAGGAGTAATAATGACGCCGCCCTCAACCACCCTGCTTTCATCCAAGAGGGTGATGAGGTGCGTGCCATCTCGTATATAATATAACAATAAAGCTGATGGTATTCAAATAAGGGGTAAAAAGGTAATAAGGGAGATCTCAAAGGTAAATGACTAGGAGGATGTTTCAAGCAAGCTAGCAAGATAGTAAAAACAAGCAGTTAGCAAACCTCAGTCAGTCTGGCTGATCTTGTACACACCGCCAGTATTTCCTATGCAGATGTATCTACATATCTAGACACACACACCAGCAAAAGAAACGAGGCGAGTCCAAGCATCTTTATACATCTGCGCTTGACCAGACAAATATACCCTCCTCACCAGACTATCCTCATACCCATCCATCCGCACACCTTAGCCCTCGCATTTCTCGCATCCTCATCTCAGCATCCTAGCCCATTACCTAATAGCACCCAAAGAAACAGCACATAAACTCATCGAAGCATCCTCGCATTACATCATCACAGCCTCCAATCACCAGTACAATGGGCCAGTATAATCAATCCCCTAGTTAGTAGTAGTATACGATGAAAGCGAGCCCGCCAAGACTTCCTACCTCAGCCAACAATCAATTTAGCCAATGAAATTAACTATACCTTCAGGTACCTCACCTTAACTTACGCTAACATTGGCTGAGCATTCGTATACAACGTATTATAGATTTGAGCAACAAATACTTACTAGCAGTTTGACTAAGGATGCATAGGCACGCATGGAGTACATAGTCCATCGTGGCACCATGAATGCGAGATACGACAAAAAGACAAAGAAAACTCTCCACGCACACATGCTAATGCTAAGCACTTAACTGAGCCTTATGAGCCTTGGATTGGAAAGTAAGGTTATTATACCTAGGTAGTCTAAGCTAGTACTACCGGTATCTATATATCTATATATTTACATAGTTCTGGGCAAATAAGTAATTAGGCCAATCTGATCAAGCCAAGAGGACGTCACCCTTGAAGTAATCATCTGTCCGCGATGGCATCGCAGTAGGTAGGCGTTGGGATAAGCCCCCTAGGAGCAAGGTCACTAGGTATTGACGGGGCTTCCACCAGGCAACTCTGGAGTCATTTTAACATCGGCCATAATAACACAACGTACCTATTACCAATTGAGCCTAGCCTTGCCTAGACTCCTTCCTATCTATTTGATGCTACAGTCCCAACGCCCAAACAACGCCCGCAATAACTGATGTGAATAAGCAAGTGGTCGACGCCAACCCCCTCTTACCCCTTGCTCTCGTTCGGCCAAACTTCATACGTCTATACAATAACATAACATGGTGAGAATCTTGGTGATGTCATGTTCACTTTCATCATGGTGAGGTAGAAAGAGAAAAAGTACTGGGATGAGAAGAAGATGAATACTAGTATATTCAGTAGCCCCATTTCATCTCGTCTCACATCATTGTGTCACTTGGCCTGACCTTTCCTTCTCCGTACCAAGATGTCCAAGTCTCTTCGAGTCCTCGTCGTCATCATCGACCGGCGCCGGTGTGTCCGGAGTCACGAGAAGATCGGGAGGAGTAGTCTCTTTCCGCATTCCCTGGGCCTGTAGTGTGGTCTCGATGTTGAACTCTTCCTCGTCTCTCGACTCCGACACCCTAGGTAGTGGTGAGACGACATGCTCGATATGTTCTGGCTCTTCATGATGTTCTGATTTCCCATCATGTAGTTTGTTTTGGCCATCGGCATGGTCATCCTCACCATCTATAGAAACGCCCACCACTTCTGCCAAACTCCGGAAATTGAACATAGGCTCCGAACCTGCACTCTCGCCCTGGTCACTCTGTTCTCCCAGATTGAGGGCACTGCTATATGGATCTTCGGTATCGCGGGGTTTACCGGTAAAGCTGCCAGGCATACTATCCATGCCACTGGAGCTGATCGAACTAGCGTTGCTCATTTGACGAAGGTGTGATGCTCCCCGTGGTACTTGCAGGGGCGGAGTAGGCAGAGTGGATGACGAGCCGGCGGCCGTCGTGGACGCTTCATCTGTCATCCCACGTTCCACACCTTTGCCCTTATCATTTGTTGGTGACGCAGGTGCCGATGGTTGCGCAGCAGCTACACTGGCATCCACTCGTAGATTGCCCGTACCACTGTTGCCTCGCATCCTGCCCAGCGTAAGACTAAGAGAACTCGCACTGGCGCTGCCACCACTATACACTTCTCCCTTCTTCTTGGCCGATTTACGCTCTTCTTTCTCCCTCTTCTTGGCTTCCTTGCGAGCCTCCTTCTCGGCCTTCTTTCTACGGTCTTCTTCATCTGCCAGACTAAGTCTGATAGCCTCCGCCATCATCAAACTTTCGAGGTGGGCGGCGTCGATCCGTTCGCGATTGCCGCGAAGAGGAGCAGGTGATCCACCGGGATCATGGCTAGGGGGCGTGTCATCTGCACCATCGTGGGCATTCGCACTACTGCTGGGGCTCTCCGCGCCACGGTAATTTCCGGCTGCTCTCCGAGTGAATCGAGAGGTACGGCCGAAGAATGTCCGCGACTCCTGGTTTCCCATGACAAAAGCGGCATGATGGAGCGCGTCAGCGGCGGCGGCTCGGCGGCGTTGATGGGCCCGAGCTGTACCAAGTTTGGTAGTCCAGTCTGGCCGTATGCGATCCGCCGTAACGACACCAGGCGCGTTTGCCGACACGCTTTGTGCCCTCCTACGACTTGGCCTGGGACTCGCAGCTGCGGGCGAAAGGCTCGAATTTACGGAGCTAGTAGATGACATGGCGGTGCTCATAGCACCAAGGCTGGAAGGCGGGAAGGCATATGCTAAGCCACGTCGGAAGGGTGGGGGATCGTACGTGACACCAAATTCGGACTGAGTGCAGTAGGGACATTTAGCAGGTTCCATGATCAGGCGTTCGTTATTCTCCTCTGGAGTGGGCTCAGATTCGGCTGGATTATTCGGGCCGTCACCATGATGCTCAGGAAAGTGCGGGTCCGGACGCTTGATCTGAACAAAGCATTCGCTGCAAATCAGCTGGCAGCAGCAACGTGTCCTATTCAAATATGGCGGATAATACATAAGACATAAGGGGCATTCTTCGCCTTCTTTGTAAAGAAAGACCTCCAAGGCTTGACCATTAACAAAAGGATCGCGTGGTAGATTGATCTCTCGAGGGGCGATTTCTGGTTGGGAGTTATTCCGTGATAGATTGAGAGCAGCAGCCAATGCTTTTTTGGGTTGTTTCAGCGGAGACGTGGCTTTAGGAGCATTTGGGGAGGTTGGAGACGTGACCGCCGAGGCAGGATGAGAGGCAGTTCGGTCGGATGAAGCTGAGAGTGTACGTGCCCCCATTGGGACAGTTAGATTGTTCAAGTTGGAAGATGACGCTTCGGGAGAGTCATGGGGTGGCTGGGGTTGCGGGACAAGGTGTTCGGGCACTTGGTCGGCTGGGGGGATCTCGAGACCTCGAGCGGCAGCGATGATCTGGTGTTCAGCCCATGTTTCATTGAAATCATCCAGACCGCGCCAGAAAGGTGCTATCTTCCTCTCGATCTAGAGCACGGCGAAACACGCAGAAGTTAGTCAAACAAGTTATTCTCAGTAGCAATGGCGGCCTTGACAGGAATAGCAGCCAAGGGCAAGATGATGAGCATGACCTACCTGTAGCTGACGGACAGCCGGTTTGCTATAATCCTCAGATGCCGTGTAGATGCCCATAGTGACAAGATAACCGCCATCGACGTGTTCTTCCTTCATGCTCCGCTCACGTTCTTTGATGCGAGCAGCACGCTCCTTCTCCAGCTTCCTCGCCTCCCTCTCAGCCTTCGTTTCACGGCGTTCAAAAGGCACATCCTGATGGCGGGAGCTTGACGAGCCGATGACGGCGATGCCGAGGGGCCCCAGTTCGGGGCGGCTGGATCGTCGACCGCCGTGAGATTCGCCGTTCCGGCCAGACCCGAGTATGCCGCTCCCGCCGCTCGGTTCATTGACGTTGCCGGAACCGTGGTGATGCGAACCAGCCCGTTCCTCCTTTGTGTGTGTGTTTCCCATGGCAGCTGACGATTACTTTATATTGCTCGTATGGATATGGATATGGATATGGATATGGATATAATGTAGTTTCTACTTGAGCATGCGAACGAAGGCGGATGAATGCAGATGGATGAGCGAGGCAATAGATAACGATGTGGTTATTTCGGAATGCAAGGTGGTACTGTGATATGTTGGCGCACTGGGCTTGTCGTCCCAAATACGCGTAGCCGAGAGTGACGACTACAACAACGAACGCATTCGAGGCGGCAGAAGAGTAGCACCTACGTAGGGCAGCAGACAGCAGACAGCAGACAGCGGGCACTGGCGGCGAGAAGCCTACCTGCTGCTGCTGGGTACGGTGGGCGACGTCGCAGCCTTGGGGCCTCGAGCCAATGTGTGTGTGCGTCGTCTCGTGGATGGCAGGCCGGTTGGCTCGCATGCGCGCGTCGTTGGTTGGAGAGTGATGGGCGAGATGGAGAGGTGGAGAGAGGTGAAAGATGGGATGATGGGATGAGAAGCTAGGTACGCAGCTAGCCTCGGCGGACGATACCTAGGTAGGGATACACAATAGAGATACAAGACTACCTACACGTCATGTGCTTAGTTGCCCCCCTCTTGCCTCGTCCTTGTCTCGATCATGGTTGAGAGGCAGAGCTGGTGGGTTGTTCGTGGAGGAGGGAGTGAACGGTTGAATCGTCGACCTGACTGACCGATTGATTGACCGATTGATTGATTGATTGATCGAGTGAGCGAGCCAGATGGGGTGAGAGAGAGTTGGTTATGGTGGATGTCGGTAGATAGCAGATAAGGTACTACCTATGTACATGTAAGGTAGGTATCAAGATAAGGCCGCCGAGTACCTCTAGCTGCACAAGTACCACGCATTAGTGGTCTTCAGGCAGTCTTCCGGTGGGATATTTCTCAGATGCTTGACTAGGTATGGTCAAGCTACTAGATACTTCTCCGCGGTATCAGGATACTTGACATCAGAGTATTTGTTCTGCCCTGTCAATGGTGATGAAGTATGAAGTACCTAGGCTAAGGCGCTTTAGTGGATGCACAATGGCGACATGGGGACTGCGGGGTGATTTGACGGTGGACACCCTAAACACTTCCAATGTACAATACGGTATGTTCACATGGCAAGGCAATGTGTGACACGAGATAGATGCTACCTTACCAGAAGCATTCATCATCATTATGGAAAGCGGCAAATGATATATACAGAGTACCTAGCTAGAGCGACAGGATCCGAAAGAGAAGTAAGTACTTGGCGGGCGGCAGCTGTCCAGGACAACCTTGGAAGATGATTGATGTCAGAGGACGCAGGGATCTGCTTGGCAGCCAACTCACCAGACCACACACCCCCAACGGGAGATCCCGATATCGTCATACCGAGTTGGGAAGAGGAAAACAAACAACACTGAAAAAAATAAACATGCAGAGAAGGGATGGCGGGATGGTAGAAGAAAGGGCGAGAACGGGAACGGGAACGAGAAAGATGAAACCACAGAGGGCAAGAAAACAAAGTCATTTATTCGTGGTTATCTATCTATCTATCTACAACACTGCTAATTACTAACCGGGTAGCTGGTGGGTAAGTGAGTGTGTTCAAGCTTTCCACACACATACCTACCTACCTGTTGCCGTGGTATTACGACATATATCCATTCATATATTTGTTAAAGAGCAAGGAACGCCGTGCCTCATGTGACCAATTCATCGACCAGTCAACAACGTCAAACACGTATCGCATCAACCTGTGAACTCGGGCGCGAGTATGTGTTCGGAATATACCTCATCTGTCCAAGCGTGTAAGCGCGACAATGGTGGACTACATAGGTAGTTAATTTACCCCAACGCGGGTGTCGGTACCGTATGTACTTTATATAAAGTCTGAAGCATGAGGACGTAGAATCAAGTGACCACCATAGGCACAATCAATATTCAGTCCTATCCGAATCCCTCATTTGCCCTACATACATACTTACTTAGTACAGTATTAGAAGCCACTTCCTATGTAAGTAGCTACGCTAGTTTATCTGCCAAGGCACTGACCTATGCATGCAGCTGGCTACCTTTGTCTGCACCTCGAAATACACGAAACTACTAGTATAGGTTAGGTATCTTGTCGGGTCGGGAACTTGTTTCTGGATGTCTTCTTGGTTTTCTTGGCGGCCCGCTGGGTTGGGATAGCCTCTTACGAGTTTACACATCATCATTCGCGATTATGGAAGACCCGGGGTCGCTATACTTGACCGGTGAACCTCCATCGACAAGACACCAAGAAGGTACATAATAGGTTGAAATATCTCTTCGCATGCATGTGTGTATAGCCTCGGTTTCTGCTCATTACCTCCCTCCAGGACGCATGCAGTATGAATGCATGCGCCTAGCCGCTGCGACAAGATGATTGGTGTCTAGCATAATCTGACTGTGCGACACAAGGGACCGTCGATAGGGCGATACCAGAGACCACTCGAAACGTCGTATATTCGTTACTTGGTAGGCATCCAACGCATCACCCCTTGCTGCTCCGTGGCCGTGGCTACTCTTCGAAGATGATCCCGAATCAATAACATTCTACATCAGCTAGCGCATCTTAGGGATGTTGACCATCTTCTCAGCCCAGTGAAAAGAAAACTAAGGGGACCCTTACATTGGAAGAGCTAGGGTATCTCAAAGGTAACCTTTCCTCAGCATCTACTGAGAGAAAGTCAAGATGACTACCCCAGAATGTCTAGGTTTTATATGCTGCCCCTAGGAGCCCTTTCTCTTCCTCACTCGACACAACCCATGAATACCTATGCAGTTTTTACACGTCTCTAAGTCATAAGCTTATGCACTTGATAGTAATAGTCACATCCGGTTTCCACGTAGTTACCATAGTTTCCTATCATTCTGCTTTAGCCCAAGAAGACAACATGCATAGTTTTGATATGACATATAGATATAACATGGGTTCTGCATGTCTTAAGCAAGCGACTTCGTGTGAACCGAATACACTCTCGACTTTTACTTCTCGTAATGTCCTTCAACAACGGCTATTTGCTAGAAGAAGTACAATTACGTACTCGTAACGGTTGCTTTGTTACTGACTTGGACGTTGTTCTATAATCCAATGCTTCACTTGAAACTGTTTATGGTGACAGTTCCCGAGCTCGCTATTTAGGCCAGCCGAATTCTTAGATGTAATCAAACCACACAACGACATTTGTATGAATCGAGGCATTTCCATGCTAAGTCCTGTTGTCTAGGGTAACTTGGTTATTCGATATGTAGAATGGGCAATGTAAAGCCACGACTATAACTCGATTAAAAAAAAACGAAGCCCGCCGGTAGCTACCATCTACTCTAGAGTAATAATGAAAATTTTACGTGATACTATCTAGAGACTCCTAGGACATTCTTCTAAAAAAAGCACTTTCATTGCGTCGTATTGTAGTATATGTGTTATATTATAATATCTCATTCTAATCTGAACTCCGGATGGTAATCTGGCCGTCTATGACGAGCCCACGCAGCAAAGAATTTATTGCAAGAAACTTCATATCTATTTTTCAATCAAGAGATACAGTCTCCTCCAACGTCCTTTATAATGTCAGAATACATAAAGCAAGAACAATTCCTATCCTAGCCCATGTGACGCCCAGCCCACTCGCGCGGCTCTCAAACTCGGGCGCGTCACTCCCATCCACAGCATCCATCGCACGCACACAAGACATAAACGATCTAGCATTGCTGAATTCCTCTGCTCCCGTACGATTCTTGAAGGTCGTTATGATGGGCCAGGCAAGGCTTCCAATATCGTCATAATTCGCCGTGTCGCCAAAATCATGAGGTTGCTTATCCCCAAACAGATGAACATCTAATTTACCATCTTCCCACTCCCTGAAATCCGATGCGTTGTACCGTTGCGCAGTACAGCTATGACCCAGCACCGCGCTTCTTTCGCCAAGGTCCTCGCACGGCCCGACGTCGTCAAGCATGGGACACGAACAGACGCTGCCCTGGTGGTGATTGTCGTACGCCGCCTCTTTCAGATAGCTAATGCACTGCTCCGTCAGAACGCTCGTACACGTGCCGTCGTCGCTTCGGAGCCGATCCGTGTAGTTGAAGCCGTTCAGCAGCCAGCGGAACGTGCACATCTCCCAGTCATCACTGACAGTGAGATGGCCGGTAGAGTTCAGGAGCGACTCAGGTGCATTTAGGGTTATTATTCCGCCCACGTAGAATAAATCGCTCTGGTTGGCGAGATCTGTTTGCTTATCCGAGTTCTCGAGAGAAATATCCGAGGCTACAGCTATAGACCACGACCAGCCGTCTATTTCGCCGCCGCCGTCTTGGCGCCTGACGTAACGCGACGAGATATTGGGCCCGCCAAAGGGAAAGTCGCCCGTCGCATTGGGATGGTTGTCGAGAGCGGCATGAAACTGAGTGAGAGGCTCGCCCCATGGTCCCTCGCGCGTACTCTCATACAGTTCAATGGTAGCTTCGCCTGCACCTGCCGCGGTCGCTACTGTGATGCTTCCGATGCCAACCAGGGCAGTCAGGTAGCGGAGAAGCCTAGGCGTTGCTCGTGCGGCGCTGTCCATTGTACCATACCATGAAATTCCGCGCCAAATACCAGGATTGTAAACAGAGATGATGCTATGGGAATAATTGAATATGGTTAATGCGTCTATGATTTGGAGCACGATGTCTACTACTTAACTCTTGAAATCATTATCGGGCTCCTATTCTTGTGTATATAATACCCCTTACCAGAGTCAGTCTTTACCTCAGTCATAGAACTTCATTCGTTATTGTGTTGGCAACTTGCCATCTTACGTTATGATGTATTGAATGAACACTGCTGTGTGGCAAAGCAACTTGGCGCGTCTAATTATTACATAGTTGTAAACTACTTTAAGAGAGTATTTTAGGTATGAGCGACTTGGCACAACCGCAAAAGGTCTACTCAGGTTGATCAGGACATGGTGAATACCAGCGCCTGTTTGCGCGGTAATTATCTGGCGACGTCATTTTGTAGCATGGCATCTGAGGTTAAGAGCAAGGGGTAGTTCCACTCAAGAGTTGCTGTTGACCGACTCTCGTATTGTCTTGTCAAACTCTGGGGTTACAAACGGAACCACAGGCATTTAAAAATAGCGAGCTTGGCTATCGCCTTGGCCGCCAGCCTTCCAACTTACGTAGTACACCTTCGGTTCTCTGGCTACAGCACTCGCCGGAACGAGCTATCTAGACTAATAAACCACGTATTTGGCTGTCTACGGCCGTTCTCTCTCTATCAACTACGAAGAATTTATAATGATACCATGCGGGGGCCATAGCTTTCTCCACTAAGGACTCTGCTCAAAGATCTCGTCCTCATTTGTCTATATCGTAGGTGTGTAATGTGCTGTAGAACTCAAAGAGCCGATCGTAGCTTGAAGGACTATGCGAGCTTCTTTATTGACCTTACCAGAGCAGACAAGAGCTTCCGACCAAAGCTCTCAATCCTCGTAATTGCTCCTACGATTCCTGCCGGGCTACCTACTTTACTCCTTATGCGCCATCTTGCTGCACCGCACAGCCCTGCTGTGATTGGGAAATGGATCTGCAACCCACAGATGCAGCCACACCGACAACCGAAGACGCCGAGGACGCCATGTTCTGTTCGATGTTCCCTCGCCACGCGCCAACGTTGCTTTGAGCAACCAACGGCAGAAGGTATCCGATCACCAGCCCCAACTCGCTGCACCTTGTAACAATACGGTGTATCTGGCCGGCCTCTATCCAGCCTTTGCTTATCGCGTTTGCTATTGCTAATACTGTAGGTACGATAAGAGGATACTAATATCTCGCGCGCAATGCAGCCCAGAGAGCCTCCATGGTTGATATCCCCCGCGAAAAATGTAAGCGCTAGGGTATTTATTCAGTAAGCCACCGGAGAATAAATGCCTAAGTATGTCCTAGCTGTCAGTGAGAGGGCGGAAGCAGGGGTTAATTATTCAGGACGACAGTGAAACCTGGAATTCACTAGCGAGGCGAGCGAGGCTAGGTGCAGGGTAATGCTTCACGGCGAGACGCAAACTTGGAAGGCGGTCTTCTTCTCTTAAGTTCGTTCTGCCTTAGAGGCAGTATAAATTTACTGTGAACTATGCTTGTATGTGCTGATTACACCGGATTCGATCATGCTTCTGCTCACAAGTCTTCCGTAGCCGTCATTCCATGTTGGCGGCCTAGGGATGAGAATACTTCACCTGATCGACCCATGTCCCACGAACTGTCCCATTAGCAGGGATATCCTTGAAGTCAAACTACTAAGTCTTCATTAAATCTGGATAGTCCTATATAAATCTCCCGATACGCTACCAGACAGTTGGCTTCTCGGCTACCTACTCTTTCAGAAAAATGGACAAATCTTCTGTTTTCAAAGTGCAATTGACGGTGATACGTTATTCGAACTTCAGCTCGAGACGAATTGTTGTTCTGACACTTCAACATCAAACAATCCGGTACATGTAATGCTATTACGAGCTTGAACGTGTTTTATATAGGCATCTCGGCGTGGACAAACGACATGCTTAGGGGCGAGTGAACAGCTAGTGCACCGATAGAAAAGCAAATCGTAGAGATTTCATTGGATTCGTTATATTATGAGCTGAGGGGACGAGGCCTCCTTCTGAGTGTTAGCTATTATGATCACATATTAATGATATTTTCAGGCCACCTTAGTTATCCTCTAGTAACCTCCTGTCACCTTCGGAGGGGGACTATCTCTGTTCGATATCCAATTATGTGCGTAATTAGGGGTTTCTTCGCTCTGATGATCTTCGATAGAAATGCCCGAAACATCAATCCTAGTCGTTCGAAGAATTCCAGATTCCAGCTGGTCCAATGGGTGCAGCTGTTCGCTTGATTCGGACATTATGCCTTGTGATTTCGACACGGTCTGGAGCTTGATTGCATTATCACCGGTTTTACGAGAAAAACTCGCAGAATCGTTTATCCTCGTATGGGCTGTCGCTGACTTGGACCACAAGGATAAGGATATGAGGACTCGTTTGATCCACGTATTTCCAGCAAAAACTTTCGGGATAGCCGGCAGGGAGAAAACGACAAAGGCAACCGACAACTCAGCAAGACACCAAAGTGACACGGGCGCTATGTGGTAGATAACGTCCTCCGAAAGCAAGAACACCACTGCCTCTGCAAGTCGAACCGCTCCCACCAGGCAAGCACTAGATGGAGGCTCGTCAGCAACCCAAACAACTGGTATAGTGTGCAGAAGTCTCATACATGACACCGATGGCGAAAACTGAAGAAACTGCAATCTTCTTCTGTTTGGTCGTATGAAGGTTCCATATAATCTTTTGCGGAAGGATTAATATGGCCAGGTCGGAAACGACGTTAATAGAGGCGCTCGAGACAAATATGACCTTATTGTCGACGCAGTGTCCGGGAAGACGTTTGTTCCAGATTTTTTCGTGAGGACTACAGGACAGCGCGGACGCCGCGATCGACGCAGTGTAGTATAGAATGTTCAGACACATGACGACGACGCAAGCCCAGTAAAAGTTGTTCCTGGTGCCCCGCGGAACGAAAAGCCGGATCCATTCTCTAAGAATCGCCGTCTTCACAGTACCCATTGTCGCCTCGAAAAACGCGGTACTGAGGTAGATGATCTACTGCAGGTCAGATGCACTGCAGTCAATCAGACGCTGCCGGAACTCACATAAAGGGCATCGGGCAATTCTGACTTAGGGACGTTCCACTGGTGTACAAAATATCCGGTGAGGTTCATAAGACTATACACCCCCCACACGAATGCGATGTATGGACCCTATTTCCGGATGAGCTGAAAGTCACTTCAACTGGAATCTATGGACATACAAGGGCTAACAATGCTAGATCTAGGCGACGATGCTCTTTAGAAGGTTGTCAGTGGATAAGAGGTCGGCTTCTGGATGCTTACAGTCTTCGAAATGGACTTGCTTCACGCAAAAGAGCTTTGAGTACGCGCGTAGGAAGACCGAGGTAAATACGAGTAGAAGACATATCACTATTCCCGCGTTCGCCTGACCATTATCGTTCGGAGGGTTGTCAAAGTTGGGTATCACACCCTCGGGCGGCTCCAGGCCTGGGTCCATCTCAGCCTACGTCCGTTTTTCCCCCTTGAGGTGTGTAGGCTGGAATTACTCTAGAAGAAAGGTGTCGGGAAGAAAAAAGTCGAGAATCGACTACCGACAGAGACAAGCAATTGGCAAAGCTTGTGCATGTTTGTCAGCCATCAACCTACTCCACCGGGGCATACACAAGATAACTGTACAGACGTGGACACTCTAAGTATATACAATGATACCCCTGAGAAATCATGCTGTGTCGCTTCTTGAGACTCATACACACGGGAAGCGGACCACCCCGAAAACCCTCTATGCCTTGCACCATGGGAGGCGAAACAGATCCCTGAAATGAAACCGCGACAACGACTGGTTCTCTGCCTCTGCTCTTCTGCGGCACAGAAATTGCGACGACAGGCCAAGACTTTTGAGGGATTGCGGTGCAGCAATCCGAAGAAGGATTGGCGTAATCGCGAAGAATACTACCTCCTAGTTTCATGCGTAAAGGCCCACTGGTTGGCCGAGTCCGGGGTTCGTCTTACTGTGGTGTGTTGCAATATTGGATCCGATGCAACGCTACAAAATCATTTTTTAGTAGTGAACTGCCATCATCACCAGGCTCCGACCATGCCTCTGCATGGCAGGCTAACCGAAGGCGGCCCAGAAGTGGGAGCCTCCGCGAAGCTTCTGAAAATCCCTGCCGGAAAAGCGTCCCCGTCAACGTGCTTAAGTATCCATATTGCGTGTGATCCTACGGTCACTCGACCTTATTCGCTTCTGGGTACCGAAATGCAGATTCAATGGAACTATATGGCATGGCTTTGCTGTATAGAACTTTTCACCCTGAGGCTAATCACATGCGAGCAACTGCGCGTCCAATATAAACCGCAACGGCATTGGCCAGATATGTGCAATGCCGAAAGGGCTAATCACTAGGTGAATAAGTATACACACTGGAATTCGGTTATGGGACCAACCCATCTCGGTGGCTTCAATCCGAGAAGGATTCAACAGGGAGGTTTGATTTCCTCACTTAAGTTAAGCGACGGTTCGTACACTAGCATGTCAGCCAGCATTTTAATGACTGAAATAGGGAACTGTCCTAACCTTATCTTTCTCTTCTCCAACTACCCCTTGCTCGCAATACGTCTGCCGTGCTCTTCCGCTCTTTTAAATGCAAGCAATGCCATGACATCTACAGATGAACTATTTCAGGTATCTCCGACGCAACATAAGATAAGCGATGGGTATGAAAAAAAAGCGATGTATCGCTACGAACGGGTCTTCATCTTCCCGTTTCAGTACAGAGCTCGTGCGTCTACTCTACCGATATGCAATCACATTGCCTTACATGGAGTATCTAGTGAGATCTACATCTAGTGTTCTAATAATTACTACAACAGCCAGGCTAGAGAAGCGAGGTCGAGGGCAGCAAAATTCGTCAGTAAAATATCGAGATTCTCTCAAAGACCCCAGCCTTGCATCCAACGCTGTAGATGCTCGATTTCAACACGAGGCAGGCTTCTCATAGTCTCGCTCATTGCGAGAAGTTTATCCATTTCGATGGAAATATCCGTTGGGCGGCCCAACATAGTTTCCTTGTAGAAATCGATCAGTTTGATACCCGGATTCTGGTTGATCAGATGGTGCCCTTTGTCGCTCTTTTCCAAGCGGTTAACCCATTCGCTGGCCTCGACCACGACCGGCGCGACTTTTTCCAAGGCTGGGAGCAGGTCTTCCCAGGGGGTCACCTTCGGATTGAGGATGTTGTAGACAGTGAAGGCATGGCATTCCTGGCTTGAAGTTGCTGAAATGAGTTCAGTGACGATCTTCCCTAGTTTGTCGATAGGAACCCAGTTGACCTCAAGGTTGCCAAGAGATTTTGGCGAAGCCCCGAGGAACTTGGAGCTAATGACCAGGGAAGGCGTCCATTCTGTTGGGTTCCATGTTCCAATGCCATCAACCGGTCCACATACTTGGCCTACACGAAGGACAGCGACTTGTTTATTGTTCAATCTCGAAGCGTATATCTCAAGTAGCTTTTCGCACACGTACTTGGCTTGCGCATAACCTTGGTTGAGGATATTTCTAGCGTCGTCTCTGCTAAGTACTGCTTGTGGAACTACGTAATTCTGTACTGTGACAGGTAATCCAGCGCTGATACTGGACACGAACAGGACGGATGGGTTATTATCACCATTAGTGGCGAGTTGGAGCAAGTTCAGTAGGGCTTGGAACTGTGGCTCAAAAGCAAAGAGGCGTATTAGAAAGTTGACAGTAAAGGCGTTGTGCACAATTGTTGTCGCTTCGCGTATGAGAGTTGTATAGTCCTCGTCGGAGAGTCCGAGCTTCGGCTCATGCATCGTGACTCGTAGATAGACCACACGGCCATCGTCCGACTCTAGGCCAGCGAGACCGCGAGCCCGAAACGATGCTACTTGCTTTGTTGGCGCGTCTATACCGCGATTGAGGCAGAAAATCTTTTTTACGTCTTTCCTGGCGAGTAGTGACGCGAGAATGTATGATCCAACGGATCCTGTGGACCCTGTTAAAACAACAGTCTGACCATCAGGGGTAGTCCCGGTGGAATTCTTTGAGTTGCTACTTATAATTGTCTGCAACTTTTGCTCGTAGGTTCCCAGGAGCTGGTCCAGCAATATTTGATCACTAGATGTGTCAGACCCATCGGGGGAACCGGTACTGGATAGAATAGACGAAATGACACCTGCCATTTGTCTGAGTGTTGGCCCTTTGTATATAATCTGATTCTTGATCAACTGGATCTTTGAATCATGGACACCGTTTACTCGCAGGGCAGCCTTCAGCCGGGCTAAGACGATGGAGATTCCAAGTGAATCAAGGCCGCGTAAGAATAAATCATCGTCGGCATCGAGAAAGGTGTCGGCATCATACAATGTTTGGGAGAATATAGCTCTTAATAGAGTGATTATGCTTTCAGGCTCGATCGATTCAAGGGATGGTAGGCCGCTAGTGAGCAGACTCTCTTCTGTCGAAGCATATAGTCGGTCAATCTCATCAGCATATTCCCTGATTGTTAAGACTCGCTGTATTGTGCCTTTACTAGCTCGCAAGAATGGCTTCGACTCATTTGCGAACAAGACTAGCTCTCGTGGAATACGTCCGGCTTTAGGTGCCTTTTCGTTGGCCTTGGCGATAGTTGACCATAATGTGTCGAGCGCTTTGGCTTGCGCTGCTTCGTCAGAAGGGGGCTGTCTCAGCTCGATCAGCAAACATGGCTGAAAACGGAAAGCGCCTGCAATAATGGCACCCTGGACATCCGGGTGTGAGCTGATGATATTTTCCGCATCAGTCGGATCCATCTTCAAGCCAGTTGAGAGAGTCATCCAATTGTCTGCCCGGCCACGGTAAACCCACCACTCTTTCTTATCGTCAATAGGAGAGAAGAGGTCTGAAGTCCGGTACTCTGTTTGAAGATGTGGAAAGGTGTGGAATATTGCACTTGACTTTTCTGTCAGACTGGTCCGTGGTATTACCAATTCATAGAAGCCTGGCGCAACTTCTTCTAGCCTTTGACCGGCATCAATAAAATTAAAGGCATTCCAACGTGAGCTGTCGCCTGGAGAGCGAGAATGGATAGGCGAAGTCTCAGTACTTGCTAGGATGGGGTAAAACTCTTTGATATGTTTTGCTAGCTCTTGACCGCGGATTGGATTGACAGCTCCACCGGAATACGCTACGATATCGAGTTGGCTCAATGCTTCCAAAGCAGGAGGGTGATCGACCATGGGCTCTAGAATCGCCGGGGGCAAGAAAGCTGCTGTACAGTTGCCCACTCGAAGTAGCGTTGTGACGTTCCCGGGGGCAGGCCGCGTGCCTGGGTATAACAGGACTGCCGTACTCCCATCGCATTGGATGTTAGAAAGCATTGGAGCAATGCCACCGAACTTTAGGCCCGCGTTAATCAATAATATGATAGAATTACCCACGAGGTGTATATGCTCACATGAAATAACGGGAAAAAGTGGCCTATAGTCTGGCCGAACAAAAGCTTTCTTAGAGACGTCTGGCCACTTGCACTTTGATCAGCGACTTCTGGGTCAAGAAAAGCTACCATTCCCGTGGCGCCTAAATGAGTGTAGTAAATGGGTTTTGGATGACCCGATGTTCCAGAAGTATGCAGACCCAAGAATCGGATATCGCGGACTTCGTCAAATGTTCCCTCAAACGAATATGGTTCTACGGGCTCCCCGCTCAATAGCTCTTGGTAGCCCAAGGTCACGACGGGCGTAATCGTGGCTTTTGTTGCAGCAAGAAGTGGCGACAGCATTTCACCCACTTCAGGGGCATGGAAAAGCGTCGTTGCGCCAACTTTTTCAAAGAGGGCAGCGTTAGCGGAGACAGAATTTCCCGGAGAGGGAAAAACAACCTGTCAATCAGTCAGTTCATCTGTTTAGCCAGATACACATGGATCTACAAGCATCATATCATCATTGTTAGTGTTGATTAGATGATTGATTTTGCTTACACATTTGCGAGTCTTCATAGCCGCTAGGACCCAGACGACATATCTGATATCATTGGAGCCCATATAGAAGAACTTATCCTGGCCCTTGAGATTCTGCTCAATGAACCAGGCGGCTCTACTCGATGCATTGTCAAGATCATGATATGACAAATGTTGTTGTTTGCCATCTGCATTCACGATTGTCGCAAATCGCTGGCCTTCTGCCGCCTTCCGTTTGACGACGTTAGGGATAAGACGCTCAGTTGTTCTAAGCATGGTGAACGAGTTCTAAGATAAGAAAGTCTGAGTACCGTAGGTAGATAGGCACGTAGCCAACCTGGGGACCGATTTGTGGTGATCCTAGTTGGAGATCAAAGTTTTTGGCCCAAGGCTTGAACAATATGAAGACCATGCGGCTTTGAAATCACAACTTCCTCTCAAGACGTGTTCTAAATCTTCGATGGTGATTAGGAGGCGGCTCTTTCAGCGGGGTATTGACTGAACTTCATATTGAAACGCAGCATCCCAGCAGCTTCCCCTCACCCGAGTCGTCAAGGACGCAGCCAACATGCTTGTGTCAGCAATAGACCCTCTAGGTTAGTGCGTAAGAGGCAAGGGAGCATAGTTATACGGCAATTGCATGGATGCCACTATCCAATTGCGACGTCGGGGGGTAACATTAGATAAGTGCTGTAGGCTACGATGTGGAAACTCTGGCTTGAGCAGAAGTATTCAAGCAGGCCACAGCCCCCAAGCGACAGTGTTTTTGTTCCCTTCTAAAGCCTAAGCCTAGTAAACATCGCTACATATCACATCCTATGGGGCTAACGGTAGGTAATTGTCAGAAAGAGTCCAAAGCGCACCCATCGCAGGCTCCACCCCTGCCTTCGCCAAGCTGCAGATCCAGTAAAGAATCCTTCTTTGCTACGATCCTTCATTCGTATTGCATAATACTTTGCGGAAAAGCCGAACCGAGTCTCTTGAGGAAGCTGTCTATCGTAAGTAGTACTCAACGGAATCTTGATGATACCGAGTATCCACCCAGCGAAGAGATGAACTTGATAACAACGGCCCTCGGCTTCTGTATGATGCCGTTACACAGAGGTTCAAAGCTCAAAGTCTTCTCCCTGTATCATTGGCTACTCACCTATAAACCACAAGGTTGTTTGTGAAACTGGGGCGTCGAAATTGTTTTCTATCTTAGGCATTTCCGAGCTCATAGGATAGAGTGTAGAGCGGTTTATAGTACACATCTCTTTTACTATTACTTTATAACTCTAATATCCTGCATTCCTACTACGTATTACCCGTTTATCATCAATCCCAGATATAACTTCTCAATATCGCCTCGTAACGCAATATATCTCAGGTTCAAAACGTGAAGTCAATCTCTCATGTCTAATCCCCTCTGCACTCCTGGATCAGCATCTCCTACCGTAATCTGAACCTCCTATAAACTTAACACAAGCTGTGTCAGTATCCCTGGGTTTGAGATATTTATATCACCAATTTGCTGATGTTTGCAATACTTTGGTCATGAGGTGTGGTTAACGCTAAGAGGGTCATGCTGGCCGAGCAGAAGCTTCATCGAATCACTCAGGCTTTCCATCACATATCCGCGTACTTCTTGCAAATACCGAGCTAATCTACCGATCCCTATCTATACTGTATGATCAGTTTTTATCAGCCTGTGCATGTGCTTTCAAGTAGACAGGTATTGCGCGGGCTTACGAAGAATTAAGCTCTGAGACGGTTTCAGCCGGGTTTCGATTAGCGGATCTACCCGTAACAAGACGCTATTAGCCCTGTCAGCGACTGAGCTAAGCCTAAGTGGCTGGTTGTGTCTCTGCTCAACTCAATGTCTGGTCTTGCTACAACCTTTAATGAACTATTACATCTTTCATGAGAATGACAACTAAAACTGCAGGGATTCGCCAAAAGGTTCACGATCGAAGGTTTACCGTGTTCAGGAGGCAATAGGGGTCGATACCATCTCATTGGCTCAACGACTCGTCGGGAGACGGACAATTTCTGTGTACTAACAGTTCACGCCGTCATCTCACTTTCACTCACTCTGCCTAACCCCGGTCTTAGCTAAGTACTACGGCTAGATGACCTGCGACAAATACAACTATCAGCTGTCTCCTTATTCGAGTAGCGAAGAGAAAGCTCTAACTAAAGTACAGGCGCAGCTGCGATTGCTGTCGCCGAGCAGGCATGAAATGCACGCGAGCGACGCACAATCTACCCAGGTATGCTGGACACCCAGTGTTGTTCTTGAGTAGGTCTTGAGTAGGTCATCAAGATGCAAAGGGCGCGTCAAAATGCCCGGACTTCTCCAAATCCGCTGGTCGGTGACTGTGCAGCGCGGAAAGCAAGAAATGCGTTGGTCCGACATGCATCTGGCCCCCCTCATCTCAGGGACGACCTCCCTCCGCACCAGCCGGGCTACTGAATACTTTCACCTACGATTCCTCACTTAGGTCAAGCTGTTCCTCACTCAGCGGCATCTCCACATCATTTCTCTTGCTCTCGGCATATTCTATGCAGAATAGCGGTATCATATCAAGAGGGAGGACATACCACAATTATCATGTCTGACAAATCATCCAACGCGCAGTCCGCGAGTGCAAACTCGGCCGACCTAAAAACCAACCTGCCAAACACGACAACATTCATAACCGGTCATAATGCCGATGGCAAGGCCATTATCGAATCAGCTCGGTCGGCAACATGGAAGGCATTCGAGAACGGCGTGATGGGGTTCAACCAGATCTACACAAACGAGTTTCCAGCGGACCTAAACGACAACGCCGACATCCGCTTCCACGACGACAAGATAGCTAGCGGCAATCTCGGGCTCGCCGTCAAGAGCGGCACCGTGTGCCGCATGGTTGACTTTAGCCCGGAGTACGTCTGTATGCTGCACCGGACGCAATCCCTCGACTTCGGCATCGTGGTGGAAGGCGAGGTCGACCTGATTCTGGACGACGGCAGCTCGACGCGCATGAAGCGAGGCGATATCGCGGTGCAGCGGGCTACAATGCACTCGGTAAGTCCAGTCTAACCCACTGCGCCGTGATCGATTCACCACCCATGTCCCTTGCCCACGTTTCTGTGATGAACGGGTCACTAACCAAAAATACAAACACTAAAGTGGCGCAATCCGAGTACGAAAGACTGGGCGAGGATGGTCTTCGTGCTCCAAGACACGAAACCTGTGTTCGTCGGCGGCAAGCGGTACGGCGAGGATCACGGTAGAGCCACCGAGGGTCTGCCAATGAGTGGGAATGACGATTAGATGGAAGCAATGCATTAGATGCTGTGTTCAACCCAGCGCAACGATGGGTAAATTGATTTGTCTGCCTGTCTTCAACCAGGAATGAATGAAAGTCTGCGTCTAGGTACAGTGTTTGCCTAATACAAGTATTATGGTTTAAACTAGCCATCGAAATCAAGAAGTATATACACTGGAACTGTAGCAACCGTTTTACATACAGATCGGATGTTAAGCTATAGATTCCCTTGGCGCGTCCACACCCAGACGCGCCACGTCGCTCGGCGCGGCGCTTAAAAGGTCCTGTCATGGACATATATTTTTTAAACAGAGTTGCCGGCCTGTAATTCACCCTGAAGCTAGTCTCAACACCATGGTCGGTAGAGATTTGCACCACGGACTCTTCTCTTCCAAACTGGCGCTCGCTCTTCAACCCTAGTCCCCGACACAGCTCTCACGATCTAATCAAGGACCCGACCGAATCACCACTCGATGTGTCAACAACATTGCTAGAGCCGATGACTTCGCCGTCCGCATCCAGCGCGTCGACGCGGACGAAGGACACCTCTTCCGAGGGCTGAATGCTCGTCTCGAAGCCGTTCTTTTCGACCCTCGTGAGCGGTTCCATCGTTAGATGCGATTTTCCACCGTACTAGGAGAAAGGCAGCGTTAGCATCACGTCATTCAATTTCCGGAATTCATGTTCATTTTTAGTTTTATTTTTTCTTCTCTGGACGTCTTATCACTTACCAATACCCAAGTACGCACCTCCGTGGCGCCATTCCAGCTCACGTATACTGTTTCATCAACAAAGGCACAGCTCGGCTGCGTCAGAGGTTTCGCAACCCAGTCGAACTTGTAGACGCGGTAGAGCGGACCACCACCCTTCTCAGTGGTATTCCAGGGTCGCAATTGGACGTCCATGATGACGTTGCCGTCTGCGTCAAATTCTGTCATGGCCGGCACCACGCCCCAGCCGATCATGGCGTTGCCGTTGGGGAGCAGGTGGTAGCCGCCCTGGGCCCAGGCCTGGACACTCTGCGGGTGGTAGAATTCGGAAACGAGATGGACCTCCATGGCGTCGGTGTCGAGAGCGATGCGCATGGCGCGCGTGCAGTTCTGCGTGCACCCGGACGTTGACGACGTGATGTGCATGGCGTGGTTGTCGAACAAAGTAATCTCGGTCTCGTTGGCGTCGGTGAAGCGCGCGTCGTGCTGGAAGGCGAAGTTGGTGGCGTTGCCGCCGCTGAGGTCCTTGAATGAGTTCTTTACGCCGCCGACCTGCCAGATCCGGCTGCCGTCGGTGCCGTTGATGAGCGCCACGGTGCGCAGGTGCCGGATCGAGATCAGGTAGTTGCCGTCCGCCGTCTTCGAAATGGCATTCATGTGGAACCAGTCGAAGCCTGTATCTACGTCGCTGTAGGGGTCGGCCAGGCCTTCGGCTAGGTCGAAGTGATCCGTCGCCTTCCATGTGAAGCGAATCTCGCCAGTCTCGACGTCGACCTCCTGGAATGCGCAGTCAAGCAGAGTGGCGTTCTCGGGGCCGCCGATAGACGTCAGATCGGTGTAGACGATGTGGTAGTTATTCATGATGGCACCACCGTCGTTGGTCATCTTGAAATCGTGGCTATCGGCGCCGGTGATGAGACCTTTGGTTGTGAGGTTCTTGAAAACATTGTAGTTGGTGTCGAGCATCACGCCGCCTCCCGTGCCATGTCCCTTTTGATCGAAGCCGGACCAGAAGGTAAGATACGGTTGGCCATCGTGTATCTGCACCCTGGCGTCGGTGCCCCCATTCCACTGGGGATCCGCGTACACAAGACTCAAGTCTTTACTATCTAAGATCATGGGTGATGGCTTTTGACCCGGGTTCGCCGGGGCCATAAAGATGTGTGACCCCGATGTAGAAGCGTTCATGTTCCATGAATTTATGAGGAAGCGCGGAGACCTGAGGGGGGAAGAGTGGTATGTCTGATAGGGTCGGTCACCATAGTCCCAGTTGTTGTAAGCGACAGCATCTGTAAGTAAGGACTGGTCCGCCTGAACCTTGAGAGCCGCAAGAGCTGCTATCAGACATGAAGAGGGTCGAATAAATGGCATATTAGTGGAAGAGTAAATGAATGGACGACGACGACAAGAGAAGTGCAGATCGAGCACGTCGAGTGACCAAAGAATGACGGGTGGCTACTTGTGTCTAAGAGTGAATACCGCCGACGAGACATGTGCCAAAGCACAACAGAACACGCAGTTAGATAGGGAGACTGTTCTACTTATCCATTTACTCCTCTAGAGCCATTGCGTAGTGTTGTGTGTCAAATTCGAGCAATGTATCAGCTTATACTGTCACGGCAACACATAACAACGTAATTATTACAGTGTCCGGTGACTTCTGATTGGTACCACGATACCGTTTCCACCCTACTTACCGTGCATTGCACCTGATATCGTTCTTACCAAGATTGAATTCATCAGGATAGTGTAGGCGCTCCATACACGAATCCTGGGGTGCAGCGTATGAGGATATTCCCTGATTCTGCTTCGACATTGGGGCGATGACCCTAGTAGTGCCCTCAGTACATGGGTTATAATTATAAAGGAGGAAATAGGCAGATCAATCAACGGGCTCTTGCGGCTACCACCTATTGCAGAGTAATAAGGAATGGTGTTATTAACTTGGGGTTGTAGATCGGTATTCGTCATCATGTTGCAATCAGCAGACAAGTTCATGCCTGGGGCTGGTGAAACAAGCGCTGACGAACGTCGACAGTCATACACCAATCAAACCGCAAACTAAAACATCATCTACGAACATGGATATAAAGTGTTTCCTACTCGCTATCTTTCTCTAGTACCTATAGTCTGAATATACTATAAAGTCAATGTTGGAATGCTCAAGCCCCTATGTAGCCCGATTTTCTATTTCGTTTCCTGATGCAGCCGGTAGCCAACGAGTTCAAGTCGCACAGCTATTTCAACATGCTACACGATACAGATTGGCCATTTGTTACCGATCATCTAGATTAATATAGCTGTTCGTGTTTCATGTACAGGGAATACTGACAGAGTCTTTACATTTTGTGTCGTGTATTCATGCCGTCGATACTCGACCAATAAAGCTATGCTTAAGGCTATGCTAACAGTAAACCTGGTATTGTATAAATTGGAGAACTTGAAACCGTGGTCAATACAGGATTTCTTCAACTGCCCAATCCAGGTTCTGCAAAGTCATATGGCAGAGTTGACTTGTCGTTCTGCTGTGGGGGGTCATCCCAACACTACTGTCAGGGCTATGCGCGCTAAAACCACGCTGGATTCTTTCTGCGTGAACTGCCGGCACCAGTACAACTAGAGTACGTACGTCAGCCAGGAATCGAAAATCGTGTCATCGACGACGAAGGGCTACGAAAGCATATCAAATATACCCGGAACTGCTCGGGGTAGACAGGTATTACCGGTCGAACGTTCCAATAAGACATAGGGAACATGACAATAGCTCTTCAGAGTTACGGTAGGACGTGAGCACCAGCAAACAACACCCTAAGCCTCCGTCCCTCCTCATGTCGACAGCCAAGACAGTCTTAGTCACATACGCTCGAGGTGATTTGCAACAGGCCTATTGCGGTAAATTAGCGATAAATTTAGTTTTGGTGATGGTCACACCGGTCTCGATTCCTGAACGGGCAAAATGGAACTGGCTGCACACCTACACTAGTGTCCTTATCTAAATCCCTTACAAGCCGTCGCTTCGACAGGTCAGCAACTAACTGCTGGAGAATAGATCTACGTGATAGACAGGGCGTACAATTTACGACCAGCGACCTTGATGCTGATCGGCTTGACTTGCCCGCGGGTCCCCGAAGACTGCGATTCGCGTACCATGGCAACACACCTCAATGAAATTGCAACATCAAGATAGCGCCATTCCTCCAGCTTTAGCGTCAGCGACAACACTGACTCGATTTAATATCTCTCGTACCCCGACCGTTTGGGCCATCTAATTCGTTCTCTAGCCTCGGGAATGGAATTAACTGTGGTCTCTATTTCTTGCAGCGAACAATTCGCCGGCGCTGGTTGAGGCGGAGATTCCTGTGAACTTATCCCTTCGCATAGAGTGTAAGGAGTACCTAGGAAGGATGACGGGAAAAACTAATGAATCTGTCACTTGTCTAAGATCGACAGACTTTGTAACTCGTAGCACCGAAAGGCTTACGACGCTGGCGGGGCCGCGCCTCCGAAAGCAAGTCGGCCCGCACACCGAGTCCCTTGTAAGTGTAAGCCAGTACGCCAGGATGCCGGTATGAATAGGAGAAAAACAATGTATGTATGTATATGTAAGACCGGAAGAAACTGATTATTCGGCGGATTCTTTCTCTGTTTTGGGAACCTCCATCAAACTCCATGCTAAGCCATATTGGCGCTCCAATGGTAGATGTTCCGCGAGCTGCGAACATACTGTAAAGCAAATCGATCGACCCTGGCGTGAATACCCCAAACCACTCACAGTGAGAAACCCGGAAGTAGGTAACAGATGATCACCGCATAGGCCCAACAGGCCGGCCGGGCAGCGAGTAGGTATCGCAATACCACCTCAGCATACTTGTTTCACCAACCGTGGGTAGGCATGTAGAGTCTTGGAACTAACTACCTTAGTAAATTGATAGAGAGCGATCGAAAGAAATTATTGTTGCCAATTCGGAAATAAGGAAACACGGCTTCCAGTGAGATATATTGTGTAGATATACAAGGGATGCAGCCAAAGAGACTTACGATATGGCTAATATAAACCTCAAGTTGAAACCTACCATCATAGAATCACAATTCAGAATTGCCTGGCGGGGATAGCTCAGTTGGGAGAGCGTCAGACTGAAGTAACACTTCATCCTTAATCTGAAGGTCATGTGTTCGATCCACATTCACCGCATCTTCTGCTTTTGTTTTTGCTTTTGCTTTTATAATTCCTTCATTATTGTTTTGCCCTCCAGCCAGCCAGTAAAGTATTACTTACGCTAGCATGAACCGAAGTTGTAATGTTCATTCTATATAAGCCGACCGACCACACATGACCTTCGCAACATTTCGTCACAAAGGGTTCAAAGTAGAAAAGCAGCTCTGGGCGTACTATCCGTATATATACTTGCGAAATTTCGATTGGTGAATTCACCTATGTTTCTTTTGAATTTGACTCGCTGCGTATATATATATATATATATATATACATACATATAGCCTTTGAGAGAGCTAATTGCCATATCGGTGGTGGGCCATGATAAATAAATAAGCATTAAGTCACAGGTGCAGGTAGGGTCGGTCACCTAAATGTCAGGAAGAACAGAGCTCTTAAAGCAGATCTTCGAACAAAGGCTATTAAATTTTCGAGTTCATCTATCTACATCAACGAGCCAGGTGGGCATCGTTGAGATGAGTCGTCATAGCAATAAGTCCAGGGAAAAGATTGAAGTTGGAGTAGTTCAGGGTGAAGCCAATTGGAAGCTATCACGCAATGTATTCGTTGAGCAATTGTATAACTACATGATTTTGACATTGCCCTTCGGTGTTGTTCCGACGTTTAGTCATACGTCATCGCCCCCATTGATGCATGTCCATCCTCTAAATGCATTATTCCCCGCGATGAGAGGTTGGTTCCAACACAGCTCCCAGCTGACATCACACTGTCGTCCGTCGGGCTATCGCGGAATCTCGGTGTAGAGTTCGGCACCTCAGCCAGCTCGTTGGGCACTACAGCTATCTATTCACGAGCTTAAATTGATCGGAAGTTGAAGGGAAAATCCGCTTGTTAGTTACTTCAGCTGGTGCCCTGTCTCGTCTTACCTCATCCTATTCTATATATACTCGTTCAACCAACAACGAGGAGCGAACCAAGGTCGAGAAAAGATCGTGCAGGCTCAGACGGCAATCATAGAAGACATGGCTTCCAGAAGCGCACCCGTGCGCCGACTCCTGTCTTCAGGCACCTTTTCTTCCTCGCCATCTGGTCTCCGCATCATATCCCATCGCACACCTGCGCGCAGTTTCCATGGCACATTCATGCGCCAGACTGATGGCGTGTTCAGCGGCTTGACTGATTCACGCCCTCAAGTGCCCTGGATTGAAGCTTTAAAGCAACAACAGGAGGGCAAACCTCCAGGCGGAAGCAGCCAAAAGCCTGTAGAGCGAGACATGAGCCCCAAGAAGATGAGCGATAGCTACCACAGAGTCGTGCTGCCTCTAGGCCGTGATCCTTCGCTCAGTAATACATACATCAACTCGTCGGGGCATATACGGTACAGCTAGGAAACCATCTTGCACGAAACCTCGCCCATTCAGGGTAGCTGATAAGGGATTTTTCGTGTCACAGGTTAGGATCGCTTTTCATGGACTTGGACGCACTATCGGGTGTTGTCGTCTACAAGCACACGGGGCCCGGTGTCACGACAGTGACGGCAGCGCTAGACCGAATTACGATCGCCCACCCGCTCACCGAGATATGCGACCTCGAATACAGCGGCCAAGTGACGTACGCGACGGGCAGGAGCAGCGTCGAGGTAACCTGCAAGGTTGCGCGGGCTCGCGATGAGGGCGAGCCCAGCAAGCCCGAAGACGTCCTGTTGACATGCACCTTCACCATGGTAGCACTAGACCCAGAGACGAAGCGCCCGACCAACATCCCCAAGCTGATCTGCGAAACCGCCGAGGAAAAGGATATCTATCAAACCGGCGAGGCAAAAGCTCTCGCGAAGAAAGAGATGTTGAAGAAATCACTGCTCGAAACAGAACCCAACGACCCGGAATCAGCACTAATCCACAAGATCTGGCTCCGGCAGGTCGCATACCACGACCCGACGAATTCCCTCCGGCAGCCGAGCAACGTAATCGCTATGTCGAAAACCGTCCTCTCAACTGCCAATATAATGCAGCCCCAATACCGCAACCGGCACCAAACCATGATCTTCGGCGGTTTTCACCTAAAGCAGACCTTCGAACTAGCCTTCTGCTGCGCCGCCTCGTTCGCGCACGCGCGGCCAACATTTATATCCGCTGATCCATGCACATTCCGGAATCCCGTTCCAGTCGGCAGCGTCTTGTACTTGACCGCGACAATCGTCTACACAGACCCTCCTCTCCTCGGCGAAGACGGGCACGAGCCCGCGCAGCGCGATCCGTCGTCCCCCTTAACGCGGATCCACGTGCGCGTGGATAGTAAGGTGCGGGACGTCGAGCACGGGTTCGCGCGGCCTACGGGACAGTTCAATTACACGTTCGCCGTGCCGAAGGACGTGCGGGTGCTGCCGCATACGTATCAGGAGTTCATGATGTACGTTGACGCTAGGCGGCGCGTGCAAGCTGGCGATGCGCAGGATCGGGAGGATCATCTCGATGTTGATTCGCGGCGGCGATTTAGACGGGTTGAGGATGTCAATGTGACTGAGTAGGAAATCACATCATTCAGGTACTAAACTTCCTTACAACACACGCCTAGGAATTCACAAAGCCGCTAGACAGCTTAGCTGTTTTGAAGTCGAGCAGCCCAGGGTGGCCGTCCGTTGCCCGTACATGGAATGAAAAGTCCAACATCAATCTTGATTTCACATATCTGGATAAGAACATAGATAGGTAGCTGGAATAGACATAGGAAGGAAGGAAGGATGGGGGAGGGAAGTAAATGTCCTCGCGGACATGGAACACATATATTAGACGCATATAATGAATATATGCCTATTTACGCATTGCAGTACTTAACACATGAGAATACGTTATTAGAATAACAAGATAGAGTAATTTTCAACGTACGAGTAGAAGATAATAGATCCTGCTTCGAAATACTCACATATTCCTAATCACTGCGAAGTGGGCGGTAGCAAAGTTATATGAGCATTCATTTCTTCAAGTATGTATACATGCATTTTGTATGTGTATTTATGTCGTGACAATGAGGAATATAGTAAGTACAACGACATCTTGTCTCGACGTCAGATATGGCATATACACACTCACACATACAGTCGGCGTTATTGTTCCAAGCCACGTTATAGTACATGTGTTTCTAATCATGACAATCACAGCCCACCCCTCTGTCTCGAAATCTCCTTGCCCTTCCTAACAAATCCATGTCCAAGGGCCGGAAGTTCTCTCTTCTTGAACTCTTCCTGCATAAGCTTGAATCGTCCCAGGGCAATTTCTTTATCGCCGCGCGTGACGCGTTTCGGCGCGACCGTGACATTGGGCAAGGTGAGCAGATCGGGGTGGCGCGTCTGCAGCTCCTGGGTGAACGTCGCCGGTTTAGGAGGTTTCTTCAGCGAGTGGAGAAGAGTCTGCACGCTGGTGATGCTGGGGAGTTGATGGTCGGGGACGCGGTGGCCTGTGAGTTGGAAGATGCGCTTCGTGATCTGATTTGTTATTGTAGTGTTAGCCAAGGAAGCTATGTGCGGGATGACCGAGACTAGGGAAGGAGGTGTTGTTCAAAGGGGTAGGGATAGAAGGGGAAAAAACATACGGCGAAGCGAATCCTGGGATCAGCTAATGATATGCTCTTCCAACTCGGATTCCAAGTCTGGCTCAAAGCAGCAGCCTCATCAGCGCTCAACTCATCACCATCCAGCACGGAGTCTACATCTACAAAACCCTCCTCCTCATCCTTCCATCTGACCCCCTCGGCAACAACTTCCGCGCTGCCACCCAGGACGACACTCCCATCCTCACCAGTCTTCACATCCCACGCCAAGAGACTCTGCAAATCCTTCTTCGACACCGCCGTCGTCGGCCATACACCCACCAAATCATCTTCGCGTCCGACCTCGCGGAGCGCATGAGCCTCGATAACGGCGCGGCGAACAGCGGCTTCTATGAGCGCCGGCTCGAGGACTTTCTCTTTAGGTTTGAAACCGACGAAGTCGCCGGCAGCGGTCCAGTTCTCGGTACGGTTCCAGTAGTTCCGGACACTGCCGACGGTCTGGAGGCCCTCGGCAGTCGTGGCGGGGGCGTAGGTCGGGTCTCCGACCACGTCGACGCGGGGGGCTTCGATGCGTTCGGGGGGGCTTGTGTACGGGCCCACGGATCCTGGCGCATCTGTCCAGCCTTGGTCGTAGTCATCTTGGTTGACAATCTCATCGGGGGTGGATATTTTGGGTTGTACTTCTGTCCCTGGCTCATGTGGCAAGATCTCTCGTGAATCTGTTGTGGGGGCATTCTCATTCTGTGGCTTATCGGAGGGAGTAGAGTAGAATCGGTTGAGGCGTGACGAGAAGGATGCTGGTGTTGTTCGAGAGGCGAGGATAGGGGTTCCGGTTTGCGATGAGGATGAGAACGAAGGGGCTGGTCGTTGTGAATACGGTGTGATGTGTGAAGGACTAGGCGTGGGCCACGATCTGTTGTTGGTGGTGGAGGACGCAAGGCCGGATGGCCTCCTCAACCTCGGTATCCGCCGCATTGTTAGATAATTGGGGCGTGGTTGAATTGGATATTGTCGGCGGGGAACATCCAGCAGTGAAGTTGAAGATTGAAAGGTCAACTTTTTTTGATAAGACCAAAGTTCAATTGTGGCGCAAATCTGGGGCTTCAGCCACGATTCTGTCCCGGCAGGAGCCCTCCTTCCTGGTCAAGTTGCTGCCAAGAAAATAACCTTAAGTTACATACCTACCTAGGTAGGTACTTCGTATGTACCTTTAAGGGGACTTGGCATTACCTTCGCCGGCGAGCTTCCGATGCGCAACTGAGCATCTCAAACAAAATAGGGATCTGGGTATTCATCCATCCAGATCTCAACACACGCAAGATACAAAGATCCCGAGCTCTGAGGCCCTCTGTTATTCTCGAACTCAGACCGATTCCCACCAGACACATATATACCCCGTGCGATCCGTCAGACTAAACACCAAACCCATGCGCCTACAATGTTCCGCTTCAACTTCCTCCTGCTCCTAGTCTTCGGAGCTCTGATATCTCTAACAATAGCAACCTGTACGCCAATTCAATCCCCATCGAATCCGAAGTCTTTCTCCTCCTTTTTTAATCAATTCGCTCGAGAGCTTCCCAATAATCATCCATCTCCACGCTCCCGTCTTCATTCCAAACCCATCCGTCACAAGTCTAGCTAACCCTCCTGTATAGCCGCCCCAATATTCTGCAAATGCACCTGTTTCAAAAACAGCACCCTAATCCAACTCGGGCCTCAATCGTCCTGCGCCCAATGTACACACGCATACTGTCTCTCGCAGAACCTACCAATCTGCACCTCCCCCAGCAAAGAAATCTCCGACACCGACGTCCAATCAACATGCATCCAGCGCGACAGCCGAAAGGACCAGATCATAGTCTGGGGCTTCATACTGGGCACCGCCGGCCTTCTAGGCTGGGCCGGCGTGAAGCGCGTGAACGAGGTGCGTGAGGGGAGGAGGAATAAGATGAGAGCTGCTGCTGCTGGTACTGCTGGATCAGGTGGTGGTGATAGGGGCCCGTATATCCCCGTCCGGGGCTGAAGAACAAAACAAAGCTTGGGATGAAATGACCATGTAGGTAGGTACAGGTTTCATTATCTCTAGGGAGTTATTGGACTTGTATATGGGAACAGAAAGCATCTCATCATCTGTTGTGTCGCTGGCGTTCGGAGTTCCGAGTTTTCACTCTTCTTGAACGCTTAGATGGTGGATAGATACACATATAGCCACTTCTACCACGACGTGTGTTCAGAAACTAATGCGGTATGTATATATACTCCGTGTTTTATGCTGCCATGACAAGCATCTCAATATCAGATCGCGCGACAAAGAGCGAATAACAGCCATACACTTCAGTTTTCCATGTGATTGATGTGTTATGTATTGAGGTTACCCTAAGGTATTTTACTTTTATAATGACCGCTCATCATCATGCCCAGCCTGCCATATCCTGCTAATGAAACACTAAATACAACCAAGCTTTCTACCCGCCATTTTGCACTGTTGAATACTTGATGCCATTATTTACCATTTGCCCCTTTTCCTTTACATATAAAACCTTGTTCTTGATTTCTTTTCCCTCTTTTCTTCTCTTAGTCTTCCTCAAGCCTTGTAGTTGTAGGCTTCTCATTGCTGATATTCGCTGCGCCGTTCTTCTCACGGCGGGCGCGTACGGCCGAGGCCAGATCTTCTAATACCGCGACGGTGCTGTCCCAGTCGATACAGGCGTCGGTGATGCTCACTCCCTTTTTGAGGGCGGCAGGGCCCTCGGCAGGCACCTTCTGGTTGCCCTCGTTGATGTTGGACTCAATCATGACACCAACAATGGCCTTCTCACCCTCTCTCAACTGATCACCAATGACCTTGGCCACCTTGGGCTGGTTTCGGTGGTCTTTGTTGGAGTTTCCTAATGATTTCTGGTTAACTCATTGTTGCAAAAGGTGCTTCTCTAATCACCGATGTTCGGTCACAAGATGAGACAGAAAGACAAAACTTACCGTGTGAGCAATCAACCATGATGGCCATCTTCTGGCCCTTCTTAATGAGGGTCTCTTTGGCTAATGCAATGTTCTCCTTGTCGTAGTTGGGGCCTTTCGTGCCACCTCTTAAGATGACGAAACCGTGCTCGTTACCCGCGGTCCTAGTAATAGCTGCCAGTCCTTGTTTGGTGACACCCATGAAGTGGTGTTTTGAAGCGGCGGCTCCGATGGCATCAATAGCGACCCCTAGGTTCCCATCGGTACCATTCTTGAAACCGATGGGGAAAGACAGACCGGACGCTAGCTCTCGGTGCAGCTGAGATTCGGTTGTTCGGGCGCCGATGGCGCCAACGGAGATGAAATCGGCGAGGAACTGAGGGGAGATGGTATCCAGCATCTCACTCGCAATGGGGATGCCAGAGTTGGTAAGATCACCGAACATTTGCCGGGACAGGCGGAGACCCTTGTTGATCTTGAAGCTGTTGTCAATGTCGGGGTCGTTGATCAAACCCTTCCAACCGACTGTGGTACGGGGCTTCTCTAGGTAGGCGCGCATAATGATACATAGGTCGTCAGACAGCGTTTCCGATAGCGCCTTGAGACGCCCGGCGTACTCTTGTGCCGTGGCCGGGTCATGAATAGAGCAGGGTCCAACGATGACTAAGAGCCTATCACTGCGGCCCATGATGATAGAGACAGCCTCACGGCGACCCTTGACGACGGTCTGAAGCGAGGCATCGGTCATGGGGATTTCGGAGATGAGGAGAGCAGGAGGGATCAGAGGATCCTGACCCAGGACTAACGAATTGGCGTATATTAGCATGGCGAGGGTTCAAAAGCAACTTCAGCAAGACGCGGAGTGTGTATTTGACTGAAGAGCAGCAATAAAAAGAAAGCTCTGTAACATCCAATTGGTACATATAACCATTTCATGGTTTATGGTCCATGATCTGTGAGCAAACCAGCGTTGTCATGATATGGATACGCAAACAACGACTCAACTGCACACATTTACAAACATACACAAGCGCAAAAGCAAAAGAATAAGCCACATGCTTGACGAGAGGCTACGTACCTCTCATGTCATCGGCCTTGAGCGGCTCCATGTCGACTCCTGGCATGCTGGCGGCGATGGTTGGGTTCCAATTGGGACGATGCAGTGTATACAAAAAAAAAAAAAAATGACTGGTCTTTTACGACTCGATGGTCACAACAAATCGAGCTGGTGATGAGGGCGAATTGGGTGGGTGGATGGGTGGGCAGCAAGACCAGGTAGCTGGCGCAAAGTTCGAACTGGTATACCACGTTAAATGAAATAATCAACTATACTTCGTCACGATGACTTGTGATGGGCTGTTCGTTTGCGAGCTGGATAGCTGGCACCAGCTCAGGACGGTGGGGATCTCGAGGGATGTGTAGGGAGGATGGAAACGAATCAGATGAAGAGGAAAAAAGAAGGGAAGAGAAAGTACCCAGGTAAGCAAACAATACTTACTATGGTATCACAGAATTGTTTCCTTCAGCTACTAAGTATGTCTTTTGAGATGTGAGTCAGTCGATCGAGGAAAAAAATGATGGAAAAAAATGCAGGTCACATAGGTATGTGTGTAAGTACCTAAGCAAGCAGAGGTACCTGACTGTAGCTCCGAGTCGGCGCCGCTGGTTTGGAGCTTGGAGGGGTAAGAAAACGTCAAGGGGGAGGGGCAGGGGCGAGGGTAACATGCAGTAGGTAGTGTGTAGGTACCTATGTTAGCACCCACCATGCACACTAAACTGTACACCAGTCCATTGTCTATTTTACATATATCTAGATATATATATATACATGGTCTGGCCCAAGTCGGTCAAGTTCACTAAGGAGGTAGGTAATCCGTAAGACCGACGCCGGAACACGCCAGGCTGTGTGGTGTACCAATAACAAGGGCTCGGCACACTGGGGGGGGGGAGCTGACTACCTACCTAGGTACCTAGGTACGTAGTAGGGAGAGTTACAGAGGGGCATCTGCACGCTATTTAGCTATGTAGATCCCTGGTAGTGGCCTAGAATAGCACCAGCACCACTTATATCTGCTATCGATAGGGATATCCAGCCCTGCAGAAGCATTCCAATGGAAAACCACAGCATCGCTGCTCCAGAACAGAAGGAACAGAAGGAACACGAAGGAAACATGAAAGTTATAGGTAGAGCGTGTCCAATCACACAATACATGATTCTCAGCAGACATGAACGGCCTGCAATAGCTTGTACTGTGTAATATCAGCCTTCGACAACAGATCTCCACATAATATCGATACGACGCAGTGCTATGGGATGACAAAAAGCCACTTATGTAATAACTACCTATCTATCATGGTCTGTGTTGAACCGCATGCTCTTTATCTGACACCTTCCTGTACCGTTATATGTTATATGCACTCTTTTCTACGCCGTCCGGCTTACAGACAGTATGCCTGACCCGGCGTCTTCCGGCTCACCGCCGTTCCACGTCTCGGTCCAATGGCACAACCTACCCGCTGCACGTCTCTCCATCTTGTCCTCCCAGAGGATGATGCACGTAGGGTCAGCCATTCATTATATCTATCCCTCCACATAAGGAGGTAATCAAAGCTTCATTCAGTTTCGATGTGCCAAGCGGGCACCAACTACGTGGAGGTTTGATTATATTAAACTGTGGCCTGTCTCAGGCATGAGAGCAAGCGGTGCCGGAGAAGATGAGAGTGAAACAAACATATCTACTGTAGGTGTTGGTTGGCCTTGACATGAACCACTATATACCATGAGGTATAAGGTATGCATATGAAAATCTCTTTACGTGCACGGCTGCGATGCTGGTAGACTTCCTTACACCCAAGACCACGTCGTAGCTACAGTAGTTTGTCTAACCCGAGACTGCAAGCTTCCCCGTTTTCCTTCGGCATCGCCCGCCATTAGAAGATCACTGATAGATGAACTTGCCACCAGCCAACACTCATCGAAGTTGTATCATAAGTGGCTCCTCTAACTAGAAGATAAAGCTCCGGCCATGAGGTAATTAGCCAAGGTAGTATCCCAAGTGAAGTAGATCTGAAACAGATCGCCAAGTGTATTCTTCCACGAAGGTACGTTAATATATACGTGGTAGGTAAGCTTTAATGGCCATGACCTTCATCGCCAACAGCGACATTCGGTCTCAGAAACCCAATCAATAATATACAGAACTCAAATCTTCATACTAGACGCTAACCACGGCTAAATGTCGTCGTGCTTCCAAACAATACGACGGAATCTATTTCTCCGTCGTTGGGGAAATCTCCACACACAGCATAATGTTTTCAAGGAGCACAGAATAAATACCCGATTCGACGCCGATGTCACTTTTTACTTGGGCAATTCGTCGTCTTGGCATCCAATGTACTCTCACCGGAGGGAGCATACTATATCCTGATATTCGCGAATGATGCTGGCGAAAATGAGATTCACGTTACTATCCGCCGTGCTATGGGCGACGACATGCGTAGTCGGGTCCCCGCTAGATGTCACAAAGTTAGAGAAGAGACAAGATGCTGATTCTCACTGGGTCGCTACGTGGACGTCGATGCCACAGCTGGTTGAACAGAACAACCTGCCTCCGTCTCCCTTCGTAAGTACAACCACCGTCTCTGAGCTGATATGCTTCAAATTCAGTGCCTTACGGTCAGGTATAGACGGGATCAGGCGTTTTCAAGGACGCCACGCTTAGACAAACACTGCACATGTCCATCGGAGCCGAGAGAATTCGTATCCAGATCTCCAACACGTTTGGTGGAAGTGTGTTGCCTATCACAGCCGCATCCCTAGCTTTTCCCACAGGTGGAGAGGCAGGCGTCAATGGCATCGACACCACGACTCTCAGGCCGCTCACCTTCAATGGCTCGAGCTCGGTGAACATCCCTCGAGGTCAGGTAGTTTATACGGACCCCATCGACGTGAAGATAGCACCGCAGTCAATGATCACAGTGACCCTCTACTCTCAAGCCGGCCAGTCAGGCACAAGTATCACAGGCCATCCCGGCAGCCGTACAACGTCATGGATGCAACAAGGGAACCACGTCAACGCCTCCACCGTGACCGGCGCAAGCACAGCGCACTGGTACTTCCTCACGGCCGTCGAGGCCTGGGCTCCCAAGTCAACCGTAGCCTTGGTGATCCTCGGCGATAGCATCACAGATGGACGTGGTAGCATAGACAACAAGAATAACCGGTTAGTGAAGATAGCCACAACACGTTCCCTTATGATTTCAGTGAAACCCCAACTAACCTAGTCCACAGATGGCCCGATCTCCTTCTCGCGCGGATGCAGAAAGAGAATATCACTCACATCGCCGTAGTGAACCAAGCAGCAGGCGGCAACACAGTGCTAACAGGTGGTCTCGGACCACCGCTGCTCCAACGCTACAAGCGCGACCTACTCTCAACAGCAGGCGTTAAATACGGGCTAATCTTCGAGGGGGTAAACGACATCGGCGGCGCGTCCGCAGACTCAGGCACACAGTCGCGGATTAGTAGCGGTCTACAGTCCGCCTTCAAGACGATATCGACAGAGGCCAAGACGGCAGGGATAACGATGTTCGGGGCGACGATCACGCCGTTCGGGGGCAGCGGGCAGGCATACAGCAACCCGACGCGCGACGCGGCGCGACAGACGGTGAATAAATGGATCTTGGCCGGCGGCGACGGGAGTTATGCCGCCTCGATCGATTTCGCTAAATTCCTCGCGAACCCGTCGACGCCGGCAAATCTCGCCTCGGCATATGATGGGGGTGATCACTTACATCCTAATGTGGCGGGTTATCAGGCTATTGCGGATCAGTTTCCTCTCGCTATTTTTACACAGTTTTGAGAATGTGAGGAAGAGTGTAATGATCATGTTCGGCATAAGTAAGCATGAGGCCGAACACAAAACGTGCTACATTAGTAGTATATAAATCCTAAAGTGGTGCTCCAAACCTACAGCAGCTCCGCCGCATAACCCTACTTTTACAATATACTGTCATAATAAGGTATTTTTGAATCCTTGAAGTGCATTGCAACCCACACAACTAGTACCCATCCTGTAAACTCTTTGAAGGAGAATCTTCCCTTCTTCAAGATTTAGTCTCATGATACATACCTATTCTGAGGTTGAAGAGACATTTGATATTGTATCTGACCTTTGAGATTTAACCTACCGGCGAGAGACACCTAGGTAGCTACTTTCAAAGTCTTTTCAATGCATACTGAGAATATAGTTTTTCACCTATCTCCTTATTCCATATAGTAATTGACACAGATGGAGAAGAGGACCCCACGTAATATGGAGAGAAGATTCTTAATTTTAAAACCAGGAGTTAAAGAAAGAAAAAAATTATAAAAGATATAACCCAATTCACGATGTTATAAAGAATATAACGCCCCAGGCGGGGGTCGAACCCGCAGCCTTGGGATGTATATGTGGCATATTTCCGGGTTTGACCCCCGAAATGCCTATAAAAGTCCCACGCTCTAACCAATTGAGCTACCAGGGCAAGACGTGTCGTGCAAGGGTCTTTTTACCTTCTATAGCTATCAAAGCTTCTAGTAAGGTAGACATTAATCATTTCTCTCCTCTCTTTACTATAACTTGTCAGTGTTGTCGGTGAAATACTGGAAACGCATTGTTAACTGTATGGTGACGATGTAAAGGATGACTTGGCAGGTCATAGGCTTCGTCAACCAGCCACTAGCAAAGCGTTTCCCTGCTGCGCTCAGGGGTTATTGTCATTATATGATAAATTACCTCTTCCAAGATCGTCTATTATATTAAGCAGGTCCTTATCAACATGCGCCTGCCATAATTGCTATCTATCTATTCACACGCTAGACGATGAATTGGTATGCTATACAGGTCTTCGATTGTGGCCCCAAAAACATCAGAAACGATTCATTGCGTTTAACCCTGTTTATAAATATTTGAATCCCTTTCCATTTCGACCTAGCCCCCTGAACTCTATACCACTTAATAGAGGAAGATTTGTTGACTGATTGCTCTATTTCGAAGCTCCATTGTTCACTGCTTCATCTCTTTCAGATCAATTCCAACTTTCGACAACAGCCGCTGCGGGCCATCTTCGGTTAACGTCTCCGATCTGATATCGAATGCATGTGCTTCAGCTGCTCATTGGCTTCTGGTACTTGTCCTTGTTTGAGGCAGGATCGTACTAGGCTATGTAGAGAAAATATCAAAACCTGGTGATTCTGAGGTTGTATTCTTGTTGGTCTTGAAACTGCTTGTTTGAAGAATTCAATTGCTTCTTAGTACTGCTCGTTATTGAAGTATAACGTTACTAGTATGTGTAGAATCTAATTTATTTCAGTGGAAATGCGGGAGTGTTGTTGTTCATACTGAAATTATATATTGTAGTTGCTCAACTGCTCCTGATGATTGTGTATTCATGAAGTAGTTGAATACCAATTCAAATTGGTAACCTACTGCACTAATATGATCATTGAGGTGAGTTTTCACGCTTACTGAAACTATCTGTTCAGTAGATAAATCAAGCCGAGCAGCTGTTTGCTGCTATTATGTATTCTTGCAAGAGTATATGGACATGATAAGAGGCTAGGTCCTGGGATGATCTTCGGGCTAATTCCTTGGTACCTATGTCTGTACACCTATTCTAGGGCTACCATTGTTAACTTAATACAAAAAGGAAGGACTTGAAAAAGCATTATCATTAATATTATCATCAAGGTCTAATTACCATACAACTATCAAATAACTAGGCAATAATTAGGGCATATAAAGTCATAGCTAACGTATAATCATAGATGAACTAACATATAACCAAGAGTCTTGATAGAGAATGAAAGGTATTATGCTAACATTGGAGACTCTTGGGGGTACGCATGCAGGCACACCAACAAGAAAGAAGCCTACCCCCTACCAGTACCTACTTCATGCTTACACATATGTACCCTTTCCCTACCTACGCCCTTACATTTCATTCGGAATGCGGATGCTTGGTAGGATCCCCTCCCTCGCCATTCGCTGGCTCTATTCTAGCCATTGCCCTTCTCTCAGCCGATACCCTTCATTACTTCCAGTTCAACGGCGTTGGTCGTCTGCACATTCAAAGGCGACACCATTAAACGCGCCTCTAGATGCGCAACATGAATTCTTTCGCTACACATCGGGCAGGTGGTTGTGGGATGAGGAATTATGACTCCGTGAGCGTTATTGTGTGTTTGATGTTCATGAGCTCCAGGTTATAGCGGCCAAGAGCGTCTGCGCAGAGTAGTGTGTCGATATGGTTAAGCTAGCCGAGGGTGGTTTTAACAAGGTATTTCGCCTTGTAATGGATAACGGCTCGGCCGTGATTGCTCGCATCCCAATGCCGAATACCGGCTCTTCACGGTGGTCAACTGCTTCCGAAGTGGTCACCATGAACTTTGTAAGAGCTTCCCTCTCAACTTACCTACGGTTGCGTGTTTATTTTTCATTGCGTGAAACTGATGGATGGAATGAGAACGCTGACTTCTGGGACCGGATCTCATCTCTGGTACAAAGGGAAGGCTGGACCTCACACGAGACTTATGGTGACGCGGTTGAGCTCTTCTCCCAGCTCCGACAGGAAGGGCTTCGCCTGCTTGAGGGAGAAGAGTGAGTCAAGTTTGACCGAGATACGCAATGGGCAGATAAGGCAGCGAGGCAAGACTAGTGACTAGTTGCAAACATTTCATTTGCGCTACGAAACCATCTGTTGTAGCTTTGACCAGTTGCAAATAGTAACATAAAGGCACATCATACCAATAACTACTGTTGATCACGCCGTCTAGGATCCTGAGATCCGTTAGCAATACCTAGAGATCGTGGACGGCCCGAGCTCACCGAGAGATAGGACCCGGACAGGTGAAGCCGAGGTCGCACCCGGTGCCGAAAGCGGTACAGCGCTCATTAATTATCGAAGTTGGGTTATTCTAGCTTCTTCTAAATACTCAGCGCCCACTGAATCAGCGTCGAACGTTTCCAACCTTGCCGATGAGGTGGGTGTGAGCTAATGTTCTGGTCAGTATATAAGTTCCCCTATGTGGCTCAAAGATGTCATCTCTGGCACTTGTTTTTTCACGATATGAAATCCTTCGTTGCCACCTAGGGGAATGTTTGTGCAAGGATTCCGGGTGCACCTCTACCGTAAAGTGCAGGTGTCTAGGTTAGATTAGACGAGATTTTCTTTCTTGGTGCAACGCATTATAATACCGGTACAAATAGATGGCCGAAGGGATATCATGCGGGCAGCTAACAGACGAAACCCCAATGCCTTCAATTTCAAGCCATGTCAAAAGGCCATTATCTCTCTCACCATGGTTGTGTGTTTCATGAAGGGCCGAGGTGACTCCTCATAATTTCCGACGCTGTGTCCTGCCGTGGCCTCTGTGCGACCTTAGCTTGGGTTTGTCTGGAGCAAACGAGTTCATCAGAGGAATTCGTGGCACCCAAAGCAATGACAGCAATATGAGCCAAACCGTTATTGGTATCACCTCATACCATTATCTCGTGATAGAGAGGTAGAAATCCCGGTATGTTGGTCGGTGACGGTCGCGTGGGTAATGAGTCGTTTCACATTCACTGTCTTGGGTGTGACGCTTGAGAGACTTTCACTATCATATATGCTGAGTGTATAAAGGAGGCCATTTCTAGAAAGCCACATCTTTCTGAACTTCATCTCTTACCTCTCGCCAAAATCCGTTGTTGAGTTCCTCGTTCCCCGACGCTCGTTATCCTCACTGCCACTCATTATCAGAATGATCTCTACCAATATTCTCGCCATCGTCGGCCTGATCGCATCTTCGGTCCTGGCGAGCACACCTCAAGGTTATGGCTATGGAGGTATGACCGACTCCATCATTGGCTCCTCGACGGATTCCCCTGACAGCATGCCATCCTCCATCATGCCCATCACGATCACGGACTCGATCACTGTCACCAAGCCTGTGACAATCACTCACACCGTTACTGTCTCGCAGCCAGACTGCGGTAGTGACTACACGACCATCTACAGCACAACCCGTACCACTCGAACTACTGACAACACTATATACATCTCAATTCATCAAACGCCCAAGACCGCGACCCAGACACCCACCAGTGTCTCAGGAATGGGTTCTACCTTCATCACTGGTAGCATCTCAACTCCATCGACCACCGGGTTCATCATGAGCAACACCACGACGCCTTGCGAATCCGACACTTGTAAGTTACTACTCTCTACTTCGCATAAACCCCTGACTCGAGAGACTAACCCTCCTTCAGCCACCAGTGATGTTGATGGTATCACTGGCAGCCCAACAACTAGCTCCATGAGCACCCTTACTCTCGCTATCCCTCCTAGCCAGGAGACGACAAGCGAGGTGATTTCAGGAGCCGCCCACAGCACGACCGGTATCTTGGTGACGCGCACCTCGACCTCGACAATTCCCTTCTCTACTATTCCTACATCGATGGGTATTCATAGCGTGGCCGATACTCAACTCCTCGCAGGCGCTATGGGCTTGGTGTTCTTGGTGTTCGCTCTGGCTCTCTAATACCCAAACATTTCTGAATAGAGTGACACTATGGCGTGGTGTATTGTAGATCGTGCCTGGGTTATAATGTCTACGTAGATCTTTTCCCTTCTCTCCTATTAATACCATATGCCATATGCACGACCGCGATCAATGAAATATGGGAGTTTTTAATTGCTTTATTCCCATTCCATAACATGTGTGCTGTGATAGTTGAACGCTCCTTGTCATGATGAATCCATCCAGTCGAGCACCGCTGTACGAAACTAACCTTGGTTCTTAAATGTAATCAGTTCCTTTTTCGAGACCCGCGCATGATACGGGTACGATGACCCATAAAGGGTTGAACTTATCGCTGCGATTTAATCAGATGAACTCACTGAGCATGCCACCATTTTAAAAGACTTTGCATCAACGGTTATGTAAAAGGCTTCGCATTGTATTTAATGATCAGTGGCGTTAAACTCGCAAATCCTTCGCAATTAATGATGATAACGAAAATAAGTTAATGTATGACTCAGTAAAATACAACCCCTATTATATGACCACGCATGATCTACGAGCCACCCGAAAAGAACACCCAATATGATTCAATCATCTAGCTAGATATCGCCCTTAACTTTCGCGTTTGAACCCTGTACAACGCTTCCCGGAGGGCATTCTCTTCTTCTCTTCTTCCGAATCGTCTTCCACAGCCTTGCGCTTCTTTGGTGATGGTGGTGGTGATTCATAAGGTATGTCTTCCACTTCGGTAGTTTCTATAATGCTCTCGGGCGGGATATGGCTCTCTAGCAGGTACTCTCTCTGCATATAGTGACATGTCCGATAATGCAAATTATGGAGATCATATCCCAGCTTAGGGACATGAAAAAGCCTTCCTACCTCTTGCTCCCATTCTGGCCCGTTGCTGCGAAACTTATGGACTCGGATTCCGGTCATGCCTTTACTTTGATAAATGCGAATTATTTGCCTTACCTTTTCTAGGCTGTCCGTCGTTGACATAAAGGGGCTTGGGTCCCGGCAACGCCATTCCATATGGTTGGCTACCAGCAGCTGGAAGTGTAATGGGGTAACGTGCACCAGGCCGTAACCCCGTGCTTTGATCCCGTAATGTGGCTGCGCATCATGCACCACCCGGTAGAGAATTTTTGGTCGCTGGCAGCCGATACAAGTACGAACTGGTACAGATAGTTCGATGATGGGTAAACCATTAACGAAACCTCCGTGATAGTTTTGCTCCTCATACTTGGAGAGACCTTTATAACATTTGCTCAATTGCTCGTGTCCTTCTTTCTTCCACCAGATTTTGAATCTGAAGTGCGGTTGGACTTTGCTTTTCACAGCGAACACCGTACATTCAGGACGCTCATCATATCTCACCCATTCTGGCTCAAATAGAGGCACGCGAAACAATTCAACGGGCACCTTGTCCATTGTCAATGTATGACGATCTTTCGTAACGTAAAAAGATAATGTTGGATGAGAATTATAAAGTGAATAGATGGCGGCGGGTTTTATAGATCTTGAGCATCACCCTGACCAAATAGAGGCACGTGAAAGATTTCAAGCAGTACTTCGCCTCTTTTTGAATGTATAATAATATGTCGTTAATGCACTCGGTGATTTTTTGTCGACAATGTAACGAATTAAGAATTCAGGTATTGTGTGTAGAGTAAAAGATGTTGGCGCCTTGATATTCTTATAGTAGCAAGGAGTGATTATTAGATGCAACTTGGGGAACGAAAATGATATTATTGTAAAATGTATGTAGGGCAAGCCTAGATGTAAATGTTATTATGCTTTAAGTAGGGATGGTGCGTAGCGGAACCGGCTAGCAAGGGAAGATGAAAGTTGGTTGAAGCCAGAGTTTGGTATGGTGGGGGAAAGAAGACAACGACGATCTTTCGAACATCTATTAAACCAAGATGCCCAGGATCGCAACTGCCCAATTTATTAGACTAGGTTCTGAATGTGATTTCAAGGGGAAAGAAGGAAAGTAATGGAGTATTAGAGATACAGGAAGGAGCAATATGAGTTATCCTTCTCTCATGCAACTCAACTCTATATGATGGATAGACGCCGAACATGTTGTCTTATAATTCTTAAGTGGGCTCTCAAACTGGTTCTTCCATGTTAAATAAGGGTCCCTGATTGTTGGCCCTTTCGCGCCTTCTCAAACTTATGCACTTTCCCATTTTCATACCTTCTTATTGTAGAACTGGGCGAAACAAGACGAACCGGGAATTAAGCTGGTTTGAAGGTGCTGCCGGCGTTTCTGAAAATATAGATTAAGGAGTCACGCATCATTCGAGGTAGGTTTGGGTATCGTCTGGTTAGGAAGGCTCATTGTTGTAAGTCGCTCGTATTCATGTGTAGGGGCAGAACTCCTATATGGCTATAAGCAAGTCTCGAGCGTGGGCTCAGTGCGGATACGCTTTTCCATTGCGTTCCAAACGAGAGTTGTAGGAATGCACTTGCCAGGTTTGGAAAGTGCAAAGGCATATTGTCAGCTATGGGTTGGTCAAGGCGAATGTCTCTCTATGTGAAGCGCAAGGATTGTAGAAGAAGTGATGAATCTGAGTTCTTCATCGCATAACAGGTCAACAATGTGGAATTCGTGACTTCCTAATCTGTTCCATAAGTCTCGGGTATAGGTTTGAGCTAACTCTGCGCTGTGACTTGTCGTAGTTGCCGTCTTCAACTCCTATGCATAAGGATAGCAGGAGAAGGTCTATCACGTCTTGCAGTCTGGACGACGTCCAAATCTTCATAGTACATAACGTGGATGATGCTGCAACCCTGTTCCGTGATAAATAAGAAAAGAAAGGAATCAACGAATCACGGGCACTCTAAAGCGAGCCCATCAGAGAATGGAATACTAATTCGTCTCGCATGATGCGTGACAATGACCAGTTTATATCACGTACTTTCCAACTCCGTACTGCATTTACAATTTTCGCGCCGGGAAGGAAGTTATGGAAAACTGTACCTACCTTCTCTAAAGGTTGTCACGGCACCTTTCTGTCTAGACATACCTGCACTTTGTCATTGAGTTGTACTTAAGGCTCTTCTTGGGAAGGTGCGCGGAAGGTGGAAGCAACTCGGCTAATTATCTCAAGAACGTAGTTTGAGAGATTGGTGCGCTCGATAGAAAACGAACTCGGAAGGGAATCATGTTTCTTACGGTAACGGGAACTATCGGGGATGTAACATAATTGAAAAAGTTACAAATAGCATAGATAAGTACTCATTCCAATGTAGCTGTTCATGACAACTCTTATTAACTGCATCTTTGCGACGGAGCTATCTCCATAAGCTACAAAGCCTCGCGGGTTATATGTCAGAGTGAAAATCATTTCATATTTCAAGATCTCGAAATCATTGCACATGCAGTCATTCCACAGTCTAATTCCGTAGTTGTCGCTAAAGTCTATGGCTAGACCCCATGGCCGTCAACCTAGCAATACAGTCCACCAAGGAACCCACTACACATGAACCCCAGGGACAAAGTCCACAACCAGTGCATCCGCAATGAAGGGCTTAACATACTGCACCCACTCAATGTGCGCCGGGTCGCCTTCGAGGTAGTAAATCCTGTCCTCCTCGTTGTCAAATTCACAGATATATCCATGTGTGAAGCCGCGCTGTAATTATCATTAGCCTCCGTCTAGGAGGTGTAATCTAAGAAGTTGGAATACTCACAGCTCGGCCCTCAGGGCTATTATTGATCCCGCCCATCCTGTTCCTCACGTACGGCTTCTTGGTCTGCGGGTGCAGGAGCTTGGCTTCTAGCGTGACCATGCCCTCGGATGCCTGAATGCGATGCTTATTAGCGTCATGTGCCTTTGGTATCTGTCATAAGCAGCTTGATGACAAGAGCTGTCTTACCTGCTGGACTACCTCCTTCGAGAGTTCATCCTTGAACTTGAAGAGCACAATGTGGAAGATAGTCATTTTGATCGAAGGTGCTAGATTTTGTGGTTTGATGCTTGATTCGCTAATGCTGTCTGGATATTATCTTCCTATCATGAGGAGATGCAAGCGCAACCGACTCGATTTTATCTAGATGCTTTGTGCGTATCGTGTATCATGAGCAACATCCATCGTGCACTATTTCTTTCAACATGAACCTGCCGCGTCACATCGCTTCTCGGGGCGAATTGCGCTATGCGCTGGCCGATATTACATCCTGTGTGCTGTTGTGTTGCCGTGCAACTAGCCTCTTCCGCGGGTTTCGCCGAGCCGAGTTAGGGAAGGGGTAAGGGGGCCCGGGGAAAAGAGAGAGAGAGAGGGCAGAAACAATGTGGGGGAGCTGAAATGCTGTCAGGCATAGCTGACATTTACCGACCGAGATTAGGTGAGACATACTTACGCTATTGATTGTAACTCGTTTTTCGAGTGAAACAATAAGTACTGTAAGCGTGTTCAGTCGGACCCGAGGGCCGATGTTACCGTACTCCGCCGTTACTCAACTCACCTGTCCTTCATAACGAATTACTATCACCTGTAGTTAAATGATATTATGTGTGACTCCCGTGGAGAAATCGAGAACTTAGCGTTGCTCTATATTAAGAACTTCCATCGTGTTACCTACTCATGCGCTACATCACCTAAGCGAAGGTTGTAGGACAATGACGGTGGCAATGGGAGGAGGGCAAGGCAATCGGACGGACTAGAACAAGCTTGGCGGATCGCGATGTAGCAACCACGAATAATGAAGTGTTCACACATTAGACTGAGAGAACTAGCCGCCCCGTAGAATCCCTTGGGAGGTCAAAGATGCTGCGATATCGTCCCTACGGCGTTAAACTTCAATCAGTCAATCAATCTAGCTGTGCGCGTTTTCCCGCCAAGCTTGGTCCATGTACACCTCCTCTAAGGTTTCCAATGTTAGTTTAATACCTCTTATTCTCTACCAAGACTTAAATCTTGGTTATTTGTTAGTTAGTCTATGATTATACGTTAGCCATGACTTGATTATGCCCCGATTGTCGCCTAGTTATTTACTGGTCATATAGTGATTAGAACTTGATGATCAGCATGATTATGTAGCGATGCATCACACAATGTATATGAGGTTCAAACAACTTTCAAATTTCTCTACTACACAGCGTAACAGCTTATGTAACATAGACTACCACCCTCGCCAAGCGATGCGCATCGCACAATCTCACTGAAGAGCCTTACCACTCTCGCCCATAGTATCAATGAGTCGCTGCCTGATGTGTTCGCCAACAATCGTCTCGACGCCAGAGCCATCAAGCGCAGTGCACTTAAGCTTCAACTGCCCATTCAAGAAGAACGGGACGCTATAGCGATGTTCCTTGCCACCGTTGACAACCCTATGTCGGGCGCTACGATAGTAGCCCCCAGTGTACTTCTGCACCATATCGCCAATATTAATTACGTACGAGCCCTCCTTGACAGGCACCGGGATCCAGGTCTCTGTGGGAGGGTACCAGACCTGCAGACCCTCTCTGTTCGGCTCCTGGAGCAGAACGGTGATACAGCCAAAGTCAGTGTGGTCGCCAACTGTGCAGAGACAACAGTTAATCAAAGGCGTCGCGCTATACCGTTGAATATGGATACAATGTCTTACCTCCGAAACAAGTGTTGTTATGCGTAGGATTCGGCGCGTAGTGAAGCAGCCGCATCGGCATCGACGGATTGACAGCGAGCGCGTCAAGGACGTCGGGCGGGCACCCCCACTCCTCGGGCAAGCCCAGCGCCAGGATCTTCAGGAGGATCTTGACGAGGTCGAGCATCTTGGCCTGGTACTCCATGATGGGGATCTGGAAGTCTTCAGGTTTCAGGGACTTGGGCCATAGGTTTGGTCCCGTGGAGAATGTCCCGGCCTCGGGGTCATCCTCTGGGACCTCGGCGCCGATGATGAAGGCCTAGACTCTCGCGGAAGACATTAGTCAATTGAAACATTGCTGCTATTTCTTTGATGTCTCGTGGATGCTGGGGGGCTATGGATGTTACGTTATACATAAAGAAGAAGAGGGTTTCACCTCTTTGGTGTCGGGCAGCAAGCCCTTTTGATGAGTCTGGATTCCCGGCGGCTCATAGCCACGGTGGGATTTCCCAAGCGACTTCTTGAGCCAGACGTCCATCTTCTCCTCCTCGGAGAGCGTAAAGAATAGCTTTGCACAGTCGAGTGCCCTATTCTGCTCTTCGAGGGTGACGCCATGACCAACGAGGTAGAAGAAGCCATAGACTGTTGCTGCGTGTCTCATAGCCTTAACAACGTCAAGAAGCTCCTTGGCTGGGGCATTGTTAACGAAGGGACTGATGTCAACAGTTGGGATCGCGTGAGTTTGGGCAGCCATTATCGCAAGGGCGCTTAGGAAATAGAGTAGATGGAGGTTTGTAATGGTAGATCTTGGTAACGCCGTCGGCGATGTTAGTGGTTCACAGACGGAGAAGAGAGTTTAAACCTCGATTTAGTCGGAGATGAAGCTCTATTATGAGTGCTTGCAGAAATCTTACTACGCCTTACAAACTCTATTACATGATCATCTATGACTAGATCGGACATCGGATCACGCCGTGAGCCATGAGTGGCACGAGTCGGAAGGAGCGTATGAAAGACATGAGAACTGCTCAATCTTAGGTAGAGATGAGTTCACAAGGCCGAGTGAATGGGTTGATCATCAGTCTCTTGGAACAAAGAGTGAGTTTCAGCCCTCGATGAGATACTCCGCTCCGGCACTCATGGCAGTGGCTTGGACGGCATAGGTGTGCTCCATGCCGAACGAGAAGCCGAGCGAGAGGTGAGCCGTGGAATATTTTTGTGAAAGTGTTTCAATAAGCTTTCTCGGAGAAATTCGGAAAATCACACCCGAAACCTCATCCCAGCGCCGGAATCACATTACGTGAAATCTAAACGACGCGGCCCCCCATAGAATGAAGGATTCCGTTGAACATGCCTATTAGAATATCCGAGCGTCTCACCCCACAGAGCATGTTCATCCATAACAACTCACGTAGTGAATGCGTGAAGTACCTATCTCAATAGTATCGAAGCCGCGAGACAGATAGATCCCTAGTCAACCATAAAGACGTCTTACTACGCGACCTTCCAGTTGATCCTACGCTCATTAACAGTTCACCAATTCATCCAACATCGCCATCCTCAAACCCCCCCACCACAGAAAACCCCATCAAAAAACATCTAGAAACAATCCATCTTAATTCAAAATGCCCGGCCAAAACGACTTCCTAGTGCACCTCCCCGATAAGCCCGACATGCTCGCAATGCGCATGTCTCAGATCGGCGCACACCTATCGCACAACAAGCCGCTCCTAGAAGCCGGCTCCCTGATCCTCTCAGGGCCCACGCTGACGGGCCATCCGGCGGATCCGACACAAGGGCTCCCCATCACGGGGAGCGTGCTGATTTTCCGGACGGGCACGGCGGAGGAGGTATGGGAGATGCTGGCGGCGGACCCGCTGGCCAAGACCGGGGTGTGGGACATGGAGAAGGCGACCGTGACGCCGTACAGGTGCGGGCTTTGGAAGCCATACTAGGCCTTTCTAGGATACCATGTCGGGCCCAGGAGATAGATACTATGCATCTTACGCGTGTACACGGGAGTAGGCATCGTATGTCGTGTAGGTATACTGATCTGATGCTTGTGGGGAAGGGAAGCATGGAACTTATGCCTGTCTACGTACATTACTTAGTACTTACTGAGGTGGACGAGAATAGTATCGTGGTCAGTCCCTCATGCTTAGGCACGATGCTTATTATAGTAAATACCTCTGTCTATCAAATAACAGTCTTACAGTCGAACAGAACATGCGGACTGACTCATCGAGGAATGGCGTCATAAGGTCATGCCTATACTTACGAAGTATGCCTACCTACCTCAAGGTCTTCCGTGTTAGCTCAATACAAAGGCAAGAATGTTATTCTCAGTGTTCTAACTACCTGGTAAGGTTAATGACTATCTATCTAAGCACTGAATGACTAGGCGACAGTAAGGGCATGATCAAGTTATAGTCATGATATAATCATGGCGTGACTACCACATAAGTATGGACTGAGTTGGTACGAATAGAAAATGAATGGCCGAAAATTGAATCTGTACCTAAGTAAGTAAGTGTGATATTCAAACGAGCCAATCATGAGCGACTCAATAGCCGGATTGGGCTGGAGGCCAATTAGCGCGCTTTCGTACCGGGTACCAGGTACCTATCTGACCTCTCTAAGTACAGCACTCAGCACCTAGCCAAGCACACTACACAAGTCCCTGTAACAATGTTACAAGGGTGTAGTACAGCACAGATACAGCAGGTGGAGGTAGAAACAACGTGAGGGAGGGTCTACAGGGTACAAACCCTGTACGATACTTCGATACTTCCTATATATTTATTAAGTAATTAATACCTACCTAGGTATGTAGAGTAGGTTAGCTGCCACTTGATTAATTGTCTGGATTGCAGAATCGTCGATCACGATCTCGTACATAGGATTCTAGATGGTATCTCAAATCATTCAAATGCATCAGTCCTTTTTGCAAAACAGAAGAGAGGGGAGAAGCGAGCTTGCATGAGCTGATTGCTCAATCGAATGGCAAGTCGGGATTCTCCTCTTTGGCTCAGCTCACCCACACCCTCACCCACCCCTGGCTCGACCGAGATCGTCGTGGTGTGGGATGGCTAAACCCGAGCCGAGCCGAGGCGAGAACAAGAATGAGCTCAGCCCATCCATCTCCGAGCCTACCTACTGTACATTACATACTCACCCACCACCGCCGTCTTTCACATGCTCAGTATCTCCTTCGGCCGAGGACTTACAGTATAGTAGACAAGTAAAAGATAGCTCCGAGCTCAGCTCATACGATTGACGCGATTCCTCGAATGAGACCTGTCTGGTGCCTGTTTGATTATATGGATGCGCATGTTTCGGGTCTATGATTGCATACGTATACGTTCAGGACATAATCATCCTACCTGTGCGACGAAATTGTGCAAATTCGACTACTGTAGCCCCCAAGTATAGAGCAGACTGTTTCTAGATTCAAACCCGTGCTGTAAGTAAATGTGCTTTTCGACATCATCTTAGACACACCAAAGTGGATAAACATGACAATTCCGCAATTCACGATACTAAACCATCTACAAGGATGAATATCCAATATACTATACCTAGGTACTCCACTGGTCGCTTAGATAATTCAAAGCTAGGTAGGCACTTTTCCCAACTTCGCTCGCCCCTCCCATCTCGACTTCAAAGCTTGGGGTGTGGTTCTAACCAGGGAGGTACCGTAGGTAGGTAGACAAGGGCCAGAACATGGGTAAAGTCAGCATTGCAGCTCTACTAACAGAACATAGCCAATGAACACCTCGACCAGACTCGATTACCAGGAACCATTCCCTTATGCACGGAGAATCCTGCCGGACGCCGGAGAATCTCAGAGACCACACTAACTACATAAGTAATAACTAAGTAGGTAGAGAACGATGTTACATGTAAGTAAGCCATGACGATAGTGTGCATTGTGGATTTCAGTCGGTACTGGTGCCGAACCAACGGCGCCGGGTAGGTGTCTGTGTCCTTGCCCTAGTATTCTCGATCCATGCTCTCTCTGCATCATGGTGCAGGTCGAAGAGTTGTGCTTACCTGCCTACTTCTCCTTCCTTTCGTCCTGAGCCTTCACCAGGGCATACATCCCCGATCCGCGGCTTTCTGCCGAAATGGCCGGAGATACAGTCGGCGGTAGGCAGCTATACATCAAATATGGCTATCTACTAGGTACCGGTAGGTGGGTATCTGATGTAGGTAGAGTAGAGTATTCCATTTCCTGCTTCATCCGTGAACTACCTAGTCTAGTATAGACAAGGTTAGTTAAATGCGGGGAGAACGCACGGTCAGTTATGCGTACCTTAAGTGTAGTAGTTAGTTGCTTAGCTTGTCAGATTCTAGAGCCGTACCTAGTAAAATCAACTATCACGGAACCTACCCTGATGATCTACCTATCAAAGTGCCGTGCTTTGTTCTCGTCGTGCTACTAAGGCAGGCAGGCAGGCAAACGTGGAATGGCCAAGCGCCACAGTAATTCCGAACCGGTCCCCTAAACTACGCGCCAACACTGTGCCACAGCACGCTGAATTACTGCGAAGAAGGCTCGGGTTATATGGCCTGTAGGGATGGATACCTACCTTAACGCCGAGCTGGCCAGCTAGCTAATCTGTATTATGTGTTTGTCCTAATTTCACATCAATGACACACATTCGATACTTGTCGCACGGCGATGGGCAGGCAGGTATTATTGTCTGGGCGTTGTTAACGACTGCCGGTTTCTTATCAGTTATTTTTTCTTCCCTTTTCAATAAGAAAAAAAAAAAAAAACGTTTTTCCCCGGCTGATGTATAACATCCATCCCCAGACCTCTCTTCTCGGTTAACTGTCTACGCATCTGTGGCATTCCTCTCCATTGCTTGCCCAACCTACATCATCACATAATATCTTCGCCTTCAAGGAAAGGCTTTTGGAATCTTTCTCGAGGACACATCACATACACACAAAAACACAAGCTGCCTAATCGAGAGTCAGCTCATCTTACACATACACCCAAAAACTACATACCTACCTAATCAAAAATGTCCGGCGCCGGCTCCTCAGATTCCTCGGTGCGGGAGAAGCCCATAGATGACCGCAAAACCGAGAACTTGATGGTCGACTCAGAAAAAGGCGAGATAACCGAACCCGCGCCCACACCTCCCGCGGCGCCAGCAGGCTTCAACCCAGCCGACTTCCCCGATGGCGGCTTCGAGGCCTGGCTCGTCGTGTTCGGCGGCTTCCTCGCGCTGTTCTGCTCCTTCGGGCTGGTGAACTGCATCGGCGTCTTCCAGCAGTACTACGTCGAGGGCCCGTTGTCTAATTACTCCGAGTCGGAAATCAGCTGGATTCCTTCTCTTCATGTTTTCGTCGTGACGGGTTCAAATGCTATCGTAAGTATTTTTTTTTTTTTAAAAAAAAAAACAAAAAAAACAAATACGGGCTCCTTTGGATAGATTCCCCTTTATTATTTCAGCCGAATTACAATTCTAACAAAAGCATGTATGTAGATGGGCCGTCTGTTCGACAGCTACGGACCCCGCTGGATCCTCATCATCGGCACTATCGTCTACTCGTTCGGGCTCATGGTGACCTCGCTGTCCACGCAATACTACCAATTCATTCTTTCCCAGGGCATCGTCCTCGCCCTCGGCGCGGCCGCCGTCTTCAACTGCGCGACGAACTCGGTCATCACCTGGTTCTTCAAGAAGCGCGCAACGGCGCTCGGCATCATGGTCTCGGGTTCTTCGCTCGGCGGTGTGGTCTTGCCTATCATGATGGATCGGCTGATCCCGCAGATCGGATTCCCTTGGACTGTGCGCACTATCGGATTCATGTTCTTGTTCCTCTGCGGCATCAGTAGTCTTACCATCAAGTCGAGGCTCCCACCACGCCCCAAGCCGTTGCGAGTCTCGGATTACCTGTCGCCTTTCAAGGAGCTCAAGTTCACGATTGTCGTTATAGCCTCGTTCTTCCTATTCTGGGGTCTCTTCCTCCCATTTACCTACCTCATCCTACAAGCCCAGGATGCGGGTGTCGATCCTAAGCTCGTGCCGTACATTCTACCTATCCTGAATGCGCTCAGTATCCCCGGTCGTATCTTACCAGGTTTCTTCGGTGATCGCTTGGGACGCTACAACACCATGATCTTCATCTCCGCCCTATCCGGCATCATCACCCTGGCCCTGTGGATTCCGGGCAGCAGTTCCACCGCAGCAGTCCTCGTGTACGGCGGCATCTTCGGTTTCTCTTCGGGCGGTATCATCTCACTGCTCCCCGCGTGTATGGCGCAGATCAGCGACATCAGGGAGATCGGAACGCGCAATGGCGTGAACCTCTTCTTCGCCGCTGTCGGTGCACTGACGGGTTCTCCCATCGGTGGTGCCATTAGTGGCGGGAAACACTACCTCGGACTCCAGATTTTCACGGGTATCACGATGCTTGCTGGGTCGGTACTGTACGTTGTTGCTCGGACGGTGCTGGTCGGGCCGAAGCCTGCCAGAGTCTGATCATACACACTATCTGTGAAGCTTTAGGATGACTTGCCCTGTCCAACTCATGACAGTGTAGTAGTACAGATGAATCATGACCAGAGAAATGGCCGGCGCGGTGGTTAAAAAGCCGTAGCTTACTGGTCTCCATATGAAGAACCTTTCCGAGAATAACTATTCGATTTAGCTCACTCGCTCACAACATACTACTGTGTATGTAGTATGTACAGAGTGGCCGGAGAGTAAGCATGATAGAGGGGTCGGTGAGGGGAAAAGACCAAGGGGGGGACGGGGGGGAGGGGGTTTGGCTAAAAAAAGATACTATACCAATGTCACGTCATTAATTCCCAAGTACCTACCTACAGTACAATGAGACTGTCAAATGAAACAAAAAAAGCAAGCTAGTCTACTGTCAAGCATTCCGAAACATGATGTTCGCCTTATTTCTGACATGCATACCAATCACCCAACCTTGTTTCCACTTCCTTACCTACACTTACACTAGATACGGTATACGGTAGTAGACTCCTAGCACGTAAGCTGACGGAAACGAGCAAAATAAATAACAAAAAACATGATGATGGTGATGGTGATGATGACGACAGTGATTACGGCTTTTCGTCTCTCGACCAAACGGGTCGCAGTGCTGGGGTGATACCTATCAGCTTTTGTCTAAGAAACTGGAATTTTCGAATGTGAATGAATCAACGTCCTGCATCCCGAAGCATGGGGGCTCAAGAACCTTGAGGAGGCAGACGGTCTTTGTCCAAGATGGTTGTAGCGGTACTCGCCTACCAGGCCCCCTCTCCCCCTCCCCCTCTCAAATCCCAGCTCCAGCGCCGGCATCGGCAATCGCAGCCGCAGGAAGATTAGGACAGGACAATGGGAATGCGTTCCGAGCGCCTAGGGCGCTGTCAAAACTTCAGGGATTCATTAAGGTTGGCGATTTCAGGAATGCAAGATAACATGACAGATGGCCCATGCAGCTGGCTTAGCTCAGTGGTTACCTATAGTAGGTAGATACTAAGAGATAGATGGGATAGAACTTTTGATGCCGCCTCAAGCGGAGATATATGGGTATAGATGCATACGGCTCTCAATGCAGGTAGTGTAGATATGTAGGCCATTTATCCTAGCTGGTGCTACTGCTACTGCTACTGCCAAGTGCCAAGTGCCAGAAGAACAAACAGCGACAGGTATTGGCATTTCTGTCGTGGGCTGCGTCTTACCGTAAGACGGCATAGTTATGAACGCCGCTGCAGTCACTCCCGTCGCCTCAAGCCACAATGTTGCCAAGCATTATGTAAGTCAAGTAAGAAAATTCGGAGATTTTCCCCAATCTAGGCGGGGAAAACAAGTCTTGGTATTGCCCTAGGAGGTTCTATGGTAGGTATCTACCAGAGGGTTCATGTTTTAGTATGCCTGCCTGTTCACAGTTTGACTACGACTTTCTTCGCCGACACACCAGCCCGTTGAAGGTCAACAGCAGCCTGGATACTCTCTAGTCCCTGGCCCACGACCAATGGCTCTGGTGCAGGCGTGAACGAACCTGCCTCTAGTGCCTTGGGCAGAAAGTCCTCGTAGATAGCCTTGCTTATTTCGTCGTCCCTAATGGTCAGGCCGAAAACGGGCTGCAGCGTGACGCCTTCCGGTGGATCGGGGAAGCCTCGCTTCGTTGTCACGATGAACTTGTTTCCCCGTGATTTCTATACCCATGACAAATTTAGTCGGTGAGGTACTTTTGGTTTCACATTGACGAGGGAAGGGGAAAGGAGAACCGAAAAAAAAAAAAAGAGTGCCTACCGATGCCACATCCACGCAGATTGCCCAAGCTGATGCTCCGATGCAGTCCACGACGCCCGCCAAGGTCTTCGACCCAAGAGCTGTCAACAGGTCCTCACGCACCGTCGGGCTCTTGTAATCAAACGCTTGAGACGCGCCAAGCTTCTTCACATAGTCAAAGTTGTGAGGCGAGGCCGTAGTGATGACCTCGTAGCCGGCGGCAACGGCCAGCTGGACTGGCGAGCAGGCACGTTACAGGTCAGCGTAGGAACGGAAGTGTGCAATGCAGGTTAGACATGATTGGTTGTTGCTTACTGGCGTTACTGCCAACACTCGAGGCACCACCCCATACGAGCAGTGTCTCACCACCGGGCTGGCGAGCTGGCTGGACGGGTCGTTGTAGGTTGAGAAGGGCCTTCTGGAACATCATGGCGGCGGCGGTCGTGAGCCCCAGGGGGAGAACCACGGCTGTCTCGTATGACATGCTAGCCGGGATAGGGCTGGCCATATTGGTCTGCAGAATGGTGTGCAGCTGGAAGCCGCCGTCCTGTTGCCGCCCACTGATCATGCTGGTGGCGTGTCCAACAACACGATCACCCACTTGGAAGCGGGTCACACCAGAACCTACGGCGACAACCCTGCCGGCGACGTCCTGGCCTAGGACGGTCGGGTAGTTAAGCGGGTAGATGGCCATGTACTGGAGATTGCCATCGACGGGGTTGATGGCAACCGCCTCGTTCTTGACGAGAATCTCATCGGCCTCGGGGGTCCAGACGGGGGCGGGCCCCACCACAAACGGGTGTGCCTTGGCCTCGGTCAGGAATGCAGCTGTATTGTTGCCTGAGGCCATGGTGATGGCGCGTGCGTATGAGCGTAAGCGTGGTGGCAAGGGGTCCTGGAAGGAATGGCCGGAAAGGGCAGAAAGGCGCAGGTTACGATGAAGATGGCGCCCAAGGTTGCTTGAAGCTGGGAACGATGAAGAAGATGGTGATGATGGTACCGCGAGAGAGCTAGCCAGACGAGGACAACTGCGGACTATTCCTGGGCATTTGAACAACATCGTGGTCGTTGATCTTGTACCCGACCTCTCCTCATGAACACAAATAAATCCCAACCAGCTGGCTCATACCATGAAGCCATCTTCAGCCTATGTCTGTGTCACCTGGAGCCGTTGTATGGCCCCGGTAATGGTCGTGTAATGCCGGTGTAACAACGACGGGATAGACCGGTCGAGTTGCTGCATGCTGCGGAAGATTTCCCCGACCCGACGGTCCGAGAAGTCGCGCGGTTCGCGTGGATTGGGCTTGCTTGACAAGGGACGTGGTGGTGTAGACGATAACGCGTATTTGCAAAGCACTCGTCGTCATGTCGGGGATTCTGAGACGCTCGGAGCTATTCCCTGCAAGTGCGTGGCCTGGTGTGGGTGTTATTTTCCCGAGCCGGTTGCGAATGGCCTCTCTGGGCCGAGGGGAGGGGAGGGGAGGGTAGGTATGTACTTAGTATGTGGAATGCATCTATCGGGCAATTATGTAAGCCGCGCAATGTCAGCATGCTGTCACATCATGAAGTTACACCACTGCCTTATTCCTACGGTTAGGTAACCCAAGGACTACTATATTAAGCTTGTATGTATGTAGGTAAGCAGGGATCATCATCTACTGTACCTAATATGTTGAGAATTTAGGTTAGCCACTGGTTAGCCACTTGTCCACCGTTCAGATGGGTCAAATCTGCCGTAAGCCGTATGTTGGATGGTCGTACGAATGACTTCATAGTCCACACAGGGGATTCTCACGACATGTAGATTAGTAGGTAGGTAGGTAGTTGCCTAGATTCTCTGACACATAGACCTGGAGAAGAAGGAGGTGCCTAGCGAAAGAGCGAACAAAGGGACGAAAGGACGAATGAACGAATGAAAGAATAGATGGATAGATCCTGCCTGGTGCGGCACTTGTGCGGCGACGACATAAGCGAACCGGTGCCCTCGATCTTTTCTTTGAGATGGTGTTTGTCTGGTGTTGTGCATGGGCCGTCAGGTCAGGTCACGGATACCTCCGCCCTACGGGTAACGTGGCAAGCTGGGGTTCTGAGGGGCACACCCCACTGAGGGTCTGCTGAAGGGTGGGGGGAATGGCGCCTGTTAGTGCACTGTAGCGCGAGTGTGAGAAGCTTGAATAGTGCCCCAGCGCCAGGACCCCCAGTAGGTCACATGTACCGTTACCAATTGGAACTCTCTCTTCCTACCTGGTACATACCTACCGACGTATATGCCGTAAAGACACAAACCCGGGTTAATTCGTCGCTATCTGTGGTGTACATGGGAATCCCACGCCGTAACTAGGTACTTGACGCAGTAGTGCTTATCTGCTTATGGTAATGTGCCGACGATACCTGCTTAAGTACTTACAGATGTGGATAGGTACTATGGACTTAAGTAGGTACCTACAGTAAGTATGTAAAAGTACCCTGGTTCGACAAGCGTGATACCGAGAGAACTCCTGTGCGAAAATGCCTACGAAGTAGGGCTGCGTCAATCACCATCATCCTCGGGACCGGTATACCATATAAGGCATAGGATCATATGCGAATAGCGAACTGCGAACTTCGTTATGCGAGAATCCGAGTCTCGAGTGATGCGGGCTGCGTTGCGGCATGACGGCTTTCTGGTGGACTCGCGTCCTGGCCAGATCCTGGGGCCTAAGCACTTCAAGACTTGGGTCCTTGCATGCTGTACAACATGATAGGTTAGCCATATTTATATCTACATGGTCCGTCCCATGGGTGCCTCTTCAAGTTTAGGCCATGATTGTGCGTTTGCATTTACGAGAGATCCATCCATTCCGTCTCTCCCTAGGGCCGTGCGGCGGGTGCAAGTTTATCCAGTTCCCTATTTTTCCCTATTTTCCCCTATCATTGCCGTCAGAGATCCTAGCCCCATCGCCAGCAGCTTACTGTGTGTTCATATACCCACGCGATACCAGTCAAGCCTACAGCGCAGAAAATGAATATAGGTCGGCGACGTACGTAAACATGCGGTGGGCAAGGCTCCGCCCTTTGTCAGGGGTATAGGTAGATATAGACAGGGAATAGGAAATACCTAAGAATCAGGATTAAGAATAAGAATAGGGACCTGGGGTCAGGGTCCTTCGGTTACCGGTACCTGAGATACAATCTAGATGGGTCACACATAACTAACGTGGTATACATATAGCCATGAAAACATACATACGATACCACCACACGTGTGCGCTACATACACATGTAGCAAGCTGTAGGCAGGTAGTAAGTAGGGTAAGGTAAGACAAGTCGTGTAAAGGGGGTAGACGGTGACACAACGCCGCCATCCTCACTTCTACATATACCTATATATGCACATGGCACTGTGACACTGTTACCATAGGCATTGGACGAGACATTGCGCACTTTCATATTGATGTCTGGATAGGATGCCAAACACTTTATTACAGCTCCATCTATTGGCTCTCGAGGAGCGCACACCTCCTTCAGCCGTATGTAGATGCTACGGTATGCATGGGTGCTCTTTTGGCGGCGTCATCTTGGCGGTGTACTAGGTAGGTAGTTTTAGTAATGTTGCGGTTCCTCCCTGCCGCTCTACTGACTATACTGCCTGCCGTTGACGTGAGGCCTAGGCCGTACGCTCGCAGATACGTATCGTACGGTCATTTGCCAAGCCTGTATCTAGATCGGACCACCTCCGCACGGGGCTGAAGACTCGAGCACGGAGGGTTCAGTGCTCGGTGAGCGAGACATTGGTGAGACTTCGTGAATCTCATCGTCGAGACTCGTCTCTCGAGATTCATGGTCCCCTCTGTTTGGGTCCAGGTCCATGGCCTTCCAACCCCCCCACTCCGGATCCTGTCATCTGCGCAGATGCGAGTGACCATGTTACCTCTGCCTGTCTGTCTAACGATAATACGCGTCAGGGTAATACGGACGTTGAAGAACTACTCTACGTGCGGCGTAGCGTGAAAATCACTGCTCAGAAGGGAAGGCTGCTGACCATCATCCTACGATACCTGTGAAGTCCGTTGCGAAGCTTCATCGCCGGGTCACGACTCCATATCATGATGACTACGACATAGCTATCGTCATGACTATCATGATGAGTATGACATAGCTTTCGTCATGAAACCGCGAGAAGAGAACGTTCGGGGTGTGACTCCCCCTGCTAGATAAATAAGGGCAAAATCGATGGTCGACATGTCAGATAGTATGACTGAGAAGCTCTACTTAACACATATTTAGCTTACGCTATTCGTATGCTTATTCCCTCGAACATACGAGCTATAGACAGCCAGGTAGGTACTTATGATATGGCCCTTGTGTGTGATCCTGCGCATAGTGCGCGATCCTACGCTAACGCATACGGTATTTGTACACAGAGATTATATCTCGATCTAGAGACTTTGCTTCGATGGCCATAGAGCTCTGCCCCGGCCTACCTACAGCTCGCCGTTATGATAAGACGGCTGTGGGCTATGCCGTACTTAGGGTCTCTGGAGCCGGCCGTTTGACCTAGGGAGACCAGCACGTCTTATTAGTACGTAGTGAATTCGTCTGGACTCTAGCTTTTGTGGCGACTCTCGACCTGTCGTGGCGACTATCGGCTCGTTTCGTTCTCGTGGTTATGGACACACCCATTTGCCAAGAGATTATCTATGTTATATAGTTGATTAGTTATCCAGGTCGGGTAGGGAGCTCGACAAAGACCCCCAACATCGTCATCGCTCTTAACACACCGTAACCTCGAACAGGCCCCGAGTGAGTGGACTCCTTCCTTTTTCCCTTATTATTCATTCGCATGGCCCTGTCCAGCGCAGCTTACAAAGGCTTGGTAAGCACGCGGGCATACCACCATGTCGCAGCAAATCGAGGCGCCTGGTACACCAGCACGGCAACGACCTGGTGGTGCTTGTGAAGAATGTCGGCGAAGGAAGCTGCGCTGTGATCGCCAGCATCCACAGTGTGGTGTATGTGCCGCCGCTGGCGTCGCCTGCTTCACCACGACGACCCGGGCACCTCGAGGACCCAAGCGCGGCTACTTAAAAGCCATGCAAGCCCGCATCGGCACGTATAGTCCATCCTCTACCATCCCACCTGATAGAGACATGTCAACTAATACTGTTCATGGGTGGCAGCCGCACTCGAGGGCGCTGTCAACCAACAGCAAGGTGATGGCGACATGGTCGAGCCAGTCTGCGTGGACACTTGGTCGGACGATATCTTCACAACCGATATAGACCAACTGGGCTCGCAGTGGGACTTTTCCACTGCGGACGCCGAAGGTTTATTGCAAGACGTTTGCCTTACGATCCCTCCGCCATACGGCTCTTCCATTGGAAGCACTACAACTGGATCGGAGAGCGCGGTGTCAGCACCATCGACGCGAGCCTTTGAGGAGTCGATCTCCCTGGAAACTCGAAATAATCTGGCGGCTTTCGAGGACTCCAATGGATTCTGCACCACAAACGTATCGACCTTGATGCAGGCGGAACTGTAAGTCTGTCAATCCATTTTGAGTAAGGAAGTGGCGAGACTACATTGTAGTCGTGGGAGTCTAAAAGCTCCTTTAGCTCCTCGACCAAACTAGAACTTGGAGCGTGACGTGATCCTGACTAGCTACAGAGATCAGTTGTATTTCGATCGGGTTGACGCCTGTATGCCGATAGTACATCAGGGGTGGTATTCATCATGGGCACGACAGACGACTAAGACGAGGCAACAACTGGGTTTACAGTACACATTGTGGACAGCGGCTGCGGCGGCCTCGGCACATTACCAGGGAATGGGAGAAGCACTGTACTACGAGGCGCGGAGGCTGATCAGGGATCCCGAGGAGGGACCGTCGAGTCCAGCAACGACCGAGATCGAATACGTGCAAGCATGGCTTCTGCTTGCCATCCACGAGCTCATGTTTATCGACTTTCGCCGCGGATGGATTAGCGCTGGGCGTGCGTTTCGGCTCATCCAGCTGGACTGGGCACGTTACACAGACGACTTGGGCTCGAATTGTGCCTCTACGGGATGGATTGAATCGGAACAAAAGCGTCGAACGTTTTGGATGGCTTACTGCCTCGATCGCTTCATGAGCCTTCGAAGTGGCTCACCGCCGACCTTTAGCGAACAGGTAATGCCATCCACGGGCCACTCTCGAGGAAGAGAAAATAGTTTCCATTGCTAACTCAAGCCGATTGTCGTTCAGAATATCATCCGGCTTCCTGCGCCCGAAGCGGCGTTTCAGAACGACTCATACGTACTGACGGGCTGTCTCGCCGACGCCATCGCATCGAGCGACGCGAACCCGACGTCACCCTTCACCGAGTGCATCGTCGTCGCCACCATGGCTGGCCGTGCGCTGGCACACCAACACCTCGCAGCCACACAGCCCAACCCCCCGCGGGATTTCTGGGGCCGTCATCAGCTGATCAACTCAGTCATGATGCCGAGGATGGCTGCCTTTTCGCTCAAGTATCCCACGGCCATGCAGGACGCCGACCCAGCGCTGCTGTTCGTGGGTCTCATGTGGCGCGCGATACTGCTCTTCTCACAGGTCACCGTCATTGCGGAGCGGACGGTTCAAGCGGCAACGGACGACAGTGGTTTCGTCGTGGCGGAATACGCGAGGCGGTCCTCGCTGGCCGCACAGGAGGTAGTGTGCATAGCCAAGAAATTATCGCAGGTGAATTGGTTCAAGGTAGGCAAACTTGCTTCCGATAGGCTCATGCTTTTCCCTTCCTTGCTATGGGCTGATTGGCTGACTCCACCTCGTCTCTTTCTCCTGAAAATAGATTCATCCTCTGATGCCGATTCCGTTATCCCTGTGCTCGGAACTCCTCAGTTCGCACGAGGGGCTGGACGAGTCGGTGAAGAAGCGGTTGCCGCTGATTGGAGAAGTCATGAACGAGATAAAACAGTTCAATAATCTCGGTCGGGGTTTTTACAATTACAAGGTTTAGTTGGGCGGGTGGTATTAGATAAGTAAGTAAGTAACCAGGGATAGACCCGGAGCACAGCAAAACAACACCCCCAAAATAGTCGTGTATGGGCTACATATGAACTATACAACTTAGAATCTATAACCAAGAGCATCCCAAGATTGCGATTACAGGCCGGTGAAGGAGGGAAGAAAGAACAATCAAATATAATACAAACATCTCGAATGTCTGTCCAACTGCCAAAACACGATACTTAGGTGTAAATTCGTAAATCTCCCTAACTCCTGCCACCGACTACCTAATCCTCCCCCTATTCAGCTTTTGAAGAGTTATCTACTAATTAGCGAACCAATTCCCAATACTTCTCTCAGAGACCATATACCTAAGTATCGTGACTCGTACATTAGCGCAACGCTGTTACATCTCCAAACGGCCGTTACCCGTCAAGGAGATAGCTGGTAGTACCCAGCCCACATTCGCTAGGCACATACTTAGTCCATGTAACGTGCTCCCAATGTAGCAGTACATATGTAGTACCTATGTAGTACGGAAGAGGCACATGCTCGCGTGTCTCCCACGTGCGATGTCACCTATGCACATGCTGTATCTCCGAGGTAGTATACAGTAACCTCATACTATGTAGGTACAGTCTGTTCGCAGACCTAGACGGGATGCACTAATCATGTACATATGTATGAAGTAGTATAGTAGGTATAGTAGGTATAGTAGGTAGTGCCTGTACTATGTAACAAAAGGTTCGTTTCTTTATATAGATACTAGAGAACGAGCTTGAAAAGCGTAGCGAGATTAAAATTCTTTCAAAATATGCTCACCTGGAGTGATTGGAGTTACCAGGAGGTTCACATATACATAGTACCTAGAGTAAGTATTGGTGTATACCCTATAGGATCTTATACGTCATACTGTATACACACAGTATGACTGTATCGTTCTAGTAGAGTTATAGAGGTATAGAGGGGGGGGGTCTGGAAAAGGTTGATGGAAAACCTCATCTCGATGCTTCGCATACAGCCTCACGCTGCTAAGGAGGAGCTGAGGCGCGTCTCCTCTTTCCAACGTTGCACCTCCTCTTACCAGATATCACATCACACACAGATACCTGTGTAATCTTCTAACTCAAGGCTAGCTTGCATATGACCTACACGACATGTAGGTAGCTAATGGTGTTCTTGCCAGCTATGCAGCATCATGCCAATATCCTTGGCGATGATAGGCAGATGCTCTCTCGCTTGCGATACTTTGGGCAACGTGAACATGGCTCCGGCGACTCGGTGGAATATCTGCACGCCAATGCGAGCTATCTGTGCCTCCTGAGCCCTCTATCCAGGCTGATCGGCTCTTCACCCGAGAATCGTTTGCCCGGACAGCTAGCCCTTAACCTAGCTTTGCCACACACCAAGTTTAGGCCTCACGCAGCTAGGTATGGCGTCTGCTCATACTTGAGACATCAGACATCTTCGACGTGGCTGAAATACATCGCGTCTACAGCACCAGTCTAGACCGGCGAGTCACCAGATTTCATCGTACACAGATCGTGCCACTTACAATTCTCAGACCTCGTCAATTTGTCAAGTCTATAGCCCACTCAGAGGCCAGGCCCACTGAGCCCCTGGCTGCGTCGGACACCGAACAAGTAGTTGAACAGCACAACAGCTATGGAGGTCTGCAGACCCAGACACGTCTCTGGCGGCGAAGACAGCTTCACGTCCCGATGGGCCGTACCATATCTATTACCTGCATCATGCTACATTCACACTAATAGATAGCTGTCGTCTTGGCGATCCCATTTGCCCATCCCATGCGCTGCCGGAACCCCTGTAGTGTCTCCGCCACCATGCCCTCATAGTCAAAGTGCCAGATCTTGAAGGTGCGGTCCTTCATCTCCTCGAAGACTGATTCAGCTTTCGTGAGCTTCGCATCGTCGGCCCACTCCGCCTGCTGGTGCAGGTCGCATACGCGTCGGCTGCTGTTGACGAGCCATTGGCTACGCGTGCGCCGCACCGTGTTGTAGGCCCGGAAAGCCGCTGCGAGCGCCTTGGCTTTAGCCTCCGGATGCGCCCGGCATTCGTTTACCACTTCCCGCATCAACGTCGTAAGGCATAGCGAGTCCTCGATGCCTTGGCCCGCGCCCGCTCCGTGGTGTGGGCTCGTGGCATGTGCTGCGTCTCCGGCTAGACAGAGCCGGTCGTTGTTGTAGTATGGGACAGGGTACTCCCAGAGGTCGAAGATGGCCCATTTGCTCATCGTGTCGGGGAAGCGCTCGATGAGGTCACGAACCGGCGCACACCAGCCCTGGAACGCCGCCCTGACCTCGTCCTTCGTGCCCACGGCCACCGTCTGCGAGTCGTCTGGCCACTTGTTGGGATCACGAACGAAGGCTACTGCATTCATCATGGTGTTGTTGGCTACCGGATAGTGAAGCAGGTTTGCGTTCGGCCCAATGTGGTTGTGCTGGTTCGTGGCCTTGTACTCGCCCATAGCTTCTTTGGCTTGAGCCATTGGGATCAAGGTCCGGTATGCTACGCAGTGCGAGTAGCTAGGGCGCGAGGCAGGGTGATCTTCGCCTAGGAGAATTTGTCTCACGCGTGACTTGACACCATCGCAGCCAATCACTGTAATCCTTATGTTAGCATATCATTCATAACCGTGCGCACTTGGGCACTTACCGGCATCTGCTTCGGCAGTGGTGCCATCTGTGAATCTGACCAAGAGTTTCTGGCCTTCTCCTCTGTCCTCAATCGTGTCGAGGCGCTTCTTGAGCTCAACCACGCCTGGGGGAATGCACTTGACGAGAGACTCGAGAAACTGGTCACGTCGACAGCCCTCGAAACCCCGTGGGCCAGCGCTCAGCTTGTAGAATAAGCGCTGCTTCCGAGGGTCTTCGCGGTGTCGATCGTATCCGTCGATCCAGCGAAGGTAGTCATCCGGGTCTTCAGCGCCACCGTTAGATGTCGCAACAGATCCGCTCGATCGCAGCGCGACAGGGATTGATTGATCAATCAAATTCATGCATCGGATAGCATTGGCCGTGAAGGCGATACCGGCACCGATCTCACGGAAGCCTTGGGCTTGCTCATAAACCTTGACCTTAACTCCGACACGGAGAAGGCCGATGGTGAGCACAAGCCCAATGATACCACCTCCTATGATGACGATCTCAGGCTCTGCGCCAGTCGAGCTTGAGTTCATACTTTCACTCATGATGAGGTGCTCAAAAGTTCGTGTGTAGACTTGCCACACTTGGGGACAAGATGAATTCGGGAATAGGAGAATGAAGCTTCAGTGAATTGGGCTGAGTATCAAAAGTGATACCAGAAGCTGCTTGACAAAAGTGTTCTCAGCGAGCTCTAATAAACCTACGATAATTAATTCTGATCATCAAGGGACATACATGTCGATCATAGTCACGCTTGTCGATGGAGCCACATCACACGACAATGTAAATCCATTATCGCAGCCACTGTCTCAGTCCGTCCATTTCCTTCAGGTCGGCTTATCACAAACCCACTGGGTACGATACACTTGGATTCTCGCGCCGCGTACTGGCTAGACTCTCGTAAATATCCCGTACCGAAATCCTTCACGGCGGACTCGGGATATCCACAGCCTTACACCACTCTGACTGTACCACCATGAGTTCAGATGAGTCAAGACATATTGGGTAAGAGCTAAAATGTCTTCTCCCAATCAATAATTGAGTATTTTGGCTTTACAATAATAGGACTTAATCGTGGACAGGGCTAGGCACATGCCCTGCTGTCGCGTCGGTTCGGGGAAACTCGATGCTACGTGTTTTTGCCGACTCAGCTCCTGCAACATCGACCTATTTGCAGACATGTAGGATGTTCTCGTTTTTCGGGTTCGAGCTTGTTGCTGCTTACCATTTCCTGCCTCGTCACAGGCAGATTCTGGCACAACCAATTGTCATAGCGTTGAGAAGCTCCGAACTTTGTAGGCAGGGCCGGGACTGCTCGCTCTACCGAAATCTCCCGGCACCGAAAGCCTTGGGCCATTGACTGTTTGCCCCAGCAATCTGGGCGAACGGATGCTACTCTTGCAGTTCGTATGTATGGGATTATGTAAAATAACTACAGCCGGGCCAGCCGCGTTATTAGTTATTATATCGTGTCTTTGCTTCTCAGTGTTGACAATCATGATCGTATCATAGCCAGCCCTACAATCCTCCTAAGATATCTTTCCCTGCATCCTTAGTGTGAACAGCAGTCTTTTCATAGACGATACATATATACAAGCTTCCTTCGACTTTAGAAGCTCTTTCTCCCTTATCAATTACTGACATTAACCCGGCTGTTATTCAAGTCTATGAAACGCTGACCATGGCTGAAATCACTGATTCCCTACGCTCTACCTTGAGCCATCCTTCCGTTCTCATGTTCGGTCCTATATCGATATCATGCAATCCCACACAAGTCTCCCGAGTGAGAAAAGCTGTGATCAGCAACAATCAGAATGCTTGGATTCTCAGCCTAGCCGCTCAGCTACCACAGCTATGGACGACTATCTCAACTGCCCTTCCATCCCTCCATGACGATTCAGGATATAGACAAATCCTGGATATGGCAGAAGCATTGCGGTTGGGGCGTCCTCTCGAGACACCTTACCCCTTGCCCAATAAATTGCTTATACCGCTGGTCGTGATATATCATCTTACACAATATACAGATTTCATCCAGCGTGCTGGGGTGAATGTCGAGGAGGCGTTGAAAAATCATCAGGAGACGTTGGGTTTCTGTACTGGTCTCCTGAGTGCCTTCGCTGTTTCCGCTTCAGCGAATCCGGCCGACTTTGAGCGGTATGGTGCTGTTGCTATTAGGCTTGGTTTGCTAGTTGGCATGGTGGTTGATGCCAGGGAAGCAGCATCGGATCTCAATGCCTCCAAGTCTCTTCGTGCCGGTTGGGGTTCGACGCATACTAAGGAAGAGCTCAAGAACATTATCAAAGAGTTCCCAGCTGTAAGCCCATCCACCCCAGCTTTCACAACAGTCCAAACACATTTATGACTTTTCTATATCCGTTCCGTTTCCATGTTACTCTGTTCTATAAGCCCCTTTTCAACATGAATTATCAATATCTAACTGACATGGCTCCCTGATCCTAGACATACATATCCGTGGAATACGATGAGAATCTGGCAACAGTCACAACAGCAGCATCAACTATTAGAACCCTTGATCAGCGTTTGAAGAACGCCGGGTTTTCCTCCACGGAGCTCGAACTTTATGGACGTTTTCATGCCGATTGCCATCAGACGTTGATGGCCTCCCTTTTAGAATTTTGCGATGCGAGCCCTGAGTTCCAATTCCCTGACGCTTCTGGAGTACTTATTCCAACGCGTTCAGATACCCAGGGAGAGCTATTCACACGAGGAAAACTACATCACCATGCGCTAGAGTCTATTCTCACGAAGATATGCGTATGGCATCAGACCCTTGCCGGCGCTAGAGAATCCCTCACGGATAAAAACACTAGCTTCATTTCCTTCGGCTTCACGCGCTTTGTGCCACCCACCTACATGCGCGCTATCAGTAGCCAGGTGGTTCATTGGGCGGATATGGAAGACTCTACGACCCATATGCCGAAAGACCAGCGCGCTATCACAGACAATGATATTGCCGTTGTCGGCATGTCGTGCAAGGTAGCTGGTGCTGACGACCTCGAAGAATTCTGGGACTTGCTTTGTGCGGCGAAATCCCAACACCGGGAGGTGCCCAAAGATCGCATCGCCTTCAAAAAGACTGCTTTCCGCGATGTCGATGAGAAGCGAAAGTGGTTCGCCAACCTCATCGATGGGCCAGACAAGTTTGACCACAAGTTCTTCAAGAAGAGCCCCAGGGAGAGCGCGACCATGGATCCTCAGCAACGACTGCTCCTACAAACAGCGTATCAGGCTGTAGAACATTCAGGATATTTCCGTTCGCCTGATCCGGATAGGCGTGTGGGATGCTACATCGGGCTGTGTGCGACAGATTACGAGAACAACATCGCCTGTCATGCCCCGAATGCTTTCTCTGCAACTGGCAACTTACAAGGTTTCGTGGCTGGAAAAGTCAGTCATTACTTTGGCTGGACCGGGCCTGGTCTCACCATCGACACTGCCTGCTCTTCGTCCGCTGTGGCTGTACATCAAGCGTAAGTGACTCCTAATCTTCCCCCAACTGCGTTCTTATATCTCGATTTCAATGCGCATTACAAGCCGTGGCCTCTTCATGCGAAATCCGGAGCTTAATCTATCTCTTATGTTCGTCGTTTCGAGTTATGTTCAATACTAACCTGTGAGATTTTAGTTGCCGTGCTATCATTAGTGGCGAGTGCACAGCGGCGCTGGCTGGAGGTACGCATGTCATGACAAGCCCGTTGTGGTTCCAAAACCTCTCTGGCGCCTCATTCTTAAGCACAACCGGCCAATGTAAGCCCTTTGATGCCAAGGCAGACGGTTATTGCCGAGGCGAAGGTGTGGGAGTCGTCTTCTTGAAGAAGTTGTCGGCGGCGGTGGCAGACGGTGACCAGGTTAGTATCTAGAGTCTTTAAACCCCCTTTTCTTAATACCCCAAAACGAAAATGAAAATCCTTTAGACGAACTACTCGTCTACTATTACTCCCACAAGCCCCTATAATACCTAAAAGATCTACGAAGTGAGAGGTTGCTAACTCTATGATTCCGCAATAGATACTGGGTGTCGTAGCTGGAACAGGTGTGCAGCAGAATCAGAACTGCACGCCCATATTCGTCCCCAACGTGCCATCACTTTCCAATCTCTTTAGTCAAGTGACTAAAACAGCTCGACTCACACCCGGCCAGATATCCGTTGTTGAAGCCCATGGCACTGGTACCGCTGTGGGCGATCCAGCTGAGTACGACAGTATCAGACAGGTCCTCGGCGGCTCGGTTCGCTCGAGCCCACTGGTGATTAGCTCCGTCAAGGGTCTTGTTGGGCATATTGAATGCACTTCGGGTATCATATCGATGATCAAGGTGCTGCTCATGATGAACAAAGGCGCCATACCGGCGCAAGCCAGCTTTACTACTATAAACCCTGCGATCAAGGCGACGCCGGCGGACAATATGACTGTGCCAACGAGTTTACTTCCTTGGGATGCGAAGTTCCGTGCAGCGCTTATCAACAACTATGGCGCGTCCGGGTCCAATGCTTCTCTTGTAATCACAGAATCGCCATTAGCAGCTAGATACAAGATGCAGAACGGTGCCCAATCGCAGTCTCAGTCTTCTGGCTTGAAGTATCCTTTCTGGCTCTGTGGTCTCGATGATCAGAGTCTCCGGCGGTATACCAAGGCACTCACAACATTCTTGAATAAGCCCCTAAAAGAGGATCTCTCTATTGCCAATGTCGCTTATAACGTTGCCCGCCAGACCAACCGTGGACTTGAGCAGCGCTTAGTTTTCACTGCAGAGTCTGTGAGCGACCTACAACAAAAATTAACAGCGTTCCAAAGCGGGAGCGATTCCATTGCATCCATGGAGCGCGTAGCCTCAAGGCCTGTCGTACTATGTTTTGGTGGCCAAGTTTCCAAATTCGTCGGGCTGGATCGCCAGTTATACGAGTCTATTCCTCTTCTGCGAAAGCACCTGGATGACGTTGACGCCACACTCCGCTCACTCGGCGTTGACAGCATTTTCCCGGCGATATTCGAACGCTCGCCCATTACCAGCATTGTCAAACTACAGACAGCTCTATTCGCTAGTCAATACGCCTGTGCCAGAAGCTGGATTGATTCAGGTGTTCAGCCCAGTGCCGTCATTGGTCATAGCTTCGGGGAGCTGACTGCTCTCTGCATATCTCAAGTGCTGTCTGTAAAAGACACATTGAAGATGATCGTCAGCCGCGCTACTCTGATCCAGGATGCATGGGGCACAGAGAAGGGTGCCATGATGGCCGTCGAGGGTGAGTTGTCAGCTGTCGAAAGACTGCTGGCCGACGTTGCTACTACCTTACCGGATAGCAGCAAGGCCGCCTCGATCGCATGTTATAATGGCCCCAGGAGCTTTACCCTTGCCGGCTCTGAAGCGGCCATTGACGCTGTCGGAGATGCTGTTGCTAAGCTCCCCAAGACCACGAACACGATTCGCGTCAAGAAATTGAACGTGACCAACGCGTTCCATTGTGCCCTAGTCGACCCGCTGGTGAGTCGTCTAGAGGAGAATGCGCAGGACTTGACATTCCGTGAGCCCAAGATTCCAATCGAACGCGCAACCGAATCTCCCATGCAAGGCAAGTTCACTGCCAAGTTTGTCCCTGAGCACATGCGCCAGCCCGTCTTCTTCAACCACGCGTTGCAGCGTCTTGCTCAACGTCATCCCGACGCTATTTTCCTCGAGGCCGGCTCATCTTCCACTATCACGTCAATGGCTAGCAAGGCTTTGGATAACCTCAAAACATCTCATTTCCAAGCCGTGAACATAACGAACGACAACGGGTGGAACAACCTAGTTGATGCTACCGTCGGCCTCTGGAAGGCTGGGCTGCCTGCACAGTTCTGGGCCCATTGTGCTAGGCAATCAACTGAGCACACTCCACTTCTCCTCCCACCATATCAGTTTGATGCTTCTAGGCACTGGTTGGAGCTGAAGGCCCCGTCTCAGACGACAGTAGTTATGGAAGCACCGAAGATCGAGGCAGCTGTAGAGAAGTTGCCCGATACCCTGCTAACGTTCCTCGGCTACCAAGACAGGGACAACCGGCTGGCAAAGTTCCGGGTTAACACCATGATTCCCCTCTATGCTAAATACGTCGCAGGCCATATCATCGCGCAGACGGCGGCCATTTGCCCTTCCATTGTGCAACTGGATCTCGTTATCGAGGCTGTTCGTAGCATTCACCCCGATATTGAGGCAGCTTCTCTACAGCCCCAAGTCCACCTGGTCGAGAATCAATCGCCTCTTTGCATCAACGCTGCGCGCCAGGTGTTCATTGCAACCGAGGAGAACACACAGGGGACTGAAAAGTCATGGAGTTTCCAGATATTCAGTACCGATGGTTCCAGTAGTGGTACCAAAACAATGCATACTACGGGTAGGCTGGAGTTCCGCGCAGCCGACGACGTATCGCTGAAGCTTGAATTTGCGCGTCTCGAGAGATTCATGAATCACCGACGGTATCTCGAGATGATGAGTAGCGGAGATGTCGACGAGATACTCTCACACCGGAATATCTACAATATTTTCTCTGAGATTGTCGAGTATTCTGACGAATACCGTGGGCTGCAAAAACTCGTCGCGCACGGTAGTTACTCTGCCGGATACGTCACTAGGAAGACTAAGACGTCGCCTGGGAGTGTCGATGGCGCATTCATGACGGAATCCGTCTGTCAGGTGGGTGGTATCTATGTTAACTGCATGACCGGCCGATCCCCTTCCGACATCTTCCTTGCCACGGGCATCGAACGATGGATACGCTCACCAAAGGTCCAACAAGGCGACACACAGCCAGAAGCCTACCATGTCCTAGCTTCTCACCACCAATCTTCCGACAAGACGTTTCTGACGGACGTGTTCGTCTACGATGTCGATGACGGCTCACTAGTTGAGGCAGTCCTAGGTGTGAGCTTTGTGAAGGTAGCCAAGCTTACTATGCAGAAGTTGCTGGCGCGACTCACGCCCGGAATTGGGCCAAAGGCCTCAACGACAAATGTGTCTGCCCCCGACTCGTCGTTGGCGGTTGAAGCACTAGCCGGCAAGCCTCTACAATTGACCCCAGCGCCGATGACATTGCAGATGCCTACTCTAAGTAAGGCAAAGAAGGGGCCTCCCAAACCAGACGTAGCTGGCAAAGTCAAGGAAATCTTAGCGGACTTATCGGGTCTCGAATTGGACGAGATCAAGCCCGACAGTATGCTACCTGATTTGGGAATCGATTCACTCATGGGTATGGAGATGGCGCACGAAATCGAAGGCGCATTCAAGATCACGCTACCTGAGGACGAGCTTATGGAGATCATTGACATGCCCGGCCTGATCAAATGCGTACAAAAGGCCGTAGTGCTTGCCGGTGGTGCTGCCGACGACGGTGACTACATGTCAGACGGCGAGGAGAGCAGCAGCGGCAAATCCGATGATAGGCAAAGTGTCACTTCCTCGTCCCACGGTCCATCAACGGGCCGGACAACGCCCCGAGAAGAAGTAGAGCTCGACCTCGGTAGCGGTGAGCTGAAGCTCTCTTTCGCCACCGTAATGGAAGCTTTTAACGAGACGAAGGCCTTGACGGACGAGCGCATTGCTGAATATGGTCAGACCAACTATGTCGATACCGTGATGCCGCTGCAAACGAAGATGTGCATCGCGTTGACGTTGGAGGCATTGGAAGAACTAGGAGTGGCCCTTCGCGACGCTACACCTAACCAGAAGTTCCCGCGCATATCGCACCCGAAAGAGCACAGTCGACTAGTAGAGTACCTCTACAAGATGCTAGCGGAAGCACAGCTCGTTGTTGTCGACGATACGCACATCATACGCACGGGTGTGCCCTACCCTACCGCCTCTAGTAAGCAGGTCCTAGAAGAGCTGCTCCAACGCTTTCCGGACCAGAATACGGCCGACAAACTCACATTCTACACGGGCTCCAACCTGGCGGAGGTTTTGCGTGGCAAGACGGACGGTATCAAGCTCGTCTTTGGCACGCCCGAGGGTCGTGAGCTCGTGTCAGGCTTGTATGGCGAATGGCCTTTGAACCGAATTTTCTACCGGCAGATGGAAGACTTTCTCGGCCGCTTGGCTTCGAAGCTCCATGGGGCGGACGGTCCGCTCAAAATTCTAGAGATGGGTGCCGGCACTGGCGGAACTACTCGATGGCTCATACCTCTATTGGCTACGCTAAACGTTCCCGTAGAGTACACCTTCACTGACCTGGCTCCGTCCTTTGTTGCCGCGGCGCGCAAGAAGTTCAAGCCGTATCCGTTCATGAAGTTCCGCACCCACGACATCGAGAAGGCCCCCGCCGCTGACCTCGAGGGCACTCAACACATCATCATCGCCAGCAACGCGGTGCATGCGACGCACAGTCTCTGCGGGTCAACGGCCAACATGCGGAAGCTCCTGCGCCCCGATGGCTTCCTCATGATGCTCGAGATGACAGGCACGCTATACTGGGTCGACATGATCTTCGGGCTCTTTGAGGGCTGGTGGTTCTTCGACGACGGCCGCACCCACGCCGTCGCTGATGAGTTGCGATGGAAGAAGGACCTCCAATCGGTTGGCTACGGACACGTCGATTGGACAGATGGTCAGCGACCGGAGAACAAGAAGGAGAAGCTGATAATTGCGATGGCATCGGGCCCGAGGTGCGAAAGACTAGAGACCCCTCTTCCCGTTTCTTCGAATCGGCCTGCTGACCTTGTAGTGCGGCAAGCCGTCATTGATCAATACGTGCGGCAGTTTACGCATGGCTTCGACGACATGTTAAAGGAGGTGCCCGCCGATTTCACTGTGGCGAGCGGCAGCTCCAATTCCGGCCCCTACGTCGTCGTCACCGGAGCTACAGGAAGCTTAGGGTCACACCTCGTCACAACTTTAGCCAACCGCACAGACGTGGCTGGTGTGATCTGTCTCAATCGACGCAGCAAGCTTGAGATCAGCCCAACGGAGCGCCAACTGCAGTCTCTCTCACAGAGGGGAATCACTCTCCCTCAAAGCACCCTTGACAAACTCCACGTGTTTGAATCCGATCTGTCAAAGCCTTGTCTAGGTCTATCGGACACGGAATATGATTTTATACTTACCAACGCTACCCACATCATCCACAACGCATGGCTCATGAACGCCAAATGGCCGGTAAAACGATTCGAGCCACAGCTCCAGATCATGCGAAACCTTCTCGACATCGCAGGACAGGTTTCGAGCCGACAACCCGCGGGCCAGAACAAAAAGTTCACCTTTCAATTCGTCTCATCCATCGCAACAGTTGGGCACTGGCCCATCTGGACCGGCAACCCCTGCGTTCCCGAGGACCGCATGACGCTCGAGTCCGTGCTCCCGACAGGATACGGCGATGCCAAATACATCTGCGAACTCATGCTCGACGCAACGCTGCACCGATATCCCGACCGCTTCCGCGCGATGGTGGTCAGACCAGGGCAGATCGCCGGGTCGAGTACGAGCGGGTACTGGAACCCGATGGAGCACCTCTCCTTCCTATTCAAATCCTCGCAGACCCTCGCCGCTCTCCCCGACCTGCGCGGTCCGCTCTCCTGGACCCCCGTGGACACCGTGGCCGGCACCCTAGTCGACTTGATCTCAGCTGAGCAGCCTTACGCAGTATACCACATCGACAACCCGATCAGACAGCCATGGGAGGAGATGCTATCAGTCCTCGCAGGCGCAATGGACATCCCGCGGGATAGCGTGATTCCCCTGCAGGACTGGATCCAGAGAGTCAAGGAGCGGACCAAAGACATCGGGGCCCGCGAACACGAGGGCGACAATCCTGCTATTTTACTCATTGATTTCCTCGAGGATAATTTCGTGCGGATGTCGTGTGGTGGCTTGCTTCTTGATACGGCCCAGACGCGCGAGCATTCTCCTGCGCTGGCGGGCTGTGGTCCTGTCGGGGAGGATGTGGCAAGGCTTTACGTGCGCAGTTGGAAGGAGACGGGGTTCTTGCGGTAGATAGCTTTTTCAGCGGGTCATGTCGTCTTCATTCATTTCATTCTGTATCTCGGTATCGGGTTTCTTTGTGTCGTCTCGGGTGGCTATCTTATTCATGATTTACAATGGAATCGGATGCTGGCGTTCGGTGGTGGATCACCTTCGTAATGTGTTATGAACAGTATTTCTGCTATGTAGTGGTTTGCCTTAGATTAAAATAGGTTTCACTCGATTATCTTTTTCGCAACATAGGCACTCAGTAAAGACCTGTCTTGATCTGTGTGCAGTTTGTTTCTCTATGCATGCGTCATTAGCGAATAGTCACCAGTGCCTGCCGAAGGGACAACACCTGGGTGGAATGGAACTCGGAATATGAGTGATTGATTGATTGATTGATCGCCGTGTACTAAAGCGTCATAAGAACTCTTCCAGGATGTATTAACAATCGAGTAAACAGCAGTTGCCTGGGTATTGCGAGCGAATAACGACACTTGAGGGCGTCTTCAGATAGCGCGTGACAGTACCGCCTAGAAACATTCACGACATGTCGTATACACCTTCACAGTGTATGCGCGTCTGACCGCTAGCCAGGTATTCTCAACGCGTAAGGTTGCTACTGCCGTAGTCTAAAGCAGGGTAGGACTCAGTCGGCATTTGGCGATGTAGAACGAGACTTTGCGCTCGAGGCCACTGTGTAGCGCAAGCTATTGAGTGCCTGTTCAAGTCCAGTCCGTCCAGTCCTTCCCCATATACGTAAGACATCACTACATCTCAATTAAGGTGGTTTATTCAGACTAAACAGATTTGCAGCCGTCCCGCAGGTCATATACCGCAGCGCAGTCTTCTTCGCATCAGCACGCGCAGTGGTGATTGCAATGAAAACGGAAAAGGTGAAGCAAATCAAAAATTGCGGAGATTGGGACACACGAGGCATCGACAAAAGGCGGAAGGCGACCACGATGTGCAATGCAGGCCCGCCAGCCCTGAGGATGGGGATTATTGAGCCCCCTTCTCTCCCTCCAAGGTAAGTATGAAGAAGAAAAAAGGAAAAAGAAACAAGACAAGAGATGGGAGGGCCAGGCAGATATATATAGGCATCGGAGAGCGGTGACGCTAGGCAGAATTGTGGGATAAGGTCTGAGCTTGTTAGGTAGGTACCTACATAGGTGCCTGCTTTTCTAATCTGAACTTTGAATGGCCCTGTGCAGTGCAGCAAAGCAAACAGCCATTGTACACATGTACAATCACACAAACACCAAGGAAACATTCTAGAGAGGCTAGCTAGAAAGAGATGACAATTCTTTGTTCGTTTCCATTTGAGAATCGCGAGTAAAGCTTACCTGCTTGTTGCCTTGCAAAATTCATTTACACTGCATATCCTAACATTCTATTCGTCCATGCCTCGAAGCCCAGATTAAAAGATGTGAGTCATTATCATTGCATGGCATGAGTCTTTAGAGAGTATGTACATAGGCAGAGTGTCTCATATAGAACCTTCTCGACGGCTGCTTGTCGTTTCGTAGCAGAGTAACGACATCAAAGAATGGCCCCCACAGCAGCAGCGACTAGGACCGAAAGTGCTAGGAACGCTAATTTCCATCCCCTGAAGCCGAAGTCGTCGCCGTCGGTTGGGCCGTGACGGACACCGTGCCCGTAGGCTGACAGAGGCCAACCGGCTGGCTCACAATGGAGTGGAGATAGCTAGTGATGGAAGCAGCCGCAGCGCCCGTAGTCACACACTCCGTGACAGCGGCGTCGTACTCCGCGATCTCGGTGCTAGCGTACGCGAGGATCGTCGAGCCCCAAGCCGCGAACTCAGGCAATAATGACGAAGGCAATTGGCCCGCCGCCCCGCAGATTTGCGAAAAATAGACGTCGGGGTGGCTCAGGATGTCCTGGAAGCTACCGGTGTCGCCCGGAAGGCCCGTGGCTTGAGCCAAGACGTACGGTAGGATGGCGGGAGGAACCGTGGGACCACGCGCTACGATGTCGTCTAGCAAGCTTGTGCACTCGGGGCTGGACGTTGTCCGCGCCAGAGATGCGTTGAGCAACGCAGCTAGGGCGAGCAGGACCTTGGCGTTATACATGATTATTCAATGGCTGGAATAGAGTCGGTGATGATGTAACTGGTTATGTGACTGAATCGATACTGTAGGTGTAGTGAACTACAAACCTCATTGTTAGATCTGAGTTGGATGCTTTTATATTCGTCGAAGTCTACGTTGTGGAAGGTGGCATTCAGATGGACAAATGTTTCCCCTCAACCTAAACTCTGAACTTGTCTCTATCCCGGTGATACCCATTCTTCAACATAATCGTGCTGGCCAACCGTTGCAGACCACTTTTCGGTGGGGAAGTAGAGTTATGCTAATCCGTAAGGCTGTTACATAGATGTAGGGGTTTGGAGGTAGAGAGCTCTAGAGAGCTCCAGCGAGCAAGGGTTATGGGTATGCATACTTAGACAGCAGTATAGGGAAGCCAGGCCTTGAAGCGGGATCGGAAGATTCCAGCGTTCCGCAACGACATGGGTCCGGACACGCTCATAACGGCCGTGTAGAACCACCGACTGTTTGCTGATCCCGACGGTCCGATCATAAGAGAACTGGCTGCAGAACCCGCACTTTGGTCCTGTTGGCTTCACTGCTTGGCATACGTTAAGAAACGGAAGGCTTCGTTTTGGCACAAGCTCCAGATTCATAGTAGCCCAACCACATCACATCTAGTAAGTACAAAGCGTTATGGTTACGAGTAACTTAATACTTGAACTTACACCTATTCCAGGGTCTTCAATGTTAGCCCAATACAAAAGCAAGGACGCATCAAAATTGTTGTCACCAATGCTATACGGAGTAATCAAGGTGGAAATACTATCTAATCATTATATAAGCACTGAATAACCAGGCATTGATGAGGGGAGAATGAAATTATAGCTCGCTGTGTAACCATGGCCGAACTAAACAATAACTAGTCTTAATAGACAATGAGAAGAAGTCCTGAGTTAACATGGAAGACTCCGGAGGCGTATTTGAAGCATTTTGAATATGGCGGCTTGAGTTTATGGATACGATGTCATTTATCGGACGGTTCAAGAGAGAGGCTAGAATTATAACGCAAGGATAGGACATAGCTATGGTGCCACAAGGAAGAATTACATCGGATCCCGTAAGATTGAGATTAAGATGTACCTCTCATTCTGCACATCTTCCGTTATATCAAGTTCCAAGTCAGCTATTTTGTATTCTCTTGGCTACTATAACATTTCACGAACAAAATTCATATTTAGAGTTACCTATTCTTACTATCAACCTCAACGTCATCATTTTGAATAACTCATTTCATGTTAAAAGCAAATCGACTTTGATTAAGATGTAGGGGTGTTCATGATTGATAGTTTTTATGCAGTTGGGCTTTAGGACTCATGGTGTATAGTATTCCAACTGTGTGCAAGAGCACCAGGAGTCTCGTCGAAGCAAGGCACCAATGCTCACGCAAGAGGTTTTTATGACCTTTCAAAGTTAAAATCTAAATCAAACAGGTTTCATATATAACAAGACTGTGACGATCACCACGACTAGAAACTAGTTGCTTTAACTGCTGCAGCATTTATATATATTAGCTGAAGTTCTGTATCTACTTATCCTAATCATATATATGTGTTAAAAGCTCTCAAGGAGTGCAATTTTTCTATGAGTACATTTGAGTTACCGAACGCTATATTCGTAGAATAATAGTTCTCCCGGTGACAGCGTTGTAGGTTGAATGATTAGGTGATGATTCACAACCGCATCTATAGGTCTATCGTATTCCGGTATCACTATTTCAAAGAGTGTATATGTAGTATCGAGTAAAAGTATCCAGAGAACCACCGAGTGCTTCAATAAATAAATCATGGGAATATTTATTATTTTCAAATACAAAAGTTCACAAGAAGCTTTTCGTCATAAACAAGAGAGGGTCAACAAAGAAATGGGAATGCTAAGCCCCATCACATTTTAGTATTACCATGAATTCAATTCATACAAGAATAAGCAACTCGCCAAGTAGAGAACATCTCTTATGTCATCAAGTGCGTAGAGATGAGCCTTGGTTCCAAAGAGCACCCCTATCCTATCGCTTAAATGGGGTAAATGATATATCGGGGAGTGAATGCTCTGGTTGGAGACTCGCGTGTACCTTCTATATACATATTTGCTAAGCCAGGCTATGCAATTAGAGAGGCATTCCCACTCAGCCCTCATCCCACTCCATCTAGGGAAGGTACCAACGTCCTGATCGAGTTCATTGCCCTCCTTGCTATCATTGCTGTCTATATAGGAAGCAAATGTAATTGGAAGCGTGCTTTGTGGACGGCCCAACATGTCCGGCAGCTCCATCGATCAGCTGCTCTCCACTCTCCCCAAGGATGAGGCTCAGCAGACCAAGGTTCTGGGCCAAGTGGTTGATATAGCCCAGAATCTGTGGAAGAAGGACCCCGGATCGCCAGAACTCGATGTTCTCGCTCAAAAGGTCGGCGATGCTGCTCGCGTCGAGGCAAATAGGACCCCCCTGGGGGAGTCCGGGCTTCTTGAGTTCTTCTGTTCCGTGGTGTCAACACAGGGGCTAAGGTCGACGCTTGTTGTGCAGTGTCTACGCGTCATAGGAAACTCCTCAGCGGATACAGGTCAGTGACAGGTATTCAACCAGAAGGATGAGAATCAATGGCTGATTTGATTATAGATGAAAACAGAGCTAAGGTCGTCGACTCGGGATGTTTGCCTAGCATCGTGTTATTGTTGAATGATGATTCCATGCTGCCGTTTGTGGTACCCGTCTTGTTCAATATAAGCGTTGACTACGGTAATTCCTGCATACGCATGAAGTTATGGTTCTATCTTGACTGACTTCGCAACAGAACCAGCACAGAAAGCTATTTACCAAGCTGGTATAAACCCCGAGCTTGTAAGCCTTATATCCGGGCTGAGGCGAGAGAATGCAGCTCCGTTGATGAGCTACATCTGCAAGCTACTTGGTTTCGTGGCTACGCAAGGTAAGACGGGATTCAGTTTCCGTAAACAAAGAGTTGAGGGACAACCAGTTAATGTACAACACAGAACCCCAGGCGAACTTAGTACATCCAGCTACTCCGTTCATCTTGCTTCATCTAGCCAACGATCAGCCTTCACCAGTTGATGCCGAGGAGTTCCTCGGACAGGCCTCCGTAGCTCTAACCTACCTGTCCCAGGAACAATACCAGCGATCGTTTCTAGAGACAGCGGCTTCAATTATCCTCCTACTGAATGCATTCTTCATGGCATGTGAAAGCATCGATGTCTCCGAAGAGGGACCCGATGGCGAAGCCCAACTCAACCAAGTCCAGACCGCATTCACAGCGACGCTGGCAGATTTATCTGCGCAGCCTCTATTCGCCTCGTCTTGCTCCCTAGATGGTCATGAGGTTCAGACCTTGCAGGACTGGATATCATCAGCACACATTCAACTCCGATCAGCAGCGTGCCTCGCACTAGGCAATATCGCGCGCTCAGACGAGAAATGCATCTACCTTGTCCAGAAGCGCAATATCCACATGCCCTTAATCACAATCCTATCTGATCCCTCCAACGTGGACGCAGGACTATTACACTCAATCCTCAGTTTTCTGAAGAACCTCGCCATCCCGGCCGACAACAAGGCAATTCTCGGCAGCACAGGCCTACTAGATCCAGAAGTCCTCCCCCGGATCTGGGACCTCGACACGCAAACCCAAGTCCAATTCGACGCAGTATCTCTAACGCGACTCCTCCTCGTCAACTGTCCTGCAAACGTTCATCGCATCATCAAGCAAGACCCCTCAACCCAGCGCTCGAAACTGCATTCACTCATAGATCTCAACAAGCGATCAGATCAAGAGCCCACACAAATGGAATCAGCAAGAGCCATAGCAACTATATGCCGCATTCTACACTCCTCAACTCCTACCTCCTTTTCCTCATCCGGTACCAACCAAGATTCTCAACCAGACTCACCCCCCTCCCTGACAACCTTCTACTCAGCCCACACCACCCTCACAGACGCAATGCTCCGCCTGGGTGAACAGACAAAATTCCCCGCCCTCCGATCAGAGCTGCTCTTCGTCTTCGCACTAATGGCGCGCACACCCGAGGGCTCCGCAGCCGTAGCGCAGACGACGCATCGATCCGAGCTATTTTCTCTAATCGTAGAAACGATAACAGGCTCGCCCACCACCACCACCGCCAATACACCATCACTACCACCACAACTCCCATCCGCAGCGTCAGCGTCCGCAGAAATCACCAAGCTAGCAAATCTCCCAGCCCAAGCGCCAGCGCCAACAAAGAGCACACGCGACGTAGATAGGGAGAACGCCCTCGTGCTCGTCGCGGAACTCCTACAGCACTGCCCAGGGGAATTATCAGACAATGCTCGAGGGACATTCGAGAACCTATTGCGAGAAGGTGGACAGCGATTACTTCGTGAGAGGGATGAAGGGAGAAACGAGTAAAATGGATGTGATATATGTATATGGAACGGGAAAGTAAAGATATAATGAGGATAATTGAGCATATATAGATAGATGATGGGGGTGGTAGAATTTTATTTATGCGAGCGATGCGTTTTAACTGAAGTCATCACTTTATATACGGTTTACCTACACATGCCACCGAAGTATAACCTAGGACAAGCCCTAGAGAGTTATTCTGGTAACAGTACGGACAACGAAGATGTCCTACACAAACTTGAAGAGACGTTCATATCACAAGCACAATCATCAAGATAAGAGAACTAGGTTTGTGCTTTCTTTTTTGTCCATTCATTTACCATTGCGCATGACCTAAAGAAAACCGAGAGATGCAATGACGCCGGGGTCGGGTCTTTTGGTGGGTTTGCGAGCGTCGAGGCGGAGGTAATTTGACACCTCTTATATCGATTATCACTGCCTGCTGGTGGCACGCGTAGAGGGAGAATATAACCGCCAGAGCCAACCAACCATGACCATCCAGCAACCAACAACACACAACCAGTAGTGAAAGCAGAAAACCCCGTAAAACATGAGCGTCCGTAGTACTCCTGTGCAGTTTTCCCTTTCGGATTTTCATCCGTTGTGTTTTCACGACATCTATTTCTTGTTGGCCTCGGCCTCGGCCTTGTCCTTGGCCCGCTTCTCCCGTATGCCCTTCAATCTGGCGTCGCTTCTGGCCTTGCGGAGAGCGACGAAGGCACCGCCCTCGATGGGAGCGGGCATATCGCTCTTCTTGATCTCGGAGATACCCTCGCCGACGGGGATGATAGGTAGAGAAGCAGCAACGTTTGAGACGGTCTTGGTGTTGCTGAGGTCGATGTCCTTGCTGTCGCCAGCCTTGGGGTGCTTGGCGCCCTTGCGGGGGAAGACGACGAGGCGCTCCTTGTAGGCCTTGAGACGGGCAACGTTGGCGGCGAGAGACTCCTCGCTAAGGTTCTGGCGGCGGAAATCGACAGCAATACCGACGGTGGGGGCTACGAGACGGGGAATGCCAGCCTCCTATAAAGTAATAATTTGTTAGAAAACTCTGTAACCATCAAAACCAACAAGTAAACAGAGACTTGTCAATTCCAGAGCACTGGTCATCTCGAACTGCAAGACATGCCACTTGCTTCTCGTTAAGAGAATTGCGGGTGTGAAGGAATTACCTTCAACTCAGTGAGTGTGAAACCACGGCCAGCTCGAAGGCGGCGGTTGTACTTGATGGTAGGGCATCGGACTACGGGTCGTAGCTTGTCGACGGGTCGGGGAGCGAGGGCAGCAGCCTTAGCAGCGCGGGCCTTGCGACGAGCGATCTTCTTGGTGGGCTATGATTCCAGAATTCTCGAGTTAGAATGCGTTCAATTTCGTGTTTTCGTCTAGATCCAAGCACGGATCTTTCCTGCTGCGTACCTGGTCGAAGTGGCATCGCACCCGCCTTTGCCAATCCTTGCGGAAGTCTATTTGCCATGTCAATCGGTTTGTCCCTCAGTCCAGGCGGATCAATCGACCGATACGTTGCGGTCATCACAAGTTTCGGGGTCTGGGGGGAAGCGTACGGTTCTTCTCTGCATGGCTGTTAGCAAATACAATATTCCTGTGGGCGGGTAAGAAGCGGGAGCTGCAGACGTACGAATCTGGTTGTTGTGCTTGATCGCCTAGATGACAGAGAAGCGTCAGTATTTGGACATTTCTCTACTATATAACGAGACAGACAGAGCATGCTGTCGGCGGTGGCGGCAACATACCATTGTGACTGCGTGCGGTCAAGATGGGGGAATGGTCGGAAAAGAAAGAACTTGTCGCGGGTCGTCAATGTCTCCAGATTGAAGCACCAGAAATTCACAAGAGGTAGGGCCCGCACTTTCGTCTTGACCGGCCGGGTTTTTTTTGGTGTGGCTAGAGATTGTGGGTGTGGCTCACTGATAAGCGATACTGGACCTAGGTCCACTATGTGTCCCGCCTGCTATCATTGAGGTGGGGCTTAGGCATTTATTTAGGGGACGAGACTCATTGGCTGATTAGGTAATCAAGTAACCTCGATCAAGCCTCGTTAAGGTATCTAGATCTAGTAGGTATATACTCATATCACGTCGAGGCGAAAGAGCAATTTCGGGCGTTAGAGCTTGATTGTTTTATCTATTATGAATCAGCATCTCAACCTGCCAGGTTACATTCTAGTCGTGGCAGCATATCCCGAGTGATCAACATCTCTATATCAACCGAGCCCCCTCCTCAGCAGAAGTGCTTGTTCGTGTAAGCACAGGTACTCGTCTGTATGGTAGACAATCTTGGTCAGGACCTAAGTCCTAATAGCTTCCATACCCATTTTAGTCTTCGAATTCGACCTCGAGCGTGCAGTCTTGACCTTGGGAGATAGCAAGCTGCACTTGTTTGCGTTGGGTATCCCCATCCATCTTGAGAAGGTCGCAGCTCAGGGTATTATTGGCCCAGGTGAACCAAGCACAGGTTAACTCGATCCTGCCGTACCCGCCATGGGCAGCAATGAGGTGTTTCTTGACAGCAGACATAAGAATGTCGACGACCACGGTAGCAGCCGAGTATATCGAGATGTCAAAATCAACCGCATTACTAGTTCCACATTCGCTTGAATAGGGGCTGCAGTCGGTGTGCTTGAAAGTAACGAGTATTAAGCTCATCTTGTCGTTTGATGTAGTTCAACGAAGCTAAAACACCTTGAGTAAGTATTCATCTGTAGTTCGGTGTCTTGAGCATATCGTTAACATACCGAAATTTCCATTCGAGAAGATGCAACACTAGAAAGCGTAGGCGCTAATCCGTGATGATAGTGCTGTCGATGATGAGAGGGGAGTTCTGATGCAGTGGAGATGTGGGAGTTGTGTCTGTGAGAAGATTGTGGAAGGTGGAGGAAGTGTTGAACTTGGTAGGTAGGTGATGCCCAAGGTTGCTTGCAGGTACAATTCTTCTCATGAGTTGTTTGTTGCTTGACGCGGCAGAATGTTCCGGTTGCTGGGATACTGTTCAGGTTTGGATGTACCAACGTATCTAAGGTTAGAAGTGGAAAGCACCAATTTTCTACATCAGTGCAAGTACTAGATTGACTCGACATCTGTCCGGACCGTGTCTCTTGACAGTTGTATATTGACATTCCTTGACTTATTAGGGGCTTCTATCCATTACTTCTAGGTGCACACGGTTATCATCTCACACCTTCCGCGCATTTAGTCTCACTACAATGAATGTGATTTTACATGCTCTTACACAAACTAAGGAAAGACTCGGTCTTAACCCCCATCAGCAACAGTAGGTACTGGACTGAGGTGATTAGCCGATGAGGTGACCTATTCACTGGCATGCTCACTCTATTTCAATTAACCTAAAGGTAACTATCTATATCTATACATATTGTCAGAAAGGATGTACAGGGTATACATTAAGATTCATTGTGGCACAATGTCTAAAAGGTAAAAGGTCATGAGTCTGAAGGTATTCAGACTTCTCTGGTGTATCTCTTTGTCTCTCTGTCTCCATACCCCCGATACCGATATCACAGTAAGGAGAAAAAAATTAGTATGGGTAAATAATGGTAATGATTTGATAACCTATCAATAAGTATCCATCAAATCTTCCACCAATTTTGCCAGATCAAATTCGTCCTCATTGTACGAAAACAATAATAGTTCTATGCTAGATAATTACGGCAATATACCGGAAATTCTCCGAATCTCATCCTCATGCCAGAACCGTAACCCACAGGTGCACTATCAAGGGTCCAGGGAGCAGAGAACAAAGAGATATATTATATATAGCCAGAAGAAGTCTGACTAATTACCTTTGGACTTCTGACCCCTTTAGACCTTGTGTCACAATGAGAGTCTAATTGTATATCTTGTGCATCCTTGTTAACATGCGTTGTTGATGTAAGCACAATTTGTAGACCTAGTATCGTTTTTAGTCGTCTCGGTCTTGGACTTGGTCTCGGTCTTTGGGTTCCTGGCTCTTGAAGCAAACGTGGAGCTTGCAGCTTTGACTCCGAAGTTTAGCAAGCTGTAGCTGTGCGCGAAACGCCCCTTCCGACATATATAGAAGATCGCCCCCCTTGCACCCCTCGCCCCAGATGAAGTAAGCAGCACACACAATAGGGCGGCGTCTTAGGTGAATAAGGACTGAATCGGCGGCAAACTGATTGACAGCATCCTGGCAAGCATTGACAAACTTCGTTTTGTCGGCGGCACCACTTAAGGGGATATCAAAGATGACCGCGTTGCTGACCTCACACTTATCCATATCGTCAAGTGGGTTTACATGTTCAAAATCCACCAGCATCAAAGTGGGGGCCATTATGTGACAAGATTTGGAAGCTAATTAGCAGCCTAACAAAGTGTTATTGGTGACGAGAGGAGGTTTGATGTAGCGATAGATATAGCAGTTATATTTGCAAATGACAATGTAAGATAGAGGAAAGCGTTAAATTTGCTAAGTGGGTAGAATCTAAGACATTTATTTATACGCGTAATTTGTTTGATGAGTTATCTGTTGGGGGGGTTATTGTTTGTATACTACTCCACCGTCACCAACACTCCCTGCCCTGGGCTCCCTCGCATGGAAGGGATGGGGCCTTTATATGTATTTTAACTAACTAGTCGAATCGGTGACAGTTGGGGCTACTTCTATTTTGGTGTATGTCCCTTCTATGCCAGGGAGCCCAGGGCAGGGAGTATTGGTGATGGAGGTGGAGTCCTGAATGTATCGTTCAATCTACACAACGACAAATTCGTCCTGAGGAGTATCTGCTTGGCAGCATGCGTTGGTTGCTGCGAGTTTCTTCGAGACTCGAATGTTTGATATTCCCACATACTTGCTGAATGCTAAAGTTGATTGCGTTAGGAGAATGGAGTGGATCGGTCTTACGCCCCAGCACGTGGCTATTTTGGGAGATAAAACTAATCGCTCTTTGATGTTTTGATGAGGCTGCGGATGATGTTTCGGTGGCTCTTAGGGTTGGGAAGTTCGTACGAATGCATCAATTCCGAGAAGAATCCAGAGTACCTGCAACATGTAACAGAGTTAAAGGATGAAGCCGTGGTTACTGATAGTGTATCTGGTTCTGATCGGTGTACGGAAGCCTTTGAGAGACTGAATACAGGAAGAACAAGAGTGAAAGTTGTTTTGGGGGTTAGTAGTTAAATGCGCTACCTAGGAGACATGAGAAAATTCAAGGTCATTGTACAGATGTGAATTTACCATTATATCCAGATACCCTTCACACAAGCAAATTAGGATGAATAACCTCGTCGGGCTGCTAGCTTGCCCATATATTTGCAACTAGAGCAAGAGCTGGTGACAGGATCTGGGACAGAACCATTGGCAGTGTGAACAAGTGCTGTAGCTGGCCCAAGGTCTTCATCAATATGTCTCATATAAGCCAGGGCTGAAGATTCATATCTCATTTTGGTTGGGTGTACAAGCGAAATACCTATGCAGATAACAGACATAAACGGTGCCCGTGCGTTCAGCGTGTGTAACAACAATAACAAACGCGTGCGATGAAAGAATCTTGGACAGCTACCTTAACCAGAACTTAGGCAGCAGGACCATTGGCTCCCAACTAATGGAGAATATGAATATTCAGCTGTATTTGTATGTACCTATCTAAGGACACCAGGAGTTGATTTGATTCAAGCCACTCTACTACTTCTTTCTTCCATCCTTTTACCCCCTCTAAGAGTTCCCAGCAGGGCTACAGTACAGGTAGGTACTATATATACGGCATGGCGTGCCTTCCATCACACTCTACCTACCTCAATAGGATTTCTCTTGGTAGCAAACTTCCTCGCACGTCCTTTACATCTTCCAATTTGATATCGATTTCTGCTTTCCCAGACAATCAACATTCCTTGTGAGGGCCTGCTTAAGTACATATCACCAACCCACCCACAATATGCCGCCTAAAAGAGGTTCTGAGCCAACGAGCTTAGACGATCTGGAGAAGCCAGAAAAGAAGGCGAAACATGAGAACCTAACTCTTGAGGCGGAGTACGCGAACCCTCAACCCCCCAAGACGCGAGATTACAATGCTAATCGAACAGGCTGTCCGAGCTCGCGGCCCTATCTGATGTCGTTGTGCGATGCGGAAGCAAAGAATGGAATCTTCACGGGGCTGTTCTAGCGCGGGGAAGCCAATGGTTCAAGAGAGCCTTGCTGTGCTGTTTCAAAGTATGAATGGCCCTTGCCGGTCGTCGATTGTACGTGTTTGATATGACTAACTCTGTGTAGGAAGGTAAAACCAGAGTCATCAACATCGAAGGGTGGAATGAAGAGCAGGTTGGCATCGTCATTGAATGCATATATAGTGATGGTATTTCGAGCCGTCCTCTACAGATTGACCGGTCCCGTTGATCGCTGACTACTATACTGGCAGGCGCCAATTGGCAAAAGTTCCGAAAGTCTCAAACATTCACGGGCCACTGCAGTAAGTAACAGGCTTCTCCACGTTTCTAGCATCCAATTATCGTGCATAGTTTCTGACTTTGGAACATCCTATAGTGGACGTGTTAGATTTGGCCGACTATTTCTTGATACCTGAGCTAGGCGAATCGTCAGAGAAGGCCTTTACGCGCATGGTATTCTCTATGTTAGTTCATTTCCAAAGACCTCGTCAACACCAAGAGGAACAAGACAAACAAGATAACCGCGAAACCGAGGAGTTTCTAGCCATCGTTAAGGAGGTAAATCTACACGACGATTCGCCGTCACGCAGGGCGTTTCAGCCTACTGCCTTGACGGCCCTGCATTCTGCGCAGTATCGGCTTACCGAGGGCATTCTTGCTGCTTTCATAGATGAAATGCCGTTAGTTGCTATCGATCTGCTGAAATTCGGCCTCACCAAGCGTTCCCCTAGAACCTATCCGGATCGGTGCGATATATGCTGTAAATCAGTTGAGCAAATTGGTCTTGGGTTCTCTATCGTGGCCTTGGAACTTGTCTACGGATCCCTCAAACTCAAAGGTGTCTGTTGCCGCTGCGACAAGAACTGTCAGATGTACGGAGTTTCAGATGATTAGATTTTGATGACTGCAATCAGAATATGATGCGGATAAGTCGGATTGGTAATGATAAGCAGCCAATTGGTTATTTTAAAAATAGTTTAGGCCTTTGTTACTTGAGTATCTGACTATTTCAACCGACGGGGTGTTTTTACGAGCTGAATCAACAACACCCATTCTATCACACACCTCGGTATCTACACCTGCAGTATAACACTGGACAAGATCACGACGCCGCGCTCCAGGAATAGCGCTGGGATCACTAGGGCTGAGCGCGATTGGCAGAAGGGCACAGACAATATGAATGGCGACGAGGCGATTAGTCACGATGACGCGCGTTTAACAGAGCCTCGATGCCTATGGACGAGGCACAAGCAGTTAGTCACTTAACCTAATCAGTTACCAAAGGTCGTCCAATAGACATGCGCAGCTGACTGACTGACTCCCGAAATACCTAGTATAGTCCCCCAACCCAGAGGAAGGATAGCGACAAAACGAAACATGACCAGACAACCTCATCCAATAGATATACCTATAGCAAGATAACAAGAGCCCGCTAGGCTAGGTACTAAGTAAGAGAAAGGTGAAGTCGGGGCATGGCCGGATGATATCATCAACGCTTGGGCGGGACAAGGGTTGCAATCGAAGGAGACCCCCTTCTTGAAGCACATCTGAAACCCAGCACGAGAAAGACGAGCTCTGTCCATGTCAGAGCAGCTTGTCCCGACACGCCCAACAACTGGTCAGGTAATCACCGGCCGCGAAACCGTCGGTGACTCAGCTATCCAATTCTCGTATGTTGAAGGCTTCCTATTCTGGTGGGATGCAGAAGTGTGGCATTTTATTCACGATGGGCCTCGAGATGCCGAGGATCTGCGTGAGACGCCATGACACGTCATATAATGCTCAAAGCCTAGAATATGCCTAGAACATGAGAGTTTTCTTTACGTGGCTTGGCGTATATTGAATGATCATCCGTTACCAATCTCAAGGATCTAGGTAGGTATCAGACGCGGCCCTGAGCGAAGCAGAAAAGTCGTTGATTGCCTAAAGAATCGAGAAAATGACAGATCCATCGATGGCAGTGTTAATACTGTATATACACTGTATTTTACCAGCCGGGCTGGTGTCTCCAGTGACGTAGGTCCATCCACGCCCTCGGTTTCCGAATGCCTCAGAGCTGTATATTCTCTTCGCTACTTATTGAGATAAGCGAGTTATATTTCTGGTATTCTTGTGAGACAACACGACGTTGGTATCAGGTAAATTCAGCATTGGCCTCAACTGTCGATAATAAATAAATGGCGGCTTGCCTGTCTCGGATGCACCGACAACGGAAGCACGCCCATGACCATGTTCGAGTCGAATCTGGATGGACCAGTCGACATCTCCACAGTGAACGACTGGGGTGCTGCCATCTGATCTTCCCATCCACTTCTACTGTGTCCACCGTCGAGAGACTGTTTGGGACTAATTATGATAATGATTACGAATCTTCTCCGCCAACCGCCGACTTACTACACGCAGTTAAGCACCCCGTGTAGCTCCAAGTTGGGAGGTAGGTACCTAGCTGCCCTGTAAAGCCCGACCTCCAGAGGGAGGTAATAGCCTATTTAGTGTATCGCTAGGCCTTGCTACCCACTAACTACCCACTAACCAACCTTTCGTGCGCACTCCTATCTACACCTGGGCAGTAGGTAGGTATTTGATCCCTCCCAGGTTGCCTTTGCTGGCTTTGCCCTCACCTCAACCACCAACAATTTTTATTGCTCCTGGGCACCCATACATAGCTTCGATTTCTTTTGTCTTTATATTCGTTCTTCATAGAGTCCACTACCCTCTCGCCCTGCTTCGTTGGACGCCGTTACCTAATATCCCGCACCCTACCGAGAGTGTGTTCTTAGGTGACTTGGTTTTTAAAGCCGTCATCGTGAACAGCAGCGTCCAGCCTTCATTCCACAGGCACCCGCGAGATCAACCACCCCCAGCCTCGGACTTTTCTCTTTTCATTAACGCGATAAATCTTCCATTCTGTCTTCTAGCTATTGTTTCTTCTCCATTTCCATATTGGCCCTGTTGATGCGACGAGCCGCGCGCTTTTAGTGTCTATCTGTATTGTGTTGGTTTATCTAAACGTTGCCTGGTAATCGAAGTTGGAGACCGAAGGCGCTTTTGGCTGCTGGACCCCAGCCACGACGAACCTGAATCCCCCGCTCGAGGTCTTCCTCATCTCATCTTTTTTCGCTCGCCCTTCCCTCGGCTTCCCCGCGAGCCATCTGGACCGACCCATTGGTCCACGCCAAACCCAAAGCTTAATTCAATTGTCATTGTCAACCGTGCATACGAGCTGTCTCCGTTGCAGCTCACTGCCACTGCCTTTTTACTATAATTCTTCCTTTATTATTAATATTTCTCCGAACGAGGCCGTAGTTGTTTGTCCTACCAGCCGAGTCTTGGACCTAGATCATTGCCCTGAGAGCCGTGAACGCGTGCGGGTGTGTGTGCATTGTCAACGCTGCTATTGTCGCCGCTGTCGCTGTCACCACCAACATGTCGGATCATCCGTGGCCAGAATCGATGCGGAAGCGGGGGCGGGATGACGAGGAAGGGGAGCTTGATGGCGTCGCAAACGGTCCGCTCGGCTTCACTGAACATCGCAATGTAAGTGTGTGCATCTGGATATGTCGTGATACGGTTCACCAGGACTCTTGTTCTACAGGTACCAGTGGAACATCACCGAACCGAAACACTCGTAAATTCAGATGATTGACATTCTACCAGAAACGGCTGCAGTCTCTGCCGCTACGAGCATCGCCTACGCAAAAACCTCGGTCTGGCCCTTTAAACTTCTTGCCGAATGCAACCATGACGCCCTCAAACTCGGATTCCGATCCAGAAGATGCGCAGGCTTATCAATCGATGGCATCGCCTTCTATGGACGTTGACCAGGACGCCGATATGGCCGTGGATAATGTTGGACCGTCCGATATGCTTCAAAGTCAACCCGATGCGATGGCGCCGAATGTTGCCGGACGAATGCCCACGCCGATACACTGTACATTTGCAGCTCAGGTTCGAGGCAATGGCTGGGGTGCTGCGCCATCCTCAAACGAGGGCGATAACGCTACCATGTTACATAATAGCAACGTCATTCCGTCGGCTCAATCATATACCCAGCACGATCCTACTGTGCCCCGGTCGCTTGATGGAACCATCGAGTGGTCTATGGTCCAGAACCGCCGCTTGCCATCGCCTATTAGCGAAAATGGCGGTGAGGATACGCCAACGAGTCCTGGTATGGTGCTGGACAACTGCTCACCGGCTATGGCTCAACTCCAGCGCCCGCACCTACCCCACATGGCACACTCGACCAGTCCACATACGATACCACTTCACCCCAACATCCGAATGTCGCCTCAGCCCGTTGCCGACGCCGACGCCGCCATGTTGGATACCGATGGTGGCTCGCCCTCGTCGGCCCCGGCCACGCCGTCACCGCGCGGAAAGTATGGCCATAGTCGTAGCAAGCACACCCTCAACAATTGGACTCTTCAACCAGGCATGAAGAAAAGCTTCAGTATAGGATACCGAGCCGATTGCGAGAAATGTCGTATGAAGATCCCGGGACATTTCAACCACATCATCATTTCGTAGGATAAATGCGACGCCACTGGACAGAATACTAGGTGCCACGAATTGCCCAGCACAGAGACTGGATCTAGAGCCTGTGTTTCCCGCTTTGCAGGCAGTGAGCCAGATATCCATGTAATGGAGTCATAGGATGATGTCTTGGCACCCGCGTCCAGTGTTAGCAAATCACTGAAACATCAGACTCACCAACCGCGCCCACAACATTCCTGTAGAGATAGACATACCTGCGACATGGAAGTGTGTGTATCGGCTGTCCTCGCTTTGGAAGAGGCATTTTGGGGTTTAGGTATTAAAGCCCGGGAGCTGGACTCGAGTATCCTCGATGTTGTCACACGCATTGCTGCCCTAGCAGCGTGACATTTCCTTCACTCTTCATGTTCGCTAGGATCCCTGACCTGTCTGTCGAAGTCAGATCCTTGATAATCACTCTCTTCACGATATACTCCCTTAATACTCCGCTTTCTCTTCTGTTTCCCACTCTTTTTCAATGGTTTTAGATACGAACCCAATACTCTCATTATAATTGCCCATCCCATGGGCTAATTCGTTCATTCCTTCTTTCTATCTCTCACTATACCCTATTGGCACATTGTCATTCCTTTAAATTGAGCATTTCCAAGAATTTCTTAAAAATTTCGCTCGTTTTCGAAAGGGCGGAGTCACAACACGTACAAGACAGCATACAGCATCAAAGCGCGGAAGGGGGCATCATCACATCTGACAACTAGGGAATCAAACAAACACATGGGGCGAAGGGTCAGGGAAGGAGGGATGGGAAAGGCTATTTGTTTTCCTGCTAGGCGTTTTAGATGGATTATGGCGTTTTTGTTAATCGAGGCTGTCGACGACGACGATGTAAAAGAACTGAAGTAGCTCAGTTCAAAGTACCAGGAGCGATTGCTTTTGTTTGGGGGCTTGATGAATTTTGTTTTGTTTTATTTTGGTTACACCTGTTTTGCAAAAATTGATGCAATGCAACAGGCAAACACCGACACTGATACTGATATAATACTGCTCGGATTATAATACCGATGTTATGGTGTAAAAAGAATAATACATTATCAATCACAGCTACTTTATGCTTGAAGGCGTTTGTTTCTGAGTATTGCTCTTGATTTGTGGTTAGCATAGCATATTATGCACTTTTATATTATAACTATGGTATGCCTGTGTGTTATTATTTACATGCGTTGATGTGTATGTTTATACCTATATATATATATCTGGTTATATGTATATATTGTCATTGTTCTCTTCTCGCATTGCTTCATCGCCGTATTTCCAGTGTGATATAAGACGATATAAAAATATAAATACTAATCTAGCGCAATCGACAGAAGTTCCTCACGAAGCCATTCAAGTGAAGTACCGGAGACATAAAATTATATGATGTTCGAGGTAGATGAGCGGTTTCAAATTCAAGATGAGGGAGTAAAACGGGGTAGATATCAAGTGAGTGAGATGATTAAGCAGGTTAGGTGAGGAGGATATGAGCACCTTTTAGTAAATGCAATGTAACCCGCTGAACTAAACAATCTGATGAGAAATGCATAAGTATGTATGTGTGTATATACGATGACGATGTCTGTCGTCTGTCTGACTACTTAGGTATATCCAGGTAAGTAGTTTGCTTATCTAACCTCGAGAGATGAACAGTTATAGTACAGAAAGATGGTGATGGTTCTCTTTTATCCCCCTTTTCATCTTCTTTTCCTTGGACCTTTATGCCCTTATGCAGCAGAGAAAAAGAGAGAGATGAGCCTATGCCACGTACTCATTTAACTCCCTCATAGAATGATTCAACATGGTGTTGAAATAGGTAGATAGGTTCTAGTCATTTACAAGACATTCCCTTTCTTCTCGTATCGTTTCTTTTTCGACAATGCAGTCCCCTTTCCCCTATTTCTTTTCGTTAGGAAGGTGAGTTAGTTAGTTATGGCAATACATACGTACTCCTACACATAAATACCATCACATGAACCAACTAACCAATTGACTAACCACCCAACCAGTCAGTCGGTCAGTCAGTCACCCGCCTACCAAAGCCAACCCTTCTTCTTTCCTTCTCCGCTACTGCTCGTCGCAGCAGTCGTATCAAGACCAATCTGATCTAACGGGCCGCCCCTCCGCTGCGTATCCCTCTCGGACTCAAACGCAGCCTTCGCTTTATCCCGGAGAGCACTACCCACATCTCCCGCCGCCGCCGCCGTCGTTCTCCAGCGGTCATCACTCGTGCTAAGCGTTTCATCATCCCTGACATCTTCTTTCTTGAGGCCGCCGAACAACCATCCCGCGATTCCTCCTTTCTTCTCCTCCCCGCTCGCATTCTCTTCAGAGTTGGTATACGTAGCGGAAGGAGTAGCATCTCGCCCACCAGCAGGCGCAGCACTCTGTGGAGCTGAAAGGATAGAAGGCAGCGAGATGCCGGCCTCGTTGGCTTTCGCGGTGGCGTCTTCGACGAGGGCGATTTGCTCTTCTGTCGCGGTGCCCGTCATGTAGGCTAGCCGCGCGGCCTCGAGACTGTCTTCCTTGAGCTGCTTCTGCAGCGCGAAGAACTCGGTGCGTCGCTTGCGGTTTAGCATCATCATATCGACTGTTGCGTAGGCTGTGACGAGGAGGGCGATGCCTGGAAGAAGCGGGTTAGTTAGTTTCACTTGGGGTCGGGAAATGGTAGTAATGGACCCCAAAGTATAGATGCCCGCTTGCTATCGCCAGGTTGGCATGCATGAGCTGTAGTTCAATCATCCCTTCGTTTGATCTCTTTCCCATATAGACCTCATACCAGCGAAGAAAACAGCAAGCAAGCCAAGCATGGATACGCAGAATCAGACATACCGCTAAACCCAATTAACCCCATAACGGTAAACTTGTGCGCGGCATCGAATATCCGCCTCGAGTTCCCGATGAGCTGGTCCATCCGGGACACACTATGTTGCTTCGCGGCGAGATGGGCGGCGCGCAACCGGCGCACACGCTCTTCCATGGTCTCTTGCATTGCCGCAGCTCCTCCGGCTCCGGCTCCGGCTCCCGGTCTCCTCCCTATCGACGACGATGCATTGGGACTGTTGTTTGAGGACCGGCCGCTGGCGCCCGAGGCAGAAGCAGGAGGGGTGTTGTTTGATTTGGTGTGGGCGTGGGGAGTGTTGGATGTGAAGCGTGTGGCGTCGGCGACGGTGCGCGGACTGCTTCTATTGCCGGCAGCCATGATTTCCCTCCCTTCGAAACCACGTCTCTCCCTTCCAAGTTATGTTTGTTTCTCGGGGTGCCGGTTGGACAGATAGTAGAATCGGCGGCGTCGTCGGTGATTCAATTGAATTCGATCCGTCGTTGTAAAGCGGAATTTATCGGTTGTATTTAACATACGACTTTTGAAGTTATCGCAGCTAATTTTTTTAGAGCTTGTCCACACTGAACTGTATCGGATAGCTGTTTCTTGGTTGATGCTAATAAGCGGTATTGGATGTTTGATGTTCGGTTCCAATTGGCTGGGAACGGTGGAGCCAGATGTCCATTCTACCTACATCTTAGTAAAGGATCCCCGAGAATAGAATAGGTACTTAGGTACTTGCCTGTCAATGCAAGGTGCCACGGTACGGATTACAAGGTTATATATCAGACAGTAAAATGTCTAGGTGGTAAGAACTGATGTAAATCTCTAAAATAAGGTAGGTAATCTCACATTCAACTTTTGTCAGTGCCTTTTGTCACCTAGGAATAGATAAAATCATGTATATCCGGGAGTCAAAACGAGGTCCATATTGTCATAATTATCATATAGGAAGCCACCACTCGAATGAAATAGTATATTTGAGAGTGGGCGAAATAGAATCAAATCAGCTACATGGTTAACAAAGTTTCGTTTCTAATGCGAGGCCGTCAGGAGAGCGAGCAATGGCATAGATATCCATCCTTTCTCGATGTCCATGTCTTCGGCCCCATTCTATATGTTACCATCTTCGCTTCATAGGTGCGTATACACATGTAGACATCAAAAGACAATATTGAAGTGTTACTATGAAGTGATCAGTAATATAAACAGTCAAGTCTATTCAATGAAGTTTCCTCAAAATCATCGTGCTTGAGATATCACGGATGGCTCTGTAGCGCAACTTCTTGATTGTAGGGCTTCTCTCTGGGCAGGTGTTCAATAAAACGGCTTCCTCAGAGACCCAAATATTGCTTTCCCATGTAGACATGACCTTGGATATGTACCTAGTAGAAGTTGCGCATTCCAAGCTTCTGATACTCGTGATCCCTTGATCCCTTGATCCCTCCCCCCGAAGAGCAGGCAGTCACTTCCCCAAACTCAGAAGTGTCTCTCCACGACGTCGCAGAGAGAGAGAGAGAGAGAGTATGTTTCTGTTGCTCCTGCCTTCTCTTACCTGCTCTTTGGAAGTAAAAGGCCTGTAAACCCGGCAAGAGGCAGCAAGAACATACGCCATCGACAGGCGTGATAGCCCAAAGAAGGATGAAATGACGTTTTGCTCGACCTCAACCGGCTTGTCTCCTCTCCCTCTCCCTCCTATATCTACTCCTACCCCTCTTCCGCTTCTCTTCTCTTCTTCTCTCCTCTTCGTGTTCATTCAGCGGCCTCCAAAAACGTGTCCTTGTATCTAGCACTACCCTATCATGGACATTGCATGGAGGAAAGAATAATGCAATGTCACCAGGCATTGACTGTGTTGGTACTTGCGGCCGCCGTTGTGGCAGGACGTGGTCTAAAAGCACAGAACATTTCCCAGTCTCATGTGTGGACAGCAACATCTTCTTCTCTTCGTCTCCCCGGTTCCCAAAATGTAAGTCTTCCCATCCATATCGGATCCTGGCATGCTTACCATATCCTGGATCCATGATCCGGATGGAAGAACAATCAATGCCGTCGAGGCATTGACTGCCTTAAGTGTACAGGTCTGCCATCGTGGGAGTACGTAGGCATACAGCGCAAGACATTTTCACTAAAATCTGTCACCAGTCTCATAGGCCCAAGAATGTTGATATGAATTAAAAGTATGCCAAAACAACGGCTAAGTCATTGATACTCCCCTTACCGTTCTACGTCCGGGGACCTAGATATCTGTAATTGTTGTCCAAACTCACATCTAGTCATGCGTAAGCAAAGATGATCGGAGGTCATGATCTGAATAACATATTGCAATCACCGCACATATATACTGGTGGAACTATTGAACTCATGTGTCGTCAATTGAGTTTTGGAGCCTTTCTTCATATCCCAGCCTATCGTCCCTATACTCAACGATAGTGACTACCTGCCTCGGCGGAATGCTGACCCGACATAGAGAACTGGATATAGATATCGTGGGAATAAATTCGCGGTGTCATAACTTTACTGTCGGTCGCCAATTGATGCTCGTCATTTTATGCAAGACATTCTTATACATCTTCGGGATACCGCACTTGGAATAACTAGTATTCTGCCATGCTGGTAAACGGACCTTGACGGGTCGCCAAGCCTATCATGAGTTCACCTCCGTTCCTACTCACTATGCACGGCCCCTTACGGTGATAATGTTGGGACTTAACATGGCAGCCAACCCGGAGTAATACGGCATGAGTCAGGTGACGACTAACTGTGTCGCATACATCGGGTGAGCAATACAGTTGCCCCTTCTCCTATCTTGTCCTTCCGACTACAGCCATTTGAGATATTCAGATCAGCATTTCTAACGTTTCCGTCTCAGCGGTCCTTGGCCTGTAGACGATCTCGTCCTTTGGGATCCAAGTTTGTTCGGCACCCATGAGAGAGTATCTGTAGCTAGACTAGGTTATAAGGAACACCTTCCGTTCAGGACTCAGAACCTTCAGTAGACGTTCATTTGATTACAAGGACCTTTGCTAACAATCCGTTTTCTTTTTCTCAAAAGCATCCAACTTTCACAGTCCATCAACATGTTGCAAAGCTAGTCATTGAAACCACGAGGTTGCAAGAGAGATTAGTTTTATTGTTAGGTGATCTTCAGACTGCTTAGTTATAGACAAAATGCAATGATACCCAGCCGAGCAAATGTGTGTGAGTCGCTGGAGAAGCAAATGTAAGAAAATGCCACACACAGCAGTCTACAACCGCACTCAGATATAAAATGATGGATTATGATATTGTGTGAACTCTTCATTAGTCATAGGTGACCAATTGCCTTGTATATGTAAGAATTGACCTCAAATGGTGTTAAAGATGTCATAAAAAACTCTCTTGAAATTGAAGCTGTTCAACAAGAGCAACGTTGAAAGAGGTGGCTTGTACCGCACAAAGCATGATACCTGTAGATACTTATGATACCCCTGCCGTAACAGCTGCCAGTGCCGCTGATCAGGTACACCTGAAGTATCCAAGCCCACTAATGGCTCAGTGTAGGTCCCTGAGCTAGTCCCTGTTCAGGCGCCGCTAAGATGTTCCCCTGCCGGATGCAACCCACCTAATCGTGCAGCATTAAGCAGACGACACGAAACGAAACGAATCACGACCTCGAGAGTGTCTCTCGACGTGAACTTTCACTGCAGCTGAAATCACCCAACTTTTACTTCCACGTCACTCCTTTTACACAACGCAATACGATACAATACAATACATCCACCATCAACACTTCACAAGATAAAAAAGGAGAATTCCATCTCTTTATTCGCCGATACCTAGACCGAACCCATACAAGAAGATCCATAGTCAAACACCCGAGTCGCCAACATGACGCGCGCACAGCAAACCATCTCAATCGGTCTCCTCATCACCTCGGTATGCTCCTCTGGATGTCCTACATACCTAGACAAAGGCCGCAACTAACTAGTAATGGCCATGTAGCTCTACCTCGCCCTCTACCTCCAGCTCGTACCTCTGCCTGAGCTAGTCCAGACCGAGATCGTCCCCGTGGTACGTTCAAATTCCACCATGGACCTCCCTATCCTCTCTTTCCACCCCATCGTCTCGACCAGCTCTTCTTTTCCAGCACAGCCCAACACAGCTCCTATGCCACGGAGTAAACGAAGTCGGAAGATGACAATAATGCGGTTCCCAGCTAACCAATGAATCCCACAGCTCCCCTTCTGGGCCCTCGTCTCCTTCGGCGCGTACCTCCTCTTCCGACTAGGCTGGAACGTGATGACCTTCCACGACGTGCCCGAGGCGCACAAGGAATTGGTAGCGGAGATCGAGATGGCGAAGAAGGATCTGCGGCGTCTCGGGGTCGACGTGGATTAGATCATCTAATACCGAGGAGAAGCATCAACCAGATGAGAGCAACGCTGGTCGGAAATGGAAAAAGTGCCTGCCTACAGCAGAACAAATGGATTACATCGCAGCTATGCTCTATCCTGTTCTGTTCTGTTCTGTTCTGTTCTGCGCAGTCAAATCAATTAATAGCGAATCCCGTCGCGAATGGAAAGGAAAAGAATGATAATAAAAAACACTCGATTAATTACTCATTTTATTCTCGTTGTCCCTATGGATTTGCGATGTGCAGTATGGCTAGGGAACTTGCATTTTCACTAGTGCTATTCAGAAGCCTTGCTCTGCCTACCCAACCTCCTTGCCTTCGTGCGGGGAGACTTCAAGACAGAAGAAACGGGATGAAGATTTTAGTGTATTAGTCTAGCCGTATACTGGCATTCGGTCGACTAAGAATCGAAGCCCACGCGAAACCAGGCGATGTGATTAGCCATATACCTACGTGCGTGTGTACGCACACGGGTCAAATGGCACCAGGAGGTATATAATACTTCAGTGCATCATCTATGAACCTCATGTCTCGCAAGCATAAACACCAAGCAGTTTGCTACTTACTCTTCGTCTTTAATATAAGCTCCCCGGAATAAAGCAATGACTTTTCACACGGCATCAATAAGTATGTATGTGTATACACGTAATCGCCAGTTCTAACCACGGACATACAGTCCTATTTTATTCTCGCTTCGACCAAACCAAACTAACCTCCACCCCAATACGCAATGCAATATTCATGCTCATGTTCATACACTCATCTCATATCCCACACTGAACACCCTAAACAAGCAAGCCATGGGTATACACATAACAATGCCTACCGAACAAAGCACACCATCTCCGTACACCTTGAATACTCCTATCCAACCCCTTACAAGCCTCCATCGCCGACGACAAGGGCGACGACAATCTTCAGCGCCTCGAGCGGATCCCGTCCGTCGCGGAGTAATTTGGCGAACATATCTGACAGACCAGCCAAGCTGTGCTTTGTATCGCTCGCGCGCCCTATGAAGAATTCCATCAGTAAAGTGCCTCTGTGAGATGGAAAAAAAATGGAAAGGGGTGGAGCAGTTGGGATAGATGTGTACAGTGCATAGTAAAGAAGCGTGATGCAGTAAGGATGTTGACAAGGGGGGAATATATGAATAGAATAGATAGATGGTGGAAGCATGGGGAAGGGAAGAGAGGAACAGGTGGGATATAAAGCAAAAAAACACTCACACTTCGCCGGCGCACGCATCGCAAGCCCAATCTTACTCCTCGCCTCGCCCGTCCAGTCGAACTCAACCCTCCACTCGATCCGCGCCGCGAGACTCCCTTCCTCCCCATAACCATCATCATCATCATCACTCGACAAACGCAGATCAAAACACGTCCTTCCCATGCGCGCTATGACCTCCGCCTTCGACGGCCCATCTTTATCCCTCCCACCACCATCCCCTTCATCTCCACTCCCACTCCCTTCATCATCGTCTTCATCTACGTCTTTCCGAGGACGACCACGAGCTTTCTTCCTAACACCTTCTCTCATCATCTTCGCGCAGCGCATGCGTGCCTCGGAACTCCCGAGCTGTCGTTCGACATCGCACCAGAACCGTGCGCGCCGCGTCGCTATACGGACCCATTCGCCCATGGCCCACGATACTACGCCAATATTCCTGGTTAAAGCACTATTGATGCCCGCGCGGGGATGAGTAATGTTATGGATGAAAGGTCCCAGCTCGGCGACAGCAGAGGGATCGAGACGCGGCACAGAGAGCCCCGATACAGACAGCGTCTTCGTGTCCACGATCATATCGATCGAGGCGAGGAATAAACCGGGCGGCGAGGACGCTACGGATATAGCGTGATATTGCTGCAGCGGTTGCTGCTGATCATCTCTGCCCTCGGGCTGGACAGTAGTCGTGGTCGAAGTGAACGTCAGCGGCGTGAAGACCTGGAGATAAGGTAGTTCTTCGTCTGCCGTCATAGGGACAGGATGATGGGAGACAGGCAGCGGGGCTTCCTTGTCCCCCGTGTCATTTGTGCTATCGGGGGTTATCAAGGGGGGAGGCAAGACCGACCCACCGCCACCGAACGGGAGAAACGCGATCGGATTCATCGCGGCCTCAAGCCAGTCCTGCATCGGATCAGGCGGTTCCTCTTTTTCCGGCGGCAGCGCATGACGACTTAATACATCCAGTAAGCGATCCCGCTCTTCTACACCCGGAAGAAGATCTATTTCATGCCGGCGTGATCCCTGCGCGGTATACAATCTCTCGTTTTCGGCAGAAACGACTTTCAAATCATCTTCCAATTGCGCGATCTCAGCCAAAAGAGAGTCGCGCAACGCCTTCTTATCTGCGAGCGGATCCGCCTCTTCGACCTGTCGTCCAGGGTGCGACTTGCGTTTTCCACGTTTGCGTCTCGGCTCGCTTCTCAGCCCTTCTTTCGTGAGCCGCGACAAGACAGATTCCTCCGCAACATCCGTGGTGAATTCCGGTGGGCGCAGAGGGGGCTGTTTTAGGGGTGAGCTCATCATCTTCGCTGCTAGTACCTTGCTCCTCCTAGGACGCTTAGACGGTGAATTGTGTATTCCTGGCGGCGAAGTGATGATGGACGAAGGGTCCGACAGGCCCTTCTGAGTGGGTGTGGGCGGTAGTTGGGGCTCTTCAGGCAGGACCTCGGGGAGCACACCCGGTGGTGGTGATCGCCGCAGCCTTCTTCCCTTAAACGGGTCGATGAGCTCTTCTTCCTCTGCTGAAGGAGGCGGTAAGGCTCTCGGAGAAGGCTTGTTAGGCGTTCTCCTCGGTCTCATAAACAAACTCCCAGCTGTCGTCCTGACAGGGCTCTGCGGCTGTCGTTCCACGGTGGCGCTTTCATTTTCAACCCCTTCATCGTGTTGCAATCGCCCTGTTTCCGACTCATGCTCTAATTGGGCTGTGACTTGATCGGTGACACTACCATCGTCGCTCGTCGGGCTACCTGGTGCTGAGGCTGCTGGGGCTTCCAGCTCTTCGTTAGGCTGGCTTGACCTACGTCTCTGGAGAATTTCGGGGTTGGACCGCGCAAGGCTTGCTTTGGTTGGCGACGCGAAAGATGGTCGACTCAATCGCAAGGACCGCCGTGTAGCGCTGTCGGAAGAAGAAGGCTCATTGGACTCGTTTACAGGCACGCTCGTAGTGGGAGACGTTTTGCGCCGTTTAGGCGCTGATGCTTCCATTGGGCTGAAATTGTATTCGCTTCGCTTGGTCTTCAATTGCGCATTCCGAAGACGCCTAGAGCTTATTGTATGAAAGCTTGTCGTACACCAGCTTCACCTTGGCTTGGGGGGAGCTCCTCAGTCGGAGGCGCGATTGCCGGCAGTGGATTGACTATAGTAGTTTGGTGAACGCATTCGGCTTCGTACATAAGGCAGACTGTGTCGATATATGGACTGTTAAACCAAAGCTGATTTATTAGTAGCTCGTGTTGTGTTGTTCGCAGTGTTGTTGACTTTGCACTTCTCAAGATAATCACATGCACTAGACGCGTCCCGCTCGCCGGCCTGTTTGGAGATGTCGATACGCGAGCTAGAAGACCCCACCCTAGAAGTACCCTTGTATCCAAATTGGAATTACCTAATCCAGGTCACAAACAAAACACAGCACAACAACATGAAACCGAAGTAACGGGCAGATACGGGGTCACGTGAGATATATTGCCGGAAACTTGCAGGTCTTGCCGAGATTGGCCGAATGACGTTGCGGGTCTCAAATGCCCGCCGCATTTTTTGTAGGAGCCAATTTACCGGATCTCGCGACCGGCCATTTACAACCTCATTCGCATAATTACAAGCCTATCTTTAAGATTTACCTACCTCACTCATTAAGCTATCCAACCTTTACAGACACTATCTTTTTATCCATCGCAGAACAATATCTTCTACAATGCCGCCGAACATGAAACCATTAATGCGCGTGGCGCGGCTCCAATCCGCACTGTCGCGCACCCACTACCCCCGAGCATTCGCTTCCAAAGGGGGGAACCCGCTCCCAGGCGGCACGCCGGGCGAATCGTCGACGCAGGCAATGCCGATAGGCCCGTACTACGAGTCCATGCTCACGGACCCGCAGCCCATCCCCAAGGCGAAGCCCGAGGCACCGCCCGCCTCATCGCCCAAGTCTCCGCGCGCGAAGAAGGCCGCCGCCGAGCCGAAATCGAAGGCGAATGACAACAGCGGGGGATCTTCTTCATCATCATCAACAGGTACTGCAACATCCACCACCACCACCACTTCTACTTCAACTTCAACTTCCACAACTTCTCCTCCTTCCATCACAAACGCCACGACGGGAGTCCCGCCGCAACCCTCGGCGGAGCCCGCCACGGCGCAGGAGAAAGCGCGCATCATCTTTGGCTCCCGTCTCGCTGGTCCGGCGGAGCGCGCTGACCGCTTACAGGCCATCCGCGATCGTAGCACCCTGGTAGCAGGCGTCCTGGTGCCGCCGCGGCCCGAGGAGCCCGACAACTGCTGCATGAGCGGGTGCGTGAACTGCGTCTGGGACCGGTACGGGGAGGAACTCGAGGAGTGGGCGGCGGCGTCGACGCGGGCCGAGGCCGCATTACAAGCGCAACAATCACAGAAAACGAAATCAAAGACAGTTGGAGATGCGAAAAAGACGACGAGGCCACCACCGTCAATAGCTATGAGCATGGACGACGACGGCGGCGGCAGCGAGTCGCATTGGCGACAGCCCTCTGGGCAGGAGAAGGAGGAGATAATAGCCAAGAAAGCAGATAACAAAGGTCCTCCCAAGATAGCTAAGGATCTCTGGGACGACGAACTGTACAGTAATGTCCCCGTCGGGATCCGCGAGTTCATGAAGCAGGAAAGGCGACTCAAGAAAAAACATGAAGAAGAGGGCACGTTTGGCGCTTAGAACAAAGACAAGAGCATTCAGATGCGAACAGTTTTTTATTTATTGATTGATTTATTTGTTTATACACCTGTGTTTATCACTTGCATTATGGAATCCAACGATACGATACCCCCATTCATCCTCGAATAGATCCACGCATAGAGGCTCTGTGCGTACGCAGCTAGCTATAGATACGGTATACATCACTCTTTGATTCTTGATGATATTTTTCATTCTCTTCTTCATCACCCCGTTCATTACTTGATTCCTTTCTCGTTTATTCTTGTTTGTTTTATTTCTCAGAGTCTTGGTACGTTCATTCGTGCCTAGAGGTAAAAAAAAAATTCCGAGGGGAATCGTGGCCGTCTATCAATCAATCAATCAAACATTACACTCTAATGTTTTTCGCCGTGTCTTGCCCCTATCTGTAATTTCTCGACTAAGCCCCAAGCCAAACACCGTTACCATCCCATTACCCAGACATTCACATCCCTATGTATGCAAAGATTTTTTTTTTCCGTCTTCTTTTCTTCTTATCATTATACCAAATTTTCATTACGCTGTAGCTGTCTTGTTCTTCTGTTCAGCCGCGAGTCTGTCGTGCTCGTCGATATCCATAGCTTCCCATGGATAGCAGATCCAGACGTCGCCGACGGTTCGGGCGGCGATATATCTGGAGTCATCTATGGCGTCGGCGGGCAAGACACCCTTCTTTGTCTTGTCCTTGTTCTGTTGTACCGGGTCAGTCAGTATGTTGTTGCAGCACCATCGCCACTAGCCACCAACCCTCGGCCCTGATATAGTGATTCCAAAACTATGCGCACTCACATGTAACACAAAGATGCTGAACTCTGTCTTCTCACCCTCGCGACCAAGCTTCTTGGAGACCTCCTCGACGTCCTTCTGCAGCTCCTTGACAGCGTATTCGAGGGTCGTGCGGGTGTCGTCGACCTCATCAACGATGAGGATGCGCTTGCCGACGAGGTTCTCCATGCCGCCGAGACTGGTGAAGTCGAGCCATTGCGTGCGTGTGACTTTGGTGCCGATCTGGTCGACCGTGCCAGCCGTGGTGTCGGCGTGGGTGACGGGCAGCTCCTCGTACAGCGACAGACCGATGGCCTGGATGGGGATGTTGGGGGTTCCAGGCTGCTTCAGGAAAGACCGTAGGATACGGGCGGGAACGTAACCGCCACCACCGATGGCGATCATGAGCTGCGGCTGTAGGGTTTTGAGCATCTGTGGTGCCGCCTCCTGGCAGAGCTTGTGGACCTGTAGGGGTCGCACATGACGAGGTCAGCAACACGGTCGGTGTGTTTTATTTTGTTTTCAGATGGTTCAACAACAGCTATGCTACAGGGATGGGCATGGGTGCGTGAGGTATCGCAAGAAACCCGACAGACGAGCTGCTTGTGCCATGACATGACTCCATAATGCCGCCGGTCATGCATATGTGCGTTCAACAGCGCCTGCATTGCAAAGGCGCTTTGGGCTCGGAAGCTGTCGGTTGTGTGATAGTTGTGTGATGGCTGTGTGATAGCTGTGTTGTAGCTGTGTTGTAGCTGTGTTGTAGCTGTGTTGTTGTAGGCAGGAAATATGCAGGTGAGGTAGGTAGTGAGGAGGGGGATCGTATCGCGGGGCACATGGGCTTGATTGAACTCACATCGTTGTAAGTGACGTAGACTTTCTCCACCATCTTGACGATTCTATGTGTGTGATGTGTTGCAAGTCTGTAGGAAAAGAAGAAAGAGAGGAAATGGCTTGCTACGCGACCCAATAAATAAGACGAAATAGCAGACACAGATAGATGAAGAAGGCAAATTTACAACGGGGGTTTGTTTAAGTGAGTCGGCCGAAAAGAAAGGTTGAACCCTGATTTTAAGAAAGAAAAAAAAAAAAAAAAAGTTTCGAGTCAGAGCTGCAGCAACGGTTTAGCGCGTTACCGCAGTGGGCAGTGACAGTGGGCGATAGTGGGGTAACAGCGGCCTTAGCAGTCCTTAGCAGCACTTAGCAAGTCTCTCAACAGCGCTACCTACCTGAAGGCCTCACTTCTCAGGCGGAGGCCGTAGGTTGCCTGAGGTTGTGCGCGGCGACTAGATCTCCCTACCGAGCTCCCTACCTCTTCCGTGCATAAGTAAAGTACCTACCTAGTAGCAATGTATGTATGCTATTTAGGAGATATTACTGGGTTCTGCAGATGTTGCTGATAGGGATGTGGATGGCGGGAGGGGGAAAAAACGAGGCAGACATGCATGTTTCAGAATAACAAGCTGCAGCGGCCCTCGCCGATGCTTCTGCGGGCGCCGGGCAAACACATGATGCAACCAAACATACATGTACAGTAAAGGTATCTCCAAGCCCGTGGTTAGCAGGCGGTCTCCGGGCGTATTCCTATTCCTGATGGAGGGATGAGGGATGGGGGATGGATGAATGGAGACGTTGAAGAAAGAGGTGGAGGCGACCAGGGTCGTGATGATGGATCAGTACTGTACTTACTGATGGATGATGGGCATTCCCTTACCCCGCCACTCCCGTCCAATCGTGTGCACACAACGCACAGGAATCGCCTGAATAGGCAAGTCCTTAGCAAGCAACAAGCGATGACACCCTTGCATGCCCTTGTGCCCTTGTCCGCCCTGGCCTAGCTGGCGACCTCGTCGAGCTCGTAAACTGCTACCGAACCATTTCAGTCTACCATCAGAGGGCGCGGAAGTATATTAAGAACGCTGACTAGGTCAGTCCCGTGGCAAGCATCTGCTTGTGTCAAACTTGCTGTGATGCCACTTAGACGACACAGACGATGTATATGGATAGATTACCATATTCTACTATTTCTATCAAGCTTTGCTAAGTTCTGCAACCACCGAGTGTCAATTTCTATTTCCCATGTACAGATATATATCAAAGTACATGTATATGAATGTCCCTAAGCTAAGTTGAAGAATCACAATAGCTCAAAGAAAGTCTTGTCCGCGCTTTGCAAACCCCAAATTACCCTAGGTATAAAGCAATGAGATGATAATTGTCTCTCGACACGCGACCGATCTATGCATCGTTATGTAGAGAAGAACTTTAATCATTTGCTGGATATTTATTCTATCTGCTAACAGCGATCATCAAGTTTGAAGAACAAGATATCTGATCTTAAACATCCTATGCTGTGAAAATCCACAAAATTTCGCTAGTAGCCACAGTCATTGCCAATCTTGTAGCATGGCCTCTCTGCCCTTGACCTGCCCCCAGATATTGTAAACAGAGAAAATCTAAGTTATAAGGCGTATATAGGTTAGAGCTTTTTATACGTTCCTACATGCATTACTAAGATCAGGTACAAGATTTGTGGTAGACGTCTATAAAACTTATTCACTTGCAAGTTTCTACTGAAAAGCCATAATCAATGAGAAAAGACTGGGTTTGGTGATAACGTTGACCTGACGAGCCTCGCATGCAAGCCCTATATATTTGACAGCCTTCTTCTATTTAGAAGCGGCTTTAGGGTTAGTATGATTCTGCCAGTATGTCTACCTTTCCACCGGCAAATCCCACAGATCATCGAATGCCAACCGGACTAATACTTTTCTCTGTTTAAGAATGCCGACCGTGAGATAAAGGCATTGATACCTTCTGGCTGCAATATCCAGGCATACACTCGGAAATGGTACGACGTCTCGAAGAATCGAGAAACAAGAAGAAAACCGGTTTCGGTAGGAGCGATGGGGGTCTGCCGCTTGAACTGAGGTTCATAATATATGACTTCGCCAGCCCGGAAGGTCGTACAAGCAGGAATTCTACTTTTGTTGGGCAACCCGTCATGCCCCGATTAGAAGCTTGATATTTAGTGTTGACGCTGACCCTGGCTTTACCATGCGACTGAAACAATTCAAGTATCCTCGAATTGCAAGCGCCTGCCAGGACATGAGGCAATACGCGATGGACAGATACCGAATCATATGTGTCAATTACTCAATATACCCAAAGCGTGATCCGCCATTGTGGCCCAAGAAAGACGTCTCTCAGCTCGGGTTTTTCGACCCACGTAGGGACTCCCTCAGCTTCCCCATTCATTATCCGTATAGGGGATGCAGAGCAGTCTATTGGCGGCCCTTTAACATCTTGGGAGTTCGAGTAGCCCAAGACGCAATGGTGGAATGGAGCAACCCTTTCAGTGTTCCCAGGCCCCTTCACCCGAGCTCTAATTACCGGTTTAAGAATTCCAAGCGGATTGCACGTACCGGTATATGCAGTGACAGGCCCATCGCGAGTCAAGCAGTACCGCCCCGTGGCAAAAGAGCAATGTATTGATCTTGAAATTGAGGTTATCTGGGCGCCAGAATCTGAAGCACGGCTGAAGGTCCTGTTTGGATTCATGACAAAGAATGAAAAAGACGAGTTCATTTACATGGAGGAGCGCGGTGAATAGCGTGGATTAGAAACGGTTCCCTTTCTTTAGACTGTAAGATGTACAGTTTATCTTTGGAGACGTCCAGCAACTACTTTAGACCAAATAAATGCAACAGAGGAGAGAGAGATTTACATTGAATCTATATACGATCCCATGCTAGCTAGGACTCCAAAACAACGCTTTTGCTGGCTCCCATCTTCTAATAGATGCATATATGAGTTACGTGCTGTGACGGAGCGGCGCGGCGCTTTCACCAGCGGCATAGCGCTTTCGCTAGTGGCGCAGCGCTCCTGGCCAGTGGCGCAGTGCGCCCCTGACGAGGGCGCACTGCGCCCCGGCAGAAGCGTACCTATAAGGGCGCTTCTGGTAGGGGCGCTATGCTCCGAGGATTAGCCGGAACGCCTATATAGTTAGAATTTTCTACGTACTTTATTACGGGATTAATAATAAAACAACGCTTTTAATTTAACTTTAAAAACGTTACTTAAAAATGCTAATTCGATTCTATTAATTATAAATATCTATTAAAGTTATAAGCTTAATTTATTTATAAATTAGGTTTCTAATTAAAATTAATATTCTTTTATTATTAATTATATAAAATATATTTCTTTCTTTTACCCTTTAATTATTTAATATTTATAAATATACTTTATAAATATATAATATTTAAATTAAATTTAATAAAGTTTATTATTTTAAATAATGCTATATTATATTTAATTAAAGATTAAGCTAATTAATTTACCTATTTTTAAATATATATAAAAGTATATAATATTTAAAAGATAATAAATTTAAATCTTTTATAAATATTTAAAAAGGTTAATATTTTTTTAAACCTTTAAATACTTTTAACTTTAATAAAAAAATTTATAAAGGAAAATATTATAATTTAAAGGAAAGTAACCTATATTAAAGCTATAATTAAATAAAAGTTAAAGTATAATAATTTTAATAAATTAATATTAATTTTAAATAAAAATATTAATAATAAAAAGTTTAAAAAATAATATAATAATATTATAATAATATAATTATTAAAAATAGTTTAATAAAATACTTTTATAATTAAATATAATATATTTTTTAATTAAATTAATTATATAATTAATAAAAATTGCTTTAAAATTGCTTATATAATAATTATTAATAATAATAAATTATAAATTTAAAACTTTATTAAAGCATTTTAAAATATTATTATTTTATTAAAGTTTAATATTTTAATAATAGTTTAATAGGATTATTATATTATATTTAAAAGGGTAAACGTTAAAAGTATTAATATAGTAAAATAATATTAAAAATAAAATTTAATATATTAATATATTAAAATAAAAGATATTTTAAATATTAAAGGAATTTTAATAATAAAGAACTTTTTAAAAGTACTTTTATAATATATAATACTTTTATAAATAAATATATAATTAATAAAAGTTACTAAAGATAAAATATTAAAAAGATTAATTATAATATTAAATAATTTTAATAAAATATTTAAGAGCTTTATTAATAAAAATAATATATAAAAGTATAAGGGTATAATAATCTTTATAATGTTTAATATAACCTCTTTAAATAATAATTTAAATAATAATACCTTTTAAAAATCCTTAAAAGCGTATAAAAAAAAAGGGATATTTATACTTATATATATTAAACTTTAAGGAAATATATTTATAAAAATTATAAAAGTATAAAAGATTATAATTTATAATTATTAAAAAAAGTAACCTACGCTTAATAAAATTATTAAATAAATAAATTATTAAAGATATTAAAATATATTATAAATATATTTATTAAAATAATTTATATAAAATTATTTCTATTAATAAATAAAAGATTACTTATAAAGGAACTTTATTTAATTAAAAATTAAATAGGAAAAAGAAATTCCTTAATAAATAAATTATATATATTATAATTAATTTAACGTTTTTATTATTAAAGGTATACTTAATAAAATTTAACCTAAAGGAAAAGGAATTATACTTTTATTATAAATAGTACTTTAATTTTATATAATTTTAATAGTTTACTATTAAAAAGTATTTAAAGCATTAAGGTATATTTATTTAATATTAATAAAATTAAAAAAGCATTTATTACTAATATAAATAAAAGTAATATAGTTTTAAAAAGCTTTTAAAATATTAAAGCATCTTTATATAATATAGCTTTAAATAAATAATAATAATAATCTATATATTAATATATTCTATTTCTTTAAGCTATAATAATAGGAATATAATATTTTATAAATTATATTTTATACTTTTATATTAAATTATTAATAAAAATTATTTTATAAAAATAATTATTAACTTATTTTACTTTTTAAATAAATTTAATTTAAAAGTATATTTAATCTTTAATTAAATATTATATATATTATTAAATAATATATTTATTAATAATTATAACGTATTATATTTAATAAATTAAAAAGAATTATTAAAATTAAGTATATTTATTTTAATTAAAAATAATATAATTTTTAATTTTTAATATAAGGAAAAGGATTATTAAAAATATATTTAATAATAAATATAAATTATATTTTATAAATTTAATATTTATTAAAGTAATATTTATTAAAGGCTTTTATATTAATATTATTTTTAAAATATATTTATAAAATAATAAAATTTAATATTATAGTTTAAATTATATATTATACTTTAAAAAAATTAAAAATAATATCTTTATAATAAAGCTAATTAAATAATATAACCTAATATTCCTTAAATATAAACCTATTTTTATTTATTTAAATAAATCCTTTATAATATTAATAATAAATTTCTTTATAAAAATTTTAACAAATATAATAAGATTAATTATAAATATTAATAAAGCTAAAAAATAAAAGTATTTATAAAAGCTATTAAATAATCCTTTAAAATTATAAAAGGATATAAAAATATTATAACATTTTAAATTAAGATATTTAAAATTATATATACTTTAAACATTTATATATAGGATATAGAATATAAAAATATTAAATATACCTAGATTTAAGTATAAAAATTATATAATAATATATATTTATTAAATACTTTTAAAGAAGATATTAAAAAGGTACTTTATAAAACTATTTTAAAAAATTAATTAAAACTTATTTAACTATTTAAAAGGTTATAACGGTATAAATTAATTATTTATACTTAAAGATAAATTTAATAATTATATTTAAATATACCTATTTATAAATAAATTATTAAATAAAGTTTTTAATAAATTATATAAGTTTAAGTATTAAATAATATACTATTTTTAACTTTTTATTTATAAGTTTTAAAGTAATAATAAAAAAGCAACAATTATAATAAAAAGCAAAATATGCTATAAAATTTAAATAGAAAATAAAGGAATTAACGTTAAACTCTTTTTACTTTATTAAAAGGAAGGTTTTAAAGGAACTAAAAAAATAAAAAAAGAAATAATTAAAAAAGTGCTAAAAATATTATTTAAAGCAATATTCCTAAAAAAAGTTATAGCTTAAAGCAGCTTAAATAATAGCCTAACTATATAATATAAACCCTTTAAAGGTATATAATTTATATATACTTTATAAAGTATTAAAATATTAATTTGCTTAATATTTTTAATAATATATATTTAAAAAAATAAAGGAATTAATAAACAATTTAAAGCTTAATTAAAATAGCATTTATATATATAAATATAAAGTATACCTATTAAAAAAGGATTATAATATAAATAAATATAAATATAATTATAAAGTTAAACCTTAAATATATATTAAATATTTAATAAAATATAAATTAATTAAAGTATATTAAATATAAATACTTTAATTAAAGAAGGTTATTATTATTAAAAATATAAAATTTAATAAAAAACTTTATTATAATAAAAAATAAAAGTATTTAATAATAAAAGTTATTAAAACGTATATAAAACCTTTATAAATTATAAAAAAGGTTAAAAACTTTAATAATATTAAAGATATTTAATTAAAAATAAAGGATATAATATTTAAATTAAATATAAACGCTTTTATTAATAATAGGGAAAAAATATTATATAATTCTATTAAGCCTTTTATTACCTTTTTAAAGGAGCAAAAGTTAAAGGTAGGTATACTTAAAAATTAAAAGAAAGGATCCCTTAAAGGTTTATAATATAAATTTATAATTTTTTAAAAAACGCCTAAGTTAAATAGGCATTATTTTATAATAAAGGGTAACTTTAATAATATAAATTAAATAAAAAATAATATACTTTAAAGAGCTATTATATTAAATATATAAAATAATAAATTACTATTAATAAATATACTTTTTATATTTAAAGTAAAGCTTTAATTATTAATTAAAAAACGAAGATATAAATAAAGGGTATTCCTTTTAATAATAAAGTTAAGTTAAAAAGTTAAAAATATAGCCTTAAAGCTTTAAAATAAAGATTAAAAGTATTTAAAAAGAAATATTAATACTATTATTTTTTTAATTATAATATTTTTTAATAATAAAATATATATCCTATATAATAAATATTAAAAAGTATTCCTATAAATATTTTTATTAAATATAATAAAGGTATTATATTAAAGGGATAAAGAATATAAAACCCTTTATACTATATTTATAGCTATAGTTATTTATAATAAAAAAGTATAGTTAAAATCTTATTAAAGGTATATATATTATAGTAATTTAAAAAATCTGCTATTTAAAAGTTAAAAAGATTTTAAAATATATACCTTAGGAAAAAAGTTTAAAAAAAATACTAAAAAGGAATTTTAAAAGTTAAAAAATATAAGCGCTTTAAAAGTTATACCTAAAAAGTAATTTAAGGATACCTTACTATTATTAAAATAAGTATTTATTTATAAGTTTAATAAAAAGGACTATTTAAAAATATATAAATTATAAATAATTATAAAAGGAAACCTTTAAACGGAAGATATTTTATAATTAACTTATATTATAACTTTAATTATAAAAATGTTTAAATTAATAATAATATTAATAGCGTATTTAAACTTAAAAATTAAATAATATAATATAATAAAAGCATTTTTAAATACTATTTAAAAAAAATAAAGCATAATTATAATAAATCTCCTTAAGGGATTTATAAATAGAAATAAAATTAGTTTATTAATATATACTTTATATAGGTTATAAAATTTACTATTGCTATAATATAAAAAGTTTATAAAAATATTTTAAATTAATAATATAATTACTTTTTTAAAAAAGCTATATTTATTTTATACTTTAAATTACTATATATTTATTATTTTCTATATTAATAACTTTTTAATTTTATATAAAAAGGATTATTAATTTTAAATATAAAAAATTATTAATTAAATTAAAAGTATTTATAAGTTTAAAGAATAAAGAAATGCTTTATAATTCTTTAATATAAAAATAGTTAAAGATAAAAAATGAAAAATTATAATACTACTTTATAATTAATATATTAAAAAAGTAATAAAGTATTATAAATTTAATAATTAAAGTTAAGTATTAATAATTCTTTTATTATATAAAGAATTAAAAAAGTTTTTAAAATAGGTTATAAAGTATAAAATTAAAGCATTTTAAAAGCGTATTAAAATAATTTTATATAACGCTATTATATTAAAACTAAATATAACTTATATAATAGTACAATTATTAAAGTTTTTAATTAATCCTAGGTTAAATTATTTAAAGGTAATAAATTAAATTATTAAATATATATATATTATAAAGTTTTTATATATTATATATAATAATTAAAATATAAATATATAAATGTTTATTATAGCGAAAAATGCTTCCTTTATAAATAATTAAAAAACTAAACGCTTTTTATATAAATATATTATTTTACTATTTAAAGGTATAATTATATAAAAAATAATATAATAAAGTATAATTATTATATTAATAATTAAAGTTAAAATAAATACTTTATTATTTATAAAAAAGGAAATAATAGTATTTAAATAATTTTTTAAGGATATTATATATAACTTTAAAGAAGTATAAATAATTTTTTTAAATAATTAATAAATTATATATTTTATAATAGGGGAAAATAAATATATTAATATTTAACTCCATTATATAAATATTTAAAATATATAAATAAAATAAAAGTATATTAAGGGATTTTTTAAAATTATATATTTATTAACGGTATAAATGCTTATTAATAAATTTATTAAAAATATATTAAAAGTATAGTTTAAATATTTTAAAGTATTTATTAATTTAAAAAATAAAAGTGCTATAGTTATAAAAAGCAAATAAAAAAATAAATATATAGTTAATTTTAAATATAAAGCCCCTTTTAATTTTTATTTAAAAATTTAAACTAAATTAAAATAATAAATAATGGACCGTACTTTATAGGAATAATAATATAATAATAAAAGGAAAAGGAGGAAAAGGAAAGTATTTTTTTTAAAGGAAGAAGTTAAATATAATAAGCTTATTTTTTTCTTCTTTTTTTTTATTTTCTTTATTTTTATTTTTAAAGGATAGGAAATAACCAGGTATAGCGGTATTAAGGATAAATATTACCCAATTAATAAGGAAAGGTATAATGTTTTTTTTTATTTTCTTTTTTTTTTATTACTTTAAAGAGCGGATAACGTAATAAGATTTAATAGCCTTTATAAAGGTATTTTTTAAGGAAAATGCCTTATAAAAGGTTATATAAACTTTTTAAATAGTTTAAATATTTATTAAATAATTAAAGTATATTAAAAGAATTATAAAAAGGAAATTAAATTTATATCTTTATTAATTATAAGGGTTAAAAGGGTAATAATAATAGTAATAATAGTAATAATAGTAATAATAATATAATAAGGGCTATAAAATTAATTAATTTAATTATCCTAATTAAATATATATTATAAACTTTATAATTATAAAAGTTTAATAATTTTATTTTAACTCCTTTTATATTATTAATTTAAAAGTATTAAAAGTATTTTATAATAAAAAAGAAATATTTAAAATATTTATATAGGTATATATAATTTATAATTCTTTTAATACCGAAAGTATTAAAAACCCTTTTTAATTATTTATTTATAAATGTTTAATTTTTTTATAAAGGAAAATTAAATATATTAATTATAGGAGATTAGGGTAGGTTTTAATATTATTAATAACCGGGTATTAAAGCTGGAAGTAATAGAAAAGGTAGGTAAGGGTATAGCAGGGAAGGAAATATAATAAAAGTAAATAAAGGTATAGGTAATATATATAGTAGTTAAAGTATTTTTTTCCTTTTTTTTTTTTTTTTTTTTATTATTATTATTATTATTTTTATTTTTATTTTTATTTTTATTATTAATAATAGTAATAATAAGGGTAACGGGGGTAGGTAGGTAAGGGGGGGGAGCTGGGTATAAAAGTAATATAGGTATAAAAGAAAAAGGGGAAGCGAAGCTAAAATTAAATAAATATAAAAAGGAAAGGTTAAAATTTATATTAAATTTTTCCTATATTAATATTTATATTATATTTTTTATAAATTTTAAATAAAAGTATATTATATTTTATAGGAATTAATTAAAAATAAGTTATAAAAATATATTTATATATTAAAATTATTATTTTCCTTTAAAAAGGAAAGGTTAATAAAGTAGGAATAGAAAAAAGCTTATAATAATATTTTTATATATATATATTAATATAATTCCTTAAACTTTAAAAATATATAGCGTTAATAATATAAATAATATTAAACTATAATAAATATACTTTTAAAAAATATATATTTTAAAGAAAATAATATTATATAAAAAAAATAATTTATTAAATAAGGTTTTAATTATTAATAAAAAATAAAAAGTTAATAAATATATTATAAAATAAAGGGTATTATATATATTATATAATATATTAAAAATTATAAAAAAATAAAAAAAAAAAAAGGAAAAAGCTTTATTTTAAAATATTAAAAGGGATATATATCTTTTATATATTATACTTTTAAATATATAATTATTATAATAATATTAAATAAATAAATAATAAAACTTTATATAATAATAATGCTTTTTAATAAAGTATTTATTAATATATTAACTTTAAATATTATATTTAATAAATATAAGTAATAAAGGTTATTTTAATAAATATTAAATAATTAATAGTATAAACTTTATATATTAACTTTAAATACTATTATAATAAATATTAAAAGTAAAGTATTATAAATAATATATAAGAATAATTATATAATTTAATATTATAAATTTAAAAAATATTAATTAAAGTAAATATATTAATAAAAAATAAAGTATAAAGTATTTAAGTTATTTTATTTATTTTAATTAATAAAGGGTTAAATATATATTAAAAGGAAATTAAATAAAAATGCTTTTAAAGTTAAAAAGGTAGGAATAGATTTAAATATATAAAAGAAGTATTAAATATATTATAATTTATTAATTATATAAAGCATTAAAGTTAAATAATTAATTATATAGTAATATTGTTTAATTAGGGGGTATATAATGGAATAATGTAATGCTTTTATTAGTGGTATAATACTTTTGCTAATAGTGCAACGCTTTTGCTAATGGCGCAGCGTTTTTGGTTAATAGTATAGTATACCCCTGACGAGGGCGTACTACGCCCCGGCAAAAGTGCATTTATAAAGGCACTTTTAACAGGGGCATTATGCTCCAAAAATTAGCCGAAACGCCTATATAGTTAGAATTTTCCACGCATTTTGTTACGGAATTAATAATAAAATAACGCTTTTAACTTAACTTCAGAAACGTTGCCTAGAAATGCCGGTTCGATTCCGTTAACTATAAATATCCGTCAGATGTGCTATCTTTACTACCTAACGAATATGCTTGTGAAGCATTCAAGAATTCCGCTCGAAATTATTGGAAACAGGATACTAGGCCGTCGAGAATAACCGCGTACTCATGGCTCCACATACGGCGGTTGGAAGATCGAATATCCATCAAATTGATACACGCTTAAATCATTCACATTAAGGTCGTGAATGACGCGGAGATTAATAGGCGAGAGGGAAATCCCGCCCAATCTTTTTATCTTCTCCTCATCCGTCATCGCGGCGAGCTCTTCTGTGGAGGGCTCAACAAGCTCGTTATGAACGGGAACGCCGCAGATCTTGCAGAATGTCTTTCCCGAGTGCTTCTTGCCGAAAAAGTACATTCCCAGGTTCTCTCTACCTTCAATGATCACCTGTGGCTTGCTGGGATATACCCATACGTAACCTGCCTGTGACCTGGTTAGCTATTGGTAACTATAGAAAAGAAAAAGAAAGAAAAAAGAAGAACCGTCTATATAGCATGTATAGGAGGATTGAAAAGCGTACTCTGACACAGCTACTGCAGTTACATTCGATAATCTTCTCCGAAGAATGGTTCAAGGGGGCCTTGTTCTTCAAGGCGAGCGTAACCGCACCACAGTGGCAACTCCCCGTATACAACTTACTACCGTCGAACATCACGACAGGCTCGGGTCCAGAGTACACAGGCGGTTCGTAAGGAGGCTGTAGCAGCGAAGCGCCATCGAATCTAAAGGCGACAGAGGTCTCCGTAAGCATCCTTCGAATACAACTAATGGCGGGCACGTGAACACTTACTTCTTGAGAAGAAGTTTCCAGATATCTATCTGTCCATGCTGGAACAGTCTTATCTGTTGCCACTATTAGCAATCACTGTTTCAGGCGTGCTGCATACATAGAAGACAGCGCAAGCGCACATTGATACCCATTTCAACCTCCGCATGCTCGCCTGGTTCCGAGGGGTCCGGATTGCCGATAAACATGATCGAGTTGCCACATGTTGAGCAGAACTATATGACACAGCATATTATCAGCCCCTATAATCACGACGTCGCGCGTGGTTACGGCCAACCACCGTCATCACCGATTGTGTAACCCTAGAATTCGAATGCGACGGACCTTGTGAACGAACACTTTCTTGCCAAAAGTGTAGTTCGTCAGCGTCGCCGGGTCCCCCTTGACGAACTTGACATCCTCGGGCTTGGGAAAAACCCACAACGCCCCCTTTTTGTAGCACACGCTGCAGTTGCACTGCGAGGCCGTAGAGATCTCGGGTAGTGTTACTTCGTATACGTACGCAGCGCAGTGGCAATTGGCGCGATACGTCTTGAGGGGTGCTTCTTGGTCGGTCATTGTTAATGATATGGGGGTTTGAAAAGCGAATATGTTAAGTTGGACTTCAATCCTTGAAGATAGATGCGGGATTGTTGCTTGGATGGACGGATGAATGGCAAGTGCATTTAACTATTGAGAATCATGAACAGATAGGCTTGCTTGGCATCAGGCAGCCATGTCGTTTCTAGCTTCGGAAACATTCAGCGCTATTGTGTTACGATACACGCATAGTGGTCTCGGAAACATACAGACCACTTCGCCAGACAAAACAAGTCCGCCAGACCTTCGGAGACATATCGTTTACAGATAACCTTCTACTACTTTTAATTGCCGGGCATTGACTCTATGCTTTAACTCTACTAAGTTGTATCAAGGGGTGGATATACGACCGAACAAGATCTAGATCACTGTGAAATTCAACATTGTATGTATATATGCTGGACACCCTCCTTCTCCCACTTGCAGGATGATTTTCGCAACACAACAGATGGCGTCTGCTAGTTTCAGCTTCACGCCCGACCAGCTGGGAAGAGCACACAACCGGCCGGTTTCAACCCCACCCCCACTATCTCAGTTTCTTGTCGCGTCGCCCAGTCTAATGTATTCTATCCAATGACACCACAGCCATTACAAAGACCAAATCTGATAACCAAGATGTGTTGAATTGAATCACACGAGTACTTACTTCGTGGCAACGACAAGCGATTAGCAAGCCGTAGCATAACTGTATCGAAATCTCAAATATACCACCCCGATATCTAATTACATACACATGACAATACAAGCAATCGCCCCTCCCAACAATCTAAGGCGAGGCATACTTATACCCATACTGCGTCTTCGCATTCATAATCAATTTATCCGTCTCCTCGACCTGCCTCTTCATAGCCGGATTCGTCTCCACAATCTCCTTGACACTAGCATTCGTCAACGGCGAGACATACGGGATCGCGAAGCCCCTTCTCACCGCCGGCCGTTCAAGGCACCGATCGAGCCACCTCCCAATGTTCGGGAACTGCTCTTCCAGGATAATCCCCGCGAGCCGCGCGACATTGACCCACCCGAGGAGATTGATGTCGGCGATGCTGAACTTGTTCCCGACGACGTAGTCGCGGCCTTCTAGGCGCTTGTTCAGAATGCCGTATAGGCGCTCCGTCTCGCCGACGTACCGCTGGATGCCGTAGGGGATCTTCTCCTTCGCGTAGCGCACGAAGTGGCCCGCCTGACCTTCTACGGTTTCGCTGGAGTCAGTAACTTGACTCTTGAAAATAAAAAACAAGAAGCAAATTTTAGGAGTCATATGTAAACTCCCGAGACATTTCTTCTCCTGGAAAAGTGAACTCAAAGGATAATAAGTAAGTAAACATACGCATCGGTCCCAATCCACCGTGCTGCCAAGCCATCCAGGTCTCGGCCTCGTCGTACTCGTTGCTGTCGACAGGGAAGCTGAACTTATTCAGCGGGTCGTACCGGCGTGTAAGATAGCCCAGGATGGCGAGGCCCTCGTACACGGCGAAGCCGCCGCGGTCGTGGTCGACGATGGCAGGGATCCGACCGTTGGCGCATATGGCTGTGTACCAAGGCTCTTTCTGTATGTTGTGCGCGATATTGATCGACTGATAGGTGTAGTCCTTTCCGTAGGCGCCTTTCAGCTCTTCCAGGAGAATGCTGATCTTGTAGCCATTGGGCGTTCCTATGATTCCGTTAATACGTGGCGCCCTTTCTAGTTCACTGACCCATCATTTCAAACCTCGCCACGAGATAGCGCCAAGGGGAGAAATGGACGAAAGCGTGGACATACCGAATGTGAGCAGCTCGATACCGCTCTTGGCGATGAGGCCCGTGGGGTCGGCCATTTTTGCTTATAGTGCTACCGTCTTATCGGTCTATACCTCCTCAAACAATATGTGGTGTATCATCAAAGCCTGGGTAGAAGCTGGCGTAAGATACGAAGTGATGTCGAGGTAGATTTCGGAGAATTGGGGTAGAGGAAGGATAACGAGGGCTCTTATATAACAAAAAGCGCATTTAACCTTCGGCGTTAAGCACACACGGAAGCAATCAGTCCCTGCATTTCATAATTCTCTTAGACCACGGCCGAGATGTGTTCAGCACGTCACCTCTAAGCCGTAGAGCGCAACGGAAACAAAAAAGGTTGCAGCCCCGATTATAGAACCCATGATTATTAAGGGCGGGCGGGGTAGCAGTCTGTGTGGTTGCAGCCTGTCTCCAATCGCCGCAACCCACCCTCCTTACAGCCATGATAGGTAATACAGTGGTTCGTTCGTTAGCATAACGCTCTTTCAGAGAGACGGCCGAGGTAGATAGGGAGTCGCCGGGTACTAAATATATCACAAGCTACTGTAGGTTGCGGCGGAGTTCTTAGCTTGATAATTCATGCTACCCCGAGCTATACCCCATGAGTGCTGATGCGGTGGGTTTGTTCGTCCACCGAAGGTCCGACGAGGTATCGTATCGTTCTTGCGCGCGGCACACGCGGCGAAGGACTTCAGACTTGATATAACACCCTTCGTCTGTCCCTTGCCGGCTTCCGGTTGGATGAAGATGGGATGTGACAATTGCCAGAGGGGTCCAAGCTTTGACGCCATCGCCTGATCCGTATGCGCAGTGAACAGCAGGGCATGTGGAGAGCTCGCCGCTGATTGTCGCCAGTTTGCCAACGAGATGTCGTGGCGGTTTGTCGAGCAGTAAGTGATGGCTGCATGTTTCAAGCTTCGTGCTGCAGTCTGCAGCAGACGAGCTACTGCGCGGTTTGGGGGCGTTTCAAGCGGCCTGTCCCTGCGCCAAGAACACATGGACCCCCAACTCTTTGAAGATCTAAAATATATGGCATTAGACATAGCTTGAAGAGGTGCCAAAGCCGTTGACCATTGACAATTCTCATTAATCCCTTTCAAAGTTGAAAACCCTTTAAGACTCGGAATCTGAACGACCCTTATATCTCAGGATCTTATAGCAGACCTAGCCTCACTGGTAACACGATGCCATCACAGTCCAAGTCGAGGAAGTCATTGAAATTTTTTTTTAAAAATTTCAATATCGCCTTGCAGCTGGTCCGCGACGGCGAAGTGCGGCGCATCAAGAGGGGTTCGGCGAACCCACTGTAGGTTGAACGCGCCCGTGTCCTCCTATTTTCGTCCCAGTGCATATGGAAAGGCTTCTCCATTGGCGCGAACGTGCTTTTAGATCATCCCATTGTGGTTATCAGTGCTCGCCTCGCCGTTGGGAACGGCAGCAAAAAACGTGCCCCGTGCGAAAACAAGGAGGTCCTTGGTAATGACCCCGAACCCCTAAACGGTCCGCATGTGGTTGCGGCTAAAGGAGGTGTGTATACTGCATGCACTTTATGTAGCTTATTGGAGTTGTCACGCAAATGTCGCTATCTACCTGATCTTCATGGCCAATGATATAACCCTTCTCCCAAAGACAGCATCTTCAGATGTGTGTTGCGATTAATCCTAAATATGCCCATAGTCTATCTATCTTTCTATACAGGTTCACTTGATTAAGTAATGCTTTGAAGAGTTAAGTCACTGCGCTTCCTAATGGATTGTTTTTAAGACAACTATTCTACATGAACATACATGTAAAACTACCACCAGAGTGAAGAAAATGTTCTCTTAAGCAACTTCTAGTTTTCTCCTTTCAATCTGTGTAAAGCTTAGTGTCATCGAAATATGTATTTCTGAGCCCATTCGACAATCGCTGCCCTCGCATCTCGTAGGTTCAACGTTGCACCGCAGCTCATGAGCATAAGATAGGTTGATGATTCATTCCGTTTCAATCGCGACTTTGAGTTAAAGGAAGTATAGGTATATCTACCATCTAGTCGTAAAACTCTATGGGCAATTGCCCATGGTTTTGAAGTATGCTTCACTTCTTCTCCAATCTGGTGTTATGTCCTTTATACCGTTGCTACCATCACTGTCAACATCGGTGCTCTCACAGCGCTAGTCCATAGATACGAGACAGATTAAACAAACATCATCAGGGTGTGTAAGAGCGCGTAGGGAGAGAAGCTGTATTTGATATTTATGCTACGCAATCACCTCATAAACCCCCTTACACTCTTCTATGCTCTTAAGGGATAAACAAAACCCTTCTCACCGAGACATCAACAGTAGGGTCTAAGCGACAACACATCAGATAACTATGATAATCGAATCGCAATGGAAGATATGATCCCACAAGAAATGAAGGGGCCTAAGCTAGGCCCCTTCCGAGGGAACATCGACAACATCGAGTTCATAAAAATGCTAGGACCAGATGAGAGGAAACTTGAAGAAGGCGACGTCCCTCACGCCCGGGTCTTTCTAGTCAGGATCAATGGAAGAAAATACGTCATCAAGATCGTGTGTAGCAAAAACAAACCCCAAACCTCCCAGTCTAATGCCATTCCAGTTCAATTTCTTCAGCATCGTCGACCTACGACCATTCCCGTACGGCGCAGAAGAACTCCTAACCAACCGCGTCGTACGCTACCAAATGGATCCCTTCTACGCCGAATGCCGGGCCTTCGGGCTCCTAGTAGAAAAGAAGCAGGATGATCTCCTCGCAGTGCGTTGTCACGGCTACGCATTCCTCCCAGCCGCAATAGAACATCTCATCGAGGCACGCTTCGGGAACAAGTTCGCCATCAAGGACTGGAATCGCGAGCCCTCAGACAAAGGAAGCCCGCTGCGCGCGATCATCAAAGACTACATCCCCTCTAAATCGCCGTATGGCAGACGGAAGTTATCAGTTATCAAGTCCAACATCGAGAAAATGAACGAGCTGGGGATATTCAACATGGATATATGTAGACGTAACCTTCTAGGCGGCCGATTATTCGACTTCAGTATCGCGATCACATCGCCCCATATACATCTGTCGACCAGGCTTCGGGAGACAGAAAGTATCGACGTGACTGTGGGATACGATCGCGCTTGCTTTCGAGAGATGGAAGAACACGAGCTTAAAAGGAGGGCAAGCTCGAGGGCAGCTTACCGGGCTAAGTTACGACGAGGTTCCTGTGAATAGTTTCTATTTGGATCTACAGTGGGCTTTATTTGATGGTGTTCTAGACCTGAAGTGAATTTTTGACTGTAATAGTGACTTGTGTGAGATATTGTTATGCAGTTGCTAGAATCGTATGTATATGTTTTGTTTATAGAGCAAGAACACGTATAATCCCACCCTCATATGCTGGACCGTCATGCGTGAAACTACCCAAGGAAGTGTTTAACCTTTTAGGCTTATATATATATATAAGGATATATGGGGATATATATCACTGATGATCTACTACCTCATTGCAATGAGCCTCATATCTAGTTTATCGAAAATCTCTATCGCATCAAATCCAAGAACCCGCCCCCGAAGAACCCCTCCATACTCGGAAAATCATCCTCACTAAGATTGAATAGTGGTAACTCATTATTCGGGTCAACAGTATGCCCCATCGATGAGGGTATATCATCCGCGGGATACGCATGGACATGGCCTTCAGAAGAGTGCCGGAACGGAGCTGCCTGGGCCCCACGCTCGTTTGAGCGCTCGTGGTCACCACGGTCACTTATATTCGACGGAGCGTGTGAGTTTGGTGGCGTACGAGAGGAGTTGATCCTCGCTTCGACCTTCCGTATCGCCAGTGCTCCGTACTTATATGACCACGCCTTGCCTGGGGATGTCTGGACCCAGTGGTCGAGGCTCGTAACTAGGCGCAAGACCACTGTATCGGGAATCTGCGACAGCGACGGATCGTAGTGCGAAAGTACGAGGGCGCAATAGCCAAGGCACAGACATGTCGCTGTCGGAGCCTTGTCCCTCAGGAAAGTAGGCATCTCGAGGAAGGTTTCTACGACGAGTTTCGCATACTTACATGCGTTGATACGGAGGACGTCCGCAGCGTTATCTGTCTTGGTATCTGATGATTGTGAGGTTTCACCTCTAGTCGCTTCGGGTGAATCGTGGCGGTCTTCGGACGTTGGTGTCAGATCATTCGTTTTGGATACGCCAGAACCGTTACCTGTTACCAGGCTATCCGTGGTGAGAAGTGAGGTAGAGGCGAGTGCATCTCCTGTCTTTTCGAGCGCTCGGACCGCCAATATCAGGCAAGCTGCGTGGTAACCCACCCGAAGCATTGCAGAGGTCGGTAGTGCTTTATGCCCAACTATTAGATTCCAATTAAACCATACTACTTCATGGGAATGTGTTGGGGCCTTACCTAGCAAGTGATTCCATTTTTGCTTCCAAGTACGGAACTCTTCGCATTCGCGTCCATCACTGGGGTATGACTCTTGAAGCAGTTTCCGGTGGAGGGTAGAATATAACATTATCTCGGCCACAAGCATTCCATCCTGTATTGTCGCACGGTAGAAGCTATGCACTGCAATAGTAAGCTTTGATCTCTTTTAAATGCCTGGCTATGGTCGTCGTGGAGGCCTTGAGAGGTCGTAGCTTCAACAATACAATTCCTATCAAGATGAGGAAGAGATAAGATATTCGCAGAAATAATAGGACAGTGTCGGGTGATTGAGAACAGCATAATTCTTCAACATACTTACAGACGTAGCATTGGTTGAGATATCCCTTCGGAATGATTGACGGTCGACCAGTCGTGGCAGCCCAGCTGAGACAGCTTAGCTATCGAGCAATAATACAGGTTATTGAAATGACAACGTACTGAAGATGATGGAGGCAGATTGTAGACCAAAGTTGTATCGCCCGATAGTCCTCGCCCCCGGAGGTTCCTTTCTTGAGTCGGTCAACAATTTGCGTGAAACAAATGCTCAACATGGCTTGCTTTGCGCAATACCCAGTTAGCAACCAACTGTCAATATACTCGGTGCCTTGCTATATACAGTCAGCATCGGATCACAACGGCGATGAGTATCAGAGGCAACAGCACTTACGCCACTGGGAGAGTTGGCGTTGTTACTCATGATGAACATGGCATTGAGGTCATCCAAGTCTAGGGGACTAGAAAGCACGGCTTCGCCTAGCGTGATGCGAATTTGTTCATACAGTTGGCGGTGCAACGCTGTCCCGCAGATATCGTCACGGTAGACGACACCTATCAGACAACAGACACCATGCAAAAAAGCAGAGACTCGTCGCGTGTCACCGAAGTGCCTGAGATCCGCAACGCTGCGTACAAGCAGCGTGTGACCTTGATGTTTGATGAAGCTGTGTGGCGACATTACGGTTAGTCACGCAATGCACCAGGGCGAGTTCTGCCTTACAGCTCTATCAGCTCGCTTGCGGTCTGTTCGTCGAGCAACTGTAGCTGCAGGAGATCAGGGATTCCCTGCCCCAGCATCCTACGGTAGCCCAGGGTGACCTGTTGGCTGATCTCTCTGAGCACTACAACTGGCGCTGATTTCGAGCCCCTATCTATCGGGTTCAAGAGATATTCTGCGTCTGGTGTATGTTGGCCCACACTTGCAGCTTCCTCTTCGTGGTCGTTCGATTCCGCGTCAACTTTAGCAGAACGCCCAGAGGACTGTCGCTCAGGTTTCAGAGCCTTTATCATGGCTTTTATTTCTTCCAAAGCATCTTCGTGGCGCTGTAGCCTAGCATCAATTATGTGTTAGTGTTGACCAGGACCAGGAATCACCCCCATTCAAAGCAAATCGGGGACATACCTCTCTTCAACACCTAGACGAGAGACATCGTTGGGCTTTGAGGGATTCTGTGGCGCATCAGTTTCCCCTCGTAAGGAGCATGTAATTCTAACAGATAGTCGTCAGTCTTTAGCCGCGGATCTGGAAATGATCAATGAAAACACACCGTAAAGTTTGGCAGCGGTGACAACCCTGAGCCCCCAGGTCATATTCGCATCTGCATTTCAACCTTTGGCAGGACAGACATGAAAAAGCTCTGCGACGCCGTTTTTGGGTCGAGTCTTTGCCGGCGGTCTCGTCACCGGAACCTGGCCTTGTTGCCCGCTTTTTCGATACCGTGGGACTCGGATCCTTGTTCCCCGCGCCAGGGGATGCAGCGGGACTTTTTTGACGTGGCATTTGACGTTGAGTATTCCCTTTAGTCCCACTGCGGCTCTTGGCACGTATTGGGCTGAGGTCGAGGTGATTTGTTACAGAGGATGAGGTTATTCGCATGATCTCCGGCGGAAATCGTCGGCGTCCTCGTTCTGGTGCACAGTTTGCTGGGCTACAATTGACCTAACCCATTGAGGTTAGACCAATTCACCAGCCACAGCACATTCGCTGTTGGTGGCTCATCTCATAGAAGAAGCTTAGGTAAGTTGGTGTTTTAGGCATCTATCTAAGCATTCACTTCATATCTGACTTGTAAGTACACAATCATCTAATTAACTCCTTAAACTATTCTACAGTGCTTCAATCCTTCCAGGGTGATGCTCAAGAAGGCTGCCCAAGTCCCATTATACCCTCACATCTGGTATTGGTATCTGTGGGAGGCTGAGCCCAACAACAACGCTAATCCCAACCGCAATGATCTCCGTGAGTACCGATAAAATGAAGTAAATTGTGGTGTCTCCGATGAGAATATTGAACTTCAAGTCATATGAAAAAGCAGCCAGCAAGCCGTAAATCAAACGAGCGATGATAAATGGTGAGCACACCGCCACGCATGTCAACAAGCGCCCCTCCGGCGAAGGAATTTCAATTCTCTGCACAAATATAATAAGGAACATCAGCCCAGTCGCAAGGTACTCGGCTGTGAAGATGACGACAGCTGTTTTGGTGAGATAGTTGGCCACGAATGGTGATGGTGAGTCTGGGGGTACTGGAACAGAAGCGCTGCCAGAGGCAATGCCAATGCCGGTCAAACTCGCAATGAAGAGCAGGATGAAGAAGATTCTGTGGATGGGCTTCTGCAAGTGCCCATTTCTATTCGACTCATTAGAACCCGATACAGCCTGCATGTGTTGTGCGCGTGGACTCACAGTCTTCCCAACATCCCAATGCTGATTCCTATCAGGGGTGCAATCCCGATACTCTCTGTGACCAAGGCCCCGGCATATATAGAGCGCGTGGGTTGCGAAATCGTGGCCAACTGGAAAGCTGCTCCAATAATGCGCAGCACACTAAAGAGCACGATGATCAGCCAACCCCCTCTTCGACGCCATCCTTGTCTGTGGCATAGGAACAGGCCGCAAACTAGGTAAGGCACAAAGAATATGAGCTGTACGATGGCCGTGGCATCTCGGTAAGTGACAACGCCCATGTTTGGCGTTGACTAGGAGTAGGCGAGGAAGAATCTACTAGGAGCAAGAAAGATATGATAAAATTAGTCCGATGTAGTAAAGTCAGTAACTCGGGGGTCCTTAGGCGAGGCAAAGGCTGCCAGCAAAATCTAGCATTAGATGCCAATTCATTTTTATAATGTTGAGATTTGAGGTGGTTGGTGTCAGTGTGTCCTATCTGTGGCTGTGAATGCCCACAAGGTATAGCTCACCTACGTCAGTCAGCATTGCGCCGCAGTGGAAGCTGATGTTAGCCGCACAAGCTTGGTTGACTGCAGCCTGTATTACGTGGCCACTAATATTGTTGGAGTCCTCAATTGACTAGGTCTGATGAAAATAGTTTCAGTCATATAATCTTTGATTCCGGTTGTCAGGACGAAATTGCTGCCTACGGCTGTAAGACGGGCATACGCATGGATTTCAGGAATGTGGAATTGCACCCTGCTTGAATTGACTATCTACCATGAACTGTCTAAGTGTAAACCCGCAGGCCATATCGATGCGCCATTCTAGTCAGATATAGTAAATTTTAAGTACGTTATAAGAGACTTTTGAGCTGTAGTTCTCTGATACAATTAGCCGAGCCCTACCTTGTAAGACGTAATTGTCAGGAAAACAGTACAAAGCATACAGTGGGATTCTCATTGTGGCATAAATTCTAGAAGGCTTTCAGAATCCCTTTGACTACATTCATGGTATCTCCTTGTTCCTTCGTCTTTAGACCCCTAACATTTAGCTGCTATCACAATTTTCTCGTTTTTGGAGAGAAATGAAGAAACATGCTCGAAGATATGGCCCAGTTGAGACATCCTTCTAGCTGAAGACAATTTCTAGAGTCAAGAATATCTATTTCCGGAAGAAATAAACTAAGAGCGAGATTCGGACCAGAATGACCGATGCTAATTAATGTAATACAATAATCGTGTTCATATGATTCTTCGATGCTAGGATATGTACATTACACCCACATCACTCAGATTCTTTTTATCTGCTCCATTTTGTTTGTTCTATGATAGTTGCCTAGGGAACTTATTTGAGTCCCACGACAACCAGCATGAATGGCGGTGACAGTTGCTCAATCCAACAACCACCTCGTTTTCACTTTTGGCATCGAACTACGAAAATACTACAAAATTTGCAGGTACAAAGCAGTAGTATCATTTGCACCTTCCATATTTCTCTTTCTGCCATCTTTATTCCTAACTCTGCGCCATCTTCTGCAATCTGCTTTGGTGTAGCCCACGCCCTTGGTGTTCTCCTCCACTTCGGTCTTCGCTACCAGTTCTGCAACTTCGTCCATAGCCGCCAGTACACAAGATAGCAAGAATATAAGCCTCACAGCCTTTGATGTAAATTTTCTTTTTTACGCTTTTACGCTGTGGTTTGGTTTTATCAACCTTGACGCTTTAGGTGCTGTGGATCGTGATACACAAACCATCGTTCGGATATCGTTGTCCTATCAAGGTGAATCTACCTGGGTAACTACGAGCTAGAGAAAGTCAAACTAACGCATGTCATAGTAGTCGCCATGGGGAGTGATGAAGATCCTGCGGCCCGTCTCAGGATGGAGTGGGATGTAGATGCAGAAGAAACCCCCCAAGAACCACAAGCAGCTGCGATTGAGAAACGTCTGAAAGATCAAGCAATACGTTTTAGAAAAGGCCTTATCCGATGTAACTTTGGCAGTGATGGTGGTGAACAGCAGGACGATCCAGAAACGGTCGCGGACATCGAAGGTATCATCGATCTAACAACTGAAGTTCCTGCCACCCATCAACGATGCGAGTCTCACAATGCACGTAACCCTCCCATACCATCAGAAGTCTTGCTAGACCATTACATCTTCGGTAACTCCAAGCTTCAGCCAGGGTTGACTGTTCAGATCAAAACTCTTCAAGGCGATCAACTATACAAGGCCTCGTTTCTATACATCAAGCACATAATCGACACACCTGACGGTATTAAACTTCGTGGTATTCCTCTCACACGTATGAGGTACCTGCGTGGTCTTGTCCCTCGATTTCGGAATGAAGTTGCGATGATCCGCCATGTCGACAACGACGATAAACGCCCGGAAGAGATTCAAGGTGCTATGGACGTACCTATTGCCGATGTTATCAGGACTCGCAATTGTCACTTCACAAACGCTGATTTCCCTCAATTTCGGACTGTGATTGGGGTGTATAGTAGCATTGCTAAGCTTGAACAGAAAGGTGTGTTGATGTGCAGGTGGAAATGCACTTTCATATACAGGGACTCTGCAACTCGCATCGCCCATATGAACAAGACTCGCAAGAATGCTGCGCCTTTTGAGTTCTCTATTGAGCATGTCACCGCAAAAGAGGCGAGTAGAAAAAGATTTATAGTATCTGAGAGCGGCCGATTTAACGCCTGGCGAGGAGGTAAAGTACGTGGGGGTGAATATGATTCTCAGAACGAGGATAGTCCATTCAAAAGCCCAGTTGTGAAAGTAGACGGCAAGGAAGACTCCGAGCAAGTGATGATTGCAAAGAAACCAGGGCAGCGATACACATTTGGAGACATCTTTTGCGGAGCAGGAGGTGCATCCTTAGGCGCTCAAAAAGCTGGTTTCCGAGTCAAAGTCGCTTGCGACCACCACGCGGGTGCGTGTCTCACGTATGAGGGAGCTTTCCCGGAAGCAGATCTACATATGATTGACATATACGACTTCATTGTCAAAATTGCCAAAGATATTCGAGTGGACGTGTTGCACCTATCTCCCCCTTGTCAATACTGGTCTCCGGCACATACAGTGGAGGGTGTTAATGACGAGGCAAATGTCGCGGCTTTGTTCTCATGTCATGAACTCATCAAAAGACTAAAACCTCGCCTATTTACGCTTGAACAGACATTTGGCCTCCTACACCCAAGATTTGAATGGTACTTTAATGCCCTCATTCACGGCTTTACGGCGAACAACTATTCAGTTAGATGGAAAATCGTGGACCTAGTTAATTGGGGTTGCCCAGCGTGAGTAATTTTCCAACGTTTATCCGTTCCTTTCTTCTTTCACAGGGGGTTGTAGCTTAGTTCTACGGACAAGCCATGCACCAAAGGTATTTCGCTATACCAAAGTCTCATTGTCCAATATATTAAAAGTAGTACTTGCTAAACCCGAACGTTATAGTACTCGACGACGGCTACTTATCATAGGTTCTTGCCCAGGAGAGGAACTCCCTACTTTCCCTAAGGCCACACACGCCGCACCCGACGTCAAGAAGCGAGGAAGGAAACCACATGTTACTGTCAAGAAGATGCTAGCAAGAATACCTCGCAACGCCTCCCAATACGACGATATGCACCAGCCACACGCGATGGTGCGTAAATATCTCGAACGATGGGATCCCGACGTAACTCTTACGCGTTGTATAACTACTAACGGCGGGGTTGGCAACTATCACCCGAACGGCCGGCGAGATTTTACACTAAGAGAATATGCCACGCTGCAGACTTTCCCTGTCGACTACCCCTTCAAGAACCCGGACAGGAAGAAGCAGGTCGGGAACGCGTTCCCGCCAATGGCTGTCAAGGTGCTCTATACACACTTGCGCAAGTGGCTCGAAAAGAAGGACCGAGTCTACGCCATTGAAAACGAGCCGGTAGACCTGGATGACCCCGATGTCGAGCTTCTTGATCTCGAAGACGATTTTGTGGATGAGGGAACTACCGGTAGTGACGATGAAGACTGCAAGTACATGGGTTCCCAGCAGCTCTCGAGTTCGTCTCGTAGCACAGGCGCCAGCCAGGAAGACATGGATCTTGACGCAAGCGACGGGGACTATATCCTTGTTCCGTGTATCGACATGAATCAGCGGCGACGGCTTCGGCCAGCTGTCGAGTTGCCTCAAGACAGCTACATGGACCTCACAGTCGACGACGATTGATTACAGCCGCAGTGGCGGCAAGTGAGGCGGATCACGGGTTTCTTTTTGGCCACCCGTACTCTAGGCACTTCGACGTATCTGGCGAAAAACATAGACACCAAGGATGTAGGTAGCCGATACAATGTGCTTATCGTTTACTCCTACACCACCTATCGTCGCTTTTCACTTCAAGGGGAAGATTCTAGGCTGGCGGAAGGAGGCGGAAAGAGGTTTGACGCCACGAGATAGGAAATCAATCTAGGCGCAAGGCTTTTATCTTTGTCAATCTTGACTATTTTCTTTTGCGAAAGCACATGACATCAAAAGAGCCGAAGGCGAAATTGTTAAGCAGAAAGTGACATGGAATAAGCGCCATGTCAACCCTGTATGATTTGACACACAGTAATCGCTGCCTCACTCTTTGTTAACCTCAAGGGACACACGGAAGGCTCGGAAGGAATTACATGTAAGTAAGGAGTAAAAAAATTCCGACCAAAAGTCCATGTGCCTACATTGCCGAATACGCGCAGGTGGCATTTCAGCGTTGTTTCATGTTTGTAATCCAGTTGTACGGCAGACGCGCCGCATAATGAACAAACATGCTTATGCAAAGACGTTCTGCGGCTCTGTCTTACTTATACCAGCTCAATCTATTGACCGTTCTCGGATCTGCCCTCCAATGCGGGATCTAATGCAACTCCATATTACATTAATATTACCCGTGCGTGGCTGGATGTGCTGCGACCTTGGTGCAGTATCGGCTGGGCACAACTAGGATAGGAAAATTAAGTAAGCCCAAGGTTGTAGTTTGGGGTACCCATGTAAGTTTCAGCGAGATTCGATGTCTAGACTGTCGTTTTGGTCAGACCACTCGCTTGCTACTATGTATTCACGAATAGTGGACTTGAACCTCATTCGTGCCCTTTTCCTCGCAGGGGATATAAGTAAAGCCAAGACATGAACAACACAAAGGCAGAAAACTCAGGATGGGAACTTTTTTTGATGCTTTTGCAAATTTGCACAACGTACCTACATGTTGTCCCCCACGTAGGCAGGCGATACGTTCACACCTTTGATGGGGGCGATACTGTGTACTGTAGGTAGTGTAAAGGAGGCCGGTCATAGCTTTGTGGTAATTGAACCATTTTGTCTAGGTAGAAATCCGATTGGGGTTCCCGGATGGAACTTCCACTTTAGCATCAAAAAAGTTTTTCTTCATTTGGTTTGCGCCGCAGGGAAGCTTAAGTATCTAATACCTAGTTATGTTTTCTAGATGTGATAGGACTGACAACCATCTACTAGGTATATATGTGACCTGTTACTACATTGACTATAACTTCCGATTGGTAAATATGGCGCCTTTATTAATATGTTTCTCTGGCCCTGTGTCCGCCATTGCATTCGCGTTTTAAGCACAGCATACACGCTTGGGTTGGAGTTAGCAATTGTGACATGCATAGCCGAGAAAAGATGATTCCATGATGCTGTAGGCTCTGCTTCTGCTCTGCTGTAGGTAGGTATGGCAAAATCCGCGTCAACTGTAGCGGGTGTTACCGTTACTGGGGTCGTTTTGGCCGTAAGCCCGATCGATGATCAATGACTGCCTAACCAAGTTTGTATGTCATGTAACGGTCAGAAGATTCAACTTGGATTGTATTAGTGCCGTTAAGTCGTCTCTATTCCTGTATCTGTCTTGTAATAGTGATGCATCATCCCCAGATGTCTCTAGAGCACGTGCTATTCTAGCTAGTCATATAAGCTAAGTATTTTAAGCATACTTCAGTCAACTGTTTCTAGTACTATAGGTGCCAAGAGCAACATTAGCGTTGAAGATTCTATGTCTTAAGACGTTGTGACTAGCTCTTGAAATGTGAACTGCCAATGCCGCCATACGCGTTGGAAGCTTGCGTCCGATGTCTATACTACACTATAGAGAGGCTTCGGATGTTCTCGCCGTTTTCTTTTTAGCTCCCGATGGGCAAAAACAGGGTCCCATATGCCTGAGCGATGATCTTCATCTTAAATAGTCACTAACGTGGCTTGAGGTCCCAGAAAGACCCTGGTAGAAACTTGACCAAATTGGTTTGCCGGGAGCCTGCCGGTGTATGTCCCGGGACCCTTGAACCTGGCCACTGCAACATGGAGGTCTCATCAAGGGAACAGGAACGAACGTCATTGAAGCTTTATCCTCATCGCCAAGCTTAAGAAGTACCAAGACCGCCACGGATTCTATGGCGCGGTACCCAAGGAGCTGCTTTCTGTCAATTCTATGGACTCGGTCTAGACACCAGCCATGTCATCGTGACCTGTAGGTACTGTACATTCAGCATCAATGGGCAAATTGACAACAGTTCATCCTCCCCTTACGCCCCGCAGCCAACGGTACGACCAATACATCACATTCATTTAGCTAGAAAAATTCAAACTCGTAGTGCAAGATAACTTTGAGCTTAATCTGGTGCTCAACGGTAGACCTCTTTTATACCATATGCAAGTACCCACTTTACATGCTTAACAAAATACCAGGCTGTTTAAGGTAATAATGTGAAGGTCTCCCCTGAGATTGTTCAGTCCTGGACTGCTCCATAGCCGACTTTAATGAAGATGGCTAATGTCTGTGCGGTGTCTGCGCGATCTACTTCCCGATTCGTGCCATGTAAGCGGTGTATACATGGCAGAAAACCTCGAAATTTCCAGCGTAGATCAGGGGATGAGGAGAAATGAATATCGATATGTTGGTAATTTGTATGGTAAGGTTGCTGTGCTAGGTATGGCATGAAAGTGAACCGGGAGCAAGAAGCGATAGACTGAGTATCCTTGCTACGGCTCCGCACGTTGGCTTCGGCCCAATAAAGCCAGAAGCAGTGCCGAGGGCAACCCCTTAAGCCTTGTTGCCGGTGTATACGCCGCTGAGGCGCATAGGTATCATGTAACTGTACACAAAGCATTGTACTTGCAGGGTGTTCGTGGGTTAACAATCTATTGGATCGACCGGTATCCCAGTGGCGGTCCGTTATTCGATGAACCAGGTAACAGGGAGGACATCTACATGAGAGTCCTGGTCGTGAGAAGGCAAGATGGACATACCGCTAATTTCACTTCGACTCCTTGACCACTTGGCATTGGAGCCATGGATACCATGTACGGGACAGAGGCGGGATAGCGATGGCATTCAAATAGACTGCCAGTTCCGCTAGAATGAAACGATCTTTTCCTCACCTCATCAGCGCAACTCACCTCGCTAGTCACTCTTTTTAGTGCTCTTCAGCATTATTCCATTCGTTTATTTTGGATTCAGTGATCTCATCACCGTTCCAGTCCACTCTTTAAGTCGTTTTGAGTTTTGACACCCTCTCAGCTATGCGCTTCTCTACACACGGCTCCGTGGCTGCGGCCATGGTAGCCTCTCTCGCCACGGCGACTCCTCACGGCGGCCTCCTCGGTCTCCCTGTTGGCCAAGGCCCTCCTCTTGGTAAGGGCCTCGATCTAGCTCACCCTGTTCATGCCAATGTCGACCTCAATGCCGACCTCAGTGGTAAGGTGCTGGTGGCTGGTCTCCTTGCCGATATCGTTGTCAACCCTATCGCCGAGGTCGCGGCCGATGCCAAGGTAGCGGTGGTTTGCGAGGACTGCCACGTCCATGGTGCTATCGACGCTTCCATCTCTCTGGAGAAGGTTGTTCCTGCCTTGAGCCTCTCTCTCAAGGACGTTGAGGTTCTTTTGGACCTTGACATTCACATTGGTGCTGCTGCCACCATCGCTGTTAATCTTGTCGCCCCTGCTAAAGTTTCGTTGCCTCTGCCTGGTTTAAAGGTTGAAGCCCTGGTTTACCTTGACCTCATCCTTAGCGTTGAGACTGAGTTGGATCTGTCTGCTGGTGTGTACCTCAGCCTACCTGAGGCGTCCCTAGGCACCGATATCCTAAGCGGCGAGATTCTTGATGTCGATTTCTCTGGTGTTGTTGTCAAGGTGCTTCCTATCAAGGTTCGGATCGGCTGTACTGAGTTGCTTGCTGATCTTCGTCTCCGCGTCGAACTTGGCGTTTCTGCCGCCCTCGACGTCGATGAAATCCTTCCTCTCGACAAGCTGCTCCCTGGTCTTAATATCCCTGCTATTGGAGCTGGTTTGGAGGTTGCCGTCTACGCCAACCTTTTGGAGTATGTTGGTCTGTTCTGCGCCGCTCCTGAGTGCCCCCTGGCCAAAGAAGTAAGTACTTGCAACACCTCATTTGATTTTGCTTATCTAACAATTTTCAAATTAGGTCTACGGTCTGAACGTTGGTGCCGCAGTCGAGCTTGGTGTTGCCGTTGAGAATCTGCTTTCAATTCACCTTGCGCCCACAGTTGCCACCGCCGTTCTCAGCATTCCTACCAACACCATCTGTATCCCAACTTACACCGCCTCACCTCCCCCGTACTCTGGTCTTCCCGGCCCGAGCTACTCCGGCGGCATCCCTACTTCAAGCTTCCCAGCTTTCCCCACAAGCCTTATCACCAGCACTCCCGTCTCAACTGGACCCAGTGGGGAGCCTACCTCTAGCGGCCCAGCCTCCTCCGGTGGTGTGTCCACTCCCAGTGGGCCAGGATCATCCAGCGGCGCTTCTTCATCAACTGGTCCTGCTTCTGAGCCGACTTCATCTGGCCCCGGCAGCTCTGCTACTCCTACATCCGGCTTCCCCGGCTCTACTGGTGTTCCTTCCTCAAGTGGCCCCGGCAGCGAGCCTTCTTCCAGTGGCCCTGGCTCTAGCGGTGCTGACTCTTCCACGGGCGTTGGATCATCTACTGGTGTCGCCTCTAGCAGCTCGGCTTACTCCAGTGGCGTCTCAACATCTGGTTTCCCTGCTCCCTCATCCACTGGAGCGGTTACCACACCTGCTCCTAGTGGCAACGATGGATATGTGACTTCAACCATCACCGAGACTTCTACTTTCACTGTCACAGCATGCGCTGTCAATGTACCTAACTGCCCTGCCGGATATCAGACCAGTGTGACTTTGATTCACACCACATCCTACACTACTGTCTGCCCTGCCGCTACCGCCACAGGATCGATCACCGCTTCTCCTGTTCCTACCTCTACTGGTGGTCACAACATTGAGACTATCACCAAGCACGTCACCACCATGGTTCCTTGTGACAGCACGACGACCTTTGTCCCTCCCCCAGAGTTTTCAACTGTCCCTTACCCGTCAGACGTTCCTACTCCCCCTGTTAGCACTCCCGTCGGCTCTTCGTCTCCTTCTACACCCGCTGCCGGATACCCTGGCACCAGTGTCCAGGCTGGCTCGTCTCCTTCCTCTCCGGCAGGCGGCTTCCCTACTGGCAGTGTTCCCGCCGGTTACCCAACTCCCTCTCTCCCCGCTGGTAGTGTGTCTGTCTCCTATCCTGCTGGAGGACCTTCTGCTAGCTACTCTACCGGTGCAGTCTCTTCCAGCTACCCAGCTGGTCCTGCTTCATCAAGCTACCCTGCCGGCAGTCCTTCTGTCAGCACTCCGGTTGTGGTTCCCTCTGTAAGTCACCCTGCCGGTGGCTGTGGTGGTGCTGGATGCCCAGTTCCAACCTCATATCCATCTGTGCCTACTGGACCGGCTGGCCCCGGCTATCCCAGCGGCGGTAACAACACTGTTCCCGCGACTTTTGCTACTTACCAGCCCAGCGCCACCACACCCGCTGGCTACCCCACCACACCTGCCGGAACACCACCGGTCGCGACAGCAGGTGTTGCTAAGGTTGGCAGCAGCATCGCTGCTGTGCTCGCTGTGATGGGTGCTGTTGTAGCTTTGTGAGACTTTAGTGGAGGAAGTTTCGGTGTACTAGTCATATAATGCCACTCTATAGGACGAGGATAGTGTAATATAATGTTTGATTGAAGTTAGTTAGGGATGTTATACCATGGGTGGCGTTTTAGCTCATGACAATATACGATTTTGCTCGCGCTCGAAAGCTTGGTCTTTATCTCTGTTGATATATTCTGCCGGTCACTGTACTGTCTTAGTCACAATTATTCTCCATCTTGCTTGTAGTATGACAATGTTTTTTGCTTAGCTATATGCACCTAGTCATCCAGGAGCAATGCCTTTGCCACTCCGACGATGCAGTCTTTACCCTTGATATGGAGCCTGCAGTCAGGCTAAGTGTAGGTGGTGATGTTGCTTACTGAGCTAAGAATATGCTTCGAGTCGTTGTACAGTAGAGATGAGCTGAACGCCTACATATACACACTTCATCTGGCTTACACCTCTAGTGAGTTTGCGATGAAGAGATATCATCACCAAGCATCTGACATGCATTATTAGTGCGAACATCGCTAAGCGGCGCTGCACTAGTGCTCTCGCTAAGCAGAATTTAGTCAAATCTGTCGATCCACACGTGTTGTCCTGGTCGGCAGTTGTCCAAGGCATCTTGCCGGTTCTTCGGGCAGGCAGGCAATTTGTTGTCACGATCGTACGTGCCTAGAGGCATATCCCAGGGATTCGTTGAGAAACACGACGGCGTGTGAACCTTCCTCCACCATCACCTATACTAAGCGGTAGTAAGCATTCAGCTCCCTTTCGTGTCATGATCCCCCGAGATCCCTGAGCTACGTGATAACTAACAAGCGCTAAGTCGTCTCCTCTACGCGCTTAGCCTCGCCTGAGCCTGGGATCCCACAAAACCGTCTTCACTCTACGGGCTTTCGAGGAACCGAGATGGCTCCTATACCCGCAATGTTAAGACCTTTAGGGCTCTCTCAGCCGCAGCTTCGTTCCCACGAAGAGTCTGGTGAACCCCTGTCCGACTCGTTAAAGGATTGCCTGGGACGTACGACAGGGCCCCTATCAAATTGGAGTATTGCTCCGCCAGAGTCTGTTTTCCCCGCACTCGGATCGCTGTCGAGAGTTTTGTTTGTAGTCTGTTTGTAAAATATTTAGCTTCTATTTCTCCTGTCCCGTTGTATCCGGTGAGAAGGTATTAATCGTCGCCAATCGTATCGAGCTGTAACGACTCATACCACGACATACATCTCTACATTCAGTACACGTGAGTTGACGGTACGGACCGCAGGGGAGAAAAACTAGATCTTAACCAGAAAGAACAGCATCGGCTCATAATCACAGCAGAAGCTTGAAGAAATGGCACCACCTTTCCGAGCTGAGCAAATGGGCTCTCTCCTACGCCCACAGGAGCTCCTTGAGGCCCGCGCCGCCATCCGCGAAAAGGGAATCTCAGCGGAGGAGGCCGGTCTGCCGGCAGTAGAGAAGAAAGCGGTTGCAGACGTGGTGAAGCTACAGCAGGATGCAGGCATCCCGGCCATAACGTCGGGTGAGTTCAACCGTACTCGTTTCTGGGGTCTGATGTGGGATGAGTTCGAAGGTACGATTCAGCTGCAGGACGCCGCGGCCGGCATGTTCCGGCTCTATCACCCGGACGTCGTCTCACTCATTGAGAAAGATCGCCACGTCATGCCTGGCGATTCCGTTATCGCGGGCAGCAAGCTTTCACATGACCCGAGCAAGTCCGTTTCAAACCTCCACGAGCTCAAGCTTGTGCAAGCGGCCCTCCCCGAGAGCGAATGGGGCAATATCAAGCTCACCATGATTACGCCCGCCTGGTTCCACATGAGATACGCTGAAGGCCGGGCGTATACCCCGGAAGCATACGCCAACGACGCCGAGTATTTCGCTGACGTGGCCAAGGTGTACCAAGCAGAGCTAGACATGCTCTACAAAGCCGGTCTGCGCAACGTACAGTTCGACGACCCAGGCATGGCGTACTTCTGCTCGGCGAAATTCCGACAGGGCTGGGAGGAGGATTCTCGGAACTCAGGCACGGTGGAGGATCTGCTCGACGCGTACATCAAGCTGTACAACGACTGCGTAAGCAAGGCGCCGGCGGACATGCACTTCGGCATTCACCTATGCCGAGGCAACTTCATCGGCGGACGACACTTTGCCGAGGGCGCGTACGACATCATCGCCAAGAAGCTCTTCCAAAACCTGAATCTGGACACCTTCTACCTCGAGTACGACACGGAGCGCGCCGGAGGCTTCGAGCCGCTGCGGTTCCTGCCCAAGGGCAAGAGCGTCGTCGTCGGCGCCATCAGCACGAAGTTGCGCGAGCTCGAGGACAAGGAGGCGATGAAGCAGCGCCTGTACAAGGCAGCCGAGTACGTCGCCGAAGGCCGCGGCGAGACCAAGGAGGAGGCGCTCAAGAGCATCTGCGTCTCGCCGCAATGCGGGTTCTCTACGCACGAGTCGGGGTATCCTCTCTCGCTGGACGACGAGAAGAAGAAGCTTGCGTTAGTAAGACAGATTGCAGATGAGGTCTGGGGCGAGCCTTGAAATATCTTGACTCGCGGGGGGGAAAGAGAAAATAGACATGGGTTAAGCGCCGGTATTTTCAACACACCAAAAGGAAAGGGTTCAGGGTATATACAGGGGCATCTTATACGGAGTATGAATCAACTTCACAGGGCTTGGGTATATCCATCGCGGGACTGCGCGGGAAAAGGAGTTGTGGGCGTCCCTTAGGCTGGGAGTGATACTATCTAGAGAGTGTTTGATAAGAGAGCGGCAACAAAGACTTAAATTGCTCTATGCGCTATCATGCTCTCCACATACATATACGACTGAGGATTGTATTTGAGCAGCTTTGCTTTTCTATTGTAATTCATCTAGAAGTACGTGTAAGGTTGAAAGTCGATCGTTCGGCCGCCCGATCAACTTGTTCAACAAAACAGAGCCACGGTCACAACACTGATGGGTAGAGTTTGCACACATTTTTCTAGATTTATTGTTACACGTATATTAGATACAGCGAGGATGAAAGATAACCTCGCTCATTGATTCCAGCCACGAATACGTAAGTACGCGCCCATATTGTCCCTATGCCAACTGTATCATCCACCCATCGCCGATTGGCTGGCCATCCCCGCTCCGACCACCCCATATCACAACGCCACTCTTGTCAGGCGTTACGTCATACCCAAATGAGCCACGCGGGCCAGGATGGACTTTGCCCTCGTGCGATTTAAGATCACCAGGCGCTTGGACTTCGACTTCAGCCCAGCTAACCTCTCCAGTATCGGTTCCGAGTTTCGATCTGATCTGATCCTTGATCTTGGCAGGTTTGATAGCATCTGTCAAGTTCGTCGTCGCCTTTACATTGACATCGCTGGATGGTAGTTGGAACGTCCATAAATCACTTCGCTGATATAAGTCAGCATCACTACCATTTCCTAGCACCTCGCCGAAGAAGTATAGAAGGTAATTTCGGCCGTAGCCCGTGATGACTGGTACCAGGGCGCCGTTCGCGCGAGGTTTTGGCCCCGGCATAAGTAGATTCGTAGGGATCGAGATAGTATCCCAGCTCGGCGGCTCTTGCGCGTATATATCGATGTCGAGGCGATGCACCTCGCTGCTCAGGGGCTCCGATGTAGCGACAAGGTATAAAGTGTGCTCGGCAATCGCTGCACTTCTCGTTGCGATAGGGGCATGAGGTAGTTGGTTCCATATTTTCGTAAAACCGTTGAAATGCCAGACGTCCGCCAACTCTACGCCGCTAGAATCTAGACCTCCGTATAGAATGAGATTTCCGTCGTGAGATAGGAGAGTTCCTTTGCGTCGGGGTGTAGGTACTCTCTCTGGATGACTGTTCGGTTCCAAAATCTCCCATGTTGACATTTCTGTGTCGAAAAGCCGTATCTTATGGCCCTCGTCCACGAGTGCGCCTTTGTCATCACACCCACCATATATGGCAACGTATTTACCGAAAGGACAAGCGGCATGCTGTGTTCGGGGTTTCGGCGCAACAGCTTCTTCACCCGACTGAATGGCAGGAAGTGCTTGATACTCGGGTGTGGGTGCATCTTTAACCGGTAGAGCTACGCAGTGAATGTCATTCGTGGCAAGTCGGCCGTTGCTCGTCTGGCCTCCGAAGATGTACGCCTTCTTGTTGATGATGGTGACAGTGTGATCAAACCGGGCCAGGGAAGCTCTGTTGATACAATTAGATATAGGGATTCTTTGAACATTCAACATTGAAAAGGCACGGATCTTGAATCATCAATGCATACCTCGAATCGTCTTGAGTTGTGGATGCTATCTGGGAGAAGGTAGCCTTGAGAGGCATCGTTGGTTTGGCGACAGCATATCCCGAGACGCCAGCTTGCACGCCAGTAGATATAATCTGCTCAGCTGCCGCCAATCCTGCTGCTACCTCTGCCATATTTGCAACCCGACTCTTCACTTCGTCGTGCTGACCTCACTGGATGATTCTACGGTCGGTGTAACAACAAACAGGAATCGGAATCGAGCTGATTCAACTTGTGACTAACAAACTCAAGGTCAATTTATGATTATGAATTAGATACGACAACCAGGAGGTTTGATATCTGCGTTATAAGTGAAGATGCGGCTTGTGTCTGCCATTGGGTTTATGTCGAGCTGAAGCTCACGATGACGTATCTCGACGAACATGACGCAACTAATCTCCAAATTTAGAAACGGACAATTTCTTGAGCTTCATGTTTATACTGCAACTTCAGTACTTGTGTATAATGTCGTTTCAGACCAAGGCAAGGCTACCTAGTGAGAAAGAGAGAATGGTAATATAGCCTGTGGTCTGGCACATGTTGGAAACGAAGGACCTTGATCTGAGCCTACTAATGAACTTAAACATGAGGGGAGGTGATGCAGAGCAAACAAATAACCCAGAGATTCTTGACACTAAATGATACCTCTGAACCTGTGCTAAGCCCCTGTGGCATTAGCGCACTTCAGGGGTCACCTAGGGCGCTAACCTTCCAGCGGACCACTGCAATTTGTAGGTGGCGCAATCCTACAACAACTTCATGAGATCCCCAGTGCTTCGACGGTCGATCTCTTCAATCGTCGCGAGAATAGCCTGGGCTGTGCTCCCGTCATAGGCCGAGGCAACCATTCTCAGAAACTTGCCTTGAACGCGCTCTTTTGCGAATGGATGTTCCTGCTCCCCAAGCGGGAACATCTGGCTTGCTTCGGTCGTCGTGCCATCTGCCCATTTGAATGTCAACCGCACCGCGAGATCAGCAACATCATCCTGCATAACGACTTCGATCCTGTCGCAAAGCGCTGCTACTTCGGGGCTTTCCATCTGGCTCTTGTCGTACATTGCCCATCCGATGTCCATTCCATGAAGCCATGCAATTGCTACCTGATAGTACATGGAGAACTGGCCATCCACAACGGTTCTGGGATGAATCCTGTTCGCGTCAGGGGGTCCGACGATCTGGTAACAGCCGGGCGAAAGTGCAACTGTGATATGCTCGACCGTCTTGCCCGCAGCCTCCCTCGCAAAATGGCTCACGGCCTCGATCGCCGAGTGCGTCATCCGGCAAGCAGGGAATGGTTTAATGGCGGTCTCGCCGAAGATCCACTCGGAACCCAAGTTATCAGTTAAGCCGACTGTTGTCGAAGTGGCCGAGTACGAGTGCAAGGCGCCATATTTACCTTCAATCGGCCTCGTGGCCCCAACAACACCGGCTTCTGCCAAGGCCACCGCTACGAACGCGTCGTGGACTGCAAACCCAGGGTGCAACCGTTTATTCCACGATCCATTATCAAGAAATTGCATGGAGCCTGCCGCCTTGGATTCCGCTAGACCGAATGCGTTCTTCACCTGATCTAAAGACAGGCCCTTAATCTTCGATATGGCCGCCACGGCCCCAAATATGCCGGCTGTAGTTGTGTTGTGGAAACCTCGTGTATATCCACCATAGTTGTATGCCCGACCTATGCGACATGTGATCTCGTAGCCGACAGCGATACCCAACAAAAGAGTTTTACCGTCACTGTTCAACGCCTCAGCCTGAGCTAGAGCAGCCGGGATAGCGGTCGCGCCAGGATGTAGAATGGACGACGCATGTGTATCGTCAAAGTCGAAAGAATGCGCGAATGCGGCATTCAGAAGCCCGGCATATTGCAGTGAGAAGGCATTTCCTCTGGTGAACACAGTCGATTGTCCCGATTTCCCACCAAGCGCTACAACAGCCCGCAGAAACGGCTCCGTAGAATCGCAGATGGCAGCAGCGCCCGCGGATATGCCAATATTGTCTGTGAGGTAATCCTTCAGTTGGTCTACCAGTTTCTCGTCTAGATGCTCATACTTCGACTGGACAATAAAATTACAAAGCTCCTCGGTGATGCCGTCTGTTCTCTTCGCGCCAAGTTCAAGTCCGTTGGAGGTCATTGTCAGCATCAACTCAATCCGTATTCACAAGCAGTTGAATTGTACACTCAGGAACAAATAAATATCGTGGATCATTATTGATGATGCCCCAAATACCCCGGTTCCCCTCAGTACCTACCTACTTGGTCCTCTATGACTTGGAGGGGTAGATGCCGCGTGCGGAGAAATAGACCCGAGGCCATTCGTCGGCGCGGATTTTCCATCGAGGCTGTATACAGGTGGTGAGTCTCGATGCACTCCCAACATTACCCTCCTTCTAAAGTGCCAAAAGTAGACATTCATGTGCCTCACCTAGACTTTACCTTCTGGTGATTCGAGTGTGTGTGGAGCTGGATTTGATGCTGAGATCTAGCTGGGAACCCGTGTACCCTCTGAGCAGCAACATCTTCTTGGACTGCGGATGGCGCCACGTGGTAATCTGAAGGTCTGTCCAACACGCGTTTGCTCGACACCTTGGTATGGCTGGTTCACTGCTATTCACGACTGAGCGCCTAACCACCGACCATAAGAACAAGAAATCTGTTTTATGAACAATGCGTGGTTTTCGGCCCTGCATATTCTATATGCTATCCGCATAGGGTGCCATGGCAACTCGTGGCATACGTCATTCCGCTCATTGACTGATTCGAGACTCACATAAAGGGAGAGAACCATACAGGGATCAGGATGCGAAGAATTTATGAAAGTCCCCATCAAAGATATGATAAAATTTTATATTTTGTCGATAAAACTAATTTGAAAAGCCCTCGTTGCTCCATAACAGGACCGACTCGGGACGTAGTCACTGGATCGGCACTCACTTGAATCGGTGCAATGGCGGGCCTGGCGTGGGGCGGATTCTGCACGCTTATCGACTCAACATACGACCGGCACGTCCGACCTCAGATCTCCCACAAGTGAGTCTCCCACTCGGGATTCTTCGTGAGTGGAGAGTCATGAGACGAAGCTGCACGAACGAATCACTCCAGGGCTTCTTCGCCAGAGTCTGCCCGATTCATGGTCGATTCAAATGGCCGACGCCGAGTCCCTTAAGTACACAAGCAACCAGATGGAACAACTTCCATCACGAGTCATCGTTCCCGTAGCGTACGGCGCTTACCGCCGTCCCGATCCACTTGCTACAACCTTGACCCGGTACTATCATGCGGCTCTTAGAGGGTCGGTTCTTAGCTGGCATCCCTTACTACGCCTAGTCGTATGAATGCACCTTCACTGTCGAAATGACGACAGGATCTTCTTGTTCGAGACCATCACCCGAGACCACTATTCATCTTAGGACAGTGTATCACTAATCGACTGTAGCGCTGTGCTCTGCTCTGCTTAGGACTGCTAGATTTGGACAGTGCATCCGCCGAACACGTTTCGTATAGCCAGATCCACCGACCTAGTTACTTGAACGGCCCGACCTCGATGGCGCTCTTCTCGCCTTGGGTCACTAGTCGAAACCACTATTTCCTGGAAGAGAATTTGTCCTCAAAGTAGCACACTTAGCGATAGCAAGTCGCGTTGTGCAGGCGTTCTGGACGCGAGCTCCGGCACCGCAACCAGGTTCATTTGCAGGAGACAGTGGTACCACCCATGGACCTCGCGACTCGTTGCTTACATGAAAGGAGACCTCAGGTGCATAAAATTCTTGCCAGTTTGAACACATGACGTATCAAATTTGAGTTGCCAGGGCCTTCCCATTCCGCCACAACCTATCGACCCTATTTCCGGTTTTTCCCTTAAGGTTCTTAAGGTCGTGGCTTCCGGGGATACGGGTTCGTCTCAACCTCAAAAAGAGCCAGCCCGCACTCCAGCGAGGAATACGGGCCCTTTGTTTTGTGTACATTGACATTATCGCTTGACTACATACACTTCATCACAATGCGTTGGCTCGTCAAACCCCAGGCCGAGCAGGCCGAGACGGTCGGCAACACCTCGAGAGCGCCAGCGTCAAAGGAGAGAGTCACATTCATCGCCTGCTTCATGGGCCTGGTGGCCAGTATTGGAGGATTCATGTTCGGCTATGTGAGGTGTGTAGTCGATGCCCCTTTACTTTGAACGACTATCTTCCCCTATCAAGTGCTGACAGTTTCTTTGCAGCGGTCAAATCTCAGGATACTTCAACATGGACGATTACGCGCGCCGATTCGGTGATGCCAACGGTAATTTCAGTGCAGTAAGACAGGGCACCATCACTGGTCTGTTGCCCGCTGGGTGTCTAGTGGGTGCTCTGATTGCTGGCAAGTTGGCCGATACGGTAGGCCGGCGATTGGCTATTTCGATCTCTGCTCTATGGGCCAGCGTTGGCATAGTCATTGAAATCTCGTCCCAGGAAGCCTGGTACCAGTTCGCTATCGGGCGACTTGTCACCGGCTTCTCTATCGGCTCCTTGTCCGTCGTCGTCCCCATGTATCAGTCCGAAAGCAGCCCAGCCATCATCCGAGGTATTCTGGTTTCGACCTACCAGCTATTCATTACTCTTGGTATCTGGACTAGTTACGTTGTAGACTGGGGCACCGCGCACAAGCCCGACAGCGCTTCATGGCGTATCCCCAATGGTCTCGGTTTTGCTTGGTCTCTTATCCTTGGTGTTGGAATTCTTTTCCTTCCCGAAAGCCCACGTTTCGCCTACACAAGGGGCCGCACAGAAGAAGCTAGACGTACCATTGCTAGCATGGGCGGTATCGACGAGAATGACCCCATCGTTAATAACCAGATCAACCAGATTCGTGTCAAGCTGGAGGAAGAGCTTGCTCAAGGAAAAGCTAGCTGGATCGAAATTTTCACTGGCCCTCGCATGTTCTACCGTACTGTCCTGGGAATCGTGCTTCAGGCTGGTCAGCAGCTCCAAGGCGCGAACTTCTTCTTCTACTATGGTACTACTATCTTCCAGGCCACTGGTCTCAAAGATAGTTACGTCACTCAGATCATTTTGGGTTCAGTCAATGTGGCTTGTACCTTCGCTGGCCTTTACGTCGTTCACAAAGTGGGCCGAAGAAAGGCATTAATGGCCGGTGCTGCCTGGACCTTCGTCTGCTTCATGTGAGTACCGATTTCCAACTAGACATCACTTGATAAGACTGACAATGTATAGCATCTACACTTTTGTTGGTCAATTTGCGCTAGACCCGGTGAACCCACAGAATACTCCTCAAGCCGGATCAGCTCTTATCGTCTTCTCTGCCCTCGCCATCGCGGCTTTCGCTACCACCTGGGGCCCTATTGTCTGGATCGCCGTGGCCGAGCTTTACCCTACTCGATATCGTGCCCCATGCATGGCCCTTGCCACCGCGTCTAACTGGCTTTGGAATTTCCTCATCTCATTCTTGTATGTATTCACTCAATGATCATCACAACTCGTTGCTAACCATTTCTCCTAGTACACGATTCATCACTGATAAGATTCACTACTGGTACGGTTTAGTCTTCGCAGGCTGCTGTTTGGTTCTCGTATTCGTTGTGTTCTTCTTCTTGATTGAAACCAAGGACCGCAGCTTAGAAGAGATTGACACAATGTATTTGCTGCACGTGAACCCTATCCACTCGGCCAAGTGGGATGGAAGCAAGGTTCCGGAAGACTCTGCCCCAAGCAGTAGTCATGGGCAGGAGCAGGTGCTTAAGCAGGAGCCTGTGAACCAGCCTACCGTGTAGGTTCTGGGAACATGATAAAGAGGATACCTTTATATAAGAATAGTACTTGTCGTAGTACATATATAGTAATACAGACGGCCAAGTTCCCGATTTGACAACGACCTCCTAAGTACTATCGCAGCATGAGGGTGTACTTCTATTTCGTGACAGCGCCGGTAAGAACCCGTATACCAGAAAGCTAAACGCGTTCACAGTCCAGGTTAATCATCGTGATCAGCAGTCAAGTACTACTTCAAAAAAAAAATACAAGATATGGCGAATACAGATACGATAATAATACCGTTCAAGAGATTGAACATGTAGATCAATGCTGGAATCCAACAAAGAGATCGAATTGTCTTGTCAATATCGAGCTAACGCGGCCAGTCTTTGTTCATTATAACAAGAGTCTTGTCAAACCCCACTCTTTTCCCAAGATACCGTATAGCTAGTCTTCAGCCAGACAAAGACAGAAAATAGCAAAAGGGATATCGCCGACTATATAAGACTCGATGACGTTTATCGAAAACACGCCAATAACAAGATATTTAATCTAAAAGGATATTAACATTTTGATCTACATAAGAATTCGAAATATGGCGGGAAACAACTACAGCGACGACTTAGTCTACAATAGCAGGCCTTATCACGCCCTTTATATCTCTGACGATGAGGGAGAGGATGACGATATTTGCGTCTGGCCCGAAATGTCTGATTATGATAGTGTCGACGAGCCATTGGGTGGGCATTTTCGACAATTGGAAATTGATACCAAAGGACAACAGCCTCAGAACACCAAGGAGCCTCCACTTACCCATGATAATCCCCCTGAGCAGGCAGAGAGCACGGAGAGCATCGAGGCTCGAGAGGAAATCGAAATCCCCAAGACAACGCCAGCCAACACATCAGTAAAAAGGGCCAAGCAGCCCTCAAGCCAAGTTTGTGCAGGGGGTATCTCGTCCAGCGAAATCGATCCCAAGACAGGCAAGTTGACCGAAGAAGCCTTCCGCGAGCGAGAGATTCAGTACGCGCTCTCCACCGCACGGAGGAGTCTAACGCACATGTCGCAATTCGTGCTCAAGCTCGAGGCCCGCGCAGGCAAGACCACAAAAGAAGGGATACGGCAAACGCTCGACGCGACCGTGTCAGACATGCAGTACGACTTCAGCGCGCGCGAAAGCGATTACAAGACCGAGATCGAAGCGATCAAGGACTTGTCGAACGAGCTGTATCACAGGCTGTACCTCGTCGACAAGCATTGGCGACGCATCGCGCGGGACGCGCGCAAGGCTGGGGAACAGGGTTCTGGCATAAGAATATTAAGCGATACGGCCGTGAAAGAATGGATCAGAAGAGAATTCCACGCCAACTATCTCGCCGCGGAAGAAACATGTTTCTACACGGTGCAGGATCTAGTATCTCATCGATCCTTCTCAGATTGGGTGTTCTACTTGCGCGATCTGTGTGGATTTAAAGATCACCCGCACGATGAGCAGAAATTAGTCGAGCTGGCGTGGCGGTTTCTAGATCGTAATCTTCGCGGTAGTAGGCCGGTGAATCCGACGAGCGTGAGGCAGTTTATCGCCGAGCTGGATGAGAAGTGTCGGAGTGGCGTGTGGGATGGGGTTAAGGAGAACCCGAAGAAGCAGGAGATGGATGATAAGGATGCGTGGAGGTTGATGAGGAGGTATTGGTCGTCGAGGATGGCGCCTAGTTAGATGGAGTGTTGGATTGCTGTCTGTTGTCTTTTCTTAAGATATAAGCAGCCTTTTTGTTGTTGTTTTTTTGGTAGAGAATGTTTATTTGATATACCCAATTGCAATGTAATGTGTCATGAGAATGTGCGTTGTTGAATAGAAAAACCCCCTGGATCTGCCTTTCTGCCCGCTGTCTCTATAACAAGGGCAGATTGAACTGGGCTTGGAACTGAGGATTCTGATTACAATGATCAACTAGGGCTGCATTAGTCCTTTACCAACCAACTCCTTCTCGGCTGTTGGTGGCTTGAGATGACTCTATATACAAATGATCTGCCAGCCCAGACCGCCTGGGTCTCTAGGGTCTGTTTCAAGAAGCGAAGTCTGTATAACCTCACTTTCCAATATTGCCCAATATTGCCTGCAAGTCTTGGAAGGTCATGAACAGCCTGCAATGGTCCTTCGTACGGCCGAAGTGCAAGGCGAACTACATTCTTCAACCGGCACAGAGGTTACACGTTTAACAGTCTCTGCTCTCAACTGTCTATGAATATTTGTTATAAGGTGCCATATTGTAAATGGTGGTTCTCATAGCATTCTATGTCCCTACCTAATGTTTTATTCATTATATACTTGATACACACTTGAGTGTATATGGCGCCCAGAGGTAGCGTACCTTTTCGAAACCGTAGGCAACCAGATATAGATTCTCTACGTCTTCGGTAGTCATGCTTCTTGAGCTTCTTCTTGCTTTGGGCATGTAATAGGCCAAATTCACTCGTTGATTGTTCTTTCTAAGAATTGGATAAGTTTCAATGAAATGGTTTTGTCAGTAGAGAAAACAATAGGATGTCGTCATGTAATTTGTTGTTGGCACACAAAGCCTGTGTCTCTACTCCTTGTCTACTTCACTCAGCCGTCAACAAAGGTATTATTATGAAGAATGTAGCAAAGCGCCCAGAGAGGACATAATTGCTCAATGATTTCCGCTCTTCAGCTTACAGCATGCGGTATTCAATTTCCCCAGGCTCTCTTGATCCCCAACTCGGCCAGGAGTCGCCACAGGCAATCATCTACTTTGTTATTTTCCCGGTTATCTTAATCATGTCGAAACATATTTCCATTCCCCTAGAACAAACCTCTCTTCTCGCCGGCTCCGAGAATATGGGCTATTCAACTACCAAAGTGAAGCCCAAACTGCACATTATCATTCCGCCATACTCTCATCCTGTGGTCGGACAGGCCGCATCAGACGACGATCTTATTATCACAATGGAAGAAACTAGCTACGGCAGCGGTGTATCGGTGATTTATACCCCGTGCACGAGGACAGTATATTGCGACTATTGTCTTGAGCAAGGACTCGACCACAATCTGCAGGCTTACCACCAGCGAAGGCGGAGCACGGAGACCGACCGTGACAGTGCCACGTTTGATGTGTATCTCTCTTTCTATTCTTGCATCCTTGGTATCATTGTGTTTCTGTTGCTGTTTTTCCTTTATTATAGTGGGCGCGTGGATATGTATTCCAACAACATGAGTACAGACCTGTATACACACAACTCTGTTCTCCCCAAGAGTCTGGGGCTAGATATTTACTTGTAGAGCATAGACATAAACATCAAATATAGATATAAGATAACATAGCTTCCATATTTGATACCTGTCTTAGGCGTGGATGCGTTAGATTCGCAACATGGTGTCGGCAGTCCTTTTTTTTTGAGGCAGGTACCTAGTTACCGAGCCCAGGTATGTGTGTATGTACCTGCCTACTATGAACTCGCCTCAGGCAGGTACTTACCTTGCTCGGCTCCATTTTGCTACGCACGCCAGATTCACGTTACCGTGGGTCTGTTGTCGCGAACAGAATTCTCATGAAGAATTTATATTCACCTGTTCTAAGCTGTTTCCTTTGCATATCTCATCAAGCAATCAAGTGCGCAACTATCATCAACCTCTTCTGCATGTCGAAGACGAGGTATTCATCACGGTCCGCAATTCATGTATATCACTCAGAGTTGAACCTGATATCGAACTACCCAGTACCCGTTTGCCTGACTACGAAATAAGTATTAAGCATTTGTCTGTGACCAAGTGGAAGTCCAGCACATCTTCGTGACATCTCCGTTCTCTGATTAAGTAAGTATTTACGACAAAACCGCCTCTTCTTGCGAATGCCACCTGCTTGCCGACGCGCGTGTTTATCGAATTAGTAGCGGCATTATTTTCTCTCGAGTGAACTCATAGTTATTGCGTGCAACTATCTTGGCATCTGCATCTCTTCCTTAGCACTTCCTACCTACCTTCATATGCTCGCATACATACTTAGCATCATTCTTGAAGTTTTGCGTTCGTAGTTTATATGAAATTTCTACAATAGCTTTCGACGGCATGCTCAGCATCTACCCATTAAGGCAGAAGAAACGCATATGCTATTAGCCCTTGCTGCTAGACCGCTTCAACACCCGACCCCCCCTTGCGGAGTTCGCAGGTTCAAGTTGACCACTTCTTACATACCCTTTGTTGGTCTCCGCCCATAAGAACATTCTAACACCAATTTGGGCAGATGATATCAATCCTAGGAGAAATTTGTCTCATCATATAACTATTGTTGATCAATTACCAACAAGGTCCTGGGAGACAAAGACGCACATTTGCCAGGGGCTTCAAGATTACACCTGATCGTTAATCTGCCATAATCCTGACCGCTAATATGGATTTTGCTTGGACCAAATGCGCAGAAGCCGATGTGCATGAGCGCCTGTTAATCAAAGAACGCTCTCTAGAAATTGGACTGTCGCACTGCGAGAATCTGATCGACGAGGTCAGCAACAGATTCTCCAATATCGCAGAGCACTGTGAGCCATCTATGGAAATCATTTGGGCATTAGAAGACCGGAATGAGTGGATAAATCAGTGCCGTAAGTAACACTACCGCTAAATATACGAGTATATGCATTATCTAACTCATATCACGATAGGAGAGATAGCTAGAGATCACCGGGATTTCAGAGTTCCCGTAGGTGTGGCTGGTGCGACTGGGAGTGGGAAGACGTCAGTTTTGAATGCGCTCCTAGGGTTCCAGGAATTATTACCGACAAACAACGAGGAGGCCGCCACAGCTGTCCAATGCAAAGTTAGCTTCAATTATGATAATCGACCTAAATATGCATTTCGCTGTCACATCACCTTCCGCAGCAAAGAAGCACTAAAGGCTGAGCTCAAGCAATTCTTCGACAACCTCAAGCTAAAAGACGAACTCGAAGAACTGAATGATGACTCTGCTGATGGTGAGGAGGCTCTCTGCAACCTCGAAATGGCGATGCAACCTACTCGTGAAATGATCAGTATTGTTTTCGACCTGGAAGATGACGAGATACAAGAGTTAGATCTCGATGGGGTCCTCAATTCTAACACCGAAGCTTTGAAGCTACTGGGGACAACGAAAGAGTTTAACCATAGAACAGCAGATGGAATCTCGCAAATGGTAAAACCTTACATGGATTCTACGGCAGAGGACCATGGAGCAACTGGTACCAGTTTCGCAGCGTGGCCGCTCATCGAGCAGGTAGAGTTATTTGTCAAGTCTGACATCTTGCTAAATGGTGTCATCCTAGTAGATTTGCCAGGTTTAGGTGATGCTGTACGAAGCCGGGCGATAGTTGCAGAAAAGGCGTTTGATCAGTTGACAGCCACCATCATTGTGTCACAGGCTACCCGGGCTGCAGATAACTCTACTGCTGTGAACCTGATGTCCAAACACCAGGAAATGGCCTTGATATTGGATGGGAGACTTCATAAACAGGCATTCTGCGTGTGTTTATCCCAGATTGATCATATTGATCGCAAAGCTGCACTGAGGAAGCCCGATGCTAAGGCAAACGAATATCTCCAGGAGCTGCTTGGCGAGGAAGAAGACCATAGGTCTTTACTGGGAGTAGGAGCACAAGCGAAAAAGAAACTGTCGAAAGTGAAAAGAAAAGAACAACGCAAGCTTTCTCGTAAGATCAACCAATTTATAGAAGCATCATGGTATTGGGTTTAAGTATTAACAGGTCATCAAGAACTTCATCCGAAAGGAAAGGCCGCTGAGAGGATTAAAGCTCAAGCGGCTTACAACGCTACAAGGAAACGATTTAAAAAGGTCTTGAAAGACATCAATGATTCCAGACGCCGACTAGAAGAGTTAGAGGGCGAGATTATTTTTATCTGCATTCGAGCCAGGAATCAATACCTAAACCAACGTATTCAACAAGACTTCCGGAAAAGACACGCTCGGCTTCTTGGTGAGACTCCTGATATGCAGAAGACCTACGATGCACAAGTTGCCGTTTGCCCCACAAGTTCAGCAGCATTCTGGAAGTGCAAATGTCCGTTCTCAAGTGAACCTGGATTTCCGGACGAGTTATATACGGGAATTCCTGGCCTAGCTAAGTGGATTCGGGATGCGACCATCCAAAAAAGAGAGGAGCACGTTAATGGTCTCCTCAATAGGTTACAAGTACAATATAACACTATCAAACTATGGGTCCAAGACAAGCGCAGGCTGAAAGATACTCCGCTCACTAGAGATTGGTTCGAAACACACATTCTCGCAGATGCTATCGAGAGTTTGGAGGAGGTATCATAGAATCTATCGGGTCCTGAGAAAGTAGCGATAGATGCTAACATCGTGTAGGATCTGGAAGTATACTGGCCGACATTGACTGAGGCCGTTGAAGACCAATATCCTCTTGATAACGTCAACAGAGAATTAATTCTCCACGAAGGTCCAGGAAAGTGCATTGACGCTGTGAAAGGCTGGTCATACAAGAAATCAGGTAACGGGGCATCAGCTAAGATGCATCATAACACATACCAAGCGATCCTCACCAGGAAGGGTGGGAAATTCATGAGCGTATCAAATAACACTTACACGGAATACTTCTGGATGGGTGATCTGTAAGTGTAACTGAATAATGAGAAGTATATATCAAAATCTCACTAACAGCTGGGCAAGGTCGCATGTTTTGTTCAGCATCGTCGTCAAGGACTGGACCCAAGCTCTCCACATTGATATACCTTCAATGGCTGGCGATGCTGAGCTAGCGATAGACAAGATCTGGGACAGGTTCATCCAAGATCTCAACGCAAGGGTTAACAAGGCGGAGCCAAGACTGCTCCCTCAGATAAAGAACGAGGAACCTAACCTGGAGGCTTTTAAGAAGGCAGCTAAAACCCGGATCCGCCAAGCTCTTAAGCGACTCTCCAAGGGTGCAGGCCAAGCTTATCCTCTAGTTGCCTTCAAAGCTCAAGAAGAATGGGCAGAGACATTTAAGGGGGCGGTAAACATCAGAGGTAAATGCTTCGTATAATGTAGGATACAGACATTCTAATCGACTACTACTAGGTACCGGGTCTCATGCAGCTCGTCAACAGCTTGTGCTTAACTTCGCAAAAAAGAACAGCAGGAATACTTTAGAAAAAATATATGACTATCTCGACGAGCAACTCTGCGCAAATTTCGGGTCACTACCCGAAGAGCTACAATCTATATCAGACGATACTGTGAGATCCTTGCGGAGCTATCTTATCATGTTCATCGATAAAACTCTTGAGTCTACAGATATGGCTATCAAATCAGAAGATGTTGCTGAGGAGAAAATCGGGTTGCGGATGGCTGTGAATTCCGAGCTTGATATGTGGGATGCACAATGGGGAAATCTAGACTTGGATGAATATGTGAATGACAAGCAGGCTGGCTGCATCCCGGATGAGTACCAGCATGCTCGGTCGAAGCTGGAGGCTAGTGATGATTCTACGAACTCTGACTCATCCAGCGAGGAGAGCACAGACGAAGACTAGTCATTCTTTCGTCTATTCCATGCGATGGTTTTATTTGCATTTGCACGAACTTAACTTGATATGGGGTGGGGGCGTCAAAGGGGGAAGCATGGGAATTCCGAATACACCATGATGGGAAGAGTAGCTCAGTCAAGATTTCATGACCTGAAAAGTAGTTCTCCGTTTCACGATGGATTTTAAGGCTCATGGAAGGCTGTGGACTCAAGACAAACTTGGCGATGATTTCATATACATGATGCGCAGTTTTACCGACTTCCACTCCTAGTTAGCAGGCATAGGCCATTGAATCTAATACGATGAACTACGTTCCATAAAGCTCTTCCTGAAATGCTCCAATACATTGCCTTGCACCTAGTACTAATCAGAGCCACGATATCTGCCAATGCGCTTTGCAGATGAGTTCTCATGATAGCGTGAGACGACCCTCACCCAGGCTCGTGATTCACCAGGATATTCTAAACTGATAATCTCGTAGCGATATCAAACGCTCAGTATAATAATCTATACCCTCGAGGCCTTGAGAGTAAGGCTTATGAGGTGACTTGGCACATTTATAGTAACCAGCCTTTCGGTAGTCTCGCGACGCGCCTATGGCGCAACTAGACAGTACAGAGTGCGAATCGCTGCGCATAGATTTTGCCCTTATATTTTCTTATCTGCATTTATGTATCTGAGAGTTCAACACTTCAAGCAGGCTATAAAAGCACAGTCGCCTGGACTAGAAGGACCAAGTGTCACTGCGCGGACGATATTCTTCATAAAGTGTCATCATATCTAATACATAATCTAGTTCTATGCCTGCACCTACTAACGCCTTGCGCCCGGAATCCAGCTCCACGCATGCGTTGGCCGTAGTTTCGCCAGCTCTTGTTCCGTCGTCCACAACGCCCATTCAATCGTCGAGCTCACAGCGCGAAGCGCAGGCATCAGGACAGACGAGACACTTTTCCCGAGCCCTTTCACCGCAACAACGTGCGTCCGGTCCCCAAGCCCCATTATCCTCGCCTGGCCAACGGCCCACGTAAGCGGGCTGTGGACAATCTCAATCCACCCAAGCCTGACAAGGCCGTAATTCAGCAACGTGCGCGCCTCGGGATAACTCAGGAACCACAGTGGAAGGGCCGAGGCAGGCAGAAGGAAACGCCAGTCGATCACGGAGCCGACGACGAACACGATCCACGCAGTCCACGCGACCCGGATGTCCCAGTGTAGTTTGTTTTCGCCGTTGACGAAGAGGCCTTCGCGGAGGACCTCGGCTGCGAGGATCGCGCTACCTAGAAGGTAGAGCGTGAGCGTCCACCGGACGGTCTTGAGGAGAAGGCCGAAGTTGCAGAGGATGAAGAATGCGAGAACGAGCGTCCAGAGGAGGTATGCGGCGAGGAAGAAGAAGAAGAGCATTTGCTGCGCGGTGGGAAAGTGGTTTGGGTAATCGATGACTGAGGGATCTGTTCAGGCGTTGCTTGCTTGGACTGGAAATGGGATCGCATGGGCAGTACGAGGTAAAGATGATCTCGAGAAGGGGGCTTTATTATTATGATACTAATTCCATTCTACATCTTGATTCAATTAAGTCTTCGTTTGACACTTTTTTCTTTTCATCCTGCCTCCTCTTCTTCTCATGTCAATTAGCAGCACTCTATCCGGAAACGGGATGTCATATGCATTCCTTTGTATAGGGGCTGTCTTGCGCTTGATATGCTGCCACACTTTGAATTTAATGATTATTTCAAGACTACGAGATTAAGAGTGTAATCAGCTTATCCTCTACTGCACATCACATTTGTCGCTGTTTTCTCTATCAACTTGTCTGTGTTGGTGTTGGGAGTCATAGGTTTTAATCGAAGGAGGGGTCGGGGATGTACAGAAACGGAACATGCTCGGGGACGCTCTCTCTTTCTACCGCGCACCAAAATGGTCCTTGTAGTCTCTCCTCTGGAAGAGAATAATTCGTCTTACGTTTGATGGTCTGATTTATTAATGAAATTTATGAATCCATCTGTGTATTGTATGTCTTTGCAGTTGTGACAGCTAATTTCCTCAACAGCGGCACTCATTTCGATAATATGCAGCCTACCTATCCTTACCGGTAGATGGCCCAACATACACACACCCCTTTTTCAGAAACGGACGACAAGAACGGGAAATGCCCGACAGAAATAGGTACCTCGAATGATAACATCTGAGTACCTACTTACTTGTTCAAAAGGATATATTTCGTTGGAATAGGTAGTCATTTCCAATGAGGACCGATTGGTAAGTATTTGTATGGGAAATATAATGTTCCTCTCGGTTAGGCATCTCAAGTTGGTATCTAGGTATTGTGTACTTACTACCTACCTACTTACTTACTTACTTATAGCGGGTTAAAGTACCGGTAGTATCCGCCTTGGCGCGCTAACAGGTTCTTGCCTAACCTGCTAAGCTTAAGCTTATAGCAGGTGCCAGTAAGTACTTGGGTACGTCCTTCACCCCTCCTGCCACCGAACACTGTTGGTTACCCGGCAGCAGTCGTTCTAGCGTAGGGCAATATTATGGTCACAGAACTGTCTACCAGGGGCATGTCGAATTCTGTTGTAGACAGAATCCCATAGGCATACATCGATATATCAGCTTCTTTCGCCGCTATGCCCCTGCGAGTACTGTTCGGTTGGTCTTGATGTTGACGCCGACGGTCCTTCGCACATTGAGAATTGGACTACCGGTATGTCGAATTGACATTGGTGGCTGAGTATATCCTTCACATCCAGCCGCGACGCGTGCCTTTCAGCATGGAGGAGAAGCGTCCGAGCGCCGCCACAACCACCGGCCGAGCATCAAGCGGCATTCCGAAACCTTCGTCTCGTCTTCCCTTGCCTCGCTCCAGCATCCCGACGCCCTCCGCCACCACACGATCCCAGCAGAAGTCTTCCGCCCCTTCGTCCTCTGAAACCCACCGAGCTTCTCTGCCACAGCCATCCGCCGCTACCACCCTGCGGAACCCTCGCTTGCGTCCGGCAACCTCGCGGGAGCAAATCAGTTCACCGACCACCTTGCCGAGGTCATATAGGCCCGGGGTCTCGTCTGCAAACCCCCGAGGTACGGCGAAGGATTCAATTAACAGGAATGTGAAGTCGCAACCCGTCTCCACCGACAATTCCTTCAAGAAGCCTTTGGCTCCTAGACGTCGGCCGTCTAGTCAGTTTAGCCATGGCACGCAATCGTCAGCCACCTTGGTCGAGGAGCACTCTTCAGGAGATGGGATTATAGATGACATTCCGGAGCTACCTCCTTTGACTAAACCAACAGGTGATGACCTCACCTTTGATGCGTTTTTGGCCGAGCCTAGGAGACCGCGGCCGTCGCTTTCCGAGCGAACGATTGAAACTCTTTCGAATTTGCCTTCTTCTCCTGCAATAAAACGGCGGGGTAGTAATTTCTTCGACGTGCCTGGATCTAGGAGACCACAATCAAAAGGAAGTGTAACATCACGGCCGGGATCGCGGCTTGGTTCACGACCCAGCTCGAGCTATCAGTCCGACGGGTCGAACGGGCGTCCCAGTGGCCCACTGAGCCGGCCAGGCTCGAGCTCGAGCTCTTTAGAAAAGGGATATGGCAACTTCAGGGCCTCGACGAACACTTACAAGCCACCTTTGGCCACGGTGCAGGGTACACCGTCGAGGCGTCTTTCTGCCTTCGGCTCGTCGGCTACACCGGCTACGAAGAACACATCGAGACTTGCGCACCGTCCCTCTCTCAACAATGTGTCCTCCAAGGCCTCTCTATCTGCCTCAATTGGCCCTAGTACCCCAGTCCCGGAAAGGCAGGGCATGTCCGTATCTAAGTTTGGGTCTAAGACTCTGACTGCTCGACCGTTGAAGACCCGGGGCTCTGTCAATGGCTTGTTCAACAAACCATCTATACCATCTCTTAAGAAGGAGCAATCTGCCTCCGATCTTTCGTCCGCTGCTATGCGGCAAGGGTCTCTTGCCTCGATAAAGTCACCAAGGACGTCTGGCGAAGGCGGTAATCTATCAAGTCCATCAACCACTTCCACTGCACCCACAGTACACTCTCTTGAGGAGCCACCATCCTCGACGCGCAAATCCTCCGCTGCGTTACGTGATCAGATTGCAAAAGCAAGGGCCGCAAACCGAGCCGCAAAACGTCAAGCTTCGGGCGCAGCAATCTCTCAAGCCTTGAAATCGCCGGTTATACCAACGGATGATACTTTCGATTTCGGGCTGCCCGAAGATCCATTTGGTCAAAGGAAATTTGAGGACTGCAACCGAAAAGCCATGCAATCGCAAATTAACACAGCAAGAGTAACGGGAAGGCTGAACATTGCTGCTATGGGATTGAAAGCGATTCCAGACGAAGTGCTGAAGATGTATGATCTCGAATCAATTGGCCATGCTGACGGTAGTTGGGCTGAGAGCGTAGATCTTACTCGACTTGTTGCTGCGGACAATGAGTTAGAGACGATAGATGACTCGATTTTCCCTGATGTTGACCCCAACAATTTCGACTTAGATGAAGTGGACGATAGGGGACGAATTTTCTGGGGTCTTGAGTCTGCAGACCTTCATAACAACACGCTAATCTCCTTACCACTGGGTCTGAGGCGTCTTCAGCAACTGACGTCGTTAAATTTGGTAAGTTGGCCAGTCCCTGACATCTTTAAACTGATCACAAGACTAACTTCACATAAGGCGTCGAACAAGCTTACGAACAATTGCCTCGAGATTATTGCCCAATGCGGTGGTTTGCGCGATCTTAAGTTAGGCAACAACCTTTTATACGGTCCGATTGATGACGCTTTTGTCCTTGAAAACCTGGAGATTCTTGATTTCCACGGGAACAACATATCTGCGCTACCCCGTAGCATCAACAAAATGAAGAGGCTCCGTATTTTGAATATAGATGAGAACGCTCTCGAATCAGTGCCCTTTCAAAGTCTTTCTGCTCTCCCGCTTAGTGAGCTGCGCGTGCGAAAGAATAAACTGACTGGAACATTGATCGAGCATGGGGTGAAAAGTCTTCCACAACTCCAGACACTAGACTGTTCTAACAATCAGTTATCGTATCTTGTTTCTCCAGATACGGATCAATCACTTCAGCTTCCATCCCTTCATCAGTTAACAGTCTGCGTCAACCGATTGAAGAGTCTGCCAGATATGAGCAGCTGGGATAGCATCCTGACGATCAACGCTGATGACAATAGTATTTCCGCTTTCCCTGAAGGGTTTACCAGCCGAAATTCCCTTCGGCACGCCGGCTTCTCCAGTAACGATATCCGTATCGTACCTCCAGAGATTGCCCGAATGGACAGCCTTGTGATGTTGAGTATCACAGGTAACCCATTACGGGATAAGAAATTCACTTCTCTCACAACAGAAGAATTGAAGGATGCCTTACTCACGAGATTAGCGCCATTGCCTGGTGAAGAAGCAGGGGGCGTAGAGAACTTCGCTAACGGAATCGACTCGATCGGAGCGAATGTCTCACATATTCAGATTACAGCATCTACAGCATCTGGTGGTTATGGGAATATGGAGGATGGGCATTCAGATTCCGATGATTTCGCAACACCACCAACGTCTGCTCCTCACTCCCCGGCCCGCTCTCGGTCTCACACATTATCTAGCCAAACGTGGCCTATAAAATCAGGCGGGGTCCTCGATCGGTCCAACACGGAATCGTCTTCTCTGCACCCTGTCGTTTGTTCGAAAATCGCCGCTGTCCAGTCAGTGCGGGATGTCCGACTCAGCCAGAACACGTTCACCCAATTCCCAAATTCATTGTCATTCTTCAGTGATACTATGACATCGCTATCCTTGTCTCGTAACCAGCTTACCGGGGAAAGTTGGTTGACAGAACAGCTTGACCTCACAGCGCTGCGAGAGCTGAACCTTCAGTCCAACTTTTGCACCAGTCTAGCGCCTTTGATGACATTTTTGTGTGCGCCCAATCTAGAAAAGCTCGATGTGTCACTCAACCGCATCGTTCAAATCCCTTCTCTGCGAGACGTCTTTCCAAGCCTCACGGTGCTGCTAATAGCAAATAACCGACTTGAGGAGCTTGACCCGGACACCATTCAGGGAATGAAAATTGTCGACGCTAGCAACAATGAGATCACGCACCTCAACCCTCGAATCGGCTTGCTTGGGCTCGAGAGGCTTGAGGTAACGGGTAATCGATTCCGAGTTCCCCGATGGAATGTTCTCGAGCGCGGGACCGAAGCGACGCTTCGATGGCTTAGGGGCCGAGTGCCAGTAGCCGAGATGGCCGAGTGGCGTGCTCAGACGGGAATCACTGAAGATGACTCGTCTAATGAGCTTGATTAGAGTCTACGATATCTCTGCATAATACCATGCCATGGAGTTTTGGGAAAAGGCATTCAACCGTAATTCTGACTTTGTTACTGATTTTCTGGCACAACGCTCCAAACAACGACCTGTCTACAAGGCATGGAAAATTAGAGCGAGGGCCTGTGAAATTCCTAAAAATTGATTTATAGCAAAAGCGGGCGCACATGGAAGACTTGACAGGACCGGCATTCGGAATAAATTTGGACTCGTGGGAAACGGTACCAAAGTACCAATAAGTTGTAGACTTGAACAGTACGAATATACTATATAGTAGAGCCATTATGATGTGGCGCGAGTGATAAGTACTTACTTGCGATACCTGAGGGTGCAAGAGGTATCTAGCGACAATTATGATTATTATCACTATTCTTCTTCTTCTCCTCCTACTTCCTCTTCTCTTCTCTTGTTTGTATTAAAGGTTGTTTGACGATAGCCGCCTGTGTCATGTTATGCCAAACAGTTGGAGTGATTGTCGAAGAGTAGCAAGCACAGTCTGTATTCCAGCGGACTTTCACATGGAGATGGGTGTTACCATATCGAGCCAAATCCTGTCGCAAGATGGACGCTGATAGGCCCATGGCCACACCGGCCGGCTTAGACAGCCGATGGGATCGACAGGCGACTTGCTCAGCCCCGATCCTGGTCCAGCTGGCCTGGTCGTGTCCGCTGGCTCAACTGGTTGGACTGGCTTGTTTGGCTCCAGCGAACAGCTCGTATTGCCGGTGCCCAGTTGCTAATTTTATGGGATCGGCCAAGTCATCTCTCTTGTGCCATGCAAAAAGCAAGGCGATTGATGTCCTAAGTTTGCAAGGCTTTGGTAGTAAAATAAATAATAAATCAGACGCCCCCAGTTCTGATTTCCGAAACTTTTCAAGAATTATGTCAACCATTTACCTCACTCACTCCATACATACACACAACCGCTCGTTTTCTATATCCTAGCTACACCGGCGAACTAGGCAGTGGATACCTACTTCATCTACAATTTCACAAGCTACTCTCTCTCTCAAATTAATCCGCCCATAACAACAACAACAACAAAAGGTCAAGACACCCTCCAACATGGCGGCCACGATCGCAGTATCAGGCACGAGCTCCGGCTCCACGCCCTCCGCCACACCATCATCGACCTGCGGCGTCAACCTGTACGACATCCCCATCTCCGAGCCCGGGTGCGCCGTAGCATCCAACAGCGCACACCAGGACGCCATGGAGGCATGCTGCAAGTCGGCCGACGTCATCTCGTACTACGACAACTGCGGGCTCTACTGCGTCGCGGCGGACCAGACCATCAAGGAGCTGCAGGACTGCCTGTTCGGCGAGAAGGTCGCGTACAATGCCGTCTTCTGCAACGCACCGAACAACGCGACCGCCACGAACACGGACCCGGAGATCCCCGCCACTGCGAGTGCCTCTGTCGTGTCTGGGGGCGATGATCACGATGATGATGGTAATGATAGTGACGGAGACGATAGCGATAACAACGATGGGCCCAAGCCGTCTGATACGGACAGTGCTGCACCGCGGCTGGCGCCTGAAATGAGCATCTCGAAGACGGGTCTGACTATTGGCGCCTTGTTGTTCTCGGCTATGGCCTTTGGTGCTTTCCAGATCTAAGTTAATGGGGGGCCTTCACTTACCGTGGCTCTATACGGAGACGACGCATGCAAATGGCTTCCTTGGGAGGGGGAGTGTGTTATGTGAACATGGAATAGCATGGTTATGAAAAAGAATGATGGATTAATCTTGCCTTCTCGTTATTGGAGGGTACCGATATTTGATACGCACAGCATCAGCGAGCACATGCGGACATCGAATCCTGTATGTATAATTCATGGCGTTCGATAGCGTTATATGGTTTGATTCGATTCGATGTACTGGGATCGTAGGCTGGTTTCATGTTTTGTTATGTCATGTGGGCTCACGCCGTGGACTCCTGGGTGCATTTATCGGAAAGGACTGGCTGGAACTGGATCTACATGAATCAAAACAATAATAAGACCTACCTTCTAATTGTTGCTTATCAGGACGTGTGTGTGTGTGTGTGTGTGTCTATGATGAAAATATGATATGAGATCTATCTATCTACCTAGGCAGTGATACATGAAAATAAATGGCTGCATGGAAACCAACGCCAATAGTTAGAAACACGGGCGTTGATTCTCTTTCGCATCCGATTGCATCCAAGGATCAATGTTCCGAACCACGTGTCGTGAGACCAAGTTTCGGCCTACCATAGAGGTAACATGCATGCGAAGTTAAGTGTACACATATATTAACTTACTTACTTACATATAATACATGCTACATGCATGATTTCTGATTCCCCAGGAAGAAAGAAAAAGGAAAAGAGAGAGAGAAAAAAAAAAGCACAGGCCGACTTTGACAAAACAAGCTGGTCGACGCGACACCAAGGCAAGTCCAATGGGTCCGAGCTACAGCTGTTCCTCTTCGATTGGACGTGGAAACCTCGTAAACGTGCTCATAACCTGAGTACTCCAATCCGGGTCCACGACCCTCCTTGGACCGAGAACCTATGAATTCACGACATGGCGTGGCGCGGCGAAACTGGGCGTAAATAACAGCAAGTGTTTCGGTATTTCGTTAGTAGGAGGCGTCGGCTCTTCGTTTTGCTTCGCCCATTCCGATCCCCCGCGTGCGAGAGAGCTGAATGCCGTGTCTTGCACCTATGGAGCTTGTCAAGCGGGAATGCTCGTTGTCTCTCTCATCAGGTTAGGTCGTTGTCGGGATACCTGGTTGAATACGAGATAGGTTTAGAGCGAGGTAGATAGGAAACAGATGCTTGCATATCTGAGGCAAGATGGTTGTATATAGTCGGTGCATTGACATGGAAATGAAAGATAATCAAACTGAATACCTTAGCCATCCATGGATATATAAGCAAGCAAGCGAGCAAGCAAGCAAGCCAGGAGGTCTGTACGCTCGCTCCTAAGACAACGTTGGAAATAGTAGAGGGTAGATTAGGTGCAGGAGTTCGTCTCTTTTACTGGCCTCTTTTACCAGCCACTAGGTATTCTTGTAGCCCTGGCCAGGTCGGCAGCAGGTGACCAGCCTTTCCCATTCAACCGCTAACCAGGGCCGGTGATAGGTGGGTTCGCACAGCAACAGCGTGCCAGCTCAGGCTTGTATTGCAATATTCTCCACTGCTACAGGCTACTACTACTACTGCACTACTACTGCACTACTAGGTACTGCACTCCACCCGCTATCATCACTGCTGTAGGTACCCTATGTGTACACTATCTTAGGTACCTACCAATCCTCATCCCGCCGCCGCAGCGCTGGACACGCAACCTCTCATCATCATCATTATCATCATCAGCCAGCTCGACAGATCCATTGAAACCTGATTACGCCCATGCAAAGCCATCTCGTCGTGTCAGACAATTGACGGCGCAGTCCTATTGACCGACGCGCTTAAGAGCTGCCCCTCGCTCCCCTCGCTCCCCTCGCGGACGCAGCACCCGCTTGGACCTCTTGACGCAAGCTGGGGTGCTTGTGCTGGCACTGGCGATCAATCGGGCAGTTCACCGACTACCTACCTAGGACTCACGTACGTCTCTCGTCCCAACGTGTCCGTCCTAGCTCGCCTTGCCCGCGCTCTGCAAACACGAGCAGACACGAGTATAGCCATCGTCTGCGGCAATACACCGTCACGTACTCCGCGCAAAGCGAACTGCTGTCGCAAAAATGGCCTCCTCGCAATCCAATGGCGTCTCTGGGTCTGATCAAGATCTTGTGCCCTCGACACCGCCCGAGGCAACAATGGCAACAATGGTAGCTTCACCCATAGCCCAACCACCCGCTCTCAATCACCTTTCCTCAACTTTATCACAGCAATCCATGCCTTCTACGGAAGATCCGCCGTCACCTGTTGATCCCTCCGCTTCCTTCCAGACCGAGATGAACGACGACCGTCTGTCGCCGCCACAGGTCATTCGATCCTCTTTAACACCGCCGCCATCTTCTCAGATCCCTCAAAACAATATCGTTGCCGGTATACCGCGACCTTGTTCTGACTCACAACAAACGAGCACTATAATCTCACCACCTGCGACAACGCTCTACGTTCCAAATCGAGATCGGTCGAACATCGCCGAATTTCTCCCTCCTACTGCTGATCAGATTGATAATGCCACCATTGACGAGCTTCGATCTATGCTACAGTCTTCTCTCACCCTTAACGCGAAACTTAAGTCTGAGACTGCTCATCACAAGCTGCAATATGAGCTCTTGAGCATGCAAGCTGCTGAAGATACTAACCGCGCCAATGTGGAGCACGAGATGATCCGTCGCGAAGTAGAGGCCCTCCGCAGTGCTGAGCATGCCCGCCAGGCTCGACGAGAACTCGAAATACGTGTAGACCCGATCCAGGCTAAGTACCGTGAGCTCCAAGCGGCCCACGATGCCCTCACAAAGGAACACAGTGACCTTCTCCGCCGCTTCAAGTCCGCGTCAAGGCTTGTCCAGCAACAAGCCGAAGAAATTTACGTGTTGAATGATGACCGTGAAATGCTTCTCAACAGAATACGCGAGAATAGGCAACATTTTCACATGCTTTGCAGCCCTGGCGGTGCATTCCACGGTGCTTTGACCCCCAAGACTCCCTCAACCTCCCCTCAGCAACACCGGACAACGCCTCGTCAGACACCACGATCTTCAACCAGAGGCGGTCGCCACGAAAATGAGACTGATGCCGCCGGCTTCGCCGCCCTTTTACAGGCTCTAAAACAGGACAATAGTGCCCCTACAACGCCAATCTCAGCCAGCCGGCCCCCACCGCGCGGCCAATTCAGACAACATCGCGCGGCGCACTCCCTATCATCACTGCCCGCCACCCCATACGCACGTGCTCGTGGTAATCCTGGCCTCCTCCCTTCTATCGATCTTGTTCCACGAACTGAGCCCGCGCAGAAATTCGGTAGCCGTGTTGCCCCTCAAACCCCAACGCCCAGGAGACGCCGCAAGAGTCGAGAGAGCACTATATCAGCCGAGGACGAAGACGAGGCAAATGCCCGCACGATGACATTGGAGTCCGTTGCGGCTGCCGCCCAGTCATACATGTCACACGGTTCACATCACTCCCAGAGACATGAGGACGAGGAAGAAGAAGTCGTCGAGAGCCAAGCTACTCGAGCAGCATCAGAAATGTTACGACGAGATCCCCGCGAAAGTTTCGAAGTTGCAAGCTCAGTTGGATCCCGTGATGCAACACCTGTCCCAGCGGAGAAGACGCAAAAACTCCAAACGAAACTTTACGCGCCCGTGCACAAGGCTGGAATGAACACAGAAAAACGCAAATTTAGCGGCGGGTCCAATCCTGATGAGGTACGGGTAGAAGCAGTCACGAGCCCAGCGAAGAAACTCCGGTATGGTGCCGATGGTGCGATTGGATTGGGGATTCAACACCATCGCCGAAGAGGCTGATGATGAGCATACGGGTGTCTTTTTTTTCTTTTGGGATCGAGACATCAAAGTCTAGTGGAACGAAATGAAACGATTTGAAGATTTTACGACAATTGGGTTCAAGGGTCAAAGCGGAGGTTTAGGTAAGGACTTTAGAATGAAATCATGTGAATGAACGGGGACCAGTCTGTCTGTGTATTATACCCATAATAAGGTATTGGCCGTCAGGTACTGCCGACAGCACACTGCTAGAGAACCCAGAGCTAGCTCTTTTAGCAAAGGTGTAAATTGTCTTCAAAGTTGAAGCCATGAAAGCGTTTTGGGGGGTCTTGAATGCATAGCTTCTAGCATAGACTTAATAGCATTGCCGTTACTGGCTACTGTTCATGGTGTCTTGACCTTTTCGTCTTATAGTGATGGCTTGCCAGCGAGATTATCAGGTGTATAGATCAAATACTGGTAGTTGTGGAGATATCCATGCCCTCCCTGTGAACTGTAGGGTGCCCTTTTTTGTCCTCGGCAATTAGCTGGACAGACTTGCGCAAAGGAATATCGGCACCTTGATATCAGAAAGACAGACCATGGCTTCACATACACCTCGGTTCCCGAGTTTGAGCACCAGCTATCTAATAAAAAGCACTTCGAGCTCGTTGCCACATAGTAATAGCTATTTTTTATACCTTTTATGAGAGATGTCGTTAAGAATTCACATCCCCTCTCCGAACCGACTACGGCGATTAATTCGACCGGGCTCAGCCGGCTCGGGAAGCCGGCTCGGCTCCACTGGCAATGCATTTATCCCCCCTCCACTCGACGTCGGAAAAGAGCACCGGCATTTTTTGGAGCTCCCCGGATTTCCCTCTTCCCCAGCTACTGTAGGTAGGTACCTTGGCCTGGCCTGGCCAGGCTATCCACAGATCCAGCCGTTTTGAGTTGTTTCGCTGTTTTCTTTCGGTTATGTCATTTCTCTCCTTCGGTACAATTCCTTTCCAGGGGCTTCGTTTACTCCCCTCCTCTCCTCAAGTCGATATAACGACGTTCTACGTCTGATCCGCGAGGAGACAATCGACTGTCGTTAGCTACCTGTTACTTCTCTGATGATACACTCCCACCCGAACCGGAAACCAAGAAGAACGAATAAGCGATCATGGCGAGCATTCCCAAGGGCCTCAAGGCCGTCCTATCCAAAGCGCCCACAGACACCGTGATCCTCTCCTCGCTCCGCACCCCGATCTGCCGGGCCTACAAAGGCCAACTCAGAGACGCCTTTCCCGAAGAGCTGCTCTCGGTCGTCCTCAAAGCCACGTTGGATGCAAACCCGAATCTCAATCCCTCCGAGATCGAAGACGTCGCCGTCGGCGTCGTCCTCTCCGAATTAGGCGGGAGTAAAGCAGGCCGCATGGCGATGAACCACGTCGGCTACCCCACCTCCACATCCTTCTACACCGTGAACCGCGCCTGCAGCAGTTCGCTACAGTCCATCGCGGGTGTATCTGCGCAAATCGCCACGGGGATGATCTCCGTGGGCATCGGGGCCGGCACAGAGCACATGACGCGGAACTATGGGAGTCGCGCGATACCGACGGATCTATGGCCCGCGCTCCGGCATAGCGAGAACAGACACGCACGGGATTGCATCATGCCGATGGGGGAAACGAGCGAGAACGTCGCGAAAAGGAAGGGCGTGTCGCGCGCCGACCAAGACGCCTTCGCCCTGGAATCGCATTTGCGCGCCGCGCGGGCCCGGGAATCAGGGGCCTTCGACGCGGAGATCGTGCCAGTGCACACGCGCTTCGAACCAGTCGACGCATCGGGCGCAAAGACGGGGGAGCAGAATCCCATCGTAGTGAGCTCCGACGACGGGATCCGGGCCAACGTGACGCTGGAAGCGCTAGCCAAGCTGAAGCCAGCGTTCGCAAAAGACGGGACGAGCACGGCGGGGAACTCGTCCCAGGTGTCGGACGGCGCGGCCGCGACGCTCCTGATGCGTCGCAGCACGGCCACCGCGCTCGGACTGGGAGGTAGTATACTGGGGAAATTCGTGGGCGCGAAGACGGTGGGCTGCGACCCCGACGAGATGGGCGTCGGGCCCGCGATCGCGATCCCCGCGCTGTTGAAATCTCTCGGGTTGGAGAAGAGCGAGGTCGATAGGTGGGAGATCAACGAGGCGTTTGCGAGTCAGGCGATTTATTGCCTGAGGGAATTAGGCCTTGAAGAGGATTGGGTTAAGGGCAAGGTTAATCCTGATGGGGGCGCGATTGCACTTGGGCATCCCCTTGGTGCGACTGGTGCGAGGATGACGAGTACGCTTTTGCATGGGCTTGGACGCACGGGGGGGCAGGTGGGTGTTGTGAGTATGTGCGTTGGCACCGGGATGGGGATGGCGGGTTTGTTTGTTAGGGAATAGGGGTGTGTGGTTACGTTAATAGTTATGATGAAATGATGAAACGGATACCCTCCGGTTACGCGATCTTGTGGTGTCTTGTCTTGTGAGGTGAGAATATCTATCATATGCTAAGAACGACTGTGTTTTATTCCACCTATCTAGCAGGATCGTGAGGTAGGTGCTCTAAAGTTATTGTCTTTTTATTGTTCAATCATATGTCTTAAGATAGAGTACCTAAAAAACTTCGAGCAATATTCATTTTGCGTAGTTAGCATACTCTGGCTATTAAGGTTATATAATTCGCTTTGAAACAACTGGATTTGATTTGAGATGGTGTGAACTTTCTTCATTCCACATTCAACAGATTGGAATTGTGTCCAGGTGTAGAGAGTTCTTCTATTTGGTCGCTGTGATCACCTCTCCACAAAGTTGGCGCGCGAGAGGGCAACGCAGTAGCGGTTCTTCGCCAAACCACCCTCAACGGACCTATCGTTCCCACGACATGTCTTACCTCGCTCATTGTTCATAAAGGCCTCATCCGCCCACTCTCTAGTGGTGTTCACTACACCGACAATAGGCAAGAGAATCTCCGGCCCACCCCCTAGCTTTCTCCTGAACCTCTGTTCGGCTGCGAGAAGTTCCTCGAATCTGAGCCACCAAGGAATCAGGTTGTTGCAAGCTTGGAGCGGGATACATAGCCTCACAAAGGGTCGCATAGTCGCAGAACGCATAGCCGACGAAAGGCATACATACTCGACACCTATAGAACACCTCGCGCTGCCATCGTCCTTCTCCAAGGTTGAGGTGTACAGAGAGGAACTGGTAATACCACCATGCTTTCGGCCCGATATCTTCCTCGGGATATCTGAGGAAGATATTCGTGGCGTCGAGATTAGTGCAGTCTTGTTCATTGTCCTCGAAGAACGTGTCGGCTTCGTCGACCGCAGTAAAGGGGAAAATACGAGGGTTCATAACTCGCATGAGCGCCGGCATTCGAAGACGGTGTTTCCAAACTTGGGCTTCAACCTCGCCACTTTTGCTCTGGCTATGCATGCTGAGCAGGGTTTCCAAATCGCGGGCTAGAAGAAATGAATAAAAGTAGCTAACTTTGTTCTCTACATGATTCTGGTACGCAGCAATGCGCAGCTGTTTTTTGACTAAGTAATTCAAGGCATCAGTCTCGTAGCTCGAGGGGTCGATTCATTCCCGACTTACTAGCAGGTGTTAGTTGACCTAGGAGGAGCGGTTGAAGGTTCCGCGTCTGTTCCATTTCCCAGGGGGAAACCCGAGCGCAGAGTCTCCCCCAAGCTTCACCATGGCCGCCCCTTTCCGGAGTCATCCAGGGGAAAGCAGTCCGCGCCAACTCGTAAATGTAGAGAGCCTTGTGAATCCGCAGGGTTTCCGTGTTCGTCAGCTGTGCATCCCCTTCAGGCCTCCTTGGACAACGTTCCATTATGTTTTCTAAGATTTTTGGGGCTAGAAGGTTTGTCCATTTTTTTACGATGTTGTCGAACCTCCGGTATTCAGCAACCACGCCGAACGTGTCGATGCCCTGGTAAAGGCGACCATTGGCGCGCTTACCGGGCCCTATGTGCCGGTCTAAGATCTGGACGACAGGCTGCACCGCCTCAGGATCAGAGGGTTTATAGTAGTCCTCTCTGTAAGATCGAGGCGATTGTTCTCCAAGCGCTCTCAGCTCATGCAGGGCTATTGCAAATGGCATGAGACGGTCGCCGATGGTATTAGCTAGTGTTCCCACTGCTATCTTTGCTATCCTGGCCTCGTTTTTGAGTACTAGCGTATATAGTACCGGCCCAGTAAGTGCCAGATTAACAGGGGACGAAAAATCAGCATGCTCGAGTATGACTAATATCACATCCACTCCTAGTTTCTCAATGAGGCTCTCATGGGCTGAAGACCTGGCGAAGCAATGACAAGAGTTAGTAATTGGCTAATCATGTGGGATCTTGTGTCCGCTGGGTTGGCTATACATACCTCTCAAATGCCTTCTTAACTATTTCTCCGGCTGAAAGTTTTTGTGGCATGATGATATCAACGATTAATCTTAAGCTTAGATGTCTTTGGGCCAAAACTTCGAGGATTATCGCGATTGTTGTGCTGGGAAATAGAATTCGTAGAAACGCGAGAGATGACTATTGAGATACAACAAGGGATTTTTAGAGATAACATTGAGCTATTACATGCGCACGAGTCTTTCACTTTAGCAGCTAACTATGAACTACATATACGCGCTGCTTCTTTGTCACGCGGAGAGTACAGCGGTACACTAGAACATGTACAAGTCCCCCTAGGATATCCCTCGCTTCACAATAACCTATAGATAGCAATCCTTTGTAGCAAACAATCCCATTGTGCCTTGCTTTGTACACCTTTTTTTGCACACCGTGATCTGTTGGATATTATTAGCTACTTCGGAAGAGGATCCTGCCCCTTGCGTCAGATGACGATATCTAATCAACGATAACGTCCTTTTGCTAGCTTCGTCCTCACATTTAATTTGTATGGAAGAACGCTCTCCTTGGCGCTTAGACAATCCAGAGGATTGGAACAGATACAAGTAGAGCCAACAGTGAGGCGCAAAGCTAACAGTCGAAACGTCAGCGAAGGGATGCTCTCGATTGAAAAGCGGTAATGGGTGTTAGGCCGAGCATTCATCCCTAAAGACCAGTGAATGAAATGCTCTTATATCCCAAGGAATAATTGGCTGAATATGACCAAGTTCAAAGCTGCCTAGTTCACATATTAGGTTACGGTCCTGGTCATATTACAGCCCGACTTAGCGACTCATCAAGGGAGGCGATTGTAGCACGGCAACGCAGGCTGGCCGCTGGTAGATTACAGTCTACTTCAATCTCATAACACGAGTAGCCACATTCACTGCCGTACAAAAAGCGAGCGTGGGAGAAGATGAGCCGAAGAGGACTGACTGCTTTGAAGCGGACCCCTTAATTGGCACGACAAGTCTATACTAAACCACCCGTCGTCAGAATTCATAGCCTTGGGTGCGATGAAAAATAATCAGAGTACCTTCCGATGTCGTCAACAAACATGAAACACGCAGAATGATGAGTAGTCACAGCTGCTTCAGCCGATGCATTTCTCTTCTCTGTAGTATAACTCAAATCATCCCTTACAATACTCCAACTACTGTTGCCATGTATAACCGAATACTAACAAATCCAAAACGCCCTGAGTACCCCAATCAATGTTTCATGATACAGATAAACTTAACAACTGGGAGCAAAGCCATCTTATGACTCTTCGATACTCTCTGCTCTTTGCTTGAGACTCTGATTAAACTTCTCAAAACCGGGTGACGAGCCATCATGTGATCCGCCCAACAACGACAAGAACCCCGTGAACGTCTCTGAGTTGATAAAAGTCGTCCATCCCGGCGTGATCTTGCTGTCTTCGAATCGGAACGTGTGCTCTGCCTTTAAGAGACCTGGTAGACTCGTTCGCCACTTGAACTGGGTAGGTGAGTTTTCCTAATAATCAACCGCTGATTAGCATGCGCCCTCAACGGAGAGAAACTCTATGTCTATGAGTGGGTAATATGCGCTTACGGAGATCTCAGCCGTAGCGGATATCCCGCCGCCAAACGACACCTTGACCTTGTCGCCGGCGTCTGTCCGGCCTCCCGGCGCGAGTGTCTGGACGGCCTTGACGGGGCCTTGGCACCATTCGTGGAACCGCGCGAAGTCAAGGAACTATGTACGGTAATGTGTTAGTTTAGCAGCTTAGGGTATACCGCTGATTGGCTGCTCTGGCTTGCACTTACAACTCGTCTGACATGTGCTGGAGATCTGGCGATCTCGATAGTTGCTGAAGCGGAAACCATAGTGATAAATCGGCGATTACTAAATATTATTCAGATTTGAAGATATTGTAAGATGCTTTGGACATGAAATTGTGCTTGCTATTCATTTTCGTTGTGTTGTCGTCGAGGTCGTAGCTTTTATATAACCTGGTCGCGCATCGCTCGGTCTGTTCTCGGGCTCATTTAGTCAGCTCAGCATGCACTAACAAGGTGCGATACGATGACGAGGAGCGAGTTATCAGCGAATCTGACATCTATGGAGATACGTTAAGTACTCCTAATGCTCAATAATTCTATACACTGATGAATAGAAACTGAGGGTTCAATACGGATTCCGGATTGTGGCGAAGAGGTTTACATTTCTAATGTCCTTGTACTATTCCTTCCTCATAGAATCAATGCAAGTGTCACCGATGAGCAGATATTAAGACGGTTATTCTTGCTACGATCCGCGGGGTTATGGCTCTCACCTACGTGGGTGCCCAGATGGGATCATTACTATCATTACAGAATTTTCTCTATTTAGTACTAACCTAGTAACATAGACATGAGGTTCGTATGTTCTCGCCCGATGAAGCCCGACTTGGTGCATATAGCTAAGTTGATTTCTTGAATGGGAGGAAACTTGGATGAGATGAAGATGAGCAGTATCAGGCATCCTCAAACTAGGCGAAGCACTCAGCAGTGATTGATTGTCTAGAGCGCACTGACTGACTAGCATTCTAACTCACCTGCATAACCTGTGTATAGCTCTTTGCTTAAGAACGTATTGCGTAACTTATCTTGAGTCGTTATAACTAGGATATACTCGGGCTTCTTGATACTTTGGTACGATAACAGCTCGTAAGCTCCTAGGCTTTTCGGTAAGTCTCATGTCAGCAAGCCTGAATAGCCTTGCTTAAGATGGTCTGATTGATTACCGATACCTGCAATTCAGTATCTTCAGCGGGTGCAGTAGGCAAGATGCATGACTCATAAGTGCTACATCTGACTTGTTGTCACTGACTATCCAAGAGTCGGGCTCCGTGAATTCTCCTGTTGCGTGTAGCCGGGAAGCGTGGAAACCTACGTAGTTCCGTTTGCTCGTAGATCAGATCTTGCCACATTACTCAGTTACTAGCCTATGGCCTGCTTCCATCCGAGATTCGGAGCAGACACAAACGCAGGAAGTAATGAGACAGCGGCGGGTTGCCTAAGCAAAGTCAACAAGTGCGTATGAATAAATGAGCTGAGTCTGAGATATCTGACAGGAATTACGGCCGCGGTATCGAAGCTATACAAAGCCGATCCAAGATAGGATACAAGGAGGTGACGGTTTCCTGTGGCACGAATGTCCTAAGTGTTAAATCAAGGGTGCCTCTTCTTCACTGGATTTGTTTACTCATAGGTCACTTGCTGTAAACAAACTCAGAGAACCTAGAATAAAATGTCCTGAGCTTCCGAGACATGAACACTATCGAGAATGGAGCTGGCAGAACACTCATAGTATCTACTACCTAGTGACAGAAAAAGAGACCCTGGTAGCGCAAGGGTCGTAGAAAGCGTTAGGTACAGTGCATCAAATATAACTGCAAGTTTCCTATCGGGTACGGCACAGCACATGAAAGTAAGTGATAGGCACAGGACTAGTCCAATCACAACTTACCGCATCAACAAGGTCGTTTTGCATGTGAGACAAACAGACTACTACGTACACTGAGATTATATTCACAACGCGCCGTTGGCGTGTAACGTAGACTTTACCTGATTAAGCACAATTTTCCTGAAATTCCACTGGGGAAACTGTCTTTTATTTGGTACGAGGGCTGAAAATAGTGGAAAATTGCCCTTAATCAGGTAAAGTCTCCGTTAATTACACGCCAACGGCGCGTTGTGAATATAATCTCAGTGTATGTGGTAGCGGCCCTCACTGGTGTTTTAATCAATCTTCATGTTACACTACATTGCGTCCAGAGATTGTCCTTAGGCACCGTCATTCAGCCATGCATGCATTTTTTTTTGTCTGGCTTTCTAGATGCTTCCAGCAGAGATCTGGTACTATGCCTACAAGGCACAGCTCATGTATTCCCCTTTAAAAAAAACCCAGTGCCCCAAGACAGGCCATTTGACTTTCTCATCTTGATGTTCAATCTGATATCAGTACATCTCCTTGCCCTGTTAGCCTTCTCAGTTCTCTGATATCAAGAAACGCCTTACACTTCTCATTGAGCATCTCACGATATGGTGGTCTCATTCAACACCGAGGCCCTCAACGGACTGTGTTCTGAGGACCAGCTCGAACTCCTTGACGCGGTAGATCAGCTGAGACTTCAGGGCATTGACCATTATATTTCTCTCCCCCAGATCATCGTATGCGGAGATCAGTCATCCGGTAAAAGTTCCGTTCTCGAAGCTATCTCCGGAGTCCCGTTCCCCGTTAAGAGTAACTTGTGCACTCGCTTTCCTACGGAGCTCATCCTTCGACGATCATCAACCACTGACGTCGTGGTCTCCATCATCCCCCATAAACCAATTAGCGGCTCAAGAGACGAAGTTGTCTCCGCATTTCATGAAAAGCTTGATGGGTTCGAAGGCGTCCCGGAGTTGATCGAAAGCGCCCAGATGGCTATGGGCATTTCGATGCAGGGGAAGGGCTTTTCGAAGGATCTTCTTCGCATCGAGATCAGTGGCCCACACCATCCTCACCTCACCATTGTTGATTTGCCAGGACTGATCCATTCTGAGACGAAGCAGCAAAGTGCTTCAGACGTCGAGCTTGTCAGAGACGTTGTCCAAACTTACATGAAGCAGCCACGGAGTATCATACTCGCAGTGGTTTCGGCAAAGAACGATTTTGCCAATCAGATCGTTCTCAAACTCGCACGATCAATCGACGTCGGAGGCAAACGGACAATGGGCGTAATCACCAAACCAGACACACTAGTTAGTGGCTCGGGCAGCGAAGCACTGTACGTGTCTCTCGCTGAGAATAAAGAGGTGGAATTCAGTCTCGGATGGCACGTACTAAAGAACCTCGATTCGGAGAAGGATGGGAAATCATCGCTCCTCCATCACCGCAACGAAGAAGAAGCCTTATTCTTTTCCGAGGGTGTATGGAGTACACTCCCACCATCACAGCTGGGTGTTAAGGAGCTCAGAACCAAACTGAGCGATGTACTCCTTCGGCAAGTCGCCACCGAGTTACCCAGTCTGATCATGGAGATCGACGAAAAGCTGGAAGAGTGTACCTATCTCCTGCACGAACTTGGCGAGCCAAGAGCTACGGTTCACGAGCAAAGACTGTTCCTCGCCCGTATCGGCATGAAATTCCAACATCTTATCAACGATGCCAAGAACGGTACTTACACGGATCCCTTTTTTGTAGACGCTAACACGGTGCGTGGGTTTGAGCAGCGATTGCGCGCCGTCATCCAGCAACTCAACAGAGATTTCACTACCCAGATGCTAAAGCATGGTCACGCGCAACGTATTAGTTCAACGCAGGATCAACTTAAGCAACCTGGAGCGACCACCAGAGATCAGTTCATCATACATGTCAAAGAACTGATGCGAAGAACCCGAGGCCGCGAACTTCCTGGTCAGTTCAATTCGTTCGTAGTCGCCGATCTTTTCCTTAAGCAATCCCGACCCTGGAAGGAGATCGTGGTCGATCACGTGAACAGCTGCTGGGCCGCCGCGAAGAGGTGTCTGGAGCTTGCGATTAACTCCTTTGCTGACGGTCCGATCGCCATGAATTTGTTGCAAAATGTGGTTGTACCAGCATTAGACAGCCTCAAGAGAGATGTTGCCTCGAAGGCGACGGAGCTCATTGATTCGCAAGTTGCTTGCCATCCAGTGACATACAATGAGCAATACTTGGAGGCAACCTATCGAATTAATGACCAACGCCGAGGTGAATACTACAAAAATATCGTTCACAGTGTACTTGGGGACCCCAACTCACATAACAATATGTATATCAACAAGTCCAGTATCGATACTCTCATTGAACAACTATCCCAGCGTAGGGAGCCCGATGCCGAGCAGCGAGCAGCATCGGAAGCCGTTGATTGCATGGAAGCATATTACAATGTGAGTAGTACTCCATATTATACAGCCAGCTGCTAACAGTTTCCAAGGTTGCTCTCAAGCGGATCATCGACGATGTTGCTATTGAAGTCATTGAGCGAAAGCTCTTGGCTGCACTCTCCGAGATATTCTCTCCCATCGAAGTGTTAGAAATGTCTGATGAACGCGTCTCCACTATTGCGGGCGAATCGGCGGAAATCCGAGACAAGAGAACCAGGCTGGCAAACCAGATTGAAAGCCTCAACAAGGGCTCCGAAACCTGTAGGCGATTCGCAGGCCTGCGGCTTTTTGGTTAGCGAAGCCATTGTTCGATACATATACAAATTGTAGCACTAACATGCCTAGATCCAATTCCTCAAGACCGAGATGACGAATGGTCTGCTAGCATACTGCAATTTCAAGAAGGTACTGGTTTTAATGAGTCTGAAAGGGAGTCTGTTAAAGAACCTATCGAGGAGGACTTGGAATGTTCCATTGAGAAGCCCATGGAGGAGCCTGTGGAGGTCTTAGAGTGGCCCGAATATGGCAAGATGTCTAAGAGGGAGAAAAAAATGAAGGGCAAGAAGGCTCAGAGAAAGGCGGAATCGGTAGCACCACCCGAAGTTTGCGTTGAGGACAAGAATGTTGGTTGGGTGGTGAACTGCGCATAGGACTCGAGAAGGTGATGTTAGTGGGTCGGTAACTTGCAGCAGATGATGATTAGCTCTCGCTGCCAGGAAAGCAAAACATGTTGTGAGACGTAGGAAATCAGGTTCTGGTACCTTCATTTCCAACAATGTGGTAACATAAAGAGTCGCTGATAAGGCCGAAGTAAAGGATGATACGATCCATTAATACGCTGGAAGGGATTCCGAATGCGTCTTAATGACCAATGCTTTTCGATTAAGGTTATTGTATGTGTATAATATTAATTAATGAAAAATCACTGGTACCTGGTTGATCTAACACGAACAGAGAGCTCTAGACCATCCCCTTGTTGAAACCACCCCTGCCCATACTAACCTAATAGGCTACCTACACCACCACATTGCTGAGTAGGGAAACTGAGCAAAGAATAGCCATGGTCATGTGGAAACGATCAGTGCCGAGATATTTGCTGCGCCTGTGTATTTTACTGTAAGTGATGTGCGTGAACTATTAAAGTTAAACAAGGCGCCCACTTACGCAGCCGCTACTCCTCACCCCTTACCTTACATGTGCATTACTTACTTGCGCTGCGGTATGCAGACTTTTTCCTTGTGCCTAGGTATTCGTGTTGGGCTGGTGTTGCATTCTTAGCTCGATTCGGCAATGGAGCGGCCCAGCCTTTCTCTCGGTAGCGGCTTGTTCCTCCTATGTAGGCGAGGTAGGTAAGCTCTAGCTCTCGAACTAGCGATGCCTCAACCGTGAATTCCACCAATGTGGCTCACTCCAGAGAATGTCGCGTAGGCACGCCAAGCTGACAGGCGAGCCGCGATGTGTCTTGACTCTCACAGTTGCTCAGGAGCTGAGCTGGACCTTGCGGGGGGCCGGTTCTCGAGCATCCGCCGCGACATTACCTGCTTTTAGCGTGTGGTGCCAGGTTTCTGCAGACCCCAGAAAGAGAGCTCCATCCATTAGAGGACACCAAAAGAGAGGGCCAGCCGGCGGTCGCATGGTTGTCGCATGGTCACGAGTACCTAAATATGCGTACACCTTTAAAGTAAGCTCTAGCTGCTCTGCGCCGCTCCGTCTATTAGACCTTCTTACTGAACTCTCGATGCGAACTCACCGTGATGGTCTCAAACTCTTTCTCGTCCAGACCGTCGCTGGTTGGCCAGAAATGGCCGCACAATTAAATTTACTACAACCTTGAAGTTGACTAGGAAAGCTTGTTGGGTGTTATATGTTATAAGAACGATCGAGCCGCACTACAAATCCAAGCGCTCTAGAATCAACAAATTGCAACTCGATGAGAATGTGAACAGCACATACAATGACGGCAAACATGTTCTCACAGCTAACGCACGGTCCAAAGGAGGGCCGGATACCGTCGGGATTGCTCTCACCTGCCATGAAAGGTCGTAGGCGTCGATTCAGCAATCGCCAAAGGCACGCCTTCATTTTCGGCACAGTCCTGCTGATCTTCGTCATTTACTTCTTCTTGCAACAAGATGTCTTAGCAGATCTCGAAGTAGGCAAAGGCGTGCCACGCAATGTTCCAATATTACCAAAGAAATATCCGATCTCAACGGAAGATATGTACAAACAGAGCAATTCGCAGTCACAGCTAGGCTCGCCTAGCGATACCACACCTACTCCTGAAAAGCCGATCATACAGGTCGAGGAGTTTGAAGAGGAACCGAAAGAAAGCAAGACAGAAAGCAAGAAAGCACCCCTTCATAGCTATAAACCTAAGACAAAAGAAGAGCCACATTTGGGCCTTCGGCCCGAGAGACCAACCCTCAAAGATGACCTAGAGGCTATTTTCGCTTTGCAGCCTGACGAGATAAATGAGCGCGAGTATCTTAGGCCCATTAATGAAGGCGGCGCAGGGCGAATGCGAGAGTTAGGTTTGCGAACACGAGTATACGCTAAATACCTGAGCGCATGGGAAAAGCTACATCTGGTTGAGGACGCGGAAACGGGCGAGACCTCCATTCGGGACGACGTGATCCAGTATCTGCGCAGTAAGCAGGAAGGCGAGGACTCGAGCCTCGGCTTATCCATCACCGACACGATCCACAAGTACGAGGCGTATCGGGGCTTCCTTGCCAAACTTTCGCGTGTTCTGTTCCCCTTTACAAGCCCGTATTTTGCCGACCATATGTCGCTACACGCTCAATTCAAAAATGCAGGAAGGGGTATCGTGCTCACTGCGGGCGATGGCCAGGCCAACTACCTTCTAACGACGATATATACGTTTCGGAAGCTGGGCTGTGATCTTCCCATTGAGATTATGTATCTCGGCGATTCCGATCTAGACGAAGACCACCGTTTCGAGCTCGAGGTTGGTCTACTCTTTTCATGTATGTAGCCTCGATCGTATACTGACGATTCCTCTCTAGGCTCTACCAGGGGTCACAACTCGTGACATATCACAGATGGTGGACGATGACGGATGGGAACTGGCAGGCTGGGCTATCAAGCCATTTGCAATGCTAATGTCGAGCTTCCGTGAGGTCATATTCATCGATGCGGATTCGTTCTTTCTCCGGAACCCAGCCGAGTTGTTCGATGACTATGACTATAAACAGACAGGGGCTCTATTCTTCCGCGACCGAACCATTATGCCTGAGTCGAAGAGAAAGTGGTTGCTGCAGGTCCTCCCGAGACCGATTCATAAGCTTGCGAAGGAATCTAGCTGGTGGGTGGGCACGTCGGGACACTATCAAGAGAGCGGTGTTGTCGTCGTAAGTAAATTCAGACATGCTCTTCAGTTCCCACAGGGATCGGAACTCGTTCATGCAACCGAGCTGACCTGCTTATTTACAGATTGACAAATGGAAACATTTTGTATCGCTGTTGCTTATCTGTCGCTTTAATGGAAGCGACAGAGATCCAAGCCCCGGCAAAATGGGTGTTTATGAGATGATGCATGGTATGTAAAGCAGAAGCTGCGCAAACTCGGCCTTAGAAACACACCCATCATGAACTAACCCCGGTACAGGCGACAAGGAGACATTCTGGATTGGTTTCTTACTCGCAGGTGACCCATTATTCGCCTTTCACAAGGGCGCAGTAGGGTCGATAGGAGTAATCGAGACTCCGAATGCGACCAAAGCACACACTGACACGGGCAAAAAAGAGACCGCCACCAAGATTGACACTGATATGGAAACTGAAACCGACGTGCCATCGCCACCAAAGGAGAGTCCGGACACTGACCCCGATGAGGATGAGAAGGAACCGAAACATCTCGAAACTCGAGGTCTCTCCACTCCAGACACATACACGATATGCAGCCCCCAACTACTACACCTGGACCTCGACGGCAAGCCCCTATGGTTCAATGGCTGGATCCTAGTAAATAAGTACGCAGACCGGTCTAGACGGCAGTTCGCGCCCATGGAGTCGTACCTGAAGGAGCCTCCTCGGTCTAAGCATATCGTCGCAGTCGATAACGATGACGATAGCAGCGAAGACTTCTGGAAGCTCACGACGGACAACATGTGCTGCCTGACGTCGGACGCCGAGTCCAAGGCCGACCTCACCGAGCAAGAGCTGTCGCTGCTGAAGATGATGAGGGACCGCGCGATTGAAGTCGGAATAATGGAGTAATTGATTAATAAATTAACTATAAAGATGGTATGAAAAAAACAGAACCTAAGGAAACAAGGCTTGTTTTGGGATACCCAATTACCTAATAGTAGCGCTGAGTCGAATTGTCCCGGATTGATATATTAGGGGCAGTTGTAGGTAATGAATGATACTGCGAGGCACCAGGCATCACGGAACTCAGATTTATACTACAAGATAAACAGAAAGATCCATCCTATCTAGATAGATACTTGGATAGTCCAATGATAATAAATGAAGTAAATGAATAGCCGTTACGGCGTAGGCTCTGAGAACTGTACTGATAGATTGTTGCTATTTCGTCTTTATCTGGATAGCTTAATACAAATCTTGATGACAGGTGATGATTTCTTACCATCATCCAAACATTTCGATAACCTACCAGCAATTCTAAGATCAGTCAGATACTTGAGATCGTCATACAGAATATCAATGTCAGGTTATGAATTACGCTGTTGATAAAGTGATTAGTGTGCGTCTATGAGACGCCAAATCACCCAACATCTGCATCAACTTCGACATCCCAACCGAGGAAACGGGACTTCGTGCCCGAATCGACGCAGAAACGAGATCACATCAGGGAAACACAGCTTCTCGCACCATGCGAAGGTCACACAGCATCAACTGAGCACCTAATACAGAAACGTAGTACCCCATTTCGGGTCTCGCCGTCGGCACAAGGAACACAAACTTTCCCGCCGTATACCCATCACCCGACAGACTACCTAGTACATATAGAACGAATACGATCGGCCTGGAACGCTGAATACTCATCCACCCCTTCATTCAGATACCGCTAAGCTGACGGGCTTTTAACTCATAAATCACTCCTAGCAAGATTCATAAGGATTCTTTTTAGATCGTCAGCAACTAGAGTAGGAAGCAAAAGGTTTATAACAAATGTGACCAAACTAGTACATATAAGTAAGTACCTAGGTAATTGGACTTATATATAAGCAGACAAACTACACGAGCAAGCACGGCTACCTGCCTGGTGGACTGTCACCAGATTATATACCCAGCTCCCGCTTCCGTTTACTACCTACCTATTCCAGGACGGAGTACAGCATTGTTTACATCGTTTCCGACGCGATCTTCAATTCTCCGGCGCGTGGTTACAGCAATTACCGGTCTGTGTCATTCTCCTTCCGTCTGTTATGAAAATATACAGGTAGGTCAGCGTCACATTGTCCTTTCTGGATCGCCGATGTGTTCGTACAGCGCGAATCCTTCTCATTTTCTTTTCCTTTATGCTTGTGCGTCGCAAGAATGAGAGCTCAGTCGCAGATATTCGATGTACCGCACGCCGATCGCGTTGTTCTGAGGTCATACAATGAGAAACACCGTGTTAACATGCTCACTTACTAGTCGGTCACCTTGGAAATACACAAACAAGCTTGCTGAATTCGAAACCTATTTGTGCCATGATTGCCCGTCTGCCTACTTCTCAGTGCTACGATCTGCACTTTTCGCGTACAAGACTTCAGCGTGTTGATGATGGACTGTCTCATCAAGTATTAACAAGGTGAAGAAAGCAAGTTAAGGCAGGGCGGAAAACTTCGAGCTTCAAGACTTGTTTGTACGCATCAGCATAAAAGTGTATGTATAACATTTCTAGCTAAACTTGAAATATCAGAAAGCTTCTAACATGAGTTGCTTTGATTACAACATATGATATTTCCAAGATGAATTAATTCCTAGTAATTAAATCAACTTTCATCACCGCCAAAATGTTGTAGTGTAAAAACATTCTTATCCCAAAATGATCATGTCCAAGAAAAATAATAATAATAAACATATGTCTTTGGGTATATAGCGCCGGGGATATGCGAATGCGTAGAAGAGTAAAGGGAAAACCTAGAGAAAAAAGTGAAAGGGGAAGGGTAAATGCTAATGCTAGCCGGCATCATCGTCTCATGTAACCATCCATCGTTCGTTGATTCGTTTCATGCTTCTTTCGTCTCATCGCCCAAATAACCAGCCTAGTTTCTTTCCGCGCTTGCCTTTCTTGATGCTGTCGTCGTCATCATCGTCGAGTTCGAGTTCCAGCCGGTATCGCCTCACGCTCCCCGTGTCATCGTCGAAGGTGAGCCGCCGGTTCTCCTTGGGCACAAAGCAATCCGGGACCACGTGCTTCATCACCCATCCCTTTATACCACGACTAGCTGCGTCGATAGCGGCGTATTCGAGACGGCGCGTGTGGTCGCTCATCCAATAATGCGTCGTCTGCGGTGGAGGCGGGTGTATTTCCTCGGCCGTCTCATCCTGACTGGTGATGTCTTCAGGCGAAGGGAAGTAATAGTATGAATTTGACTGGTGCTGCTGCTGCTGCTGTGCTGTTGTCATACAGACGGAGTGCTCACTAAGTCGCCTAGGATAGGATACAGGTGTTGACTTGGCTGCGCGTTGGAGGCTAGGCCGTTTTTGATGACGACTCTGCGAAGTGTTGCGATGCAAGACGTTAGAGCTGAGCCCGTGGGAAGATCCTGAGTACATGGATTCGTAACCCGAATCATGTCGGGTTATGGACTTGGGTGAAGATGCATCATCCTGCTTGGATACTTTTCGGGTTGTTGCTACAGGTGAACCAGGTTCGAATAACTCAATATCGTAGAAGCTATGGTACGTCGTATCGGACTTGGCGACGCTCACGGGAGACTGGGACCGATAGAGATTTGTATGAGATGCAGGAAGACGGGACATGCTGGACAGTTGTGCCACTTCCTCGACGCATAGAAGTGATAGCCTTGGATTCCCCCAAATCTGGGCCACTAGACTATGGCATGTATTGAAACCGGACGAAAGATATGACAGATTGGTGCGAGCAATGGTGGCCTCGTTTCTTTTTGAATTGAAGTCGTCGAGAGAGGACGATAGGGGCTAAGGCCATGAGAAATGAGAATTGATGGGTTAATTACAAACAGTGAAGAACTTGCGGTCTGTGTGTGTGTGTCACGAAATGAGGATGTAGCTATCCTCAAGTGATAGCCAAGTGGTCTAAGTGGGTAAAGCAGGCCCTAGATCTAACCGCTCGTGCATACGCTATGCTGCGCGGTTGAGGGATATCAGTCTGCCAAGTGGAGGACGACTAAGTTGAAAACTATTGATTGGTAGCTGGCCGCTTAAGTAAGAGTATCGCAGTAGAGATCAGTGGATATACTGTGAATCGACACCAGGCTGTGATGGCATTAGTCTTTCATCAAGAAGACATGAACGATGCTGAAAGTAAGACTGTGTACTGCAGTGATGAATACTGTGCGAAATAAGGTAAGGTAAGTGTTTGCTGTGTTATGTCCAGCCCTTCGAATCCGAAAGATGAACTAATTAACCGGGGTATTTCAGATTGTAGTCTTGAGCATACCAGGGTTGATTTTATTTGCGGAATTTCGGGAGAAGAGGAAAGAGGCGGTCAAGACATTTGTTGAATGTCGCTTGACTAAGAAGCAGAATGCTAGTATCGTGACCCCGCCAATATCCACAATAGCTCAACTGTTCAAACTCTTTTAATAGACCCCCCGCAGCTTGGAGACACAGACTATCGACGGGTAGACGGCAAACGGAAGATCAAGCCGTCTCGATCCTGTGACAGCAATCGGCCGACTCGTGCAGACTTCCGCAGTCAGGAGCGTATATCTCGACACCATAGACAAGAGAGCATAGACAAGTCGGGACTCAGGAGACACCACGAGGTCAGTGGTTTGGCACAGACGCGTAGTCGCCGTCGTTGCTATCCCTTTATGGCCTTTTCACTCCTGCTGTGTATATTCGCCAGGTCAGAAGTCGGATCTAGAAACCGCCCTTGCATGAAGAGTTATGCAGGTGAAGACCAGGTAGGCCAGACTTAGAGCAGACTTGGAGGGCTAGTTTGGTGGAGTCTGGTGGCGGTTGGCGATTCCAATGGTTCACGAGCACCCGGCACTGGCCACTCAATAGCTAGGAAATGACCCTAGGGCGGAGAACCCGATGAGAATCCGACGAGAATCCGATGTCGCTGAACAACGCACTTGGTAGCATTGGCAAATGCAGGTCCCACTTGGGCGTTATACCTTGTGCCTATTTTATATGCTGGGTACTTGGTGGTACCCTGTACTGCAGAAGTGCGGGTGCTGCTGAAAGAGACCCGAGTGAAGGAAGAAGAAAGAGAGCAAGCAAGCAAGCGGGGACGTCTACTCGTAGGATCGTCATAGAAGCGATTTGGAGAGACTCGATAGACTACCTACGCTGGTGGCGATGGTCAGCTAGATAGCCGAAGTGGCTGTCGACCTTCATGGCAAGGATAGAAACGATGGCTACTGTTCCGCTGAGTGTTGCTGTGTCGCTCATTTTCACATGCTTGCGTTTCTTTTCCCTATGTTGTACACGCACACACACACGTGCGACATGCAGTGGCTTCATCATGGCTATATTTGAGACCATCATCTGACAAGTGTGGCCAATAGAAGAGGAGCGCTCATACAGTATTCAGTGCTCAGCTTGACTGGCAGACTCTGGGCAGACCAAGGACCAAGGGCAGAAGACAAGGGATGGCTGTGTGGCCGGCGATTGAAACCCCCAATCACGCCCCCTCGGATTCTGTTTCCGCAATGCACGTCGCGGGTACTGCGCGGGTGCTTTCTGCATGGACCTCAGCACTGTTGTCGGCTTCCCGCATGCAGAGTCCATCGTGGGCCAACTCTGGCTGACACCAGCATCGCCGTGCCGTGCCGTGCCGCTCACGAAGCTACCGATCGGGGTCTTATCGGCACAAGAGGCAAGAGGCTGGTGTTTCACCCGCTTCTTGTTTCTTTGAGGGATGCCATCCAACCAATCTCAACAGACAAAATACGACAACTCGATCGCAAATAATCAAATGACGTACGCATATAGATTCAAACGCCACAGACTAATCTTCCTCCAGCCCCTTCTAGATACCCGCTGGTACACTAAACACTAGCGTACCATATCTACACTTCGGCAGAGGCAGGCAGAAACCAGGTGAAGAACTGTACAAGATGCCATACATATACCTAGGTATTCAGCAGCGGGGAGCTCTTTCTAAACTTACCGACTTTTTACATAGTCCTGTTATTTTATCTTTTGTCTTTCTAATCTGACTTCATGGCACCGATCTGTTGAGTCTATGCTAGATTAGTCGCTTGTCCAGTCAGACTATTCTAGGTAAGGAGGCACCATTACTCCGTACCCGTATGTTTACTCTGGGTGAACCATGTCTTCCATCACCTTCTTAACCGTCTAGGTCATACACTCATGACGAATTAATGGTTATCTAAACAATAAGCTTGAGTCAAGGAAGAGATCGTGCAATTTTCATAATTGTGTGTTTTGTGGAGAGGATAGTCAAGAGGGGTTGGATGGGTTGGCTCAGGGTTAGTTCCATTGCAGCGATTAGTTACGTGTGAACAGACTCGACGATATTAAAAACTTAGATGCCTCTGTCGGGACTCTGTCGGGATATCTGCTCCGTAAATCTTGATACTGTGGGCTCTTTTTCTACCCTAAATTGGCAGGGTTAGCCGAAGGGGCATTGGTCTAATTACCCCTCATCCTGTTTCCCCATGTCCATCTTCACATCGTCGTGACAGAATCACACACTAAGATGTACACAAAATAGAGCACTAGGTATTCGAAATTTGAGAGCTAAAGTCCAAGTATCATAAAATGCGAGAGCAGTAGTCTCAGCTCTACTTGTCTACTAGCCAGACAGAGATGACTGATACAATATCAGTAGGCTTACCTATTTGCTATATAAGCATGCTGTACATGGCAACCCCTCTTCGAACTAAATTTGAGTTATCCAGGCTGAGATGGAAAGAGATAATCCAGTGTTCTCAGCACTTCCAATACATTATATATATATTACATGTAATATGGGTATCTTGAGATGTCGAGATACATATTTGTTTGCTGTTGATATTCTTACTATCAGGACGACTCAACAAATCCATAATCAATGTTCCACGAAGACCTACCTAATATACGAATTAAAGGATTTCTTGTGCATACATAGTACGCATACTCCAACCTTGTTCAGGAGCCCACTTCGCGTCCTGTCCCTGTCAGCACTCTATTCACTATCCCCACCATGGTGCTAACTAGTCAGGTATGCGACATTGAAAAAGCGCTGCTTTAGAATCATCACGATGAATATCGTGCGCGTGTGCATACATCGACCGGCAATTCTATCCGAAAAGATCGTTGAAAAGTTGTGAGCCGAGAGTGCTGGCGCGTTATCATTGTGATGACCATGTCACTCAAATCGATCAATTGTGCTTCAGAAAATCCTCCTTAAAAGATAACTGCTCACCAGGTAATCCCTAGCTATGTTCTAACGGGTTGAACGAAAGTCGAATCTGGACAGGTAAAAATACTGGTATACAGTATCTGTTCGTGTTGCGAATGGGAATCTAGTTTTTCTTGAGCTCGGGCAACTTAACCCCGGGAAAGGCCGCTGTAGATTAGATTCACGCATTTATACTTCACCAGAGGGGACTTGTATTAAGATTCTTAAGTTTCGTTCATTTCGTAGGGGATGGTACAATCCTAGCTAGATAAAACAACATAATTCAGTGTTGAACCCAGATTGAGAATCAATACCCTCCTACCCACCAATGTCATGACATCGTTACTAACTATAGTACGCCACCATTGAGAAGATTGGTGGGTATGATAGAGTCTGTTGCGATCCAACAGCTGACATAAAAATAGCATAAAAAACACGAGCATAACCCAGTCGCATCAATCAAATCTGAATCAAAATATCGTAAGCGTCAAACCTCTGGTATCCATCCAAGTTCATATCGATAAGTCGTAACGTAAATAATTGTAAGTAAGTCGTGTGGCTTACTTGATCTCTCAAGATGTGTCTAACCACAAGGCTAAACTTAAACATATATTGTCAGCTATCACGCTGAGATCCAATCTTGCTCTGTCCTCCTATCGCCATGGCAAGCATAGCTTACTGAGCAGCAGCATCCATAGTCTGCTGCCCAGAAGCACAGAAGTCTTATTCCTGCAAAGTCTTAGCAGTCTAGATATATCATAGGATCGTGGATAAACATACGCTGCGATAATACCCCGAACTGAAGTCGGGACTTGTTGTCGAGGAGGCTACAAAGCCCGAACTACTTTGACTCTGGGTTGTCGAGAACGCTGCATACAGTCAGTTAATCTTGCACATCTTGTGTCTTTCTGGCGTAGCATACACGGCATACCGGACCCGTTGCCTGCGTAAAGTTGCTGCGGCTGGTTCATACCCGGCGGCCACCCTCTAGAGTTATGGCCTTGGTTATTCTGATCGCTTAGACCAGATGCTGGTGTCCCTGGATAGAGATATGCGGAATTTTGCGGTCCTAGTTCGTGGTCAGTAGATTAGTATGTTTCGTTGAAGTTTTGTTAAATTACTAAACATACTGGTCATTTCCCACCCTGGGAAGGGCATACTGCCTCTGCGCAGCTGAGCATCAAGCTGACCTTGGTTATCCTGCCCCCAAACCACATCGATATTCCTTGCATCTCCGTACCCAGGCCCACTTCCGCGATCGATGACCGTCAGCCGTGATGTGATGTCATTCCCTCCGTGGGTCTGGATTCTCAACTCGACGTAATATCCCTCTCTAGAGCAAAGTCCCGTCATAGTAGGCCAATAGCTAGGGTATGGGTGAATACGCACTAGGCTACTAGACCGTTCAATGACATCCCTATAGATAAAGGACTCGGGTAGAGCACTGTGTCTTGTTTGTATTGGTCTCCCCAAATCTTGTGAATAACAGGCTTCGAGGGATAAGGCATCGAGTTGGGGTTGGTTCTGAGTGCTGGCTCTCCTTTCCGGCATAGTAGCGTTAGGTCCCAAAGGATTGAATTGTCCGCCGCCGGGGTGTTGCGATGATGGCCCAGGTAAGGCGGGTTGCTGTTGGTCGTAGAATCCACCCGAGTGACTCGGGACACTTGATGTGTTCCCCACTCCAGTCATTACAGGCTGGCCGCCGTTCAGGACGGTAGGGGATATAGCTTGAGAAAGTTCAAGGTTGGGTGGAGGGAAATAGTCGAGATTCTGTTCCGATCGTGCAACTGAGGGCCGACTAGCAGATTGGAAGCCAGGTGGCAATAGACCAGGCGTGGTAGACTGCCCTCCTCCTTGCCCGGAGTCTGTTCTGTTTCTTCTTGGAAAGGTTCTTGGAAAGGCTCGATGTGCTGTAGTATGTCTAGACGATGTACCATTCGTCAAGCCTGCTGCTAGATGTTAGATTTACTCATGGGCCATCCTTGATTCTTCACTAAGTGACTTACAGCCTTGAGATTGATTACCAGATAGATCTACTTGCCTTCGATTCCGTAAACTACGGGCACAATCAGGTGGGAGCTCCATGTCGACTGCCTACGTGACCTGATCTGGTGATGATATCGCTTTAATGACGTTAAGAGTTAAGATCAAGGTTGATGAAAAGTGACCTCTCTCAGGGGAAGTTATCAGCATGTTGGTATTAAGCCTCAATTCCAGAAAAATAAACGATGGGAAAATCAAGTGTGTTCAAAGAGGCATTGGTAATGGCTAAGCCCAGGGGTCAAGAGCAAATAGGGAGGCTGGCTCGAATGGAATGGCAGATTATTGGGGAGGCCTCTTGAAGCAGCCAGGTAGATAGTTAGGCAAAATCCAGAAATTGGTATTCTGACCGGGCGGACTCTCTAGGCAAAGAAGAACGGCCAGGATATAGGCAGACATACGAAAGGGGTAAGGGAAGAGAAGGGCAAGTAGGGTGCCTGCGCTCGAAAGCTGTCTTGCACCGCCAGATGATGAGCCTCTTGAATGAACAAATAGAACGGAGAAAGGATAGTCAAGCACCAGGGGCCTTCAGAAGACCTGATATGTAGACCTCTCCGGAATTAATATTTGGCTATCAACAGACATCCGGGCTAAGTGGCCAAGTAATGGACTTCTAGGAGACACAGCCTTCCCCACAGCTAAATGATTGCCACTACAGAGGAAGTTACATGTTGGTCGACACTCGGATGGGAAATTTCAATGCCAGAAGCTGGTATGTTGTAGCCGCGATGTTCTCTAGTGATCCGCCTTTCCCGACCTCGTTGAGCAAAACGACCGTCGGGGAGGGGGACTAATGTATGGAAGTTTCTTCACTTTCAATTCGCCTACCGAATTCCCAATTTCATAAGATAACCCTTGAATATTTATAGACCGCACTTTTCTACCCTTCTTTAACCGGTGTCTAATGCCCTAATCATGTATGCAAGAGCCCTAAGTCAGACTCAGCCTGCTTGAAAGACACCGAAAACTCACACGAGGAGCCCACACTAGACGCAACCGTTTCTCCACCGAACGCCTCACTTTGATGAACAGGATTGACATTGCATCAGAAGTCAGACGGAGGAAGTGAATTCCCTAACTAAATAAGAACTTTTACTAGTAATCGACCGAACCAAGGCACTTGCATGAACATGGTTGCATAGGGGGCTTGGGTGGACTTGTCTGGCCACTGTAATGGGCCTCAGCCTGCCGCGAGCTGGCCAGCCCCCAAATTTGTCAGCTTTTTCGGTCAAGATAACAACTTACTCTCGTGACTGTTCAAGGCCAGGAGAAATTTTTTCTTTAGAATGGTTGATATCTGTTGAGTTACTGAGATAGAAGTCCTAAATTGAACAATCTCTCCTATCCAGGGCGGCAACGCCCATCACGAGAATCATTGCCCAAGTAGAATGCAACGTTATTCTAGCACTTCTTCCAAATGTAGCCTGAATTAGATAGACTAACCCTGCATTTGCTGTTGAATTTCTGTTTAAAAGCGTGGCTCCTCAGCGGACTTCACAATGCCGGCACACAACGAACATTATAACAACAACTTCAAGAAACTATTAAGACCCTCTAATGAGTTCTCCTAACATCACAACTATATATTGGCTACCTACCGCCGGCTGCCCACATATGTCCGCCTATCCCAAGTTTTGCTGCGAGCATGTTAACTCCATCAGGTACTTGGCATCTCGGCTAACATTTCGTTGACTAACGCTCTTAACAATTAGGCGAGTATGTTCACTCCAAACGACCCCAAAGCCAGAGCTTTCCAGGCAAACAACTTTCTCGTTCTCAACGGCATCTTCAACTTCAAAATCGAGATGCCAAATACAGGGCACATAGTGCAGACAGCCAAAGAATATCTAAAAGAAAATCCAGGGACGGTATAGAGCATCAAGCGTCTAGAGCCCTCCGGTCTTCAGGGTATTACGGCCGAAGGAATTGGTCCCCGTGTAACTCCAACACCGCCGTTTTCAATCGTTCCCGATGTAGCATAACTAAACAACACCAAAATCGCGTCGAAGAATCTGGACAAGTATGGCCTCAAACAAATACCGAGGACACAAACATACAAACTGACGCCTCGCCCTCATCCACGTCAGAGCCGGCGTCATACAGCTCACGTGAGCAATACCACACAGCTGCCTCAACCTCACTGTCAGATGTCAATACCAATGAACAACTCCTAGATTGCGTCCTAGATGCCAATATCGTCGATACCGCCTACCTCACCCCTGGAGCACCCTCAAGCGAACGAACACAACAAGATCTCGGAAGCGATGACACCCCAGGGGTACCCGAAGACGGCGAGCAGGCGGCGGCAGCATCGCAAAAGCACCCCGACACCGAATACCACGCCAACCTTTTCGCCGCTCCCGAAGATTCCCGATACCTCTTCGAGGAATATTATAAACAGACTTACGGGGAGATCGGAAAAGAGACGGAGAGCCGCACTGATGCCTACTGGAAATGGGATCAGAAGAGGCATCAATGGTTCCATGAAGATCCGGATACGCACTCCGTAGTGTGGTTCTTGGGGTGATGTGTCTTGCACCTGCTCTCATGACTTGAATAGTACATCGCTAAGGGCTCGGATAATGTCGTCTCAACCTTGTAAATGTAGGATACCCCTAATGCAACTGATCGGATAGTTGGCGTCTCTAATTTGGCACAGGGTAACCTCTTCTCTGCAGATAAACTTTATAGGCTCTGAATATATGTGTGCACATTCTGTTCTTCTATTACACATCCGACTACTCCTGAGGTTAAGACTAGTCGTTTCACATCCCATCATACCAATCTTCATGAGTCCCGGCCTTGTGACCCTAGTTAGTGAGTGACGACCATACGAATTCCTATTATCTTGTACTAGACGATGCTGAACCTGCGGGGCCAAGGCCCCCTTTCACAACACCAAATAAGCTACTCCCTCCCCAGAATATTCATGTTATCACCGTTCGACAATTATGAAGCTTAAATCCTGCTGAAGTAGAGGAAACTCGTAGATTGATTCGGCATTTTCACGTAGAGAGCTACATAGATAATAGAAAGTAATTCAATTCTTCCCTCTATCCAATCTAACTTGTCCCTACCTACTGTCCATCTACACATTACCCGCCTTCGCCATTTGTCAATACCAAGACACGATAGACAAGACAAACAGACCAAACCCATCACCGTCGTCAAAATAGTCTCCCTCGCACAACAGGAGAAATATCCCCGGGCCCATAGAAACGAAATCTACGGCGCCAACCATAGATAAGCTACAGCAAATGGCGCAGCGAAGTTTGCGAACGCCGTCGTCTGCAGTGCGACCGCGCCGAACGAACCGCGCATCACCGCACCCAACGCTTCCATGGTCCTGTATGGATCCCCTTCTACCTAATCCAACCTGTAGAAAAGCAGTGCTCTTCGTGGCAAAAAACGGAGAACACGTGGGCGTTTTGCGGGGTCGGGTGTACTTATAATCACATTCCGTTGCATAGTCGCGATACCCGCCCCTATTATACATACCTATCTACACATATTGAGGAAACCCTCGAAATCGTATGACCGAATTTGCCCCTCCCGCATCGCGACATCATGGCCTGCCATGGTGTCTATCTGAAGGCCGATTTCAGATAATAACGACGACTATACTAGAACTCCTATGACTGTATCTCAAATGGGAAAAAAATTACGGAGTAAATGAATAGGGGATATACAACTGGTCCAGTACGGCACAGTATGGCGCATGTACTACGGCTTGGACAAAGAGGGCCGGGAGGAACAGCAGCGGCACTTTAGCAAAGATATGCGCTCCTATGAGCTTCCCCTTGAAAAGAATAGATCCCTCATTCACATATAAACATATAGACTACATAAAAAATGTACATACTTGAGTTCATACATTCGTCTGTCCTTCAACCTCACAGCAGCATGGAAGTAAAAGACCAGTAACAGCTAACGCTGAACACGACAAGATTCCCGAAGGAGGTCAAGTAAGGTAGATATAGAGCAAAATGTACATCTTTATACAGTAAGTTAGGTAGGTAGGTATTCGGTAGACAGGTAAGCTATCCATCATGTCCTACATGATCCTATCCTATCATACAAATGCAAGACCGACGGCACTTCGCGCAGTGCATTTCGCACATCTTCGACGTGGCCACAGGTCGTTCTCGTACCAAGTGTCGATGTTGCCATCATATCAACCTTCACCACAACCCCAAGTTTCATTGCAGACCCATACGTTTATAATTTGCTTCTCGGCTTCCTCTTCCCAGAGAGCAGAGCAGGATGCACCAGGTTGGCGCGGGACGCGGTGGCCGCCTTATGTATGATCTGCCTGCGGTCCCAGGCCGCCGAGCGGCCCTCGATGACGGCGACGATCTCCGCTCCGAAGCGGGCCGCGAATTGCTTGCGCCCGGAGCCCGTCGAGCGCTTCTTGGTGACGATGTCGAGGACCCACTGGATCGCCATCCGGCGGCGGGCGCGGGAGTCGATGGGCACGGGGATATCGAGGTTTTGGCCACCGCTCGCTATACCTTTTAAAGAGCGGATCCGGACTACCGGGGCCACGGAGTCGATGGCGAGGGTGAGGTAGAGGAGAGGGTTAAGTGGGAGTTGGTGGGGCGGTGGTGAGCCCGGGAGAAGAGGCCGTAAGGGCGAGACCTTGGGTGGCGGGCTGGTGCGGAGGTAGTTGAGGATGAAGGAGAGATGCTGTTCGAATGCCGGGTCAGCTAGCATTCTTTTACTTAGTTGCTTCTATACTCTGTCGTTGCATCTTGGGATTCATGCTCGTCCGTTGGACCACTTCGAGGCACAGTCTTGGCTAGCTCCACACCGAAGGACGAAATGCATGAGAAACGTGAAAGTCAGATCGTAGAGTTGGGGCATAGGAAATGTATGCGCACCTGTTGCGCCGCACTCAGCTTGCCATCCCGCATTAGCATCCGCGTGACCTGGTGAATGACGGGATGGTGGCGGTCCTGGAGTTGCTCATGCTTGGCCGGCGGCGTGGGCATGCCGTATTTGAGGCCCTCTACAGAAAGGGATAAGGCATCTTCGCCAGAGGCAGCCTTCTCAAGGGCGGCGAGAGCCTCGGCGTTTAGGAAATTATCGGCGAATGGCTCGATGTAGGGCAGGGATTCTTTGGCCGACGACGGCGGTGGGAGATCGGCACCATCCGGTGGTGAGCGTATCGATGTATCGTTAGTGAGACCTCTCCTCCCCGTAGGTAGGGCGGCTCTTATAGTGGACTGAGCATGGTGATAGGGCTGTGATGGTCGCGTCCGGACGGCCAAACTGCGTAACGACCTCCAGGGGTTTAATTTTGAAGCCATATTCTCATTTGGCGAAGAGAGAGAGAGCGCCCGTCCTCCCACCAATACCAATCCCCCAGGTGATAGATCGCCCCAATTGATCGGCTGCTGTGATGGTCGTCGTTGTCGTGGGGTCGCGGTTCGCGATTCACTCAACGACACGATCGGTATCTTCAATAAAATTTAGAAATGCCCCGTTGGCGTTGGGTTGGCCGTCAGTTGTTCCGATAGCAGGATCTTGCTCGTGGCTTGATAGCACATGGAATCTATAGATGTGTGGCTGGTGAAGGGATATGTGGCTCATGCCTACGTTAGAGTAGGTACTTAAGTAGGTAGGTACCTACGAAGTACCTTGGTACACTCCCTAGGTAGCTGGACTAGGTATGTAGAGCCTCTTATCGTTGAACTTAGATGCCATGCTTGCCATGATCCAGCTGAGACACAATCGATAAGCTAGTCGCTAGGTACCTAATCGAGAATGTCAGGGACTCGGATTATGTCAGCCAACCAATGGTGCACTAGCCACGCTGTACCTTGTCATCCTTCATCCCACATCCCACATCCCGCATCCCCCTCACCATCCTTGCCCTTGCCCGGCAACTTGCACGCGCAATGCTGACTTTTAGATTTCGAGCTTGGTTTGCGATGTAGGTATTGCTTTTTCTCATTTCTATTACATCGCAAATCTCATCACGATACCCGACCCAGAGGCACACACATACATGGATGTAGGTAGGTAGGTGTACGGAGTACATACATACCTACCTACATACATACCTACATACATACATACACATACACACCATAAGCCATTCGCGTTTAACCACCACCACCACCACCACCAAGGAAAAATCAGAACGGCGACTTCTCTTGATCTCGGCATCCCCCAAAGAGCTTAAACCTGCCAGATACAATCACCGGCCGGCGGGCTTCTCTTCTTATTCAATTCCATCAACTGTTTGGTCCCATGGTTTGGGTCCGAAAGGGGGGAGCTGACACATCTCGGAAGATCCGGCAGCTGCGGTACCAAGCCGACCGATCATGCGCCAACTTTTGTGCGAATTGTTTCCCACTTCACATACCTCGTTTTCTGCCATTGACTTACTTGTCCTTCCTTCTTCTTATCATGGCCTACCGTACTCTACTTACTTAATGACTTACTATATTATAGGTATGCATGCATGCATGCACTGTTCTGTCTACCAAACTATGCCATCTCATGGGGGGTCATGTGATATCTTAGTGTAACGAATGCGGTACTTGTAGCAGGGCGTTACATCGACCGCCCGCATCACGGCACTATTTATACCCACCCACATGAGGTTTTCTAATATTTTGTTTTATTATTCGGTGGGTTTATTCGGTGGGCTCTTTCAGTAGCAAATAGTATACCCACTATGTACCAATTCAGAAACTGTTCATCCCAACAACCTCATACAAACACCGAGGTCGTATTCTCGGTTCCACTCGCCTAATCACACCACTTGGGGGCCATGTCAGGGACCAGATATCTGTTTCCCCCGGGACATAAAATGGGGGTGGCTTATCTGGGGGGGGGGGTCGTTGCGGGTTGGGCTCGTTCGAGATGCCGTTTCTGGATGGAATAGGCCTCTTTCGGCCTCATTTATCTGTTCCTACAATGGCAATCATCCATCCATCCAACCAACCAACCTAGATTTACTATGGTAGACAGACGCATGATGCCTACAAGTCCTGTGATGCGCTGCATACTTCCCCCGAAATGTTCTACGTCCATACCTACCTAACTGTGTTCGGGGTTTGTACAGATGGATACCTTGGATTGTTGCCTGACCCAAGTACTCATTCTCAGGGCGTACTATGTATACTGAGTATAGTGAAAAATATATCTTCATACGTAGCTTTGCCATACTCATGTTATTGCTTGCGCCGGACTTGATTCCATCGTACTATTGATTTCGTTGGCCGCCTTGTTTGCTTGTCTGTAAATAGCTCGCTGATAGTTTTCGTTGAGGTATTAAATTAATTTTACTATATCGATCTGCTGCTTCTTCTTCCCTGTTCTTGTTCGTGTTCTTGTTCTTCTTCCTGTCCTCATCAGCGCCATGCAAGCCCTGCGCCATCCTGTGTCGCACGTGCGCCTACACACCACGCTCTGGAATCCAAGTCCCTGCCTCGTGTCACCGAGATGTAACAACGCCACCAGTCCTTATTCCTTGCATACGTGAGTAGAGTATTATTGTCGCATCATGCTACGGTACGGTACTGTTATGCCATGTCACCCTTCCATTGAACCTCTCTTGCCATTGCTATACTGTTGCAGGCAGGTACTGGTCACAGGACAGGACTGCGATCCTCGATGGGAAGAACAACTTTAGGCGTTTGAGGGGGGAAATCAAATCACTCGGCGACAAAGCTCTCAACTCCTCGCGCCCCTCGGCATCATGGGCACTCACCACCTACTAGGTACTGTATGTAGGCACTATACTCTAAGGCTGTGCGCGTCCAGAAACAATCACGTCGTGCGTCTAGATTAACATTATCTTATACTAGCCCGTCTACCCAAGCCGAACTAATTGACTGTTCCCCCCCACCCAGATAGACGGAGTCCAGCCGGCCTGGGACTAGGCTCAGATCTTCTCCCCCACAGTCTTAGGCATTCCGAAATTCCTAGCCTTACCCATCAAACCTATTGCGACCATGGGCGCGATGCTGTGGTGGGCCAATGGGCTCAGCTTGATCGAGTAGCGCTGCGACGGTGTCAATTTGTTCTGCACTTCAGCCCCAATCGCATCTCGCCGTCATGATATCGATAACCCCTATCGAATCCCAGCATCACTACCACACAGCCAATATGTGGTTGATAATAATACTTGCCACCACACAAAGGTATGCATGTACCCTAGGTTAGGGTATATGCTCCCGATGGCAACCGGGGATTTCCCCACGGCTTACTATTGGTAAGTCGATACGGTGAGTGCCTGCCTGTTCGTGTTCTGGGTGAATGAAGATCGGTGTGCGTGGCCATGTCTATACGCATATGGGTGCGTGCAATTGTGTGCAGATGGATGTATATGCGTTGGTGACACACCTTAAGTGCCCATGGTGTGTGGACGAGCTCACCAAGGCCGTCAGTCTCTTGTCTAGTGCGAAGCTAGGCATCTCATACACAGTACTTGCCTGAGAAAAAGCAAGTAATGCACCATCACTCAGCAATCCGACATCGCAAACAACTTTCAAATAACAAGTGTTTACTTTTCTCGTTCTGTCCTGGTCCTCTCGTAGCCCTCGATGAGTTATATTGCTTTTGCCCCGCCCTTGCTGTCCCACTATCGTTTCTTAGACTTCGTGTTGTCCAGCTAGTCGAAAAGTGGCTGGCGATAATCATCATTCTCCACGATATGTTCCCTCATCTTGCCCTGCTCACTCACCCCCTCCTCGGGCCCTCATCCCAGTCATGCAGCAAGAGTAAACTGCGTTTGATGACTAGCCGAATATAAGAGAAATAGTATATTCATTCGTACCTATACTCGCTGAGGATAGCAGACAGATGAGTCTGGAAGAGACACAGCTCAGATGAAAGATAGGGGAAAGCTCGGTTTTTCTTTGAACTCCTTACAAATGCCCAATCAGACCCAGAAATGTTTTCGAATCACCAACACCTTTGACGTACTTTGTTGAACACCCTCAATGACGAACCCAATTGAATCCCGTCGTAGATAACGATTTCCTCCTCATGAAACTTGGGGGGTTTGAGTCTAGGAAAAGAAACAGATAAGAAAATACCCAGCACGTTGCTCCTATAAGCGCCCGCAATACGCCAGTAGGTTCGACTCGATTCTCCGTAAGCAAGATATGCAGGTAAGACATTTGATTGTACAGTAAAAGACCAAAGAGTATCGTGCGCCGGTTGTATGATAAGGTCGTAACGGAATGCCGCTTCTCTACCCTTTTCCTCGTTGGCCGTGGGGCTGCTAGATCCTTTCCGAAACTCCGATTGATATCATACGGGACAGTGAGGTCAAACAAAAGGGAAGTAAAGCTTGAATCAGAGGAGGTATATGATCATGAAAAGATGGACCCCTATCCCATCACGACCAGACAAACAAAGCCGAAGTTACGATTCTCGGAAATGTGAAGCTGCCGTTGTTCCCAGAGACATATAGGGCCGAATGCTGAATCAATTGGTCGTTTCCCTTGCTCACCATCCGTTGCCGAGTCCCGAACTGTTGGATAGCCAGTGAAGCGCCGCTTCTGCGGCATCTTCCCTAGCATTGTTGAGGTTATTCCCGTCGTACCAATAACGCGCCTCGATGCGCTTGCCGTACACAACGACAACACTAGACCAAGCAGTACGACCGCCTACAGAAAGACAGGGCACGCGTTAATACTTGCAAAGGACGGGTGTTTGCGGGAGACATTGGCCAATATAAAAGCTGGGGGAGACTTGCCTCGTCGATCAGACACAAGCTGATAATCAGGTGGTTGGATCTGATAGTCTCGGCACACCTCTAGACAATGTGGTCAGCTATTTTGCTCTCATGGGTAGTAGATGACGGATTGCGCCTAACCTTCCAGCCTGTCTTGCCATGTAGAAGTTGGCTGCTGAGAGCGGCGAGAACCGGACGGCATAGCGTTCAAATTCACCTATTGAGGTGTCGGGAGATATGGCAAGGCTAAATTCTCAACTAAATCTGGCTCGTGGCCGATTTCAAACTTCCTAGCTTAGCTTGGAATGAGATGAGTAGACTAATGGATTAAGTGCTCAGAGATAAAGCAGGTAAGGATGGTTGAGTGGCCCTGAATGAATCGGTAAAGAACTTTTAACTAGTTTTGAGCTGTTGACTGAAGGCAACTGTGCGTAAAATTTGAACTGAGGTGTCGGGGCCAAGCGTTTATATAAGGTGTCAATTTGTCTCGCCTTATCCCTTCCGCAGCTGGCCCACGTCCTATGTCTCTTCCGTCAGATAGTAACAAGTACCTCTTTGGTGTTCCGACGGTACCTGAGTGATACCGGACGGAGAAGATGCGAGGGATAGAGAACGATAGTGATGTGGCAGCTAAGGATTAGCTAGAGGCGCCCTAAAAGACTGTTTGCACAACGGTGATGCAGCACGGATATGGGAAGGAAATTATTCGGCAGATTCGACGGCATCATGCATCATGGATGGGTGTATACGGCTGTTGGTGATAGGAGGGAGTGGTCAAAGGGGTGTGAAAAAGCATAGAGTGATGCAAGGTCAAGCTGGGCAAAGCAACACATATGGGAAGGGGGAAACAATTAAGCAGATCAGAAAGGAGAAGCGACTGCCTAGGTTTTTCTATCATGGTAGGCATATTAGAGATGAGGTGAACTACAGCGAGATAGTCACCTGCGTTAGTCGTCTCCAGTAGGTGTAGTAAGTAAAGTCGATCCCATCCCGGTATTTGCTTTTTCTCGACAGGCTGAGACTACCTATGTGCTTCTCAATTTTGCTCCCTATGCACTTGGCTACTCTGGAGCGGTGGGCCCCATGGTTTTTCCTTAGCATGGCCAGAAGTGGAAGCGCGAAACCAGATAGTTAGACCAATACTTCATTTGTAGTATGTGACATCAAGGCCTCCCTCCATTGTGGTAAAGGGCGGCATGCAAGAGTTGCTAGACGTATGCTGGCCCACTCGTGCCGAACAATTGGGGTGCAGAAGCAAGAAGAGAGACAACGAACGCAGTTAGTCGGGGTGGGTACATTTGCGCATCCATGTCGATGATTTGGGACAATGCAGAAAAAGAATGGGGGAGATTGTGAACGAAAAGTCGTCATGTAGAACCCGTCCCCCCAGAATGGTTATCCTAATGGTATGCGAATAGACGAGGCGCGTGCCGCCTTGTTGATGATGCCGTTGGTTGCTGCTGCTGTAGGTATGTCTCACCTTCTGCCAAACACGCATGAGTGCGTGCTGCTGTCAAACTGCATGTCTCTCGTTGGGCTCCGTAACACTCACCAGGGGGGTGCATATCGGGTGAATGTGGTGGTTGGGTGGCGTGGAAAGTTGCCAAAACACTTTCCTGATAGCTTCGGACGAGGTGTCTGTCATATCAAAACACGGCATCCCGCTGATTAGCGTGCTGTACAGCTGTCGTACCGGAGAGCTTCCGTAACGAGGAGCCTGGTCCGTACCCAACCATGCACTCGACATGAATGGATGAGCTTGTGGTACGTGACTTGGGAACTCAGGCGAGAACGCGCTGTCATTGTTCGAAAGCCGTTACGACCCAATGGGACGGAATTGGCTGCGCCGCCAGAGCGTGACACGATGACCGGTACAAGTAGTGAAATCGGAACAAAAGAAAAATTCCCCGAGTCATTATTACACTGTCCTACATAGCTCCTACATTACTTGGTGCTGTAAGGCGCGTTCAATTTCGTGTACGAGGGTGTTAAGGGCAAGGAAGAACCATGCGTTAGTCGCGCCGTGTGAGGCTCGTTTACCCCCTCTTCGTTTTTCTTTACCGAATACCGGATGCCATGCTTTAGTTTACATGTCGTGAAAAATGCCGAGCCTTTTGAGTTGTTTTCGTAATCCAAAAGATTGCTTTTTCTCTACCAGGTAGTATAGTTGAACAGGGATAGGGGTATTGCATTAGTCTACGAGCAAGGCCCTTGGCTACCGCAGATGATTTTCAAAACCAGGCTATACCAGGCAAAGCTTGTCCTAGCATATCTGGTTCTCAATTTGCAGGGTCTAGGCCTAAAGGTTTAACAAAACCCAGGGCTTGTCCAAGTTGTCCAATGGGAGCAGAAAGTTGTGGCGTTTTGATATAGGTAGTCGAAGCTTGACCTTGGGGCCCAAATCTGGGCTGAAGACAAACCAGGCAATAACTGATTGCAATGGCTTCGATCCTCCAAGGTGAACACTATCACCACCAGCGTGATTCCGGCCTAGAGAACGATCAATACGGCGACGTATATTGGCTGATGCGTTCATGTTACACGCGCACTAAACTCCGCAATTGTTGAGTGTGCCGAGTCCTAGACTGCTGGTCTGGGATCAAACTGTAGAACCAATATACCACCAAAGCCTTAGCATATACGAAGGCGATAGTGACTCGCTCAATGTCTCCTTACTGGCCATTCCTTAGTAGCGACCGGCTACCGACTTGGTTGCGGTAGAACGCATCGATGTTCCTAGGTAGGCATGTGGGTCGTCGAGAAAGAGGCAATACTGGGTAACGATAAAGTCGGCTGACTAGACAGATTCACACCCATGTTGAAGGTGGTATGCATTGACGAAACTTCTAATGTGACCGGGCCGTTTGCATACAGATTCCCGCACACAACAATCTGCGTCTTCGGACACGCACACGGGAAATTAGATAAGGTGATCTTGATATCCAAAAACGGCTGATTTCTCCTCTCCTTCCGCGAGGAGTGTATGGCAGCGGAAGTCTGGCCGTACGAATCGTCTGTGGTGGGCACCAAATACTATCGACACCCTGATCGCAATCAATGCTTAAACTTAGAGCACTGTACAGATTAGTGGACTAAATCTAATAGAGAGGGATAGCAGGATTGCTGGCTATGACTGCTATTGATATGATTAAGGCACACGAGTCATGGCTTCTAGTGCTGCTCACGAACAAGAAACGAAGTTCGGATCAGCGGACGCTGGTTCATTGTTCTTGCTGGTGGAGGTAGTGTAGTCTAGCTGCAGCATTGCAACATCCTTACATGTGCAATCAAATTAATCGATGCCCCATCTCATTGGTTAAGCCGAGGAGTAAAATAGGTATAGTTTGTGCGGTGACTTGTCGGAATGCGTTGATACCGTGGCTCTGGGTCGGCCCGCATGTAGTCAGATAGTCATCCAAGGGTTAGCCGTATCACGCAACACAAAATGATGGGGTCCGTTCACGGGTGGGTATGTGAACAGTGTGAACAATAAGATAGCTGCCGATATATGCTAGAACACGTGCTTCGATAACCACTCTAGAGCATGCAAAATCAACATGGACCGTCTGGTATGTAGTTGTATGTTGTTTTGGCAGCTCCTCCATCTAGTTGTTTCTCCCACATTGATCAAGTGTATGAAGAGATTGTGCGCATAAGACAAAGTAATTGTGAGTCCCGGGTATAGGTTATCTGTGTCCCAGCAGCCACCATTTTTTGTGACCAGGCAATGCTGGGTACACCTGACACGGTATGCCAGCCCACAACAGAAGAGAAGCGTGCTGCCCGACATCATGCAGGGAACACCGTCCACGAGTGGACAAGATGTGGGTGCTTCTACTGCGATAGCGGGCGTTGGGCTACATCAAGGTGGCTAGCCAACATCATCATATATGGGTGTGTCGAAAGTAGGCTAATGACCTACATTAGAAGAGCTCGTCCGATGAGTAAAGAGTGGCTTGTTTTACATTAGGTGTCAACTAAGCAACCAGCATGATGATACTACTCGCTCAATCATCTGGGATATTGCGTCCAGCCGCCGCTTCATTCTTTCTTTGGCTGAAAAACGTAGAGGCCCAAGGCTTCTAGGGAGCCCTTGCATGAACACAGCGTCATAAAAACTCCGATGAGTGCAGTGAACCCGGCAGGCAATGATGCAAAGGATGTGCTTCGTGAGAGGGTTGGTCTCGGGATCTCATCTTGCATACCAAGCGAGATCTAAGAGGTCAGCGTGACCGGAAGCGGGACGACAGAAGGATCGTCCGTTTACGACCGACGTACTAATACTAAACAGGGTATCTTGGACGGACTGCTGCAGGTTGACGGGCCGAACGCAGGACCATTGGCCACTTAGGTGAAGGCATCGTCGTGGCATACAGGGTGGGCGGTGTCATGTTGAGCAGGCTCGTCTTCCCTTGCCTGTTACGTTTCGTCTCTCCGCACGTGATGTCCCGAAAGAGACGTGCCGGGCGATGCTCGCCGATGACCATTTGTTTGGAATATTCTGTATTGTCAGACGAGAGAAGTTGCCGTCACGTTGTGGGTGGCCAGCGGGTGGCACGGTACGCAGGCAAACTCGAGAGGCCTCGTAATCCGTCACCCGGCATCATCGTTGCGTATTCCTGCGGGATCTGACGAGAGGTGAATGCTGTGGAACTTGCAGAGAGAAATGAGAAGCCTCTCGGCTCAAGGACTGGTTGTGCAATGACGGCCCAAGACGGGGTTAGCTGTATCTATCCCGGCTCTCGTCCCCAGCCTTTGTGCCCGGTTCTTCGCAACCAGGGGCCGACTCGTACGAGAGAATCGGCTATGGCCAGCTCTCGGGGAGATGATGAGAGACGAATCATATTGCGTGACAGCAAATAGATGCCGAAGATGAGACTCGTCTCCTATTCAGATGAACTTGAGCAATGCATGCATGCGGGCAGTGGCGTGTAGCAATGAGTCAGCAAGAGGGACGAGAATTCGACGATTTGGAGAAACAACCTCACCTTCATCTCACCTACCTTACTTACCCGTACATACCTAACCCTCTATGTAAGGGGCTCGCGAACCCCACATGGACGTGCGCACATGCCTCTATGATAGTACGTCGAAATTGCAAGATTTTATTTTTAATTTTTTTAAATTTTTTTTTGGGGACAATGCAACGCACATCCTATAAGGCTACCTTATTGAGGTAGGAGGGAAAACCCTTCATAATTGGATTTTGATTCACGTAGATATCTACAGATTCCCCTAGATAATAGGTAAGTACCAGGTAACCTAAGGTTATAGGCAGGTATGAGTGGCCCTCTGCAGAAGAATGTACCTATCCTAAGTACCTAGGTACACACCTACATGTACATACCTACATGTACATAGGTAGGCAGGCACCTGCTAACGCCTAGTGGCAAGCAACAACTTATGCTACTTTGCTGACAATGCCACTGGCAATGGACGTAGGTATCGAATCTACCATCATACATGTAGTCATTGGGGTGGCTTCATGAACAGTACCGTCACGATTGAAATGTAAGTGGTTGACTGGTTGGTGCAAGGCTGCCGCCCCTGGAGAGTTACCTAGGTACTTCTTCCTTGACTGAGCCGATGTACCGGTACCTATCCAATCAACAGTGGAGGCACCGTTGATTGACTGGCGCCAAAATGGCTATATCCACCTTATCTGGTCAGCCTTCCAAAAGACATCATCTCTCTACCGTTGCTGGAACCTACCAACCTTGTCCATAGTAATGCCTAATGGCATTGGCCACGGATCGTAGAACCCCACTGTTCATACCGCTACCTACCGCCTCCTAGGTGCCCATACATGATAACCTGCCCATCGTCATCTGGCTTCTACAAATCCCCTTTTCTCCTCTCGACCCTGCGCCTCGAACCCTTCGCTGATAAAGGACCATGTCTCGGCGACCCCCTAACCCTGCTGCCGAAAGGGCTGCTCAGAACCAGCAAACCATCAAGAGTCTTTTGAAATTAGAGCCCAACAAAGTATGCGCCGACTGCAAGCGCAACAAGCGTGAGTTGCCCGCCTGCTTGCCGCCGTCCGCGCCTGACCCCGGACTTCGCTAACCCGCACCTTTGTCCTAGACCCTCGATGGGCCAGCTGGAACCTCGGCATATTCATCTGCATTCGTTGCTCCGGCATCCATCGCGGCATGGGCACCCACATTTCACGTGTGAAGTCGGTCGATCTGGATTCGTGGACAGATGAACAGTTACAGAGCATTCTAAGCTGGGGCAACGCGCGCGCCAACAAATACTGGGAATCCAAGTTGGCGGCTGGCCATGTGCCCTCTGAAGCGAAGATCGAGAATTTCATAAGAACCAAGTATGAGCTCAAGCGGTGGGCCATGGATGGCCCTATGCCTAACCCCGCCGACCTTGATGTCGAAAACGACGACGAGGTCCCTTTAAGCCTTGTCAAAGAAAAGCAAACAATCGAACGGAAAGTCTCGTTACGAAGCCAGCCCGCTGCTCAAATTACGAGCCCTCAAGCGCAATCTCAGGGGGATCTTATTGGTGACAACGACATTCCGCCGAGAGCTAGCACAGCCGTTCCGCCCCCTCACCAACGAGTGCCACCCAAGGCCTCGCCGGCTCCAGCGAAGGCTGCGAATCCCAAAGACTCTCTCTTCGGCCTCGATTTTCTGGGCGAGGCACCTACTGCTCCCCCTAGGCCTGCGAGCACAACAGGGACAAGTAGCAAGGGAGGCCAATCCCGGCCGGACCTCAAGCAATCCATTCTATCCCTCTATGCTTCGGCGCCGCGACCACAACCACCGGCTCAGCAAAAAGGACATTCTTCCACTGGGTCATTCGGTGGAGGGTTTGGTTCCATGCAAAGCCCCCCTGTTGGACATCAGCAGCAAGCTTCCACCAGCGGAGGACTCAATGACGCCTTTGCTAGCTTGAGCTTTGGAAATGCGGCGTCGCAGAAGAGCCCACAGAGGGACGCTTTTGCTGGTTTGACAAGTATGTCGAGTAACCGATCCCCCCCACCGCCTACCAATTCCGCTTTTTCTAGCCTTGGTGGCGGTAGTTTCTTTGACACCAAGCCTGCCCAGCCCGCAGTGCAACAACAAAGTAAGCCATCTATGGTCTCGACAGACAGCTTCGGCGGCTTCGGCTCTGCTGGCACATCTACCAAACCTGCTCAGTCATCATCTTCTGGTCTAGGAGATCTTTTTGATTGGTCGAGCCCTTCTCAACCAGCTGTCACTCCACAGACAGCGCCCAAGCCAGCCCCAGCTCCTACCTCGACCTCGAGCTCCGTTTTCAATCTCTCAGCAGCCCAACCTAAGCCAGCGGCTGCCGCCACCGCAACTCCTTCAGCTTCAATTACCACATCCGATGCAGATGTGTGGGGCAATGCGTGGGGCAATCCCGAACCGACCCCTTCAGCGGGCTTGAAGAGCCCGGCGATCGCGAGACCCGCGGTGCCTAGCACTAACGATGACTTTGGCGCATGGGGCAGCAGTACCAGTGGCTCGTTCGCCAACCAGAGTATAGTGCCCGGCGCTTCAGGCGGATTTGCGCCTGCACCCACGGTCGCAGCCGACGAGGAGTTCGGTGGCTGGACGAGCAGCACCGGAGGTAACACCAACAGCACGGCCGGAAAGCCCGCTGGTGGCTTTGGAAACGACGACCTCTTCTCCAACGTTTGGCAGTAATTCACTGGGAGGGTCTGTTCAAGAACGAACACAATGACGATGTTCATAGTCATATAGCCCACCTCTAATATGTCACAAAAGGAAGAAGGAAAAGTCTTTGCTTACAACACGACACTAGGGGGTTTTTTGCTATTGGAAATCCAAGAACCCTTGTCATCATTCAGGTTGGCGAGAAAACCCGACGATGATGCCTTTTTGTAGACGGACGTGCTTGCATGCATGCATGCATGTTATATCTCAGTATATACCAATTCTCACGAGATTAAAAAATGTGTAAATGAACAAGAGACAGAGGCAGGCGTGCGGGCGGGACTTGAGATGGTGGATTAAGTAGCATCATAGCGCCATATAGAAATTCAATTATTTACGACTTAAATATGATAATAAGATTAAACGCCGTTGCTATGCTATATTGCTTTGCTTTGCTCCGAAAAAGCTATTCATAAAACAGACCCCTTTCATGGAGCAGATTGACGTGACCCCATGACTTGACTGACTCCGTCGCGCTATGATATGGAAGTTTCGACTGCGAAAGTCCAACTCTGGTGGCGCTGGCGGGCTATGCGGATCCCGGCTTGGATCCTCTTGTTCAGCGTGTAAGCGAAGGACATTCCCGTGCGCGCGCGACACCGGTATCTCCTGCAGCGAATATCCAACACCCCATCTACTTTTCTCGAACCGTACAGACATCTATTCATATTTCTCGACGCCCGCTATATCCATCACCGCGAGCCCCGCGCTTCGTCGTGAGGTGATAATACAAGAGTTTTCAATCAAAATAAGTGAGACTCATCAAGCGTGATTGCCGTCGTCATCCGCGTTAATAAGTGAATATTCGCTCTTCAGCTTCGTGTGTGTGATAGTTGTTTCTTGTGTGTGGGACAAAGGCACGAGATTAAAATATCCATTTCACGAGATAATACAACACCAGGAACGCGGCGATCACGATCCCCGAGAGCTTCAGCACGGCGACCTTGTTGCCCGCGGCGGCCATGCGGCCTAGTCGGCTCGCGGAGCCCTTGAGCTGTGTGGACATGGAGGAGAATGTGTCGTTCTAGATAAGGAGAAGGGTTAGTTGTAAGTTGGATGATTTATTTATATACTTTTTGATAATGATGATGATGGTGATGATAGGAAGGAGGAAAAGAGAGGGGAAAAGAAGAAGACATACGGTGCTGTCGATGACGTCTTGCGCCCGCGCGTTGTCGTATATATCCACCGTGACGCCGCGCAGCGAGGATACTTTCGCCGAGAGCTCCTCGAGCCGCGCGTTGTTTTGGCGCTCACGCTCGTATGCTTCTGACATTTTGGCAATGGAATGAAAAGAGTGTTGATTCGATTCCGGCTCGTGGGGGTTGTTCGCCTTGGCTTTTGTTCGAGGATAGTAGGTTGCGATCAAGGGATTTCCGAACAGTCGGGCCCAGCCAAGTTAAGATCAGGTATTTTGCCGATCGCAAGTTGAGCTAGTTAGAGATCTAAGCGCCGATGACTATTTGTATTAGCAGTGATAATGGAGTGTCGAAATTTTCTTGTAGATTTGCGATGGTAGTCTGTCGCCTGTTTCTGTTGAAGAGCCTCGTGTATGATGATGGTGTACAGGTGGTTGGTTGGTTGGTTGACTGTCTAATTGATTGATGAAGGCTGGTTGCATCCCGAAAAGGAGTCGAGACAATCAGCTGCCTTTCTGCCCCGGGCCCTTTAGCCCCAGTCCTACAGTGCAGTCCAATAGATGATGCAGGGTATGTGGCTCGTGGAGGAGGACCCTGAATACACTGCGCCACACAGTACTGTGTGTGCATTTGGCCATAGGTACCTACCTAGGACTTTCAACCCCACGTTTAATGGTGGGGCAGGCGAGTCTCAGACGCTGTCAGTCAAGTACCTCCAGGCTTTGATAGGTACCTACAGGTATAGGTAGGTAGGTAGGTAGTGGCAGAGCTCCCACTGCTGACGACGACCTTTTGCCGCCCGGCTACACCATGTCTTCATGCTGTCTTCATGTTGTCTGCATGTGTCTCCAGGCATTTAAATATTCAACTGTACTCAACTTTAGGTTTACGCTTATTATATAATAATTCGCGAGCAGTTGGACGTCTTTGCATTGCTCTCACCTCTCCAAGTTGTCTACGTAAAACCACCACTGCGGCGCAACAGCACTTCCCCTGTCTTAACATCCTCATATAACATTGGACGAATACATTGTATTATTTATTGCCTTGATACTTACATGTACAACTAGGATACGAGAATAGGGATTAAAACCAGCCAATTCCAAATCGCCGTTGGCTGCCTCCCTCGATCACATAAGTAGTACTTCATTTGTCCCCGCAATTTGCTTTCCCACTAGGTACGCACGCTACGACCTACGAAGTACACCTCACATCTCGAGATACCCACCTCGGGCTAAACGGCCGGTCTAACAGCTTGGGAAATCGGTGTACGTGCAAGTACAACGGCGCGCGCTAGCTTGTCAGCTTGTCAACTTGTATTCAGCGGCCTCAATCACCTGCAACGTCTTCTCATAATCTAATCGCTTCTCTTGCGCAACCCTTTCCAAGAAGCTTCTTGTCTGGTATCGAACGAGCGGCCGGCCAAGATCAACCGCCATCATGGGTATCAACAACCCTCTCCCGAGCTCTATGGCCTGTAAGTGCTTCCGTTCTATCCGTTCCTGGCCACTCATCGCGCTCTGCCGTGGCTTTGCGCAACACCCCGCGAACTGATGCTGATGCTGCGACATACGAACAGCGGAGTGCAAGAAGTGCGGCAAGATCTTGACTTCCTTCATCGACCCGCGGCAAGCCTTCAGTCCCGACAAGATCATTCCCCCTCACATTCTTTCCAATGCCAAGGTAAGTCCGTTCGCCAAGAGATGGAGAAGACCTAATGGTACGAGGCTGTTTGCGGTCTCGTTTCTGTCTTCACAAGTAAACCGGCTGACCGCGCTTTTGTCGCTAGGGTCTTGCGATTCTTACAGTTCTCAAGGCCGGATTCCTCGGCTCCGCGCGCTTCGGTTCCGGCCTCGTAGTCGCTCGTCTCCCCGATGGTAGCTGGTCTGCTCCTTCTGCCATTGTCACTGCCGGAGGTGGTTTCGGTGGCCAGATTGGTTTCGAATTAACAGATTTCGTCTTCATTCTCAATGATGCCAGTGCCGTCAAGACCTTCTCACAACAAGGTTCCATCACCCTCGGTGGAAATGTTTCCATAGCAGCTGGTCCCGTCGGTCGAAATGCCGAGGCCGCCGGTGCTGCATCTTTAAAGAGTATCGCCGGAATTTTCAGCTACAGCAGGACCAAGGGACTATTCGCCGGTGTATCGCTAGAAGGATCCGCCATTGTAGAGCGGAGAGATGCGAACGAGAAGCTATACGGTCAACGTCTGACCGCCCAGCAGTTACTGAGCGGTGCCGTCCGACCTCCTCCCCAGGCCGCACCCCTATTGAATGTGCTAAACTCAAGAATCTTCAACGGCACGCGGCAAGGTTCAGTGGGAGACACCATGTACAATGACGTACCCGTGTACGACGATCGGCATGACGACGTAGTCTGGAATGGCCAGCGCGGCAGCAGCTACGGCGAAGGCCAGATGAATGCACCTCAGCGATCGAACACATGGCAAGATGATGTCTACGACAGACCGGCAAGCGGCGGGATCAACCGTTCCAACACCATGGGGTCAAGAGGCGCAGATGATAATTACGTGTACCGCGATAGACCAGCAGCCGAATCCTCGGCTCCAACTCGACCCGCAGCCCCGAAACCCAACTTCGCGAGTAAGCAGGCGCTTCTGAAGAAGAACGAGGCAGTCGCGCTGTTCACGTTCGAGGCAGACCAGCCAGGCGATCTTGGCTTCAAGAAGGGCGAAATCATCACGGTGTTGAAGAAGACGGAGAGTGATAACGACTGGTGGTAAGTACTCCCGCCGTACCTAATTTCATAGCGCGATGGACCCAGGCTGGACTCGCTAACGATGTATAGGACGGGCATGATCGGTTCAAGACACGGTGTTTTCCCAAGTAATTATGTCAAAATGACCGAGTGATCAAATCAGAAGGGAAGAGATTCATGAGTTGCCTCGAGACGGCGACAAGGAGACGCTATAAGCTCTTCTATTGCAATGCCTAGGCTTACAATAACACGGCGTGGGCATCGAAACGTGGGAAGAAGAAAGATATCAACGAGGAGGCGGCAAAATGCTTAGATACGGTGTTTAAGGACGACGGTCTTGCCTTCGCGGGATGTGGATTACGCTGTTGCTTTTGAGTAACCCGCATAACATGACATAACATACGTTTGATAGTGATACCTGATATTTACTTACAAGGCTTCCAAGTATATGCACTTACATTTTTACCCCCACACACCGTTATGTGAGTGTGTAAATCCAATTCATATGAAGAACATACAGTATAGAATAGACGCAACTATGTGTACATATCGACACGGGAAGATTCGCTAGTATGTAGCGTATCATATGGCGGCACCAAGTATACTCTACAGCTCAGGCCATTCATTTATTCACCATGATTCGTTCTATCAATCTATCATTTTACCATTCTACATATGCATGCAAGCAAGTATATCTCTATCCCTGTCTGTAATTAAACTCCCAACCAAGCGCCGCGCCAAAACCAGGAGAGAAGAGAACTGAGAAAAAAGAGCAACAGAGAAAGAAAGCTTTCGCATCCTCGAGTGCTGACTGACTGTCTCGGTAGAAACTCCTCCTCCCTTTCACACCGACGGATCAGCGTACGGATCAAAACCAACCTTTCTCTGGGCCTCCGCGCTAGCAGCCAGACGTTCCTTGCCGTGCAGACCGCTGCTCGAGACGGATTCGTCGAGGTAGAACTTGAGCACGTGGTCTGGTATGGCGAGGTGCGTCGTCTGCTCGAATTCCTGCAGGGACGTTAGGCGGAGGAGCATCTCGAGGAGGGAGAGGGAGGTTTTGATTGCGCCGAAGGGGGAGCGCTCGATTAGATTTGTGGTAGAAGTGCGGTCTGCGAGGTTGTTGTTGTTGGTGGTGGTTTTGTGGGGGGAAGAAGCTGGGCGGGAATGAGGCTTTGTGATGCTTAGTTGCTGGGAATCGCTTGATGAGGGGCGCGAGGCGATGTTCATGCGGTTGAGTTGCGTGATGAGATTCAGATCGATGGATGGACGTGTTGTGTGTCTTGGGCGACATGCCCCATCATCATCATCATTTGATATCGAGTCCTTGCCGTTGCTCATTGTATCCGAATCTGAGTCCGAGTCTGATTCTAACGTGTTTTCGTTATCGTCGACGTCAAACACTTCTAGGGCTATCCACTCCGGATCTAGATCCTGCGGGATACTCCAATTCTGGGATTTCGAGTGAGTTTGAGAAGACTGAGACGAGGATCTCTCATTCGGTAGTCCCATTTCTTGCCGAAGCTGAGAGTCTATACATTCCTGCGAATCCCCCTCTAACGATAGAGGGTTAGGTATCACACTGTCTTCTGCACCCTTAATTGTAAGCGTGGGATTGCCCGGCCCGTGGACCACCGGTATGGCTTCAGTGTCTCTCTTGATTAGGAGTACAGGGCGATTTGAAGCACCATCGTCACTGTTGATGTTAAGAATCTTACCGACATCGGCGTAGAACATTTTCGAGATCTGATGAATAGGGATGAGCTCGCGGATTCCGGCTGAAGACAAGCCATCATATGCGGCTGGTTGAGAATCCCTGTTTTCGAATGTATGTAACCGTCCATCATCTAGGTCTTCTACAACTTGGAGTTGATATGCATAATGCACGCGAGGACCGCTCCCAGAAGTTCTGTTCGATAGCTCATCTAGTGATATCCGGAGCAATCGCACTCGCGCTTTGTGCATAACCTCCTGCCACATCGGTTTCCTCTGTCCTTCTTCGACGCCATACGGCTCTTGTGCTCCACCGGCCGAGGCATGGCCTCGAAACAGCATGTACAAAGACAAGATGAAGTCCGGACCTATCTGCATGGGTTGACTTGGATCCAGTATGAACTGGGTATCACCGACGTTTACCAGCATACTCGCTTGCAGTAAGCGCGAAGGCGAGAAAGATGACTCTGGTGCCTGGATACCACCGATAGCAGAAACCCATAGATTGATTAGAGGGATCGCATCATCGATGCTGGTGGTCAAGTCTTTGATGTCGCCTATAATTCCGGCAAGTTCGGCCTCGCGGCGAGCGACTGCTGCCTTGGAATCTCTAGCTCCGTTCAGTGGCGACGAGTGCGTGGATGTGGCATGTTTCAACCGTTCACCCAGGGCGTCAATGTCCTCACGTAGTCCTCGTGCAGTCCGCACTACAGTCTCGAGGGCGGAATCTCCTCTCGTGTAGCGGAGCTCGATGGATTCCAAGATTGGAGACACCAACTTTGGAGCTTACGTCAATACCCAGCTCATAAGGCCCCATATGGACGAGATGAATATGACTCACCTCTATCTTTCGAGTCAGACGCCTCTGCAGCTGGCTGAGCTCGGCTCGTAGAGGGTCATAATCTATAGTCTAGCAGAACGTGAGTCACTGTGATTATAGCCACACGTTGGACGACGTGGGGGACGGGCTTACCTTGAGTAGCTGGGCACCTTGCTTGATGACATATGTCGAGGTCAAGGCGATACATGATCTAACGGCGTAACTGGTAGCATGATAGGACAGTTTGGCGAGAAATGCGTCCATAGCAGTAGCGGCGATGGGCCAGTCGCTTCTGCCCCGGACAAGAAGCTTTGAAGGCGTGAATGTTGTAGATGCATCGAAATCAAGGCTGCCCGAGCCGGTTCATGAATGAATGAACGAATGAAGGTGAACTGTAGAAGAGGGAGGATTGATTTGCTGGGGTATCCTGAATAAGATGAATGGCTATGACCTTTAAACTTAGGTATGGCATTTAAATAACAAAAGAGCTTGGACGTTACCTACATGTGCATTGAATTGGGTCTCGCCAGTATTCCCACACTGGGCACCTAACTTACCTAAGACAGGCACCTTGGGCACCTCTAGCAGTGCATTAGAGCACCTACAAGGCACCTGCCTAGCCTTCAGCATTTGCAACTCCAGGAGCCTCCAGAGCCGATATTTGTTTGATATTTGAGACATGTACTAGGTAGTACCGTACCTTGAACAGAACTTACGAGGTCTCATCAATAAATTATGTAGATACCTACGTATCCTTCTGCATCCGTGGCGTGAGGCGAAGAGAGGACATAAATAAATACCCAACTGGGAATTTTCAATTGTAATTACCTAACTTGGAAGGGTCGGGTCCCGATAAAATAAATATACTTATATGGCCTATATCCTACCTGTACCTACCCCGCTACAAGTGCCCCACCAAAGAGCCACACCGCGAAACACCCACCTTCAATCAAGTTTCGAGCCGCAGCAACTTTCTCAAGACTTGAGTCTGTATCCGTCAGCTCGTTTTGTGCGCCTAATACCTAAGTAGTCGCTGAAGTTTCCCGCACGCGACCTTTCGATACCCTGTCATAGTTCGATAGCTTCGGGTAGGCATATTTGTGTTCTGTTTTTGGCTCTTTTGCTTTTGTCTACTCTAACATCCCCCCTCCTCCTGTCCTCCCAACTACACTCAGCACAGACGGGATATTCAAGTTTCCGAATATTGCCTCGACAACAGATCACTTTTCTGTTCTCCTTTCTCTTGCCTCCTCCTCCTCCTATCTACCGAATTCCTCGTTAATTAATCGACTTCCTCTCAGGGCTCGACAAGCCAACAAACCGCCAACATGTCGGATCTCAACTCCTGGGAAGATGACCCCGCCGCTCAGGATGACAACCTGTCGCGCCAGACACAGCAGATGAACCTCAACAATAACCCCGCCGCCGCGCAATCATTCCGACCCGGCGCCGCCTCCTTCCAGCCCACTGCGCACTCTTTCCAGCCGGGCCAGCAAGCCTATGGTTACAGCCAATATCAGCAGCCCCAACAGGCTTACTACGGCGGCCAGAACTACTACCCTCAATACGGCCAGCCCGGCGGATACAACCAGCAATATGGCCAGGGCTACGGCAATATCTACGGTCAACAAGCCGGCTATAACCAGGGCTACGGTGAGGCGCGACCCCTCTTCCCCTTCCAGTTGCAGTATTGCTGCCAGTCCGGACTATCTCGGCTAACTTTTGATAAGGTCAACCCAATTACCAACAGCAGCCTCAACAGCCTCAACAGCCCACTCAACAAGCCCCTCCTACTATTGCTAAGCGTCCCGACCAAGCCGCCACGGCCTCCTCAGACCTGAACAAGCCCGTAGTTACCAAGGAGGGAGGCACCAAGGTTTTGAGCATAGGGGGGGATGCGGCCAAACCCAAGGCCGCCAAAGTACTCTCAATCGGCATGCCAGCAGCACCAAAGGACGAGCCCAAGGAACCCAAGGCAGAGCCAAAGGCGGCAACTGAGGACGGTGCTGCTGAGAAGAACACTGCCGCCGACGCCGGCGCAAAAGCAACGGCTACGAAAGCCATTGAGAAAACAGGCGAATCTACCAAAACGTCCAAGACTGCTAGCGGGAAGACCTCGCCTACACCGTCATCCGGCCGATCAAGCCCATCTAGGGGCGCTAAGGGTGCTAGTCGTGACGCCGATGCCGTTATGAACGAACAGACCGCCGACGTCGACGAAGAAACGCTAAAGGAAATCTATGGTAAAGAACATGTAAACGTCATCTTCTTAGGCCACGTTGATGCTGGAAAATCAACTCTAGGTGGAAGTATTCTTTACGCGACTGGCATGGTAGATGAGAGAACAAGTGAGTATAATGGAAAACCCTGTTCACAGCGACCTAGGACAACTTCTTCTTACTTTATACATGTCTTGCATATATTTAATCTTATCGTCAAAAAACGCAATACTGACTTGTGGCCACTATAGTGGATAAATACAAGAGAGAAGCAAAGGAACTAGGCCGAGAGTCCTGGTGGTTGTCATGGGCCTTGGATCTTACCAAGGAGGAAAGAGCAAAGGGTAAAACCGTCGAAGTTGGACGAGGCTTCTTTGAGACCGAAAAGCGCCGATACAGTATCCTCGATGCCCCCGGTCACAAGACATATGTACCTTCGATGATTGGCGGTGCTGCTCAAGCCGACGTTGGTGTTCTAGTCATCAGTGCCCGTAAGGGTGAATACGAAACTGGTTTCGAGAAGGGCGGACAGACCAGAGAGCATGCTATGCTTGCTAAGGTATGTTTATTCCTAACGTCATTCCTTGTTCTATTTGCTTGAAGAGGCAAAAGTCCCATAAGGCGATAGGCCTCGAGGTACAATTATGGGACTGCGAAGCCATGCGGAGCTTCCGTCTCATCTGAAAGAGTAATTACTGACTTGCAAATATAGACTCAAGGAGTTAATAAACTTGTGGTCGTCATCAACAGTAAGTCTTTTAAAGTTGAAATTGAAGTACACAGTGAATATATCTAATACTGTGAAATAGAGATGGATGACACAACAGTTGAATGGTCACACGATCGATACAAGGAATGCACTGCCAAACTATCGCAATTCTTGAAAGGTGTACGTATTCTCCAATTATCGCTCATCGAATTTGTCTAAATTTTCGTTTATATTTTTCCTTTATGCGATACTCGAGCTTCCGGTTCTTGTAGCGGTACTGATTATAGTGATGAACAGGTTGGTTACAACAAGGGCGATGTATTCTTCATGCCCATTGCTGCCCAGCAGTTAATCAACATCAAGGACAGAATTCCTCCTGGCGTCTGCTCCTTCTATGATGGACCCTCACTACTAGAATACCTAGATGGCATGCAATCCCTAGAACGCAAAGTCAATGCTCCGTAAGTAACAAACGAAAGATTCTTTACATTCATCGTTTTCCCTTTCTATATGTCTCATCGTCGCTGAGTCTGGGCCTCCCGATTCATATCCAATCTGTATCCAATATTGGAGAGTACTGACTCAATGCGTTCCAGTTTCATGATGGCAGTCGCAGGAAAGTATCGTGATCTAGGAACCATGGTCGAAGGCAAGATCGAGGTATGTGATTCTTTGTTGTTCAAGATTGGTTGCTCAAGAGCTGCTTGTAGAGATACTATAACCCTAACAAGCTGCACTCATTTCGGTTGCTCATAGGCAATCCTTTTCTTTTCAACGATGGTCACTGACTCTTCAACCTGGCTAGGCTGGCGTTTGCCGAAAGGGTATGAGTTTAATAATGATGCCCAACAAAGAGAAGGTTGAGATTGCTGCTCTATACGGCGAGACGGAAGATGAAATCCAGATCGGCCAGTGCGGTGATCAGGTTCGAATGCGCCTTCGAGGCATTGAAGAAGACGATATCTCACCGTACGTATTTAGCATCTGAGCAAAGCGCTAAAAGTTTGAGATGGCCAGCTCGGGTTACCTTTATTCACATTTTCCTCTCCTCTCTTCTTGCAGCCCATGCTAATTACATGACATTTACTAACCTATATACTGTGTAGTGGTTTCGTTCTATGCAGCCCCAAGCGGCTAGTTCATAACGTCAAGGCCTTTGAGGCACAAATCAGAATTCTAGAATTGAAGTCTATCCTCACCGCAGGCTTCAACTGTGTACTCCACGTGCACGCTGCCATTGAGGAGGTGACGTTTGCGGCTTTGCTTCACAAGCTACAAAAGGGAACCAACAGGAAGAGCAAGCTTCCCCCATCCCACGCAAAGAGGGGCGACAGCATTATTGCTCGGATGGAAGTTACTGGTGGTGCTGGTTCAGTGTGCGTTGAGACCTTCGAGGACGCACCACAACTTGGTCGCTTCACCCTCCGTGACCAGGTAAGACCATTCCATCCCTACCACTTGCAATCACGCATACTAATCCGGTCTGTAGGGACAAACCATCGCCATTGGAAAGATCACAAAACTCATCACTGAGGAAAATTCTTAAAGAACTTAAAGTGCCAACAGTCAGTCCCGTGGACGGACACTGCTTTTACAGCTCAGCAATGCCCGGATAAATGCATCTTTACAAGTCTCAGCTGAATTTCAGCCTTGTGTCTTGCCTATCTGTCTAAATGAGCTAGAGAATTAAGGCATCTGTCTATCTGTGCTCATATTAGGCACCCGGGAAAACAATGAATGGGCTGGCTGGCTCCTAAAGGGGGCTCATCAAGGTTGGGAAGCTGCGCGATGGTGCGCCATAGAATCGGGGCCGGGCAGGCGAAAAAATCATATCTTATCGCTCTTTCTAGATAGTGAAAGCCAGGATGGAGTTCGCTATTGAATGGATTGACTGACTGACTGACTAAACTGCCATATGGAAAGATTAGGTATAGATTTTAGCATACTTTTCAAAAGGAGAATATGAACATTATGAAACCAGAGAACTGTGTTAGCTTTTGATCTATTAGTATCTCAGCAATGTTGTAATAGCTGTAACGTACGCAGCTGTAAGCCAACCAACTGCGCCATGGTCATCAGGTCAAAAGGATACAGGATGCTAAGCTGAACGTATAGCTTAATACCAGGTCGCGTACAGTCAGGTCGTACAGTCAGTGACACGTTCGTCACAATATTTAATATTTATCCTATTTTTTTATTACTTAATTCGTTAATCTGATATTGAATTCTATAATTTTATTTATTTGTTTCTTCTTGTATCTTTTCTTTTTCATTTGTTTACTCCAATCTATTACCACAACCCCCAACCACCTGATTACCATCTCGTTCATCTCGATAGAACGAATGCCATCTATCTTATCTATTTTCTACCTCGCTACTCTAGCTCGCTTCTACACTGTTCTTTTCATTCCTGCCCTTTCCTTTCCTTTTCTTGCCCTTGCTTAACCAGTCCCTACCCCCCTACAGGAAAGAGAAGGAGAGGAGAATGAAGACTAGTTAAGTAGCTAGCTACCAGACTATCAGAAAGGAACCAACATCAATCACCCTGAACTAGACTCCCTAAGCGGCGTAGAAATAGGCGTAATTCCAATCCCCGATTTCTTAGACGGCGTCGAAGGCGCCGTCCCAGTTCCACTCCCGCCACTAGTCGAAGCGCCAGGAGTCGCACCGCGGGCACCATCATTGACGGGCGGCGTATCAGTACGAATAGGAATGCTAGCACCCGTGCCCGTGCCCGTCTTCGTAGGCGGTTTGAAATTTGACGCCAACCCTTTCGCGTATATCTCCTGAAGCATGGTCTCAAGAATGCCAGCCTCGGCGTATTCTTGGTACTTGCGGTATAGACGGAGTGCTGTGCGCGCATCCTCGATTGAATCGTGCGTGTGTAGTTGGATGTCTTCTTTCAGGATCGTGTACGCGAGGAACTGCAAACTAAGCTTGCGTAGCCGCTCCTTGATGTAGAAGAGGTCGCTCGTGTCGATGACTTGGGCCTTGGGCACGTGGATGTTGATGACGCGGAAGTCCTGCTTGAGGCCGTGCCCGAGGAACTTGCAGCCGAGATTGAGAAGGATCCAGATCTTCTTGTATGCAAATTTTAGTGGCACCAAGTTATGCCCCCGCTCCGCGGCAATGTCCTTGTCTAGGTCTTCAGGTGTGATACCGGAGTATGATGTTAGATAATCTACTACCTTTTCATTAATTTCGATGTAGTCATCTATGAATGGCACGCCTTCATCCATGCCATTCCCACGAATGATTGATGTTCTCGCGAGAGCGTGAACTGTTGGCCGGATGATTTTGGAGTTGCCATCTGAGTGTACCTCCACTTCTGGCTGCGCAATCTTGACAAATTCGGTGTCTATGGCAACAATTGTATCAGGCCTAGCGGGTTCGTCCTCACGGCTGAGTGTCCGATATGTTTTATCCCCCCGATCACCTCTAGAAAATTTGGTAAGCGGGGTCTAGCACTTCGCCACGAGGCAACCAAACGCTGTAACTTACAACAGATCGATATATAAAAGCCTAGCATCGAGATTCTGTTTCCAACTAGAGTCAAGTTGGTTGTTGGCTGCCTTCACCTGATATATGATAACAGAGGGTGTCTTCCACGACGTATTGAAAGCCAGTGCTTCCTTGGTCGGAATAGGTTTAACATGAAAGTCGTTGAAAAGGTACCACTGACTCTTATTTGGCGCCGTTGGTGCCGAATGTGCGACTTGATTCTGGGTCAGCATCCATCGTGAAGAGCATAGGATAATACTTACCATTCGCCATAGCCACAAGGTGAGATTGTTGCTGTTTCCCACCATCGATGTTCACGGCGAGACCTGTGAGAGAGTAAACTGTAATGTTATGAATGCCGCGTTGTAGGTGTAACTTCAAGTCCTCCCCCTCATAACAAAAAAAGTTTCCATTGTCAACAATGATGCCAATCTCCTCCGGCAGCCAGCCGGGCGTGGCCCAGAGATGGCGATGTTCAGCTGTATGAATAGCAGCAGTGAGCATCAGCACACTAGGTATCTCATGGATGATCTTTCTTGTCGCCAATGTTTGATAACGGTGGCAGATGTTACACCAGCCCTTGTTTGTTGTTTCTCTTTCCACGCTCAATTTCAAGACCTGTGAGAATGCCGTGCCCCTAACACGTGTGTTTCTCTGGCCAGGTTTCTTCTTCGTGTTAGCTACCCTCTCGCTGGACGCGGAGAAAGAACCAGCTTTACCCACATTTTGTGGATATATCAGCTCATTGACCATGGTGTTATCTGGTTTCGTAGTCTCATTTCTGCAATTTATACATCTTATGGTATTAACTGCGGAAGTCCGGAATAGCTGGGTCCAATTAGCGGAGACGCGCTGGCTTTCTAAGAATGTTCGAGAAAGTACCTCTTCGAATGCGCTGGGCGACTGCGGATCAGCACCGAAACTCTGGTGGTTCTTTTCGACCATGGTGCTGAAATTATTTGACATTTGCTGCAGCAAGAACCTAGCCAACTGCTGTAATACGAAGGTGCGGTGGGTGCCGTGCGGTTCTTCTTCCAGCAACCCTAGGTTTCGAGCTAATGAGGCCGTTAATGGTAGGCGTTACATGGCCGCGTGCAATGCAGTACTTACACTCCGGATGATAACTCAAGGTCTTGGTAAAATTGGATGCCTGGCAGGCTTCTCCTTCAGCTTTATCGAGCATGTCAAAAAGAAAGCCCAGCTCGCAAAGTAGACACTTCGAATCGACACATGCCGTTGCCGCATGCTGGAGCGCAATATTCCGTATTAATGGAGTGTAATGCATGATTTGTAGCAACGGGTTTGCGTAGGCATTAACGATATGATTCTGAAGTCCAGAATACTGTGACTTATTAAAGTACCTTATCAAAATTAGCGGGACAGAATTGAAATTTAAAACAAGGACTAACCCAAAGTCGAAATCATCAATACCAAATTTGCTGTACTTGATTTCCACATGCTGGTACAGTTCAGGTACTTCGATTTTATGGCTCTCGAGCTTACTATCATGCACGATGAGCGGGATGTCCGGGATCACTTCTTCAGGGGCAGGTGTGCCAGCGGGTGACTTAGCGAGCTCACGGGCCCTTTCACTCAGGAACTTTGGATGCTTCAACGTCTTCTGGGGGCTCTCGCTACTGCGTACGTCCTCCACCTGGTTGCGCCGAAGTGGACGGGTGTTCTTTCCATAATATCCCCATTCCCTCTCCTGAAGAGTGGCTAGAACCTGCGGATCAATCTTCACAGGTGGAAGCCCAACTTCAGTAACCATGTTGCCCGGCCATGCCGATAGGAGTGCTTCTCTATAGTACGGCATACCGACAGAGCTTAACGGCCTTCACCCGATATCAGTACATGATGCGATGACGGATGAATAAGGTTTAATCATACTTGTCATACGCGTCAAATTCTATCCTCGGTACGGCAGATGGTGTATCAGCCATTTCCACGGGCCGACCAAACTCGGTAAAATGAATCTTACTAGGAGATCCCCAAAGGTGTATAGAGCAATCGCCATCAGCTAGCGCCACAGCTTCGCCCGATGGTGCAATTTCGATCATGGAAAAATATGACAGGCTGTTAGCTTGACGTACATTACTAGTGTTGGGATTCATCAGGTCAACAACATGCATCTGGCCAATCTGGGACATGACGATGCTCGTGGTAGACATGCGGGGATGCATGCGCGCATAAGCAGCACCGGCTGGAAAAGGGATGGGAGACATGGAGACCATGTTTTTCAGATCGAAGACGTTGACGAAGGGATCAGGCATATAGTTGCCCTGTTGTCTAAGAGAGTAGCCGCACGTGACAATGAAATCGTGCTGGGCATCCATGTCGTTGATAGCAGCAGTATGAGCGTTCCAGATCTTGAGAACCTGGAAATTGATGGAGTCGATTATGTGTATCGAGCCGCCAGGTGTTGCAGCACAGATATTGCGACTACTCCTGCGCATGATTTTATATCTGTGTTCCGTCGATATCTAGAGAGATGAAAGTATCAGTTTTCTGAAACCAATGAACACCAACGTTCATCATATGTTCAGAGCCTCATCGACTAGATTTAGGACAACCTTACTTGCTTCGTCACCTCCCCCTTAACAGTATCGATTACCAGCATCTTGTCCTGTTCACCGGCGACTAGAATTTCGCTCGTCCCCTTAGAAGTGAAACTCATGCACCGGGATTCTTTCATATCATCGTGTCTAAGCTCGTGAGCCTGTAAGCTTCACAGCGCTTGGTAGGTGTATTTATCAAGGGTATATGTGCCCACCTAATAGACCATATTGGTATCCCCCGTCTGTTTCGCATATGCACGCTGCGTGCGCCGAGAGCAATGACACCCTTGTCATTGAATAGGATCTGGAGGACGCCGCCATCTTGCGAGCTATGGGCTTTGAAGGACGTGTATTGCTGAAGCTTAGCACCGTAGAAAGAAGTAACTCTACCCTAATGAGGCGAATGCTGGTCAGCTGTTGAAGGGCACTCAAGAGCTATCGGTGCGCCGGGCAGCCGAATAAAGCTTCAGATATTTCGTACATATTCATTTCCCGTCCATAACAATTCCTGGGTAATATCAAATGCTAGACACGTTACGGGTGTCGGCAAGGCGCGAATCCCCGGCGGCGGAAACGGTATGCGGGCGACCTAGAGAAACGGGGCAAAGGATATACAGTTAGCGATTACCAACTAGCGACGGATTACTTGTGGAAGTATAAATTGAAAGCGACGAGACATGTTCGGACCAGAAGAGTGCCGCAAGGCGCAAGGTAGAATGGGCCAAGTAGTAGTAGTAGCAACAGGCACAAAATACAATACACACATACCTCGTCCCAATCCCCATCCATGTTGCCTGTTGGTCATCATTGGTAGCGGAACGGCAGGCTCGAAGGGACCGGGCTTTCGCCGCGTCGTTTGCGCGCAGTTCGCGTGCACAGCAGAGATGCAATTGATTCAGGGCCGAAGACGAACGTGAGGCTGGACATGAGACTCGTGATGGCGGGGACTCGAGATAGTGATGGTGTTGCTAATGGGGTCGCGCGTAGGACCGGCGTTGCCAAGCAATCCATAGTTATCGATTACAGCCCATTGTACTCTGTAAATATACCTAGCAGATACCTAGGTTAACGGCCGGGGAGACTGTGCCCCTCGATTGAGAGGTACCATTAGGTAGGTACCTCCCCCCACCTCTAAGTACATATACCTACCTACCCTACTTATTATATCCAGTCGAGAGTCTATCATTAATGGACACCTCTTAAGGATACATCAGCATCTTCATTACAAGTGATTTGCCCAATCCTTGATCCGATTTACTTGGTTTAGAGTCATCTCTATTTTGATTCAAGTATTTCTTTTACTCCATAGTCTCATACGTCTAAATGGTACCATCACCTCTCCATATCTTATACATCTTAAGTTTTTAAGGGCTTACCAACATCTTTCGATCCATGTAATAGCAGCATAGGATGTGCTAATTTTTGAGTTCAAAAGTTAACTTGAAGCTTTTTAATACTAGGTTATATAACTACCTAAGTACATATATGAAACATCAGTCTTCAGTTTAAATCAGTTTTAATACTATCCTACACATTGTCTAACGTGAACACTCTGATATTGTATACATCAAATCATCTATCACAACAATAAAGGGTCAAAGTGTTTGATTGAATTGATATTATTTTCGTCGTGAAAAACGATATATGTCTAACAAGCTAAGCTATTCTTTCGTATCGGGAACTAAGTTCCCCAAGCGTGAACCACACTGTAACTGTGTGTTCATTCCAACAAGGCATATAGAGTGTTTCGCTTCGGCCCGCCCTCTCGTGCCATTTTCCCTTGGCACCGCCAATACATGGTAAAGATTAAAAAAAAAAAAAAAGAACCGTCGAAGGCGGAAAACCTACTGAGAAAATAGGTATATGCGTGTGTGTATCATGATAGTAATGCCACCGATTAGCGCCTATGCTCTTTTAGAGGATGGAAGGATGCATGCATGCATGACGTGATCTAAACAACTGGTGCCGCCGCCTTGACGTCGTCTGTCGCCTCGGACTCGTACTTCTTGAAGTTCTCGTTGAAGAGGCTACCCAGCTTCTTTACTTCCTGATCGAAGCTGTCTGCGCCCGCCGTCCAGGCTGTCTTGGGGTTCAAGAGTTCGTCCGGTACCTTGGGGCACGACTTGGGAACCTGCAGGTTGAACACCTCGTAGGTTTCGTACTCGGCCTTGGCGAGCTCACCCGAGTGGATGGCGTCAAGGATGGCACGAGTGTATTTTAATGGGCATCGCTTGCCGCCATGCACGTAGCCAGCACCCACCCAGCCAGTGTTCAGCAGCCAAGCGTTGGCCTTGTGGTGCTCGATCTTGTCTGCCAGCATCTTTGCGTAGCGCATGGGGTGAAGGGCCAGGAAAGGCTGGGCGAAGCAAGACGAGAAGGTGGCCTGGGGCTCGGTAATACCGTCCTCGGTACCAGCCATCTTGGAGGTGTAGCCAGAGATGAAGTGGAACATGGTCTGCGCGCTGTCGAGCTTGGAGATGGGAGGTAGGACACCGCGAGCATCGCAAGTCAGAAGAATGATGTTGCTAGGGTGGTTCTCGGAAAGACAAGGGATCTTGGCGTTGCTGATGTACTCGATGGGGTATGCACACCGGGTGTTCTCGGTAAGAGTGGCATCATCGTAATCGACCTCTCGCGTTTCCTGGTCGAAAACAACATTTTCCAAAACGGAACCGAAGCGGATGGCGTTGAAGATATCAGGCTCCTTTTCAGCCGAGAGACCAATGCACTTGGCGTAACAGCCACCTTCGATGTTGAAAACACCTCGGTCGCTCCAGCAGTGCTCGTCATCACCAATCAGAGCACGGTTGGGATCAGCCGAGAGGGTAGTCTTGCCGGTGCCGGACAGACCAAAGAAGAGCGTAACATCACCATTCTTACCCTCGTTGGCGGAGGAGTGTAGCGTGAGGACATTATGTAACACAGGCATCTCGTAGAACAAGACGGTGAAGACACCCTTCTTCATTTCACCAGCGTACTCCGTACCCAGGATGACCATCTCTTTCTCGGCAAAGTTAATGGCGACAGAGGTACCCGAGGTCATGCCTTCAGTGTAGCGGTTGGCGGGGAATGTACCGGCGTTGTAGATTGTGTAGTCCGGGTGGAAGTGCTCGAGCTCCTCACGAGGAGGGCGGATAAGCATGTTTCTCATGAAAAGAGCATGGTAGGCGCGAGCGCAGACGACACGGACGCGAATCCTGTACTTCTCGTCCCAACCGGCATAGCCATCGACGACGTAGATTCTCGATCTTGTATTCAGGTAGTCGACAGCGCGTTCACGATTGATTTTCCAGACCTGTATACAAACATCATGTTAACTTGAACTGTTTCAGCCACGGACTTTCTGTTGTGTGACGCAGGCACAGACATGCAAACAGGCGGGTCATTGGCAAATCATGACATGCGTTTGTGCAGAGCGCGAGCCAAGAGGATGTGGGGGATGCAGAGGCGATCGGTCACAAGCTAGAGGTGGGTATGATGATGCTTGGCGGCGTCTGGCCGCAGTTTTCCGCCAGACATGAAGAATGCTGCTTGGATGACGCCACAGACAGGGGTCTTCCCCACGATTCGGTAGAATGGAACGGTCTGGACGACCGGCGGTTACCCGACATTTCCCCCCAAACACCTTGGAATGGTACCGAATTGTACGACTCGTGGCATGAAAGAATTTGCTGTGACGTAAATTGTGGCTCATCACGACAATTGTCATAGGTAATAGCCGAGGTGAAAGTCCGCCAAGCGGCTCGGGTAAGACACGTGAGGAATGAGGAACGGTATCAAGACTTCGGTGATGAGATGATGGTGCTTTGAAAATAAATGTTGCCACTTCTTACCTCTGGAGCCATGGGCTTGTTTACAGGTCCCCACCAAATGTTGTTTTCTGATGACGGCTCTTTGACAATTCTCTTGTCCGATGGTGATCGGCCTGTCTTCGCTCCGGAATAGGCTGTCAAGGCGCCGCTCGATGCAACAGCTGAACCCATCTCGTATACGAGAGCATCTTCGTACAAGGCAGCGACAGAAGGGTTGGGGATCTGTCGAAGATTGTCAGCTAAGCTCTGTTTTGCGCTGAAGGACCCATCTGGGGACTTACAATAGCGACTCTGTCATAGTCGATGTGGGCCTTCTCGTGCAGTTCCTCTTCTGTAACATGAATTAGTATACTTTAACTTATAACAAAACGAAAAGCCTCGTAAGTCGATCACATACCTAATTCTGTGTGTTCTCTCTCACGAGATGGCCTTGAAGAATTCAATTGTCAATTGGGGACTCTCGGTGATAAGATTCGATAGCTGGAGGTTTACTTACTCGACACCACTAGGGTGGAGAGCAGTCTTGTTAACCTTGTTACTAATCACTGTAGCCATGGTGTTAGTGATTCTGTCGAAGTGTCGAAGAAGAACAGCCAAAATTAAGGGAGGGAGGTACAATGGACAGCAATGCAGCTGAGACTTACTTGTGTCTTGTCGAAGGGAACGTGAAAGACCAGAGGTGAGTTGTTGCGATTTAGGTCCTTTCACTGCAGGATCATGGTAGGGAGAAGCGGTTCTTTGGACGGGGTCAGGCATGGTTCTTAAACTTCGCGAGATAGCAGTAGTCTGGCAATAAGTCTGGGGTCGTCGGTTGGCGGCTGAACTCAAGACGGATAGAAACGGGGAATATCGTGTTGGATAATATGGAGCAAACGACGAGATGTCGGCGGAGTGGGCGTAGTTCAGGTAGCAACCCGGCCTAAGTCTAGCACGAACCCGAGGATATATAGGAACGAGAAGAGGATTTCGAGCGCCTGTGGAGCCCGTGACGACATTTCGAGACATTCCACTGGCCTAAGACTTTCTTTGACATCGATATGCCCGATCACGAATTCAAATCGGAGCAGACCTCCTGGAAACCCCTGCAGTCTCGGGAACTGGAGACCATGGCAGTACAGGCCGGAACAATGGGCTCTTTGTCGTGTCTCTTTGTTCGTCAGCCTAGTGCCGACTAGTGTTGGGTAGTGTAGCAGATGGCAGAGAATAGGGCAATGACTAGCGCGAGTTGACAGCCAAGGCAGCCTAGTGCACGAGCGGCGGCGGTGGGTGTGTGTCGTCGTTGGAGGGGCGGCTGTGGTCGCGCGCGTGAGGTGCAAGCTCTGGCTGTGAGGTTCGGCTCGGAAGGGTTTGGCTGTCTGGCCAGATCGGACAAAATCGTAATGGCCGGATCACGAAGCCCAAGCACAGAAAGCCTCCAGACTGCCCAGACTCCCAGATTGGTCACGTCTGGCGGGCAGCATCAACCTGGTTCGGGTATAAGCCAGGCAGGGGGGGTGGCATCGATGGCGGCTTGCTGGGGCTGGGGCAGGACTGGGGCGCCCCTCGTCTGCCCAGAAGCTGCCATCCCGTGAAGACCCGTGTTTTTCCATGACCCCAACTTCTCCAATTATATTCATTCTTCCCATTCTTCCAGCAGCTGCGAGAGGCGCAAAAACGTGGCAGAGAGACGACGCTGGCCAGTGCTATGACGAGGTCGAATGCGGATTGTTTTCGTTGCATGGCGATCTCTGCATCAAGCAGACGTCGCGACCATGCAAGGTCCTTCCTGCCTCGCCTGTCTCTTGTTTTGAACACGCAATTGCCTAGGGAGTCTGGGAGGTCCAACACGTAGAGTGACTTCCCAAAGAGCATACTGTACCATACGGTGACTCCTCCACCATATTATCTTGTCTATATTATGTATTCCCTATATTAATCCAGCGGCCCGAGGCATCTCAGGCACGCATGTGAGAAAAGGTACCTACAGTAGGTATATTAATAAGTATGTCCATGGCATCAACCTCCATGCTTCATATGTACATATGTACACATGTACACAAACATATAGCCGCGGTAAACATCAAATTGCCCAGATCCTGAGGTTTCCTTTCCTCGACTTTTGCTGATGGTTGTTTCAAATTCCTTACTGGTAGACGGCACTTGACAATACCATGCCATCCTTCTTGGGGATACAGCGGGGTTGAGGGGGTCGAGGGGGGTTAGGTATTCCAGGTTCGCCTCCCCCACACCACACTACGATGATAGTAGGTTTATCTACTGGCGCTAACGCATCATTCTTGAGGCAAACCTTTGCAAGTTGGTGTCTATCGAGTCTATCTACCTTCAGATAAATACGGGAAGATGTGTAAACTCTTCGTCTACTGCTCGCGGGACTGGATGGCATTAGTAAGATGACACTTGAACAGCCCTTATTTGCAGTCAAGACAAGAAATAAGCGCTCTTCACATGCTGTTGATTGCTTGGAATTATGTCACTTGGGTCATTTTAGTGCTTGAGCTAAACTGCCAAGGGTTAGCATACTATTAAACTCGGCTGATGGGAAGCCAATTAGATACGTTGGATCTCTCCCCACGAAGCACTATGATGATATCTACTGTCTATCATTGGCACTCGAGGCAGACTGCGAAGGACTCGTCAAGGCTTGTGTTCGCATATCTGGCTTCAAGGGGCAGCAATTTACATATGCGTTGGCAAGAAGGTGAAGGCCTAGGCAGTCCCTACATGTCGTCGAGCACGCAAGAACAGGAAATAATCGGAAGATCCCCGTGTTGTATCTGTCATATCTCAACGGCGCAACGGCTTGACCGAGCTGGATATGCATCGATTAGCATAGCACAGGATATACCACGCTAACCTGCCCGGATAAATTCTGCTGTTATTCATTGTCCCATGATGTCAATACTAGACATACACTCCGGCGTTGTGACCCCGTCTGACGAGATTCCAGTTGATCATACTGTGATGGAGTGAGTGTCCATGGCGGTCTTGCTTCCAAAGAGTCGAAGAATGCTTCAGCCCAAAGATCATGGACGACCTCCCGGCTCATCACTACTGACAAAAGTCTGAAGTTCGAAAATGGACAACCAGTCTGGCCAGCCTGTAAGTGGAGGAAGTGTCAATGTGTTGTGAACGTGTTACATGTACGTTGAGTCTTGTAGACCCAAAAATAGCAGTAGCACAAGCCTCCGTATCACGCGAGCTGTCTCCTCATGCGTTTGGCGGCAACCCGACTTTCGCCTACGGCCCAACCACAGACGAGCCGGAGCAACGGCCCAGTGCAGTATGCTGTGCCTCGTCGCGGCGCATAGCGGCACGCTGCACCGTCAGGGCGTCTCGTTTTGCACACTGACGATGCCCTAAGAGCCTCTTATCTTTTGCGGAGTGTCGATCCTCGAGATCCGTTGTACCGCACGCACTAAGCCCCGTCTGGCCCCACGATGGATTCCGTATCTGGCCGATGCGGCTGGTCGCATAGCGCTTCTTCCCACTCTCGCCACTCCAGGTTACTGTCCAGATTCTACCTGGCAAGCCTGGTCCTTGACCTCTTCCGACTTTGCCCGACTTTCTGGGGAACAACCCGCTGTCATGTTCTCGGTGTTCTTGTGGTGCAAGACTAAGGTTTAGTGGCCGACCCGGTTATTAGGGATTGCACCTCATTAGCGCCTGGGGCTTTGGCTAGACCCCTGTACGTAATCGTCTAAGTACGCTAAGTTCCTCTTTTCAGTACCAGCCGCCGCCGCTGATGCCATCGTGACAGTCAAGGATTTTTTTCTTTAATTTCGTCCTGTTCCGCAACTCGTATGCAGCTGAGCTTTGCGGTGAAGAAGTCACAAGGGGGGAAAAGTGGTTAACGCACATGACCATATTTCATAAAAACCCCTACTGTGGAGTCATAATGTCCTGGAAGCAAACTTGTTATTCTATTGTTAAGTAATTTAAACAGATTTTGAGGCAGCAACAATTCGTGACTGGCGCAATGCCAAGCATATCTGCATAGCACACTAGCAATGTGAGACGTCGAGCTCGGACAGATCCGGAACCCAAATCACTATACGTATCTGAAATCTGATCTCCCCGCGGACGGCCTAGATCAGTCGCGAGATGGCTGCCGTTCCTTGACTAACGGAGTACAACTTGGTAGGTGCTCCGTACTATACTTAAGTGTGTCCTAGCACGATGTAGGCTTAGGGACAAGATACAATGAGGGATCCCGGACTAGGCTTCATGCTAACTTCTTTGTTTTGGAACAGCATGATAACATTTGCTGAATAGACTGTGAAACCAATATTATATAAGTACAAGTCCCGGTATTTATTGTCTTCTTCTAGCATCTCACATACATATATATATATAACTGATGACATGACTTAAGGCAATCACCCATATGAGTAAACGGCGGTTGTTCGAGGTTACATCTCTTTCGGGTGTTTTCTCTCTCTAGGTTGTGTCTCCCTGAAGGACCAGAGCGGTGTGTAATGATGCGAATCTCGATATTCTATCTGGCGGTGTATGGTTAGAAGGGGGAAAGGTCTCCTTCAGGGCTAGTGCCTTGGGACATTAGTAACAACGCAGTGTGCAACATGATACCTAGTAACCAAGTTTGTGCCATTGTAGATAATAGCAGATAATGAGATCGTCCGCAACACAAGAGCGGCCAGATACGCAGGAAGGGCACCATCTATTGACTGGGATTTGTCTGTCTTTACTAATACCTTTTCCATACCTGTTAAAAAATCACCAGCTGATTATTTACAGGCCCGATTTCCATGGCTCATAGCAAACACATTGTCAGCGGCTGTCCAATCGGCGTCGAGTCTTAATCCGACGGTAGCTGACTAAACAATTTCCGAAAATGTTCATTGCTAATAGACATATTTGATTATATACATAATTCTCAACACTGCGTTCAAGATGCCCCAAGTGGAACAAATAGGAGGAGGAAACGGCTGAAGGGATGCCAGGTGAGAAGACGCATATCATCACAAAGTTCAATGGCTTGTTCGATACACTTCCTGCTCTCTTTTCATTCTATCTGAAGCCCAACCTCAGCATTATATTTAGTGATAAGGAGAGGCAACAGGTCAGTACGTATCAAATCGACACATATTATGACCATCTACTAATCGACATAATTTGTACATGATATTACTTGACAATGCCGTCGATTCTGTAATGATCATAGGCAGCACAGAGATCGCATCGGCTCTTTCACGGAATGGCAGGCGAAATTGCGCTTGTGGTCAGCCACATCGACCGCAATGGACACAGTCACAGTCGTACTTAAGGGACACGGGGCAAATTACATATGCTATTAGAGGACCTTGAACTGCCACAGATACAACTCACACTCGAAGTGTCAAGCCTTAACTAGATCTTGATTCACAGTGGGGTTGGACTTGTCATTCCTTTATCGACCTTTTAACAAGATGTTTATATACGTGTGTGATCAGTTAGTTTCACATACCTATTTGGGATTTTGAATGTGGAAGTTCAATCAGTCCACTCCTTTTCCAAATCCCCGATCACTCCAGCGCAACACTTCCATTCATCAAACCGTGCTTGATTCGCTCTCTCACTGACGTGTACGCCACTCAGGGGACTCCTTGAAAATTTCCCAGAGAAATGTGCGAGCAAAGGGATATCATGATTGGCAAATTCTTGTTGGTCGACATCAACTGCCAATGAGCAGGCTTTCGCAATGTGTTTGCGTTTCACGGTAACACCATCTGGCCAAATACTGGCAGGATCGTTGATAGGCCCGTCCGACTTATTTAGTCGTACCCGAGCTTATTATGAACTATCGTACGTAACTTGATGATATACCCGTAATTATTAATATGCAGGCGATAGCTCAGATCACGGTCGAGCTTCTATCCTAAAGCAAACTTGACAGCTTAACCAATCTTATCTAAACCACCTCAGTAGTATTTACTGCCTCTCGCTGCCAACGCGTTGCAAAAAGCGCCTCATCAATCACACCATTAAGCACAGATTCTTTCCAACCTATCATCAACCTTGATTCATCCTAGTAACAACGTCTATCAACCAAGACACAAAATCACCGCCCTCCCTCTCTCGGCTGTTTCGAGAAGAAGCATGTGCTTGGAAATCAAAATTTGCGTCACGTGCAGGGACGGCTGCAGGAAGCTGAGGACCGAGAAAGTCCTCGAGCCATGCGAGAGATACCAGAGCATACCTCGGCGAAAGTGCCAAAAAAGGAAGGAAACGAGGTACTCGGCTGATAAACATTATGAATGCGAAAGATGTGTCCCTCGATACTGCCCACACCGTAATCATGGCTTCTGATAACTGGTCCGCAAGGGTGAGGGGCAAGACACGGGTTTTTGCTGTTGTTTACTATCTGCAGTTTTTTGGTCTTCGGGTTGCTGTCTGGTGCCTTGATTTAATGTGTTTGTTGTTAATTTGGGATTGGAGTTTGGTCGCTTGGTCATGCTAACATGAGTTCTTCCTCTCTTGTTCCTCCCCCATCCGAGCTACGCTGGAGTATTGCGAGTGACAGTTTCAAGGGTCGCGCGAAGTGCTTGCATTGGACGTTCGTATGTAATTCTTAGGGTCGGTGGACAACAGGCGTACTTGCTTCTGCCCATGTCATACCAGCTCACTCTTTGGACTTATAAAATAACGATCATTCTCATCTTCATACCCGGCCGATAATCCATGTGACGATTTATACACTACGTGAAGCAATGATCGTTTCCCAGTTGAAACATGTTGCATAAACCTTCAAATTCGTGCGCTATATAGAAGGTCGTCCGAGTCGGTAACAGAGTGATGCAATGTCCCAATCAATATTCCGCACACCACCTTCGGCAGCGCATGGACATGACATGGTTTTCGGCAATGGCCCATGCAATGGAAATTCTTGGATATGCCATACCTTATCAACCAACTAAGCGCTTGATTATATAGGTAGAGTCTACCATCATTCAAATTACATCTGTACAACTTCCACATTGGTAGTGACATTACCCCGTGTAGCCCGACTATAGGGGCAAATCTCCTTCGCTTTCTCGACAATCTTCTCAATCTGGTCCTTCTCCAGGCCTCGGATACCGACCTTCATATCGACACGAATTCCCATATCAAGCTCCTTCATGTCGCCGACGAGATGCACCGTGGTGTCTACAATGCTGTCCTCGGGGTCAGTCGGCATCTTAGCCTTCATCGACGCTGCGGCAGCGTTCATGGCTGACTGGAAACAGGCGCCGTACCCGGCCGCGAAAAGCTCCTCCGGGTTCGTCTTGCCCTTGTCGCCTTTGCCGCCGAGCGCCTTTGCCATGGTAAGGCCTATCCGCAGATCATCTCCTTCGACGTGACTAGATATTACAGGACTCAATTAGCTTATATATGCCGACGGCTCAAAGCGGGGACAATTAAGACGTATCATACCCGGTGCGAGCTCCTTTGACTCTAGCGTGAGCAGAATAGAGAACGGGCGCGGTGTCCGTATTCAAGAGTCGTCTCCCGATACCGCGCTGTGCCGACCACCTTTGAGGCGCTCGTCGCGCAGTGGTGAGTAAGGGCTGAAAAGATCGCACAAATGCCATGTTGAATTTGTCAATCGCAATTGCCAGAGATGATCATTTCAACTCTGGTCATGGAGAAAACGCATTCATTTATTTCCATTTTCATAATTGACGACATATTTTCTTAGATCAATGTTGGCAATCATATAAGCGTCATGGAGAGAGAGACGTAGCTTCAGGTGACGTAGAAGACGCGATGCCTGGGTAGATCCACTTACGTACCAATCACAAACTTCGTTTTGAACCTACCTGAAAATTAACGTACCTGCCTACGAAGACTTAATGAAGACTTTTGAGATATATTCCTATTATTAATTGATGGGCAAAATTGAATATGGAGGTGGATGGGATTGATGTTACGAGGGGTGGTGGAGTAATTGACCCCGATAGGTATTTCACCATGAGGACTTATTTCCCAGCTTATTCTCGCACCACTCATCATATCTTCTACAAAAATTTGCCCACTCAAAGCTCATCGGCTTGTTCCACATAGTCCTAGAAGGACAGGGCTTTGATGATGATATACCAAACTTCCTTTTTCCATATAGGGTAAGCTATTGCATTGCGTTCATTACAAGACCCCCGTAAGATTTAAAAATAACTCTGACCGGGGACGAAACCAAGATCTAATCTAAGCTGTGCCTCATGATAAGAATATACAAGCTAGGTATGTCCAGCCGTTCATAGAGCAGGGGGAAAGTGTTTGGCCAGGAACCCGAACATGCGATAGTATCTTAAGATTACGACAAACGAACTGATTCGAATTTTCCGATTATAACCCAAGAACGATCTAGACGCTCTATCCAGAGCCATTCTGTAGTAGTGAGTCTACAGTGACTCGGGTATATGTATGTGTATCTCATGGAATCAATGTCAACCTGAACGCCAAGCTGCACGACTCCTAATTGAAGGACCAATCCGTACCTCCAATGTCCAAATCTATGTATGCACAAACTCCGGTAACCCCAATTGCCCGCAAACCCAAGAGATGCTCTCCCCCCACTGGGGAGTCAAGAGAGCTGGAGAGGGAGATCTGGGCGGGCACAGCTGCATCGCTTTCCAGGTGCCGATGGTCAGCCGCTTCCCCAAGCCTCTGGCCCACCAGAAATCGTTGCCAGCGCGCTCGATCAGTACAGCCCAGTGCATGAGGATGAGCAGAGCCATGGGGTCAGAGACCTTGACGGCCGCCGTGAAGTCCGGGCCCGCGCCGCCCGGGAACACGAAGCAAAAACCGCGTAAAATGGCCCGCTGCTCTTCCGCGAAACAGTGCTGGAGTAACGCAACGGCAACCTTCCACGGCGTATTGGATGTTGCGGAAGTCGTGGAAGCCGTTGAGAGCGTATCGCTGGCTGGGGTGGTCGCGACGCTCATCTCGTCGCTCGCCAGGGGCGTAAGTCGATGATGGCGGGAACTATGGTACTGTTCATTCAGATTATCAAGACGAGCGAGCGCCGTCCGCGTGTCTGGGTGCAAGGCAACGGCTGACGCGAGGCCGTAGTTCAGATATGCACGCAAGGGAACAGGACTATCGAGGAGCCCTTGAAAATCCGTCTTTGCAATATTGACTTGGATGACACGTTAGTGGTGGTGCTGCCACACGTATAGACGGAGAATTCCGCCGTGATACGCAGTTTCATATATACTCACCGCTGCCGTTTAGAAGGTCGAAAGCCACGGCCACCGTGGATAAAGTATTGAGCTCGTTACCCTCCATATAATTGCATTGAGAAAATGCGATATTGATGAAGGCCGTCATACTAGAGTATATGTAAAGCACATGATGTGTCGTTGGGTCCATTCTGTCTAGATGTATTCGAAACGACTTGCTCGCTCTGTCGTCTTGTTATGAAGGTCAGTTCATAATTGAACCAAATTTTTCAGAATACAGGAAAATTCAATGTACGCACAGGCATGAGGCCTTGGCGTCAATTGAACTGGTTGGAACTTACAGAGCTCCATCGCAATATTGTAATAACCTCTCGCTTCTGGCTCCTGTACCATCGTAGACCTTTGGAGGGCAGCCGCCACGAATATGCCATTCAGCAGGAAATCATAGCGCAGAGCTTCTTGTGGCACGACGAATTGCATGTAATGGTGGTCCTCGGGCACACTGCAGAGGCCTTTGTAGGTCTCGGTTGACCAAAAATGCATCAATTCGAGTTCCAGCATCCTCCGGCTTTCCTTCATGACAAGGCCGCACGGCTCGCTCAGACTGCCGTCGTCCGAAGTTTGGCTGGACGGAGACTTTCTGGCCTGCACCAGACCTTTCTGCCAGGCATATTCGCAGTTTGCTTTCCGCAGAAGGCAATTGTTACAAGGCGGACCTGATTCATCACACTGCCGTAAGAAGCCCTTAGCCTGTTGCTCAGAATCTCGCGCTTGAAAAGGGCCCTGCGCTGGTTTTTCTACCACTGCTCATGTCGGTAGACTCCAGCGGGCCGGACCGAAGGACGAAAAGGCGTACCTTGGTGTGCCACTTTTTGCAATTCAAACATCCACGTCGCGACTTCTTGTGCGATCTTCTCTGTTGCATCGTTGTTGCCATTGAAAAATCAATTGGCGTGGTCTTTAGAAAACGTCCTATATCGAAAGGTCGGACGTTCAGTGCTACTTTAAGTAAGCCAGCGAATTGAGAGCTTATCGGCTTTTGTACCCATGTCAGCAACGCCCCTTTCTGGCTTGAATCATCGCTAGTACAACCGACACAGAGGCTGAGTAGGGAACCACGATGTGGCTGCTCGGCTTGTCCTTTAGGAGGTAGCAGGCATTAGATTATTGGCCCATGAACGCTTTAGTAGCAATTAGTACCGATTCTGTAACGATTCTGTACTCGTTCTTACGTCAGCCTGTAAGGCCAGGAGGATCTTACGACTGGCCAGGACTGGCCATTCTTCTCCATTCCTTGGCGGCTCTTTTCTATCTCCTGTAGGCATGTCAAGTACCTAGGCAGTACCTAGGTATCTCTCTCGCTCACAAGTACGTGTAATTTCAAAGGATCGGGACTTGGGTAAGCATGCTAGCGCCCGAAGCCAAGCCTTTGCCCCTTGTTCAGCCCCATTGCAGGTGGTGAGCATTGCATCACTTTGTCTTGGGACTGATACTTTGTAGTGTAGGGCAGAATACTAAGTAAGTAACTGATAGAGGGCATACCGCTACATCTTACCTGCAAGAGTAGCTAGTCTTTATTGTATGACGCGGTCACATATGCCGGGACGCATTAAAGATGATTTAATCTGACGAAGACCAGTATCACACATCTAGCCTAAGTATTGTATTAGTAGGCAGGCAGGTTCAGTTCCACCGTGGAACTTCCACGGACTGTGAGCATCCCCCCGCGTGGGTATGGCACGGCATCTTTCCGTTCTGTCATACTAGTTACCCGAATCTACTGTAAGTATACTAGCTACCCGAAGTGATCTTAAAATCATCACTCCGCTATACATAGCCTGTGTTCGGTAGAGTGCCTATTCCATATCAGGTTCGTTTTTGCGCCGCGCTAACATCTTGCCCCACTGCAATGAAGTCCAGGTAGGTAGGTACTTGCATAATTAAATCGCAGTCTTCGGTGGTTCGAGCATAACCAAATACCGTAGCAAACTGCCCATGGAGGCCGCCGAGGCCGCCTATACAAGTCCACACATACAAAGCTACGCACGTTTATCCTCCTGTATGATAATACTAATTAAAGAGTCAGTCTAGGTACTCCTCTTATCCCCCCCCAATAGACATGGATTAGGCACGAGAACGATCCCAGACGACTGCCCGTCGACAATAAGCGTAGCTGTCAGGGGTCTCAGGACGGAGGAACAAAGAGACACATTATATATACTCAGAGAAGTCCGAATGCCTTCGGACTCTTGACCTTTTAGACCTTGTGCCACAATCTCGTACAGCCCTTCTGACAGTAGCCTCCCCACAATATTGTTAAGCTCCACATACAACATCAACTACTTACATGTAAACTTGAAAGTTCGGGTCCAATCCTTTCTTCCTGGGGTATTAAACGTCATGAAGCTGAAATAGTACTTACATCGGAAGTATTCGATGAATACATTTTGGACACTCAATCATTTGATCTCTGTGGTACGATTTCCTCTTTGGTTTGGTGCACCGCAATCCAGCCAAAGGTCGGTCACACTTCTCGAGGATTTTTTCCTTCTCTACGACCGTGCGCGAACACCTGCACGTGCGAATGTAGTTCACCTCTTCGCAAATTTGCGGGGCTGTGCTGCGAAAAGGCAGAGGAGTGTGTATTCTGTTGCCGTTACTGATAGCCTAATTATATGAGGCGAAGGGTGATGGGGATAACAGGATTTGTAGTAGATAGGCGAGCAAATAAGACAAGCAAACAATGATATGCTGCTAAAGAAAGGCATGAAGATAGTCTGATAACTGGCAGCGAAGATATATATATATATATATCGCTTTATGTTGCTTGCTCACGTCCATCCCTCGCCTTACACCGCGTTTCAAGGCGGCGCAGAGGCTGCCTATCAGTATCGTTAAAGTGACGTGTTACATGCTATAATCGTCTGGTCTACGGTATGGCATTGTTTGCCAAAGGAACAAAGGTCTGCCACGTGCACTGGGGGGGGGGGGGGGGAATAGGGATTGAGATCACCAATCAACCATGCTATTACAGACTTTGCGTAACAGCCATGGAGCTCTTCCCTATATCAAACATCACGCGTAACCCACCGGCAGGCTTTTATTAATCAGAGGCAATTGCTGCTCGACGGCTTCCTAGCCAAGGGAAAGCCACAAACCCAACCCCGTCGTCGATACGGATTATAGCATTACACCAATGGCTTTGTTCATTATAGTAATCTCTGATGGAGTTACTGTGCCGCAGATTTTTAATGAGGAAAGTCCTCTCAAAAGCTTAGATATCAGACCTTCAAGCATGGGCAAGGACCTCAGTCTCGAGGCATAAGTAAGTATTGTAGATATATATAAATAACTTGGGTCTCGAGAATTATTTAGTTAACAACTATCCATTTATGTATACCTCCGTAGTACTACCTAGGTAGTGCTATTGAAGTCCCGGATACATAAAGGAATTTTAAACTGGGAACCTTTATTGGTGTGATTTGTGGCTTACGATTGATATGTAGGTAAATTGAGTTCCTACTTAAGTAGTACTTATTGGAACTATGTAACTGAACAGGGCAGTGCCGCGGGGTTTAATTAGGCCTGTATGTGGGGCTTACTAAGGTGGGTATATTCAGTACCTTCGAGAACCTACATAGGTACCTACATATGTATGGTCTGTAGTAGGTATAGTAAGTACAGTACTTAGTAGGTACATAGCCAACAAGCCAACACAGCGATGCATCCATCTCCAGGCGCTGTGTCTATAGGTAGAGTTTATGCTACTAAGGAGTTGGAGCATCTTGAGCTTCTCAAATGAAAAGCAGCCACCCAAGGGAGGAAGGCGGCTGTTTGAGGTTTCATCATTCACATCATTCATCTACATCCTTCTCACATCGTCGCCTTACATCGTCGCCATCCCCCCCGTCCCTTCGATCATTCAGGTCTACCTCTCTACCCTTGATCACTTTTGTTGTATCAGCCATTGGTAAGCTGTGTAGGTATACCTAGCTAAGAACATCCATCAATCTAAGGCGCCTCGAGAAGGCGAGCTCGAGAGTCGCATGATGAAGCAGACAATGTACCCTGCCTTGAGGGCCCCCGATGCACGCCCGCCCAAGGCCCGCCTGAACGGCGACCGTGCTGAAAAGGTAGAGTCGTCCAGCCTGCCATCGTTCGAGGCCCCCCTGCGGCCCAAGCGACAGCAAGTCGCTCGAGCCTGCGATTCGTAAGCTTATCTGTCGCCTGAAGCCCTGATATCTGACCCTCTTGTCTGACCGACTTCAGATGCCGCATGCATCGCATCAAATGTGACAATAATGTGCCGTGCAAGTGAGTAGATCATACGCCCTCTGTAGCCCGCCCGTCTCCAGCTTCGCTCGCCAGACTGACCCTCCGTATGTAGAAACTGCGTGAGCAGAGGAGAAAACTGTATCAATAAGAGCCCCGGGGAAAGGCGCACCCTGCCTCAGGCTTACCGGTGGGTGACACAATGACGAATGCGAGAAGGGACAAAATCCTCTGATGCCAATGTAGGGAAATCGACAGACTGAAGCAAAAGGTGAAGGAGCTAGAGAAAGAGCTAGAGAGACAACATAGTGAATCTTCGCTCGTCTCCACGCCCGCCCGGCCGCAGCCATTTGCCCTGACGCCTCCTGGTTCCGACTCAGCCCCGACACCAGATAGTACAGGCCTATCACACAATGTCGTCGGCAGGAACCAAACAGTTTGGGGCGGTGTTATGACTAGCACTGGCCAGTCGCCACAAAAGACGTGGTACGGGCCATCGTCTCTTTTCTACTTCGTCTCCCGCATGAACGCCTATCTGTCCGCCATCTTCAAGCAACTACATCCAGATGACCTGATTCAACTGAAGACAGTCGCAAAGACTTTCGCGACTCCCGACTGTAACCCGACCGAGGATGACGATAAACCAGATGCCAAAGATGTAAACCAAACTATCTCCAATACAGCCTATCTGACGCCCACTCAGGAAGAATATTTCTTGAATCTGTTCTGGCAATCGTATCATCCCACCTTGGTCATCCTGGACGAGGCCGAGTTCAAGAGGCATTACCGATCTCTTGCAACAAAACCAGGACAGCCGCGCAAACCTTCAGCTCTTGTTGACATTGTTATTGCGGTGAGCATGCAAGTTGGAATGGCCGTGGCCGAACGGAATAGTCCGAGAGTACTATCAGCAACGGAAGTAGGCAGTGACGATCCTAGTATAGCTGGAAGGATATACTATCGTCGGTGTCAACGCCTTTTGTATAATGAACAGGAGGCGCCAACACTGATGACGGTACAATGCCATATCCTTTCCGCAGTTTACACCTGCTGCGCTGCCTTCCAGAACATGTCCCACATAGCCCTTTCGCTCGCGGTCCGGTCAGCTCAGATGCTGGGATTGCATAACAAGCCACCTAATGACTTACCAATCTCTACTCAGGAGTTACACAGGCGGGTTTGGTGGACTTTGTATACTTTCGAGAGCAAGGCTTCCATGAAGTTTGGACGTCCATTCTACACGAATGCAGATTCAACGTCGTGTGATCTGCCAGCTCATGATCACCGGGTGGCAAGTCTCGCAGGCTCGGACTTTGCACTCCTCGATGAAAATAACACGTGGCTCACATACACTTTCTATAATGTCGAGCTCCTACTAGCTGCGCGCAAAGTTCACACTGCCTTCTATGAAAAATACTCGGATTTCTATAGTGGCAACATGGGGCAAGTTATTTACGATGACCCACCTGCACTAGAGCGATACGCCGAGTATCTCACTACTGTGATGAAACCTCTCGATGATTGGGGCAAGTCGGTGCCCAATTCACTCAAGACAAAGCGCGAAGGTGACGGCCGGTATCTCTCTACTGACCGGTCGCCTATTGTCATGGAGCAGTTTGTACCCCCCTGGTTACAACGGCAGCGCCTACTTCTTGAATCACTTTATCATGTCTTGAAATTGAACCTTTACAGACCGTTCATCTGCTTCCCTTCCACGGCCACGGAATCCTCGTCACTGGGGAAAATGTGCCTATCTCACGCTGCCTCTGCAGCGGAGCACAGCATCGCACTAACTCGTATCTTCCATCATGTCGTGACAAACACCGATCTTCTTGTTGGCTGGCACGAAGCCTTCCAGTGGCAGTGGAACGCTGCTCTCACGCTTGCTGGGTACCTATTTGCATGCCCAACGAGCGAAATTGCGCCGACAGTTCGCGAGTCAATTGATTTATCTATAGTGGTGTTTGAAGATTTTGGGCGCAGCTTTGGCACCTCTCTAGGTGCAGCTACAGTGATGCGTGATTTAGCAATCAAAATCGATTTTCTTGCTGAGATCCTACGCGGAAGCAATTCAACCGCGACACTTCCAACCGAGCCGGCGGCGCAAAGCGCACAAGAACCCGCCACCGATCGTTACTCAACCACGACTGATGTTATGCCGTCGACGAACAATATCCCATTTTCTCAAGATTTATTCTCTGGTTCGATGAACATGGCGTTTTCTGTTGACAACTCGGGTGATTTGGATATGTTATGGCCCCCGATCGAAAACACGGCTGATCAATGGTGGATTCATACTGAGCCACCTGGCTCTAACGGATTTGGGTACGGATTTCCGGGATGATTTGGTGGTATTTATATTGAAATGAAGATATCCAGCTACTTTTGAACAAAATACCTCATTCCCGTAGACATAGCGTAGTGACGTGAAACTCCGATCCAACTCCGACGATGCATATCCAAAGAGTCGAGAACATCCTTGATTTGGCGGGTTTGTCTTGCGTTAGCGTTACTTGTCAATGCACCATTCGAAGCAGACACCCTTAACACTTTATAGCAGAGCCATATTCTCTATAGATGCCGAAATCTGTGTTAGAAAGAAACGCTTCCCTGATTGATGCTACAGAAATTTGTAGGCCATCGAAGTAGGTAGGTAGGTACACTACACCGTACATCCCTTCATCACTGGTTTTGTGAGACAGCTGGCAGCGGTTGGCAAGATTCACGACTAACCACTCGAACTGCCATATCGTGGATTTTCTCAAACCATAAACCATTATCATTGTACCCATTGACCGATTAATTCATTCTCATGAGAGAGAAATTGAGGCCTCATATCGGATTCTTCTATTGCAATACTGATGGAATGAATTGGTACAGGGACAGTTTGGTTGTATTCTAAGGTTCCCCAACTACAGCACCTCTGTCTGAGGTTGGATCGACATCTAAACATGCCAGCTTTGACCAAGGCACAGAAAAAGCTAGCCCAAGCAGCAGAAGACTCTTTCAATCGCACATATGCAGCGCGGTTCGGCGAGGAGAGGTGGCAGCAATCGCTGTATCCAGCACTCACGGCGCCCACGCGGTACGCCGCTCTTGCTAACCGCTTCACAGTAGCCGACTTAGACACAGTTTTCTCTCAGGAACAGCTGGCGAAACTGCAAACCATTGCCTTCCCTGTAGTTTCAGATCTCCCTGGATCGAAACCCCTATTATCATATCAATGGGATGTCTCTGAGGCAGAGACAACATTCCCTCAGCCACAACCTAACGCATCTAGCGACCTCCTGACTCACTGGAACCTGGATGCCGCGTCGCTCCTCGCAGTCAGCATACTAGGTCCCAAGCCAGGTGATAAAGTCCTCGATCTCTGTGCAGCACCAGGTGGAAAGAGCGTCGCGCTGTCGCAATTTCTCCGCGGCGATGATTACAACAGCGCATCGCCATCTCTAGGGGGAGGCTGTCTTCACAGCAATGAAGTGAATACCGGACGGAACAAGCGGCTGGCTTCCAACCTCCAGGAGTATCTACCAGAGGTCTTCTTCAAAACAGGCGAGGTGAAGGTTCTCAAGCTCGACGGCGCCGAGCCGTCCTCGGTGCAGACGCTACCGCTCGGCCCAGGTGGCTACGACAAAGTCCTGCTGGACGCGCCGTGCTCAAGCGAGAGACACGTGATCCACGCTCACGCAAAGGCTAAACAAGGCGGCAGGGCAGCTGACGAGATGACGTCGTGGCGCTCCGGCCAGTCGAAGAAGATGGCCAAGACCCAAGTCGCCCTGCTCATGACTGCGCTTAAAGCCGTGCGCGTTGGCGGACGCGTGCTCTATGCCACCTGTTCTCTTAGCTGCGATGAGAACGACGCCGTCGTCGAGAAAGCTATGGAGTTAGTCCAGAAGGAGCGCAAGAAGTTTGGTACGAAGTGGGATTTTACTGTGCGCAGCAGTGAGCTCGGCGCCAGTGGACTCGAGGGCTGGGCTGAACTGACGAAGTCTGGTTGGCTTGTACTTCCGGATCATCCTTGCGGCGGAAAATGGGGACCGCTGTTCTTTGCTCTGCTTGAGAGGATAGAGACATGAGGGGATGGCATTACCACGACGATATCATGATCAACTGGCACTTCGGATTATGCGCTGCTGCATCGATGAGGTTGCTATAGCCTCTTGGGGAACATCTTACTTCCCGAAATAGGCATATTAAAATCTCGATCTTATCTAGGAAACTTCAGCCTAGAACAAGCCCTTTAATGATTTCATGCCATTGATACTATACTTGGGACCATCAATACCACCAGCAATGCCAGAGACTGGGCTTACATATACTACACCATATTGGTATACTTGGTGGAAGACAGGGGGTTGTACAGGTCATGAAAAACATTATGAAATACTTACCCACAGGTCTTTGAATTTTTCAATGACCTACACTACCAGAATCAATAGCAGCAGCAACAGCATGCTATGGCTGGGACCAGGCATTTTTTGTTGACCAATTGTGCAATGCTAGAGGCAACAAGCTATTGCTCTTATTTTACACGCCAATACATACAGTCAAATGCTCTACCTAGCTCGCAGTGCGCCTGTCATAAGATCAGCCACGTGACATATCGAACCTCAGAAGTGTAAACATCCCATCCAAATGCTAAAGGTATGCCTTGCTGTCAAAGCCTGCAATATGCAATGCAGTCTTTGAAAGAAAGATCAATTTGTCCTTATAGGAATTGAATAGTTACACAATAGTCAAAATATGAAAGGGGTACTTCACACACCTGCAGCACTACTCTGAATGACTTCAACGTCAGAATTCTCAGCAATTATGCCTCAACAGCCCATTCTTTATACACCACCTTGATCAACTGATTTTGAACATATCTGTTCTTGATCTCTTCGTTCTATATTCTACGTAGCAATAATCCAATATACAACTGTACTTCTTCCCACCGTGCAGACCTACTACTCAGCTGTTAACTTCACGAAAGTCTGGGCATGTATAGGGTGGTCGTCGCGTTTACTTACTCACATCGCCGCGGTTACAATAAACATCCCCGTCAAAGAGTACATGCGTACATGCGTACATAGGTACAAACTTACCTTTCTTGGAGAATAGAATGGAAAGAGAGAAGGAGGCGGAACCCTGCGGAGGGGTTGTCGCCGACTGTGAGGTGTTTGTCCCTAGTATTTATGTCTTGGATTCCTTCCTTTCCTCACCTTCTTCAACTTCTCTCTTCCACATCCCAACTTGACCACCAGGCCCTTACTGGCACCCATACTCTCCACTGCATTCATCTGCCAGACAGGCCTTCGAAAGGCACAGGTTCATCATATTCATACACTATCTCAATCCAGATCTTCTTCACCTTCATCCGTGTTCAACCCTCCTCTATTCCCGACTAAGGACAAGGTTGTTCTTGTGTCTTGCCACACGAAAATCTAGATACTGGCGAACAGTCATCGACCTCGAGACGCAATACATGCTCTACGACAAGGGTACATTTACAAGTTAGGCCTTTTGACCGAGAATACGTAAACTGACAGTCCATACTAGCAGGTCCAAGTACCACTTTTACGCACTCCCTGAAGTCCATTCATACTACCCTCACTGTCCACATACACAATACACCTACCTAAGAGCCCTTCTTACACCTGTTATTCCTCACGCCGTCATCCCCTACATCTCGTTCTACTTGAAGCCGTTTGTTGTACCGTACAGTCTTCAACCATTAATCAAAATGGATCAAGCGACTTCTACTCAGAATAAAAGTCAGGATGATGTCTGGATCAATATTGGAAGTGACAGTAATTGTACCCCTTACACCGAATTTCTATACGCAAAATGTCTTGCTTTTGAGGGATTGTCCCTCTCCAAATTTGGCTTCTTGCTCATCCACCCGACGGTTGAGAAGATTGTGTTGGAGAGTTGCTCCTGGGGAGACACCAGTACGATCCCGAGCGACACCAGCATGGCAAATGCGCACGAGATCAGAATGTACGACATGGATATCGACGGTCATTCTATTGAGCAGATCGTCTCAACCTTCCCGCGCCTTCGCAGCATCACTTACCAACGCCCATACGCCTTTGAAGATACCAACTTCGGTGGTATCGGGTACGGACTGGTCCATTACGGACAAAAGATCGAGAACCTAGACATAACAAATGAAGATCTGCGACCTTTCAGCTCGTGGTTCTATTCCTTGGCCCCAATGAAAAGTCTCAAGACCCTGGAAATCAGTCTCGAGCTGCTCATCGGGTTTCATGACCAGCCGTACGGCGATTGGTACGAGTACGAGGGTTCCGTGTTCAACAAGGTAGGAGAAGCCCCAGACTACGACGCGGTCTATAATGGTTTCGGCGACTGGACTTTTCTCAACAAGCTGCCCCGATCCCTCGAGTCGCTCACAATCGACATCGAGGAACCGAAGCTGGGCGTCTATTACAATACCTACGAGCGCTACGGGGCTAAGTTCGAAGAGCTCATCTCGTCTCGTCGCTTCAGCAAGCTCGAACGCGTCATTGCTCCTGGAATGGACAAAGTCGCAGAAAGAATCCGCGACAAGCTTCCTAACTGGGTGGTGGATAGGTCTGGTTGCATCTTGAAGCGAATCGCGCCGCCTCCTCCAGCTGCAGAGGGTGAAGAATCCATTGATGATGAGTTGGAGATTGATGAAGAAAATCCCGAGAATTATCCCTATGACGGTTGCCAGGGTGAATCGTGGTATGCGTGCGACCCGTGGAAATATTAGCTCTTGGAAGAAGGGTCCACGGCGAGTAGTCTGGCGATCAGACACATACATGCATAGTCTGTTTCTGACTAAGAGGAGTTGAAACGGACAGAAAAAGGAAGGATCACTGTTACTCTTCCACGGAAGAAAGATGGAGTTTGGGGGGGAAGAGATAGTACTAGTTCAACACCAGTGCTATCTAGTGAGATCGAGGGTGAGATTGACTAAAAATTGGCGAGAGACGGATGAGCAGAGAGAGAATTGGTATGGATCAAAACTGGAGTGAGAGATGGACAGAAAGCCAGGGAATTCGTGTACTTGTATCCAGTCATAGGAATTGACATTGCGTATAACTGATCCGCATGAGACTTCCATTTGCCAAAACGGAACATGTCTTGTTCCATTATTATAGTGCGTTCTGATTCCATCCGCGTAGACTAAACACTTTCGATCCCCTCGTAGATCACACGCACTACACGTCCACATACCTTCAAAGCGTCAACGTAAGAACTCACCCACTTTCTTTTTGACACACAACCCGATATTAATAGCAGCAATCACAGAACAAGTCACTGAGTATCTTTATGAGGCGAAGATGGGAAGCATTGTTACGATCTGAAGCGTGACCTTGGAGGCAGCCTTTGGCTGACCTCATAAGGTCTTTATGGGAAAGTCCGGCCCCACACGCCAGCGCCCACAGTGCTGCCGAACTCACGTACCAAAATGTGGAAAGAGCATGTTTTAAATGTGCGTAGTGAATGAATGACTATGGTGAATACGCTGAAGGTCTTGCTAAAGACTGTAGGTTGTCCAAGGTTGGAAAATTCGTTGATGTCCCAATTCCTGAAGGTCGGTGAGGCCTATTTACACGTTGGGATAGTCCCTGGATATCCCACAACCACCGTTTCAACGTTTCGTAAACTTGTAACATGACTGTTCATACCCCAAGCCATGTTGGAGTGCGGCATGTAACCCCTCTTCTGGTTTAGACAGCGTAATAGATGCTAGAGCATTGCTCTCCATTGTTGGGGTCAGTGAACATGACGTGCTTGTCGTCCTTTCGAATTACGAAGCCACGCTCATTATTATTGCCAGACCTAGTTCATATTAGCCATTACCGAGGAAGATGGATTTCTTGATCTCATACCCGACAACAGAATAGTTCTCCTGGGATTGAGCGTTGGACCTGATATTCCAATGGAAAGACTCTCCAGTGTTGAAAGCACACAGCCCGTTGGGGATCTCCCAGGTCAGGATTCCCTTGGTAGGGACACACTTATTGGCATCGGATGGAAAGAAGTTGCAGTTACTGTCGTTGGAACAATACTGTACGCTAGTTCAGTTTCGAGATAAGTTGATGGGCTTCTAGGAAATGGTATCATACCACGACCAGGGAGTAGGTTCTGCAATTCACTAAGTGAATACCTTCAGCCCGCTTCGCCAGGGCCTGCCCTTCTGTGTGAACAGCCAGTGTCTCAAGGGGACTAGCAAGCACGCTAGCAATGAGACCTGTCATATAGATAGGGGCGAGTTTAGAAATGAACATTGTGAAATGCTAAGATGCGAAGTAGCTTTGGCAGGAATAATATATTGTTTCAGTTGAGGCGGTTGGGACACTGCGTTATGAACCTAAGTTAGTTTATGAAGGGTAGAGTATTGTCTGGTCGATGTGGACTTACTTATAGTGTCAAAGGAGGCTTCATCGAAACTATAGAACGACATATAAACGACTCCGCCACCGGAGATCTCATAGAGCAGGCTTCCGAGCCGGCTTACCAGGGAAACGGGTAATCGGTAATCTATTGACATCTGACAATAAGCGGCTTGCTTGTCAATACCATACGTACAAACATTTACGACAGGATAAAACTGCCACAAGGCATGAAGTATTTGGATGAAATTTATCTCATGATTCTCCTTATTCGCCCGCCAAGTATAAGTAATAGCCTATCTGACATCTCTTAGCCGCTCAACGGCATTTAATACTCCAACAATATAAAATGTGCTTGATTACGTTATGCCTGCTGACTTAGTTGTAGTTACACAACTTATACACGGGCTACTAACCACGTAAGCCAAACCTTCCAAAAAGAATACAAAATTTCTAGGTCCAAGCCCATCAAGCCCATCAGCCAACATAATACCCCTGTCGTAAAGTATTTTCTGTACTATTCTTGTGTTTTAGTCCAAAGTGTTATCCCTTTCAAGGTACATGCGCGTGATTTCAAGTTCTGACAGATGCCTTACTGCTAATGCCTTCAACCGATCACGGCGATTCCTTAACCCGCTAACGAGTGCTCCCATGCAACATTTCGACGTGTAGCCAAGCCAACACAAGTCAGTAAAGCATTGATGCTCTATCAAGACGACGACAGATGCCTCGTACTCTAACTTTACTGCATAATCTAGCGCCCGTATGTCACCTATGTCCCTATGGTCTAAGATCGACTGCTCACTTTCCTCAACTATCAAACGCAGACAAGTCAGGTGCAACACTGCGCGATGTATCAGAGTTTGGCCAAAGAGGTTCACTTCTCTGCATGTTGCGGGATATCGGTTTACAAGATTTGATACGGCGTGTTCGTCGCCGGCTATCACTGCTAGACTTAACGGGCCACAATTGGCCGCTTCGCTCAATATTAGTTGAGCTAATATGTGTTCAGAGACACACTGACCTTCTGCTATGCTCAAATCTTTGCGATAATAATTCAGATTTCCTCCTGATGCGGTACACCGTGAGGGGTATCTGGTCCTGCAGATAAAACTAACGAGGCAAGCTCAGAGGAAAACCCAGAATGTCGGAAATGAAGAGTTTTCCTAGCCGGGGTCCTTCCGGAGTCGGGATCGTCATTATAACAGTTATGTATTATCAAAAGGTTGACTTACATGCCATCCTCATTATGGACCGCAACTAACACGCCGCTTGCAATGAGCTTTTTGATACTAGGAAGAAAGGCCAGTTCTATATTTTCTAATTTCATCTGAAAATTATTATTAAGATTCTCGTTTTTTTAGTTAGTTATTTTCTCTCTGATAGGTAGCAATGATTAGTTTACAAGAGACTCAACAGCAGCATATATCAGCGAACGCCCTCGAAGTCGATATCTCTCGGGGAAGCTTTCCCAGAACGATATAATGATATCACTTCGTCGAAACCGTACTCAATGATTTTGGTATATTGTTCGGTGCCATTTGCACAATCGAGAGCTAAAGGATCGCGACGCCCTTCTATCTTATCAATTACATATATAATATGTTTGAATAGATCCATTATACGAAAGGTTGGAGCTATATTCTCCTTGATCGCCGGGTAGTAGGTAAAAATAGGGCTAATACTAAAGCCGCCGGCGCCATATTGAAATAATAATGAAACGCAGATAGCTTTTCAGAGTAACGATTTCAAGTTGTCAAACTCAACTGCGAGACTTGCTGCGTACTGGTTGCCATTTACTTGAGAAAATGGGTAGTCGGGAAGATGGTTGGTCAGTGAGGATGATTCAAAAGAGAACGAGAATGCCGCTAATCTGCTCTTTTGCTGTGTGTTATGGCGGAAAGGTCGACAAAAGCATGCTACCTGCTTCAAGGGCCCCGATCTTCCCACCCTTTGGCTACTCCCTCGCGCATGTAGTGAAGCTCCCAGGAAGCTTGACTTTGATGTGAGCTTGAGAACAGTATCTATAGAATTAAACTGAAGATAAACACGAACGTCTGTACGGACTGGTTCGGATCTTCGGTATAGTGTTAACAACATTCGCCAGCTTTAATGAGTGCCTACGGATTTTGAAGAAGTCCTACGGAGTCCATCACGGTTGAGTCAGACGCTCCAACAAGGAGGTAATGAAGACGATGTAAGTTCTCATTAGTTCTAATAGAAACGTCACTGTGGATAATTAATCCGTGATCAAATAGCTTTAGAAATCATCGTGGCTCACTTACAGTCCTGTAAGTTGCAAGACCATCTGGACAGCACAGTTCGCCTTCCAATCGGCTCTCTAGCTGACTGATTTAAGTGCAGTTGAACGGATACGACAGCCTTTTCCCCTGCTCTTCCAACTTTGAACGAATACTAGGCTGAACCCACCAGAGTTCAATAGCCAAGCCTGCGTCCGTTGACTTGCTCGAGGAAGACGATTATATATGGTAAGACTACCATAAGACTATCACGATGATGAAATCATTCGCTCTATACAAGGATGCTGACAAGTTTTTAGAAGATGCGCCACAACATATGTATGAAAGAGCTTTCCGCCCGCCCAGTCCGGAGCATCGACGCCAGTAATAGTTACGTGCATCACACATGAAGATAACCAGATTTGCTAATATAGATTGACGTATATAGGTACATGAAACATCGAATAGAATATATATATACATTTTACCGGCCGTAGAGAATCAACCCGCCACCAGGCTCCTAATAGAGAAATATTGACATGCAAGAAGTCAGATCACACCAGATTAGATCAGATCGTCGATGACGCACACATTCGCGCAAGAGGTACCGGGCTGCGAGGTGCTGTTGTAAGTGAGGTCGAGCCACTGAACCTGCATCTCGGCAGCACCACCAACATCCATGACGCCACTCCACACGCCTCCGTCGCTCCAAACGTTCATGAGGACGCTGAGGGGGGACGTCGGAGCCTGCAGCTGGATGGACGCGACCTTTTGGCCGTCGACGTACCAGTCGCTCGAGCCGGGGGTCCAGTCATACCGGTGCTCCTGCCACTCCGTCCAGGGCGTCGGCAGTTCGACAATGGTGGTCGCGCCCTCGCTTGAACCGGGCTGGTTGGTGTATTGCACAACGTTGGTCGCCGTTGTCGTGCGGATCTCGATGTCACCCTCCCTGTTTTGTGCGGAAAGTCGTTAGTGAGTCACCTCGGTAAAAGGAGAATGAGCGTAATTGGTTCGCAAGCCAAAAAAAAAAAAACCGCTTCTTTCGAAAAAGAGTGAAGGAAAAGAAGGGATGTCTACTTACTCTACCGGTTCACCCTTGTAAGTGAACAGCGCCGTCACGGCACCCGGCGATCCGCGCGTCCGGGCCAGCATCCGCACCGTCAGAAACTGATAGTCGGAGCTAATAGTCTCGACCTCGGCCGTGGACTGGTAATCAGCCTGTCGCTGTGTGCGCATCGTCAAGTACGACGAGACGCCCTCGTCCTGGCCGTCTGACGGCGCGATCAACACGTTGTTGTACGAGTTAACACGGTACACGCCCTCGCCGGTTGTCTCCCACTTCTGTAGCGAGAAGGTGTCCGTCCACTCCGCGCTCGAGAAGTACTCGTGTGTGTTAGCGGCTGCGGCATCCGCCACCCGACCGTTGATCGGCGCCGTCGTCACGGGGTTCGCGATGTTCCGGAAGTCGAAGAACTTGCGGTTCGCAAAGTAGGCGTTCGAGTCCGCCGATGCCTTGTAGCAGTTGCAGTCTGCTGCTGCTGCTGCTGCTTCTAGGGGCCGGCCCTGTGTAGTGGCTGCTAGCGACAGCGCCGTGGCGGTGGAAAGAAGTGTTCGAAATGAAGGCATGGTTTGCAGTTTCAAATGACTAGCATCCAAGATAATGTACAGCGAAGGCGAGATCTGAACTGAGAAGAGAAAACGTGAGGATACAAACAAAAGGAAAGGAAGGTCTATCTATATAACTCTCATCACATGTGTTTCTTGAGTATATCGAACAACAGCCAGGTGAACATATCACGAGCGCCCGATCATTATATAGCAGCTCCGTGCCACCGCTATGATGTTCATATAATTACGCCGCATAACTATAATCCCTTGGGTTTAGTTCATTAAGGTCCGTTTCCAGATTCCTTCCTATTTCGGCATCTTTCGATCCCTACTCAAAATAGCAGGTAATGCTTACCACTCACCAAAGGGGTGGTGGTGGTGGCATGACGCTTGTCTACTCGAAAAACCGGGGTGTGTGTTTCTAGTGGAAGTGTTATTCGAAACGTGCTATTGTGCTCTCTCCCTTGCTAACCTTGTCCCTCCAATTATTATTGAGAGCAGAGCGTTTGTCGGCCGTTGGCTCGGCGTCACGAGAGGCATGCTACTACTGGCTAATTCTGGTGGAAACCAATCGTCTGGATGAGCCGTACGTTTGTTGGATGATACTGTGCAACTAGAATCTGGGGGTTTGAAACACCCAAACAACCCCTTTATAAGATTCCATATCCATGGGTGAGGAATGCCAATCTATCACACCATACATAACTCAGTTGCTATAAGCTTGTCGGTCAATGCCGGAGCTATTCACTTACATAGCACTAGTATCCCAAGTCTTTCTCGATATGGATTTGGTAACTCGGCATACTAGTGTAAGTACTCAATTTTGACTTGGCTCATAAATGTCACGGCACTTTCGTTTCAGCCCTTCACTGCCGATAAATATGGAGTTCGGCCGCACTCTTCGCTGCCAACTATGCATATGTTCATCTGAGCTTCTGTTGGGGGGATAGGTAGATCAAACTGGTTCACCCATGTCCAATCCAGTCCAAGTCTAATCCAAGTCGGTAACAGCGCCGAGCCACCTACTTAAGCACCGTGACGTCCTTCCCACACAGACTTGTGAGACCGCCGAGTAATCCTCCGCTACGCAACTTCATGCTGTATCCCGGCAGTAACCAGGAAACCGGGAAACCAAGGCTTTCTAGTAGCATGCATGGGAGATGTCAATGCCCAATTTTGTCCTTGTGATAGTCAGCATCCTTACAGACGATCAACGTTGCGTTCTGTATAACGTTACTTCGAGCACTTTTTCTTCTTTTCTCCCTTTTCCTTTCGGGGTAAATGTAAACGCTCTCGATGCTAGGGCGAATGAGGCGTAATCGAGTTTACCTCCCACCCCAGGATTAGCCACGTGCTTGTGTCGTCGAGCTATTCACATGCCAATGTTTTGGACTGAGACGCATCGAGAGATGTCGACTGGCTGGCATTGATACGCGCAAGAGAGATAGATGTCCCTTCTTGCTACGAGTGAAAAAGCGAATTATCCGCAGTGTAATGTACCACGCCAAGCTGACCTGGACCATACTACACGCTATTGGACGCTTGAATAGTTAGTAGTGGACAGACAGACATAGCACGCATCACCAAGAAATCTATCTCACCATTGTCCAAACAGGTAGCAAACAGCGACATACGAATGATGAGCCATTATCATTCTCTGGCTTGCGTGACACGGCCACCGAAAAATCCTGTTTCGTATCATCCCTTGCTTTAGGTAGGTAGGTAGCCTATTCACGTAAGATCGAGCGCTCGGCTTATATATGTACGACATGAGCTATGGGTAAAGTTATCCTGTCAGATACGACATGATTTCGAGAAAGGAGAAAGAAAAGAGGACGGAGGAGCAATCAACCTGAAATCTCCTGTCCAAGCTAAGAAAAAGAAGGCGTGAACGATTGGCTCTCTTCCTGCCACGCGATAAGGCTAGCCCAAGCCGCAATTTATAAAGAAGGGCTCGAGAGGGAAGTGACAAGACAGATTTCAAGCTTTCTTTTTTCTTTTTCTGTACTCTATATCTGCAACCGCATATTCATCAAACATCTAAGCAAGTAGCTAAACTATTGGCAGCCTATCACTCGCTTTATCACTCACTCACTCAGTGGTAATGAGAACTATGTATCGAGCTTGGCTTTTCTCCCCCTCTCATAGAAAAACAAGTAAACAAGAAAGCAAGTCGATAACGCCTTAGCCTAAAAGCTGAGCAAAACAAGATCATCTTCACAGACTACTTGCAACATCTCTACTCCATACAGGTAGATATGAGGTTGGGATGGGTTAACAAATCGCGTGCCTCTATTTCCCTTCTATCTCAGTTGCGATATTGATTTTAAGTTTTACCTAGTAAATCAGAATTATCACCGGGTTTGTTCACAGCTGTATGTGCCGGGGACAAGCAGCTCGCAGATATTACTACCAATCTAATCTACCACTCATCAATACAACCAATCGTTGCCCTGTCCCTTCTCACACAGTAAAGCAAGCAAGCAAGAAAAGGGAACAGCAAGCGAGCAAGCAAAACGCTAGTAAGGACGAAGATCTGTATCCGTACCCTACCTACTTGATCAGCATATTCATCAGACCATTGCCTCCTCACCTAGGTAGGTACTACGAACATATGTCATTATCACCACGAGAAGAAGAAAAATGCATGTTCCAAACCCATCCTCATGACAGAAAGATAGGAGGAGGAAAGATTCAGCATGTCTAAGCACAAATACAGCTGTGCTGATAATGATGATCAATTCTCATTAATTAGTTCGTATATGCTATGTGCAGTTTGAAGTAGAAAATCGCGTGAGCCCCAGCCCAAGGGTCTCAACATGCGCCGCGGACAAAGCCGGATAACACCACAGAGATAAAAAAACGCTGATGCCCCTGTATACCATCATTCTAGGCCTGCAACTGCTCTACTCGAGAGACGAAGAAGAAAAAAAATGGTCTCATGTACTAATTCTAGTCCTGACTTGCGCCCAAATCATTGCTCTTGTCCCAGAGATTACGTAGAAGTGTGGCAAGGTTATTATCGTCGTTTCCATCTGCATAGCTCGAGCCGCTCATGCGGTCGTGTGGCCGCTCCTCGTGGGCCTCGAAGCTTGACCTCGTCCCCGTTGTTCGTATCGAAGTCGATCGTCGTGGGGTCGTCGGTCGAGACCGTGTGAGATGTGTCATGCTCTGGCTTAGCCCGAGCCGTCCCGCTCCATCGTTCTCTAGTGAGTTCTTGCCGTGGGTGTTGGCCCCGTTCGTCCCGTTCTGTTTGGGGATGCGACGATTGTTGCTAGCCCCGGGGAGATGTGACAGTCGCGCTATAGATCGCGCGATGGGGTTCTGATACCGTCTGACTACCAAGTATTCCATCCCCGTACGCTCTACAAGCCTGCTGATACGAGGGTCACGGTGTTCGTAGTCACTGCTGCCGACTAATAGGCTCGGGCCTACGCCGCCAACACCCGGTCCTGCTTGCGCAGGTTCTATGGTGGAGCTGGCACGTTGAAGGTTAAGCTTCTGTTGAGTGCGCGATTGACTAGCGGGCGGTGCCTTGTGAATGGAATTCTTCGAGCGAGGCGCCAGAGCCCTCTCATCGTCTTCACTAGTCGAATCGTGGGAAGGTTGATTCAGATTTCCAAGCGATTGCGGCCGCCGTATGCCACCATCATCCCGACGCAGCGGCGCGTGTGTAGGCACGAAGTATGAGTCTGGATCCCCACGCCCTCCTGAGCTAGGCCCCGATCCGTTAACAAAGCGGGATATCAATTCTTCTGGGCCACTCGCGCCGAGAGTACTCGTCTTTGGGGTACCATAGAGGCTTGACGGACCCCGGCTCGCCTGAGAGGTGGGTGAACCAGAAGGCGGAGGTACAGAGACAGTCTGGGCAGACATCTGGGGAGGCGCACCGTGTAATGGGGTGCGCTGCAAGAGCCGGGATGTGATATAACTGTTGTGGCGCGCAGTCTGGCGCGAAGGGGAATCGTCGTCGTCGTGATCCGATGAACGATCGTCGGCGTTCGGGGCGCTATGCGGTCGGGAGTCGTTGTCGATCGGTGAGGGTGGTTTGGCGGGCGATTGTCCACCGCTCACGACGGAGCCGCGCCTAGAGAGGTACGGGGATGCAGATGCGCTCGCGTCGACCCACTCGTCCTCATTACCGGTTCCGTCGTCGTCGTCGTTACCTAGGTCGAAATGCACCTGGTTCTTTTGACTCTTGAGTTTCTGAACGTCCTTGTGAGAGGAGGAGCGTTTGATGACAGCGGCGGACTTGGATCGCTTGCCAATGTCGGGACGCGGACGGCTGGGCTTGGAGGGTAGGTTGGAGTGGGAAGTGTTCTTCCTCAGAGGCGCTTGTGCAGGCGATTGGGAGTGGGAGTTGGAGCTGGAATTGGAGGTATGGTTGGTGTTAGAGACGGCGGTGAGCTTCAGGTCGGATGTGGTGCGACGGTGAGCATTCGCAAACTGAGCCGGGCGGTCGGGTTCGGGGGACGATGCGCGACTTTTGAGCTTGGTGGTGGACTGGTTGTGGCTCTTCTGCAGGCCTTTGGACGACGGAACGCGGGCGTGGAAGCGACCGGCACCACCTCCGACGACACGTTTCTGGTGTTTAGAGCGATGAGTAGCCTGAGTAGACTGGGATGGCTGAGCCTGGTGATACTGTTGTTGTTGTTGGTGGTGGTGGTGGTGGTGATTCTGCGACTGAGACACCTGAGTGTCGCTGCCATTGCCAGTGTTGGATGTGTTGGAGCGGTTATAGGGCGGGCGGCTCGATTGGGCAGCGCCGGCCAGCGTATCACTGCCGTCCCTCTCGCTCTCCCGCCTCATATCCCCATCTCCATCCCCAAGTCCATCCCCAAGTCTATCCCCGTCCCTATCCCTATCCCTATCCCTCTCTATATCACCGTTTCCCTCCCCAACCATACCTGCTGAACTACCCACACCCCAGCCTACTTGCGAACAAACGCTGTTGTGCTGCTACCTACCTTTCAGAGCCCTAGATCTAGATACTGGTACCAACAAGCTGCATGTATAGGTAGACACCCTCCAAAGGAAGCCAGCGGTCGCACTGTCACACACTCGTTGCTCTCTCGCTTCTCTCACGGTGCGATACGGTACGGCCTTGGACGAGTGGTGGCGTGTCCGTATGGCTGGCTGACAACACGCCGCCGACCCTGCGTAGATAGATATACCTATACCTATAACTTCGTACAGTAATTTCCGGAGCTGGGCGCAGGGGATGAGATCGAGTCGATTATAGCGTGGCTTTTCAGCCTAGTTGCTTCCCTTACATTCACAGCTCACTGCTGTCACGTTGCTTCCTTCTCTCTCCCTTGTTTTTTTTGTTTTCTCTCTTCCCACTCTTTCCTTTTTGGCATGTGCAAATTGATGTGTTGCGCCCTCGGCTCGCTTCTGGACAAATACACAAGCGGCAAGAAGCGGTGGGCGCAGATTGGAGAGGCAATTGGTTGTGATTGATGGAGGAAGCAGGAAGCAGGAAGCGTAACCGGCACGTCGGCGAATCGGCGAACCGGAGCTGCCCCGGTCTGGAGCTGGGGGGCTTGGACCGCGCGCGCACACACGCTGACTGTCTCGGCTGTCTTTGACAGAGGCGCACGTCGTGGTCGACTGTGGGTTAGGCCGTCGATTCACTGAGAGGGGAGCGGTCTATGGATAATAGGTAAAAGAAACACGAAGATCGGACTGCGTGTCTGGGAGAGAGATAACATTGAATGGGAGATGGTAGTGGGAAAAAGTCTAATGACGATAGCAAAAGTCACTACCTAATGGTTGATGGAGTGGGTACAACACATGGGCATGGTGACGAGTTGGATTTGTCCACCTACCTGGTAGTCTGCTGGTAGTATCTCGATAAACTCAGGTATCCCGCCGGGTATCCATCTGTCTGGAGAGAGTTTAATAACCGATAACGTAAACAATGTAGATACATGCCCAATCTACCTTAAGGTGGACGACTAAGTTAGGACCGAGTCTTGGTAGTCTGGGTCCTTTGAAGTCTAGACTGCTTGCAGAAATCACCCTGTTGAGCCTGCTCCTTACGTCGACACCTATCTATTACAAAGTATGTATTTCCATCACAATCACATATGTACTTATCGATGTGTCTAGGTATTCTCGACGAAGGGCCGGATACCGCTGATGAGTGTCACTATGTTTGATCAAAATATCAACTGCAACGGGGCTTGCGTGTAGCTTGTGCTACCTAATTCACGGAATGCCTCGCAGTTGGTCATGCCAACACCGAGCATCGGAGACGCCTAGATAGTGACAGGTCAGAAAGGCAGACGGCCAGGCCCATCGCGCTTTGTCTCATCGATAGGTATTAGGTTTCTTTGTATGTATGTATGTATGTATACCTGAGGCCTACGTAAAGAGTGCTGGCATATAGTCCTGCCATTCTTTGTCCTCTAGTATAACGCATGCATGATGATCAAACCTCATCTACCCGCACTAACATAGCAACATCCTGATTTGTTCTAACCTCGCATGCCTAAGGTCATCTTTTCGACTCCCTGAGACCTATTTGATACTTCCAAGATAATACGAATATACACGTGTATAGGCGGTGAGGGCAGCACTGGTGGAACACTCAGTTCGAGATGAACCCGGGTTGCAACCTGCTGAAGATGCCGCGTGCACTACTTGACTTCAGTTCCTTCTTAAGTGATTATAGGTATTGTGTTAGAAATTGGCCTCTAAACGGATATATAACACTGCTACCCCCTTGATAAACAGCCAACTTTCGTTTACCTGAGAACACACTAGGCATACAGCTTGGACACCCAGCCGAAAGTCAATTGCTCTTCTAGTCGATCAGTCACTTATTGAATTCTTGTCAGTCGCCTACCTTTTAGAGTCACAATTGCAGCTCCTGTTTTGAGGTATATATGGTCAATGCCGGTGACGATCAGTGGCAAGTTCAACATCGGAGATCGAGGATGGCGGGCACTCAAGGGCACATCCGAGCCGGGTAATTACAAACGAACAAGTGTCAACTTCCAGGGAAATTGTCACGGGAATTTTTTTGAGGCTAAAGTCGTCTTCCAAGGAACGTCGAGTTCAATATTACTACGTCTGTTTGGAAGATATAAATCGCTTCAATCCAGTCCCTCAATGTACCATGCACTCACTCAGCCTCATGAACTTGTCCATGTGTATAAATTTAGAGCAGATGTTTGAACACCCAGCAAACTAGACGGAACCGTTCTATACTGCCAGCTCTTTTTCTCATCATGGATAACTATTACTACCCGATCTGCTTTGGCGGCCTCGTGGTGTTATGCCTCGGGCTGCTCTTTGCCCAACCCACTCGAAGACAGGAACTAGAACAACAAGGCATAGCGGATGAAGACGAACATCCCGAGACTTGGTGGTACAAGGCCTATGCTCTCGCCGTGGCGGCGGACTGGTTGCAGGTAAGCAGACATCCACATACCTACCGTACCAAGGAGTTGGTGGCATCGAGAAACCGTACTCACAAATGTGCCTAATTTCAGGGGCCGTACGTAGTCGCCCTGTACAGGGACGAGTATAGCCTGCAGCCAGGTGTCGTTATGAGCTTATACCTGACCGACCTCATCGCGACGACCGTCAGCGCCTATTTCGTCGGCGCTCTGTCCGACAAGCACGGCCGGAAGCTGTATTGCATGGTCTACTGCGTATTATACACGCTATCCTGCTTTCTGACCATCGTCCCCGTCACTCCGCTGCTGTTCCTCGGCCGGATCTTCGGCGGCATAAGCTCGAGTATCCTCTTCTCTGTCTTCGATAGCTGGATGGTCACCAACTTCCACAAGAAGGATCTGGCTAAGGAGGCATGCGACTTGTCGAGGACCTATGCGTCCACGGCTATCGTGAATAGCCTGGTAGCTATACTGACAGGGTTGCTGGGCGAGTCTCTTGTGTGGGCCACTGGTACTAAGAAGACTCCTTTCCTCGTGAGCGTAGCGCTTCTCTGGGTGTGTTTCCAGACGATCTGGTCCCATTGGGTAGGCGTTTTCTATCACTCTCGCCTCGCTTGTTTAGAACTTCGACAGCTGACCACATCATATCCTAGGGCGAGAATTTCGGGGCTTCATCTTCGCTTGCATCCACACCAGCCGCAACTCGTCCGTCTCTTTGGTCGATTATAAGGACGCCGTCTGTATTGGCCCTCGCATTTGCGTCAACCATGTTCGATAGCTCTATGAACCTGTTTGCCCTCTACTGGGGTCCCGCTCTAAGCTCTCTACATTCTTTAGCAACCGAGGTTCCTTACAGCACCGTCTATTCGAGTTTCATGGTTGTGTCCTTGGGAGCGGCTCTGGTCTTCAACATCCTCATGAACAAGCGAGTCACGACAGAAGCTCAAATCTTAGTTGCGGCCCTCTCAGTTGCTAGTTTCTGCTTTCTGAAGCTCTCAAGTGCGAAAACAGAGACTGGTGCTTTCTGGCTATTCTGCCTTCTTCAGGGTTGCATTGGCATGTTTGTGCCCTGTGTCGGTTATCTGAAGGCAACCTTGATAGATGATGATGTTCGCGCCACCGTATACAGCATCAGTAAGTAAATCTCCAAGCTAGTGATTTCCAAGGCCTTGAAGTTCCGGGGGAAAAGAGACCTCTTCAAGCTTTTCCAACCCTTTTTTTTTTTTAAGGGAATAACTGACTCTGGGGCGTTGCAGTGCGCATCCCCTTTAATATACTTGCCATCATATCATTAGTGACGATAAGGGACAACAACAACGTTGGTGGGGTTTTCGCAACCTGCTCTCTCATGCTCATTGCGTCCTTCACAACGACATTGGCGGCAACCTTGCGAGAAATTCTCTGAGGAGCTTTTGATTTCCGAAACAACTGCCCCTGCTATTCTTTGTATGAATCATAGTCTGTAGTGTTTATAGCAAAGCGTGCAATATATACCTCCTCCAGTGTCTTCAATGTTGGCATAGCACCTCTCATTATTCTATCGATATTGCTCATGTCTTACCTAGGCTTTAATTATACTTAGTATTAGTTATATGCTGACTATAATTTGATTACGCCCTTGTTATAGTCATGGGTATAAATAACTATGGCTTGATTAAGTTATAACTAACATCGATAGAGAACGAGAGGTGCTAAGCTAACCTTTTAAGACCCGGGAGGAGGTGTATATCTACTGCTCGGCAGCAGCTTCAACCGAGGTCTCCTACCACACACGAACCGAGATTGAATAGCCATGAGCTTGAGGAAGCCGTTCAGACATCTTCGTTGATAAATAGTACGGGAAGATGACTGACTAGAGCCGTGATGCTTTTTTGATACTGCCTAATACTCAGAGAGAAATAGGTTAAGCTTAGGCGTTCAGCCGTGTTTCACAGCATGCCTCGCCTACCACCGGTTACCAACATGCATGACATCGCATCCACAGAGCTGGGCCAGCCACCCAACGAATAATATTGGCCGGGCGACACTGCATTACGCCGTGGCTGCGTCCAGAGCGGTCGAGATACTTAAGTAGGTACTATATGATAAATTCGACAAAGGGGGGTGTCAACGAACCTTTTCGGCGTCAGTATGCTGACTGAGAACACAGGTCCCTTCCAAAGCTTGTTATTGGCGATGTATCCTCGCGGGTATTCATAGGTGTGTAACTTGTGCCCATCAAGCAAGCTTTTCTCTCGATGCCTGTCTTCTCATCCCACCTCCTCTTCGTCCATTTGAAACTTGGATGGATTTAATTGAGGAAGAAAACGAGGCACAGCAAGCCCTGATATCTCAAAGACCAAGGGCGCATTGGTTAGATGGAACAGCAGGAGAGAGGCGTCAGCTGCGAGCTGTATACAAATACCAGCGTCGCATTGGCGGTTGTTGAAATTGTAATAAGTTAGTCCGTAACGATTTCGGGAGTTTGTGGCCTCCGATGACGATGGCCGAAGTGAAGCAATAATTTGACCGGCAATGCAGTCGAACTGACTATTTTATGTCTTCGAGTCTCGAAGAATTGCGACCGGCCTGTTTGCTCATTTTAGTGAAGAATGTTGGTCGCCATGAGTCAAGTGTCCAAGTGCCCGGGTGGTAGTAGATGATCGTCAGGTACAGTGTCACAGTACCTAGCGGAATGGGAGGGTGGCAGAGAATACTGTGCAGAGAACATTTCGCACGGTACATCTCACGGTATATGTTTACCCCGGGCTTTTTCTCTCCGTACTTATATGTGTAGTACCGAGGAACAGATGGAGGAGATAGGGCTGGATGTCTGAATACCTATTATACTATGTAGATGCAGGTGACGATGCAGGTGACGTCTGAACACGGTGCCGATACATATCCAGCGTATTGGTGTATCCCTTGTAAGTTCTATGTTTACAATTGTATTTTAGACAGTACATACTGACTACCATTCGTTTGGTGCTGAAAATTCGTGAAGAAAAAAAAGAGAATCCATCATCATGACGGCGGATAACAGATAGTGTAAGCATTAGTTAGCAACTGCTCTTAGAACATGATGGATGGTATCGTAGTGAAGTTACGTAGTATGTGCAGAGTCCAAGGTGAATGAGTAAGTGGGTAGGTTGGGTAGGCTCGGTAGGCAACACGAGAGCCCAAAAATAGCACAGGCATGACACGGGCACGAACGGGCACGCCGGACCAGCCCGAGTCGAGACAAAACCTCGTGGTGGTGGCAACTACTAAGTAAGTAAGTAAGTATGCACGTAGTATTCCTCAGCGCATCATATGAACAAATAATCAAATGTCAGATTCTTTGACAAAAGACTTGCCAACACAATGTACATAGCTCGCCTACCTACCTAGGTAGGTAAACAAACCGGGACGTTGGGTGCCGACGGATGGGGATGGGATGGGATAGGATGTCTCGCATCGGCACTGGAAGGGAATGCAAGATCCTCAAATCTACTATTTTTTTTCTTTTCTTCTTTCATGACTGTTCATGCAAAAAAGCCCCGATACCATATTCAATCGGGCAAGTGGTTGATGTAGAGAAGGCATATGCGAAACAGCCCAAGGATTCTTGGGAGGATGGTGCTACGTCGGAGGTGTTTGTTTCATCCCGAGATCCCCTCAAACATACTTACACGCACTCACAGTACAGTAGGTACAACGCTCCAACGTTCAGACTTGCCAAGCGATGTAGTTGAGAGAGAGTTGAGGCGTTGCATGTAAAGTACATGTATGTATGTATGTCATTTACTTACCTACTTACCTAGTAGATGCTGTGCTCGGTCGGTAGGTTGCTTTGACAGGACGCCACTGGCCATCGTTGGTACCGATTTACACCACCTTACCTAGGTACTTACCACTACACCACATGGTTGATGGCGTTGTTCGCTTCACCATGGCCGACTGGTTGGTGCCGTTCATGGTGCTACAAATACCACACTGCCAACTCGGCACTACCTTAGATCTAACATAGTAACCTAGGTAGGTACAATATGCGACAGTCCCTATTGTGTATGAATTGAATAAGTAGGTAATCCATATAAAGTGTGCTTGACTTTACTTAGCGCTCTGCATTAAAATTTTATCCCAAACTGGTATCTTTTTTGTCCAATAAGAGTCGCCAAGAAGCGAGGAACCCAGGGTCCAGGGTCTAAAATCAAAACCGCCCGCCGGGTTTGCACGGTCGGGCTCAATTGCGCCGCCTGGGATGTTACGCGAAGTGTTGGATTTTGTGGGATTACGGTAGGCTCGTTGACAACTCCCTATCTAGGTAGGTACGGGAGCAAGTGAAGAAAGAGCTTACAGTAAGTAACAATACACACAAATAAAATCCTGTGATAACCGGTATTTGTTGATCGACCTCGTCACAAGACACGGTAATACGAACCATGTAGTGTAAGTACAGTAGTGAAAATGTGCAAGTTGCAAGTCGGCCGAGGTCCCCCGGCGTTGTTGCAAGATCTGGCCACCGGGAGATGGCGATAGCCCTTGCCTCGTGATGATTTGCAACGCAAGTAACGTTGTTGTACATGTAGGCTGTTTGGAAGTTGCGCGCACTAACAACCAACCAAACAGAGCGAGAGCGACCTTGGCCTGTCTGGAACGAGCCGAGAAAAAAAGGTCAGCTGGGAGGGGCAGGCACGACGTGGGCAAAAGGAGAGAGAGAAAGAGAAAGAGAGAAGAGCGAAGAGGGTCGAGGAGGGTCTTGGCAGGGATCATCACGAAAGGTTGTTATGAGGTTGTTATGGGTGCTTATGGGGTGCCTATGGGGTGCCATGGGGCGCTACGAGGTCTCAGAGACGTCGGCCGAGACAGCTGATTGGCTTGGTGGCGGCGGCGTTTGATCACCAGCGCCGCAATCCTGGCGAGCCTGACCAGACCTGACTCCTCGTCTGTCCTCGATAAGGCCGACTAAGTCTGACTAGACCAACCACGGCTTGGGCCCGGGGCCGATTACAGCGACACTAGTCCTACATTGTACATTGTCAGGCTCAGAGGAGACGCAGAGTGAGCTATCGCCAGGGGTAACGGTCGCTGTGTGAGTCGTGTGTGTGTGCGTGTGTCTGTGTGTCTGTGTACCGTACTACCTGTCTCAGTGACTATTCTGAGGGAAGAATTCAACTGACCAACTCGTCCAGTCCCAGAAGGAGGATGGATCTAGAAAACACGAGAATGTCAGCAGTAGCCACACTACCACCCGCTGTATATACCGGCACTATCGCGCTAACCTACCTAGTGTCTTTATTAAGTACATAGTAGGTACCTGGTAGCATGAGAGAGAAAGGAAGACTGGTGAACACGAGCAAAGCGGAAGTTTGTGTGTACTGTAAAGCATTATTACCCTCTTCCAGGCGTGTTATAACTACGACTAGCCCGGGATAGGTAACGTCTAATGCTTTGGAAATTGGGGTTTGGAATAACCTGGGCTCGGCACCTGAACCGAAACCTGGGCGGAAAACTCTGGGCGGGAAACCTGGGCAACAAGCTGAGAACGAACAATAGACCGGACAGATACACTGCATACCATGAACTGTGTCATAATGTCTTATTACTTGTTGGCGTGAAAAGACGTCATACCTACTGGCTGCTTGGGGTGTCGAGGCCTTGCGGTCTTTTTATTTTTATTTTTATTTTTATTCCTTTTATTTGTCTCCTCTGCTATTTGTTCCCGTCTCGTGTTGTGTCTGAGGCCTTTTCTCCTTCACTTGCATTGCACAGCCCACCTGAATGAATGTACCCAACACACTATCGACTGCTGTTCGTTGTTAGTGTGTCTGCTGCATGAGGTACCTCGCTCTGTCCATGCCTAGTTAGGTAGGCTCGGTAGCGTGGCTGACGGACAGGCAGAGACAGGGTAAGGTAAGGTATAAGGCTAGGCGGCCGGGCAAGGGGCGGCCGTGAAATTACCTATGGTCCCATTCAGATGGGTCCCTTTTTCTTTGATCGTCGACGGGGTCTGTTGGATCTGTTGGATGGACACGATGTCTGTCTCCTTGCAACATTATCCACTCAACCAGGCAGGTACTGTCGGTAGGTACCTAGTTAGTGTACCTCGTCCGCGACCTGGCCCCATGCTGCCCATGTTGCCCATGTTGCCCATCTTACCCATCTTATATCATCTTACCTTACTATGTAAAGTAAGTACTATGTAGGCCCGCCCCCCCCGGACAGTGTGTGGACAGGTCTGAACCGGTAACAATAAATGTCAAGGGATCCTGCCCTCCTTCTCCTTTCGTGTGTGTCTCGTCTCTCATCCTTTCCACCTCATCCCATATTCCCATTCGTTTCCACCTGCTACATCACTCGCTCAACGTAGCAGAAACAAACACCGCCACCTTTCGTCTTCTGTTATCCCTCGCTTATAACCAGAAGAACACCCGCCTCTTTACAGTACATCGTCTTTTAATAATTTCTCCCTACACGCAAATCCTCCAACGAACACATCAACACACAATGTTCGCCAAGATTCTCTCATCCACCGCCGTGGTGCTTGCTGCCACCCAGCTGGTTGCTGCCCAGACCTACACTGCCTGTGATCCCAGGGAGAAGTGTAAGTACAATTGGAAGAAAAAAGAAACAGAAAAGGAGGAGCTAGTCTCATGGCCAGGGGAGAAAGAAGCTAACAATATGTTGCAGCGTGCCCTCCTGACCCGGCCGTCGGTAAGGAGAACACCGTCACTGTCGACTTCACCAAGGGCAAGAACGACTTCTTCAAGGCTGCTGATGGCACTACCATCACCTACGACGGCAAAGGTGCCGCTTTCTCCATGAAGAAGGAGACCGAGGCTCCCACCATCACCAGCACCAAGTACATCTTCTTCGGCAAGGTCGATGTTGAGGCTGTCGCCGCCCCCGGCCAGGGTATTGTCACCAGCATCGTTCTCCAGTCCGATGACCGTGACGAGATCGACTGGGAGTGGATTGGAAGCGACACAAAGCAGGTCCAGACCAACTACTTCGGCAAGGGTGACGATTCGACCTTCGACCGTGGTGGATACTCTCCTGTTTCTAACCCCCAGTCCGAAACTCACGTTTACACCATCGAGTGGACCAAGGATTACGTCCACTGGATCATTGATGGCAACCTCGTCCGTGAGCTCAAGTACGCCGATGCCAAGGGCGGCAGCCGATTCCCTCAGACTCCTGCTCAGCTCAAGCTTGGTACCTGGGTTGCTGGTAGCTCTACCGCTCCTGAGGGCACTGTCCAGTGGGCTGGTGGTCTAGCTGACTTCTCCAATGGTCCTTTGACTGCCTACTACAAGAAGGTCACCATCCAGGATTACGCTGGTGGTGTCGCCAATGCCAAGCAGTACGTATGGAAGGATGGCTCTGATGGATCTTGGCAATCAATCAAGGTTGAGACTGAGGACGGCTCCGACGGCGAGAGCGACGATGAGCCCACCAGCACCAGCACCACCGCCAAGCCTACCAAGACTGCCACTACCTCTGCTGACGACGAGGAGACTACCTCGTCTGCCACCAAGACCAAGACTACCCTTGCCACTGTTGCTACCACTACTGCCTCAGAGAGCGCCAGCTCCTCTGCCGCCGGTCACAACGCCACCCCCACCTCCGATGCCACTCCCACTGAGAGCGGTGCCGCCTCCCAGACCAGCGAGGCTGCCACGACCTCCAGCTCGCCTGCTGCCACTGGTGCTGCTTTCAAGCCTGGCTTCAGCGGTGCTTTGGTCGGTGCTGGTGTCTTGGCCGCTCTGGCTCTGTAGATTGTCCTCTTCATCTAATCCCGCTACCATGTTATGGGTTACGAATTATCGAGCCAGACTTTTTTCATTCTACGCGATCCATGATATATCGAGCGCATTTTCAATTGTACAAAAATCAACAGAAAGGCACGAGAAAACCATTGGATTAGCTTCTATCTTTATACCCCAAACCTATAGTTATTCATAATAATCACGGTTCAATGGTTTTTCACAACCCGAAAGTGGCTGATGGGGGGGCTTGATGCCTTGATGATTGGGAGATGTTATTTGGTGCCATGCAAGAAGAGACAAATGGGATGTTATTACTTGACGATTACATGTAAAAAGCCGACGTGGGAAAATTATTTGGTGTTCATTACTGACAAGACTTTGTTTTTGCCGAGCATGTACAAGCGTATTAAAGGAATTGGGGGCTAGCGTTACGTTGCTTTATATATATATATGGCTTTTGACAATTAGAGAGAGCAGACATATTACGCAGGTATATACTATATAGCACATTATTTTGCTACAAACCGTTTCTTTGCCAGCATGACGGCTCAATTGACACTCATTTTTCATCCTATCCTAAACTCTCCTTAAGAATAACAACTACCCCTCCAGTTTATTGAGAATAGTATTAGGTGTTGACTCTTATGTGCCAGTGACTGTTGTTCATGCATGAAGTCAGCTGAGCAAAATCAGTGACTCAGATCTGCGGCTAATGCGTCGTCGTGTCTTACAGTACTTGGATTTTTTCAGCCTAGCTACGTTACGTTACTACTTGCTCAATTCCCTCGTTCGTACGGCAGCCAACAAACCACACCATGCCATCCTACGCCACACCATCTCCGCGCCTCGGGGAGTGCCGCATTTAGAAGCATGTAAATCAAGGTATGCTGTAGGACGTACGCACAAACTTCCTTTCTCGGGCGACACGGGGACAGAGAGAGAGAGGCTTACATTGCCTCACAATCTATCTGTCTCACCATAAGCTAGTCCGATATTCAGCTGTTTGCTGAGAGGATTACCCTGTTGAGTACTAATGTAGGAAAAAAAAAAAAAAAAAGGTTGGAAGTTAGGAGTAATGTAAGGTAAGCCAGACAAAGCAGACGCTGCCGTGCTGCGCCACATATCTTTACATATAAATGCCAAACACGCAGAGATAGTAGTATATACACTTATATATCTGTACGCTGCAAGGACACATATGCTATCTAAGTATGTGTTGTGTGAGAGAGAGAGAGAGAGAGAGAGAGAGTGTGTGTGTGTGTGTGTGTCGCCAACGCGGTATGATATGAGCTTGTGATTGGTACGCAATAGATGCAGGTAAAGCTTATTACTTCTATCCTTATAGGGAGGTGAGTAGATTACGGACGTAAGTAAGGTCTAAGCACAGCCCCCCTTTTCTTTTTCTGGGTGTATTATGCGAATTCTTACACTTTGGGGTAACGTACGAAATAGTCGTAGATATGCGAATGTAGTCCTCCTCCTGGTATAGGACGAGATGAGATAGGGGTAGAATAGAACCGGGTGAGTGATGAAGGCAGCGTTTAAGTAACATTCGCAAGGATGTGTTCTATCGTGCGTACATATGTATGGACGGTTGCTGTGCCTCAGGGGCAACGCTCAAAAGCTTAATGTAGGTATTGAACTCTGTTTTTGATTAGGTACTTTCTTTCCCGTTCTATTGCCAGCACATTATTCTCCCTAGTCCAATTTAATCATGCATGCAGCAGCACCGGCGACAACCCAACAGGTAAACTCTCCTTTGTAATTGGCTAACTCCTGCGAAGCGTGGAAGAGGCTACCCGGGGAACCTCGCGCTCATGCACAATTGCTCGTCGAATATGTCGTACGGGGCCATCGAGAAGTGAAGGAAGCTTGTCATGACTTGTTCGTGTGTTCGGAGGTTAGGCATTTACATGCAACCAAGTTATCTTAACGCCATTTGCAAGGTTAAGAGTCCGCGCCTACAGGGAACCAGTACAGAACCTGCTTCTCATAGTGTCTCTAACGATTGATAAGTCATTGGATGCAACAATGAAGAAAATGATAGTAAGGCATAGATCACCTCAGTTGAACCAAAAGGATCCAGCCCCTTTCCCGGGCATCCCGAATCTCGCAAAAGAAGGTCTGGTTCTCAGAAGACATCCTATGAGAAAGGAACTCAAAGAGTAGATGCCTTCTTAGTCGTCTTCTCACACAACATAAATAGGGTTTAATCAAAAGTAACGTACGAATAGACCACGAAGGTGGGAAGCCTGAAGGGCTTCAATATCGAGACATTTCAGTGCCGGGCCAATACTCATAACATAAAAACACTGACCTTCACTTATAGTCTCTTAATGAGGCCAAGCAACCGTAGTCATCCCATTGTAAACTATATGTCGAAACAGGAGTGGCACACACAAACGGACTTCCAGCGTAACTAAGTCACGCCACGTCGTCTTCTAGGTATCTAAGAGGATATCAAATCCCACCCATCCGGCCCAGAGTTCAAGCAGATTTTTTAATCCATTCGCAATCATGCCCGTTACATAATTAATCCTCCCATTACCTGCATTGTTCTAAGATGGAAAGGGACTAATACTATAACGAATGTAAACGAACGTGGGAGACAAAATGGGGACCCGAAAGGCAAGACATAAAAATTATATGAACAGCTATTATCGTTGGAACAAACGAGCTAGTACAAGCAGAATAGAAACACCGTCATCACCTCCACGATATATATGTAAAAAAGGAAAAAGGGAAGCGATAGAAAATGAAAACATCTCGTCTACCATCATAACTATAGCGTCATATATTACACATCGACTTGAGAATATAGAGCAGACAAGCATGTATAATTCAACCATGCCGGACAAGAAGCAAATCGAATCAATCCAGAAAAGACCTACTCGACAATTGAACCATAGCCGTAACCATACCCGAAAGAACACACATATAACAACCAAGTATTCGCCTAATCACCTAATTAGCAGTACTCTCATCCCGCTTCGTATCCCAGGAACATAAGTCAGAGAGAGTATCTGAACCTCCCCAAAAAAATTTTTTAAAAAAAAAAAAAATTCAACTCAAATCAAACTGTGCTCAAGTTTTCACCAATCATGTACCGGCTTACAATTGTAGTAGTCTAAGTAGATACGACGATACAGATCGAAATTATAAAACGTTTACACAGACCTCGCCGCGACTACATGACGACGGTTGGCATATTTAACCCAACAACATACACATACACACACTTACACGCACTCTTCTTACACACATATCACACCACACAAGATCTACGGAACTATCCACGCACTAGATCGTCGTAGGGAGAGAGGGAGGGGAATATAGACCTCACGTCATTTTATTTATATACCATATCTCCAAGGAGGCAAGCAGGCCACTTTCACCCCGCAACCAAGCCAGATTTCTATACCTTTTTTTGAACGCCCACACACAGCAACAAAAACCGCCGCTACCAATGAACCGCTCTAATTATCTTTTATCTATTAATCCACTGGATAGGTTGTAACTTTGTTAGTTGAAAGAGGTAACTAATCCGTGAAAAAACATAATTGAAAAAGGGGGGCTGTGGGACGGACGGGACGAATAAGAAGTTGCGTCGGGAAAGAAGAGAACCAAAGAAGTGAAAGAAAGAGAAATCAAGTGAAAACAACTCACTATACATGGGCTCGCCACAGACGACCCCTTGATTTGCGCTGTTTATATACTCGTCGTTATTTACGCGCCCTTGTTGTTGAGGCTGCCGCTGACCAGCAGTCATCGGTGAGGCCGTATTGGTGGTGGTGATGTTGGGCATCTGGTGCCGAACGCTGAGACCTCTGTTCATAGTACTACTATTTCCGTTCATTGTGAACCGCGTATCTATGCGACCGGCGCCTCGTGGGTTATTATGGCCTCTGGCCCGTGGCACCTCGAGCGGGGGTTGTATCTGCTGTGCCGGTGCCTTCGTAAGGGTTGGCGGCATAGGGGTGAAGCCGTCCCCGTCATCCATTTCTGCATCGGCATCGGCGTCGGCGTCAGCGTCAGCGTCAGCATCGGCATCACTATTGTCTTCATCTGCGGCAGATGGCGCAGTGGTAGTTGTTGAAGACCCCGTGGACAAAGCTGGCGGCAAAGCAAGAGATTTCGGTGGAACCTGTTGTGAGTGCGTCCCTGACACGCGCTGCTGGGGCGGCGGCAAGGAGATGGGTGTCGCATTTGTTGGCGTTGTGCTTGGCGTAACCTGATCAAGTGATTTCTGTCCGCCCAATCCTGCACTGCCCCTGGTAGATAGGATGACAGACTTCCATCTGTCGATGGCACGGGAGACCATTGTTGTAAGATCCACATGCCGCTCCTCTACGGTGATCCCGGTACCATGCACGCCGCTAGCCCCCAATCCAAGCAGGTAGTTCATGTAGGTCTCTTCTATGGGTATCGTTGCGGGTGGTACAATTCTGAACTCCCTGGGCTGCTGAAGGCGGTTGAGATGTTCAATCTGCTGCTTGAGATTCGCGTTCTCCTGCTTAATGGCGTACTGTGCTTCCTTGAGCTTCTCAAGTTCTTTCTGCCGTCTGCCGACACTCCTGGCTAGCTCCAAGCCCCAAAGCTCGCTTCGACGTTGCGGTGACAGCTGTTCCCATACATTATATGTCGACTGCAAGTGTTCATAGACCTGTTTTTCCAGCAGCGCAGCAGCCTTCTCCGCTTTCTTGATGCTTTCACGCATGTCATGAGGGAACTTGGTGTCCGAGGGCGGGTAGGTCAGATCATCGGCGGCAAGCGTCGTAGCCGTAGCGCAATTGACACGCCATTTGTGGAACTCGTCCTGAAAATACATGTGCAGTGCTTCGTATTGTTTCTGGCCGGGTGGCTGGATCGACCATGAAGTCGAGGTCGGGTGGGGTGTGGAGGAAAACAGAGTCGGCGGTGCCTGGAGACACTGTAGGGTGAGTGCAGGAAAGTCGAGGGCTAGGGGTTCGAAGTCAAAGGGTAAAGAGTTCATGTCGACATTCTGCCTAGCAGTGTATGGACGGTCAATCGCAAAGTCTATGCAACAAACTGGGGATGAGATGGGTGAACATACTTGGCAGCTCTCATAGAACTAAGCAATTCTCTTAATGCGAGTTCGGCAGCCCGAGCGGTGTCCACGGCGTCGGCTAGTCGCTGTTTCGTGTCGAGTTGTATCTTTTGCGCTGCCCGACTCGGCACTCGCTGCGGGCGCGCTGACATGTCCCTACCCGGACTTGCCGTGGCTCGGGTTGGGTCCCAGCTACTACCGATTCCGCTCCCATAATTGCCGGTTGTTGGAGGTATATCGTTCATCACGCCAGTTGCCTCCCATGATGCCTGAAATGGGAAGCGATTGCTCTGTGTATCTACGACGAATTGTCCTTCCTTTGGGATGGCTGGCGGTCGTATGACGGTATCGGGGGCTGCAGATGAGGCCGGAACCGGGGCTGGACTCTTTCTGGAGGACGATCCTGGGGTGCCAGGATTGGAGGCGTCGACGTCACGGTCACGATCGCGACGGGCGTGCGAGCCCCTTGGTTGGCGCCGAGTGATGGACTCTCGTAGCTTACGGATAGCATCCACATCGTGAATACCGTCGGGTGGCTTTGGGTTTTTCTCCTTTATATAAAGATCGAGATGTCGCCCGAGAGATGAGGAGGTGAAAGCCTGTCCACAGTAAGGGCAGTTCTTGTCCTTGACGGCGCTTGTCTTTTGGGTGGCTGGAGAGTCGGCGGGAGCGGAAGGGGTCGCTGTCGTGGGACCAGCAGAAGTGGCGTTGGAAGATTCAGGCATGTTGGGGACAAGCTGACACCAAACCGGAATTGTCGTCGATAGCCGTCTTTGCCGTGGGTGTTGAGCGAAAATCGCAAGTTAGCCGTAGGAAGATGATGGCGGAAGAAGCGGTGTCTAGCCTGGCTTTAGCAATCTTGTCGTTCTTCCCGGTGGGCGATAGAGACCGACTAAGAGGCAAGAGGGAGACACAGAACGAGGGCCGAGATGAAGATGGGCAAGTTGACCAGGTCGATGTTGCGCGTTGAGATTCAGGACGGCGATGGCGCGAATGTGTAAGATGTTGGCAGTGTCGACAATGCGCCCCAAAGGAGCTCACCCTGCTTGAGACTCATCCAAAAGGCACGTCTACATAGACTGTTGTTGTAGGTTAGGCGAAGTCAGACCAGGTTACTTCTCCTTTTACTTCTTCTTCTTCTTCGTCTTCTTCTCCAGTACCTAGTAGTTGGAAGAAGAGGGCAAGGAAGAAGAAGAAGATGAGAAGGATGAAGGGGAAGTAGAAGAAGCGACTTGTGGTAGGAGTGTCTTGCTGGAGGCAAAAGTTGGCATGTTGTTTCTTGCCTTTCTTGAATTAGAGTGAGGAGAAGGAGGAGGAGGAGGAGGAATTGCCGTGGTGTAATCCCTCCCGGCTTTTCCTCGCGCACTCTCTTCAATTCTTTTCCCTGGCTTCTTAATCATCTGCTTCCCTTTCTTCTCTTCTCCCTTTCCTCTTGCCTCTCCGCTGTCGCCTGTTGTTCAGAAAATCTGAGCAGTCAGGGGTATTAGTGACGAGAGGTACACTACATACGTCGTACATGGCGCCAACGGAAATCAACCTTGTCCATGTTGTATCCACGGGATCTTGAGCAGTGTACTCATACCCGTTGCGGCCCGTTTATGTGCGGTTGGGCGTGCGAGCTGGAGGTAGCAGTACTCTCGAGGTCGTGTGGATGAACTGCTTAGTGCAGCTGGGATGAGCCGGCTGAAAATCCGAGTGGATAAAGCCGCGAGCCTAGGTAGGCGCCAGATACTGGATAGGTACAGTAAAATGCTTGGCCCGCTGGCTGTTCCCTCACACACCCATGTACTTACACGTGTAATCAGAGTAAGGATTGTACCTACCTCGGAGATCATGGAATACAGTAGGACTTTTGTTTCTTCTTCTTCTTCTTCTTTCCCTCCTACTGAACTCATCTAATTACTTACTTCGTTCTATAAAAGTTGACATTACCTACATAGTTCAACAAACTCAAGCCTCACATGCAGTTCATGCTTGTCTACCTACATACATATGTATCCACGAAAAGATACATGGCTAGATCGCCCATACTAAGTAACTACCTAAGTAGATACATATGTAGCTACCTATCCATGTAGCTACCTAGGTACATACATACTAGTAGTAGGTTAGGTAGTAGGTAGGGTAGGTACGCTAAGTAAGGGGATGATTAGCCAACCAGAGCTAGTGAGCTTCAAGTACCGCGCGAGCTGTAATACCAGCTGGCTGCAGCTGACGCAGCTGTTCAAGCCGAGCTTCGCAAAGGAGTACGGTAGGTACTTAGGTACCTAGTACCTACCTCAGGTTGATGTTGATTGTCGTGACTTGGGGAGTTCTATAGCTGGGGAGACTGCGCCCACCTTTCTTTCTCTCCGGCGCGTCACAGTCCATCTACTTCGACATCTCCGACTGGACGCAGCGCATTGCGTTCGCAGGGCAGAATCAGGGCATTGAACCAGCTTTATCATCTCTCCCAACCTACCATTGATCTACAATTACAGCGGTTGCGCCCCATCATTAGTCAACCTAACCCGCTCTCGACGACTTGCGCGATCCAGCTTCTGATACGCGACATCCGCACATAGCCTTGTTCACTTCCATATCAAAACTGCAGCAATGCCGCCTGGTACGCCCTGCCCTGCCTGCATCAACCCCTCCCGATTCGCGTCCTCCTATACTCACCGCGTCGACCGCCTGGCTCTCTCATGTGGCCGGCGCGCACCGCCTTCGCTCTTCATGACATGTTGATTGGGCCCATGCACACACTGACGTCCTCGACTTCTAGCTATAAGTGACGACGAGGCATCAGATGCCGCCGACTTTAATGCTCCCGTTTCTACCAAACGCGCCAGTGCAGCCGACGCTCAGGCTGCTCTGCAAGATGAAGATGAAGATGAAGATGACGACGTTGATAACGAGATGCTTGACGTCGTCGGAGATGACGATGCAAAAGAAGCCCAAGACGAAGGGGGCGAGGGTGACGAAGACTTAGAAGAAGATGAGTGCGCCACCCCATACTCACTTTTCCTTGTTTCGCTGTCATGTCCTTGTATTAATTGTGTTGGATTACAGGTATATCGTGGAGAAGATTGTCGCCCACATGATAGAAGCTGATGTACGCTACCTTGACGCGCCCCCCGGCTCTGCGGCTCTTTACGCTAACCTGCCATCCAGGGAAGCCTAAAATACAAGGTCAAATGGGAAGGTTACGATAAGAAGTCGGATCAGACTTGGGAAGAAGAGGACAATCTGAGGTGTGTGCGTTCCGGCTCTTTACCAGCTCCAACTGGCGCTTCAATTTCAACTATGTGATTTTGGCGTCTGACTGGACCAACGTAGACAAAATGCAGCAGATGTTCTCGACGAGTATCTAGCGAGCGTCGGCGGCCGCGATACCATCCTAGACGAGGCACAGACGGCGCTGAAGACCAAGAAGCGTGGCCGACCTTCGTCGGGCACTCCTGTTAACGGCTCAAAGCGACGTCGTAACGAGAGTCATCCAGCGTCAGCATCCCCGCCAGCTAGTGCACGTGCCTGGAAGCCGCCGCAGGGCTCGTGGGAAGACGCCGTGGAGTCCATCGACGCTTGCCATGACGAGAATACAGGCAAGCTCATTGTATACCTCACCTGGAAGACAGGACAGAAGACACAGCACGACACCAAGGTTATCTATGCTCGGTGCCCTCAGAAGGTAGGTGATGGGCCATGCGTTGCTCAAGCACCTCTTGTTCCTCACAGACTCAGCTTACACAATCTTGTCATCTAATTCATTCCCCATGGTCCTTGTTCCTTCTCGCCAATTGACCAACTGGTGTACAAGCTAACTTGTGCCTTGTGCAGATGCTACAATTCTACGAAAGACACGTCAAGATTGTTGCCACGGGTAGCGATACTGCTAAGGACGAATAATCGGAAGCCGAGAGAAAGATTCAGAGCTGATGCTACGGCAACGGGCTTTGTTGTGTTGGGTAACACCATTTGGGTCTTCTAGGCCAATGCGGAATAACGTCTAGGGGGGGCCATGGGAGGTGTTTCTAACGCGTGAGTTGGTACGGTTTATTCTTGATATGTGGGTAGTGATTGATTGATTGATACCGGTGGTGTCATGACACCCTTCATCATGGAAGGCGCAGAGGACGCGCCGCGATATGTGATACGCTTTACTTTGGAGAGCCAAAAAAAAAAAAAGAGGGTAATATAGTCTTTTTTTTTTTTTTTCCACTTCTCCAAGTGGTACTCTGGACCCTGACGCTATCATGCCAACTTATTGCCCCTTATCTTTGAGGGGGCGTCTAGGTAGCCAAGCTTGTGCCACTGCAGAACATGGCTGGCGGGCTGGGTTCGCTGACGACATAGCCAATGTACTACAGTATGTACGGAGTATATGCCACAGCATTTGTGACTCGTTGAAAAAAGGATTTCTGCCGTAGTAGCCACTATGGGCTCATCCTCGTTTCATACAGCAGCTAACTACCTAGCCAAACGTAGCTGCTCACGATGGAGAGAGATTAGTGGCTCAATTCGGTGGCTGGCGCAACTTGGGTGGCTGGTAGGTTACCTACTATGTAAGCTACCCAGGTACCCACCCTGTTTGTGCTGGACAAGGCAGATGAGTACATCTCCTGGTAAAGATGTAAGTACTTGACAAGTAGCTTCTCCATTACACTACCACTAAATATAGCGCTGATATTCCAACCAGGTACATACATGGTACTTCTACTGCAGGTACCCGTAGGGACACCCAGATCCCTGGTAGGGTCCCACTGTAGAACAAGACTTCTGTTTCGCCAGCCTTGCCATTTTCCCTCCCTCTTTCACCCCGCACCAGCCTCGCTATTTACAGTACATGCTGCAGGTGAGATGGCAGGGCAACCAGCCAGTTAAAAGGTGTCGGGTACACTCGACTCTGTCTTACATTTACCTCCTCACTCACTTACCTATTCTATCCATCCACCCATCTATCCATACATCTCAGCCATCCATATCTTGGGCTGTGATTGATCTGTTGAGAATATCTATCTGATATTTCAGAATTGGTTATTTGCATCTGTCGCATTCCTCACCAACGGAATCGAGCTCGCTGACTGACTCTGATCTTACCTGAGATCGTCTGTCTGTCTGTTTAGTGTCGAGTAAGTCACATTCGAATACCTGCGCTGTGCCTCTCATATCATCTATTTCTCAAACGCTGACCGATAATTTGCTGTGCAGTTTTGATATTCATCTACTTCATCCTCGCACCTTCATTCAACGGACCCTACAACGAAACCAGAGGAACAGTCCCCTCTATCTCCCGTGCCCCTCTCTCCCTTCATTCACCACGACTTCTTCTTTTTCCGGGCGAAAAACCACCAACCATCAATCAATCAATCAGCCTAGCTAGCCCACCATGGTCAAAGAAAACGATGTCATCGCCATCATCATCATCATCCTATTCATTGTCCTAGCCGCCATTGCCTTCGGCATCTACAGGCTGGTCCACGTAGCTCGTCACCAGGGCTCCTTGACGTCGGAGAGTAGCACGGAGTCATCCGACGGCCCCTAGCGAGGGCTCCTCTCCCTCTTTCTCTCTCTCGTCTGCCCGCGCGGCCCTGCGCAACGCCTGGGTCTATCTATGGCGAGGCTCTTTCCTGCACTTATCGCTACCTTCTCGTCGCCCGATAAGAGTTATCACATGTGTCGGGCTTTCACATCAAGCCCGACGTCTAATATTGAAAGACACAAGGGGTAACTTCAACCCTTTTTGCATTTTGTTGTTCCTGCAATAAGTGTACACGCATGAACACGAGCACGATACCCTGAATATTTCGATGCACACACACAACCACCACCACTATTTATCTATCTATTCATCAATCTATTACTACAATCTACTAGCGCGGGTCGGGGGAAACGGAAATACTCAACTAACTAACGGCGTTGGGGGCTTTATTAATTAATGAATTCACGCGTTTTGCATTTGAAAAGGGCTAGAATATTACGCGGAAAAGGATAGGATCACGAAGCCGCGGTTCGGGGTGGAGAAATGGAAATGGAAATGGAAATGTAACACCATAACGAACGAGTTGAACGTTCGAAGATATTATATATATCTTTGTCACGAAGTCATGTAAATAGAATCAAGAATCATATTACTTACTAGTACTCAACATTTGGGCATCAATCAGTTGTCACACTTGTGTGTGTGTGTGATGAGATAGATAGCTAGATAGATTTGCCTGCGCGAAGTTAGAATTTATCTATTATCTAAATCTCAGAGCAACTTCATCGTACATTGACTACATATTACTTCCGTTCCCGTACTTATCTTCTACAACTCATAATCACCCGACAAGTATTAAATAGGTATCTTCAAAGTAGCCATTGGATAACATTAGTTGCCAATGTATCCATCGGATTATTTCTCTCAACAGCTACTAGACATATACACATCTATCCATATATATATAGCGTCCCCAAAGTGCCTTCGTTTATCATGAGGTTGGGTAAACGCAGGTAGTCTAGATATCTAACCAGTTCAACCTTAAAACGTCCCTCCCCTTGGCTCAGAACCATAGACAGAGCAGTAAAACAAGAGTAAAAAGTCAAATAATGTCGTGTTCGCCTGTCGAAAAGAACAATAGACCGTTCCAGTATAATATGCGTGTGCGTAAATGCGTGTATCTAATGCGCCCGTTCGTATGACTGCGTATGCCTGTATGCGTATATTCCGTTTTAAACCCCAACCCGTCCAGACCCCATTCCGCAAAACTCCTCAGTACCAATGATCAAATACCCAAATGTATAAGTGCATGCGTTTGCGAGGCTTTAAATCAAAACACACAAGTCTTCGCTGGCTTTGTTTTCCCGCCTTCTTTTCCCTCTGTCGTCTGAAAGATATCGGGCTGGTTTCTCTCGAACGTCACCGACGTGTTTGTTGGTATATATCTGTGCTCCCTCTTGAAGAGATTCTGTTTTAGGTGTGTTCCTACCAAGGCGTACAGATGACCCAAAATTGCAAGATGATGAGTCCGTCTCATCCATAGCTTCGTGGTATACGGGCAACTAGACAAGACGCTTGGCGATAGCACAGCATGCCACTTGATGCTAAGCTACTTGTGAGGTAAACCTTCCTCACATAGCTGTTCCACTTGTACATAATCTGTTCGAGACAGGGTGTTCAGTGTTGTCTCTAGTTCCGTACTCGAATATCATGTCTCCGACATGTCGGTGGCTCGGCGGACAAACCAGCCACCACGTTCCCACTCGCCAGGCTGATAAAGGCAGCCCTCTCGCACTTCGTCACTGGTGACACCCTCAAGAAGCACGTTAAGACGTTTGAAATCGATGGGCTTAAGAATCCAGCCATCAAATCCAGCTGTCGTGTATATGGCCCTGTCCCTTTCCACGAGCGATGCCGACACGGCAAAGATTGGAATATGTCCGTGAAGGCGGCCTAATGCGGACAATCCGCGACAGTCATTCGACTGCTCGAACGCTCTGATTAACTTTGTGCTCGTGAGACCATCGACGATAGGCATCTGGAACAAATAATTAGCTCCTCTCGAAACATGTCCTTTACCAGGAAAATAATCTCTTCGAGTCGATCAAAATTACATGTACGCTCTCCACGTACCTGCATATCCATGAGAACAATGTCGAATTCCGATGGCCTCTCCTTGAACACCGTGGCGCAGTCCTCGCCGTTAACGGCGGGATAGACCGTGTGCCCAGCCTTTTCTAGTCGCTTTGTAAGGATCTTCATATTGACCGGATCGTCTTCGGCTATGAGCACTCGAAATTTGTCGGGCTTGCTGTTTGGAGTTGTCTCAGTTTTGGTTGTGTCTGTTCTTTGTACAGGATCTTCGGATATTTCGAACAAGACCCGCGAATTTTGGCTTGTTTGAGGTCGTGTGGGTTGATCGAAGTAATCGTCGGGTATCCTCACGGGTTTTACCGGAGTTTTACTGCCTAAGACGGGGAACACGCCAGGTCGTGCTTCAGCAACCTCCACGGGACCTTCAGTCAATGAACTTTGGTGCACAGAATCTCCATCATTGCCTGTTTGGGTTACAGGTCCCTGTGAATTGGAGTTCGAAATTGATATAGTGCTGGAGCTCGAAAAGTCTCGTCGTCCTTTAGAGTTTTTTCGCTGGATATCGCCTGCATCGTCGGTAACCTCACCCATAGAGAGTGGAGTCTGGATTGCGTCGATTAGACGATCCGCATCGCTCTTGTTGCTGCGAGTACCGACACTCCCTGCGCTTTTCAGGCTATGTGCGCTTCTCAAGCTGTGTACGCTGTTCGTCTCGTCGAAACTTCGGGCTTTGGAGATGGACTGATCGGGAGAATGGGCTGCATGCAAGCTTCCCCCGTCGATAAGCATGACCTCTCCAGTTTGCGTAGGAGGTAGGCTCTTGGTAACTGAAGGGGTGGTCGCCGAGTCCGAACTTATTTTAGCAGCGGGGTCACTCTCACTGAGCGTTTCAAGTGCATCGCTACTTGGTAACTCAAACGGCACCTGTATAACAAACCTAGAACCCTTGCCCTCTTCGGATTTTAAGCGCAACTGGCCATCCATGTTGCGTACCACACGCGCGACAACGGCGAGGCCGAGGCCCAACATCCGACTTTCACGAGTCTGATCCAATGGTGCGTCGATCGCTCCCGACTCGCTGAGGTCCGCGCTGCTGACTTGCTCCAAGTCCTGGAAAATGTTATCGAGTTGCTCATTGCTCATGCCACAACCGGTATCGTGTACAGCAATCTCAACTCGGACACGAGACTCGAGTACCTCGACTACGAAACACTCGACTTTGACAGAGCCTGAAGTTGTGTTTTGCACGGCATTTGCCGTCACGTTGGCCACAGCCTGTCGTACTCGACGGTAATCTCCATGAACGAATTTTGGGAGCCCTGGATGTTGAATAACTTCGTAAGAGATGTCTTTACGTTTAGCGTCGACTTTGAATGGCTCCGTGGCTTCAGAGATACACGCAGGCAGATCCATAATCTCATCCTTCACTAATTCTTGGCCCTCCTCTGTTTTCGTGAGATCGAGAAGATCGTTAATGACATATATAAGCGATCTAGAAGCCGAATGAGATTTAGCTAAATTTTCGCGTGTTTCTTGGTCGAGCGACCCCTCCAAAGCTATTTCGAGGTAATTGATGATAGCGTTCAAAGGTGTGCGGACTTCGTGTGCCGAGTTAGCCAACAAGAGACGGGTGAGACGACTACTTTGGAGCGCAGCCTCCTTTTGCCGCCAGACCTCGATGAATTTTCCTGAGTAATATTAGTCTTCGGCCCATACTAACTGTCCAATACACCAGTTGGGGGTATGAAGTGGCCGACTTACCGTAAACCAGGCAAAGAACAGCAGCGGTCTCTATCTGGTCTTCTGTCCACTCCCTACATTTTCCAATGACTGTTTCGCGCCATGCTTTGAAACTTGATCGAGGCTCGAGGAAGCCGGCAGTACCAGCTTTAACCGTTTTCTCATAGGGATTTCCTGCCCATTTGACCTCTCTAATCTGACCAAGACGGAAGAACACAATAAAATCCTGGCCGCCTGAACTAAGCGGCACATAGAGCAGACCAGCGACAACTGAGAAACCTGGCGTGTATCGAAGATCGGGAAAATCTTGTGTGATATCTTGCGTAGTCAAAACAGAATTGAAGCTTCTAAACCGCAAGTATTCGAGCATGGCTAGTGCTTCCTGGGATTGCGCAATTTTGCCGAGTACCTTGGTTTCTTCCCCTATCGATAACATGCCGAAATCTGCATCAAACAACTTCAACAGGTCTTCTGATGAGGCAATGATGTAGCCTGAAGGATTTTTATCAGTTGGCATCGTGTTTATGAGCTTTCTGGCATGAAGACGAGAAGCGTAGGAAAGCCGCTCGATATTTCGTGATGCCGTATCACCCACCATTCGACACATCTTGCGAATGGGGAACGACACTCTCATTCCCGTGGGGCCATAGCTATGGCAAGCAATAAGCCCCCATAGCTCACCAAAAGCGTCGATCGAGATGGACATGGATGAACGAACAGCCATATTGGTAAGATACTTCAAGTGGATGGGGGACATAGCTCGTAGGTATGCATGACTCAGATCGAGTGGCTGTTCCAGATCCTCCACGGTACGACAAACCAATCTTGCCGACTCCAAGTCTCGATCATAAAGTAATCTCACCTTATTGAGCTTGTATAAGTCACGAGCCTGCCTAGGAATATCTGACGCAGGAAAATGTAGGCCATGGTATAAGTCACGCGTCTTGGCTGGATCAACTAGCTCAGTAACGACCTTGCCGTTGAAAGCAGCATCAAACTGATACACCATAACTCGATGAAATCCAGCCAGTTCTTTCACAATACCAACGAGAATCTTCAAAAACCTCTCCAAGTTCGGCGCCGTTGCGAATTGCTCCTGCACTTGAGACATGATGTCGAAAACCTGCATAGCGCCGGCTTCACCGCGCCTCTGACGCGCGCTCCTTAGAACGCGGAGCGGCTTGCTACTGATCTCAGTACTCTGGGAAAACTCCTCGGGTGTCGGACTTTGATAGAGTGTATCTTCAGGCTCTTCGGGAATAGATTCCTCGCGCGGCCGAACAGGGTGCTGCTTGTCATCTTCTAGCTCGAATTCGCAGATAATAAGGTCCGGATGGTTTGGGTTGACGTGCATGGCGCACCACAGCTTGATGGTCCTCGACGTGGGCGGTCGCAGGGAAATGCTGAATACGTCAGGGCCACTACTGACAGGGTCAGACTCTTCATCCCGTATGAAATCTATATGGTCAAGAAGATTATCCGTCTGTTCATCTGACAAGATATCGGTGAAGCTTCCGAGCTTGAACAGATCCCCAGGCGAATAACCGATGATCTTTTTTGAATTTTCGCTCACTATGCGGACAGGGAATCGACCATCTGCTTCTTCTCGCAACGCGACAAGAAGGCCAAAGCCTTGCACAGCGCCCGGGGTATGAATGGGTTCATCCTCACAACGCTGGAGAGTACCATCGCAGCCAGTTATCATAGCATGACCGTCGTCAGTCATGACATGTCGGAAGCGAGTCGTCATCAGGCCTTCGTTTAGTTCGCTGGGGGTGCTGCTGCGCGAATCGCCAAGTTGGCTACCTCCCCCGTCTGTGCCAGACCTAGTTCCGCCTAGGCTCGTCCTCACCGACTTATCGTCGGGAATACTATCACCATCATTGAACAGGGGCAGTGTCGCCGGAGCGAGTGGCGGACCAGCGTAGGAGGAGGAGGAGGTATTGGTATTCTTTCGACTTCGTCGCGAACCACCTAGAGGGACCCTGTCCCTTGGCGAGGATGGGGAAAGGGTGGCTGCCCGACGTGGTGGGTTTGATGCATCGCTCACAATGCGAGGGGTACTCGGGCGACGTCGGCCGTCCCACGTTGAGTCGGACCGCGGGAAATAGTCGCCACCACCGTGCTCCCGTGAGTGCATCCATGGCGTTGGCTGGGACTCGTCAACACGAATGGCAGATCGGATAGGGAAGACACGGTCGGAAGGATCAGCCTTGTTGTTGTTCTTGTGATTGCTATTGTTTTTGCTACTGCTGCTCAAGCCACTATCCTGTTGTCGGTGGTCCACTTCTTCGTGGGCAGATGCTGTGGCATCAGCTATGGGCGGTTCATGATGAAGTGTAGCAGAGGTAGTAGAAGCAGAGGCAGAGGCAGAGTCCGAGGTAGTGGGAGCGGGCGCCTGAGAGGGAGTATCGATGGCATAATCGGCAGTGTCGACGGCGGCGGCAGGGTCTTCGGCTAGTTGTTGGGATTGCTGAGGCGTTAGCGATTCCGGCTGTGATGATGGTCCTGATTCTACTGGCTGTGGCGGCCTGCCTGCCCCGTCATGACCAGATTCCATCACCGGTTATGACAGGTCAAGTGTGTCTCCGAGGGTGAGAACAGAACAAGCCCCGCAATGCCGTCGGTCAAATATGTCCGTCAATATGCTGTACCACGGCACGATCTCCAGAGAGGATTCCAAGATGGCTCCCAACTCTGCCTCGATCGGATGGTAGGCTAGATTCTCAGCCGATGACGACCTAAAAGCCGTGTGCTTGAAGCAATCAATGTGTGGCGTGTAATAGGAGCGGGGGGATGATGTATAATAGCCCGGAGGTGCAGGGCGAGGGTAGGGAATTGTGCGTGTGTGCGCCTGGCCCGGTGGGTGTGCTGAAAGTACTGATCCACGGATTAGGCACTGGAACAAGGGGGGGAAAGTCCAACTACGGACGCGGGGTGTGTGGTGTGTGTGTAGTAGTTGCAGTCCAACTGTCGCGAGAACCAGCAAAAGACGACTGATCTGACGATACCCATCAATTCCCAGACCGGGCCAGATCAGACAAGACAAGACAAGACACGGTCGCACTATTCAAAAGAGTACTAAGTATCTACCATAGTATTAAACATACATACCGGTAGCTTATGTTAAACATAGCTAACATTCGACCGACAGAGAGCGGAGTGAGTGAGTGACCATTGAGGACATTTCGCATGCATGCATGCATGGGCAGAAGCATGGAGCATGGGTAAGCGGACCAGAAGCTCAGCGATGGACGACAAGTGGTCAAGCCTGGTCGAGGTATAGTACCAGTAGACTAGCAGTCCGTCCACCTAAGTGGCAACGTGATGTGCAGACGGTGCAACACCCTTGTCGACACCCTTGTTCGCCTGTCTGGCCTGTGCAGTGCCTGTGTATGTACCAGTATGTGGATGTCTGGTGGAAATCTGGTGGATGTATGGGATGGTGAGGATGAGGATGGGAAGGGCGCTATTTCTCGGTGCCGGGACAGTACTGTACATACCTACCTGGTGGTACCTACCAGACCTACCTACCTGAGCACTCGACGTCGTGCCTCTCGAGTAAGTCTATCTACGGTATCCATACTCACTCGCCATATGCGCATCTCTACCCGCATGTCCACTGAGTATCTACTGCGCTTCTTGTTTCTGGGTCGTTCGTTTGGTGGCCTGCTCCCCTCGCGCACGAGAATCGCATACACAGTTCTCCGTACGAAGTACAGATAGATAGACAGGCATAGCCTGGGGGGTCGAAACGGAGCAAGCCTCCAAGCCAGCCACATCTAGATTGCCTAGTTCCCTGCTCAAGTGAACTTGGATGCCGATCATGGCCCAAACGATATGTGGTTTTAGCTTACAAATTCTGAAATTCGATGCTTCACGTAGCGTAATCCTCCATGGGCAAGTCGTAGTAGTACCTAGTTTGGTCGTCGCCTCTATCCTCTTCGTGGTTAGTACCTAGGTAGTGTTTGTTGTATGATAAGTATGCGCCACACCGCTAGGTAACCCCATCATTACCTCCTAGGTACCGAGACGGTGAATAGCCATCCCCATCCCACAACGCATTATTTTCCGATGTCCAAGTCGGACAGCGACGACTCGCCATCGAAGAGCTACCGTAGTCTCTTGACTCGCTGTTCTTCCATGGGCATCATACTATGTAGACACACGAGAAATGCTACTTGAGCCTTACAGGTACCCGATAGATAGTACTACCGCTAGTTTCAGTAGTTTAATTGAAGGGTTCGAGGCGTCAGAGGCGTCAGAGGCGTCATCGAGTCAGACTACGAGTTCCAACTTCAGAACTGCATCATGACCTGACTATAAAGATATATGGCCTCATTGCCCACATTGCTATATGGCTTCTTGCCCTACTCTATCTCTGTCTCGAAACCCTCAATCATAATACGTTCCTGAATCCAAAGCCCTCATTTTCGAACTCCGTCGAGCCAGGTTTGCACATGCTTCCGTTTTGCCTACTTTCCGCGTCTCTACGCTCGAATGTCCTATTTTCCCATGCTAGATAAAACCGAAGCGTGAGGGCGAGTAGGGCATTGAAGAACTGCCATATCAGGTTGTGTTAGTCCGGTTCTTTATTGCATACTTCCAGATTCACACAGATTCTGGTAATCGTGTTTCTGTATTTTAAAGGTTCACATACTATAGCAACCGTTAGCTCTGCAAGACAATCGATCTCTCTACCAACACCAGGTCTCGCAACCAGCACAGCAGGTTTTGATACGTACCCATGAAGGCGGCGCAAATACTCATACCCTTGACATAGTATGGCTGCTCGCGCTTGGGGAAAACTGATGTAGTTTCAAGGATCAGCAATCGCCATAGCGGGTATGGCGCAGAAAAGTCTCAGAAAGTCTCAGAGTACGGGAGGCACCTTGAGACATGATTTTCCCGAGATTCAAGGACATATCCATTGGTGAAGGCAAGGAAAAGAAAAAGCACGACACTGAATGCCACTTACGTCGCGTGCCTAGGAGTGGCCCTGTTTGACCTATGATGTTTAGCAGCGCAACAGCGGCACCCCGCTTGGAATCGCTGCCTTGGTTGTTGATCGTCCATGGGAGAATATTGGCGATACATGGGAACACACCCGCAGCCGCTAGGAACACTGCAAAATAACGCACTCCCGTGCTCTCACACGTGGCAAGAATGATGTACCCGACTCCTCCAACTAAAGAAAGCACGACAAGCATCAGTCCGCGCTGCTGAGTCCTGTCTGCTATCCAAGTTGTCGTTACACAGACAATAAAGGCCAGCACATACTACAGACTCTGGTCAGTGATTGCCTGTTTGTAGGCCATCTACAGAGCTTCCAAATCCGTTGAAATACCCCCTTACAATCACAGATGGGTGAAGCACGGCTAACATGGCTCGGATCACTACTTACAGGGGGCGCGCTAAGACCTTGCGCGTTGATAGCTGTGAAACCCATGCCCTCCAGAATAACTGGGAGAAAAACAGGTAAACTGCTGTAGGAAACTAAGAGAGAGAAAAAATGTCTCAAAGTAAGCACACAATAACCAATGGATCACAGTCAGGCTAGCGTCCAGCTTACCGTTGCAGCTAAAGTACATCAATGGTGGTATCCACGTCTTGATATTCTTTAGGGAGTGAAACGTGTCTTTCCAGTCGATGTGTCCAATGCGCGCGCTGCCTTCACTTCCTGTCTGCTGCAGTGCCCGGGTTTTAGCAATCTGTTTCTCTTCTTTAGTCAGAAAGCGAGCTGTGTCGGCCGAGTCGGGCATATATCTGAACGCTACGAATGCGAGCAGAACGGAAGGAACACCTTCGACAATAAAGAGCAACCTCCAGTTGGCGATAGCAGCATGCCCGGAGGTAATCCCATATGCGAGGGCCCCAGCAAAAGTTGTGGCTAAAGGTGCCGCGGAAACATAGAGACCGCATCGCAGTCCCAGCTCGTTCCTCTTGTAGAAGAATGAGAGCAAGTACGGAATACCAGGTGCGAAGGCTGCCTCTGCAGTGGCAAGGAAGAAGCGGCTTGCCAATAAACCAGACCAGTTGTACGCAGTGGCTTGTAGCGTGGATGCTATTCCCCTTGAGACAGGAGTGAGCTTTGATGTCTCGGTGATGTCTCGGTGACGTCTCTAAGAGCGAGAGGATAACTCACCAAACAAGGACACAGATGAATGCCCACCAATGCCTTTACCCTGACAATCAGCAGCCTATTCAAGTTGGCTTAGTATCAAGGGTGTGAACGAACGGCGGGACTAATTTCCACATCAATGCGGCCCACTCAAAAACGACTGTCGTAGAAGGAGTGTCAGAAAAGATGAGTTGGCGGAGGTTAGACACGCAAGTGATAACACTGACTATAGGGAATGTAAAATATCGTCAAAAGCCACTGCATAATTTGTTAAGCCTAGCCTCGGATTTTCAACGCCCTCAGAAGTCTAACTCACTTGATATTGGTAGTCGTTAAGACCCAAGTCTTTGCCCTGGCAGTAAAGTTGTTAATTAGACCGACAGCTTAGATTTCAAAACAGTTGCCTTGATACGAGGCGATGTGCTTACCATCCCAGCCAGTTGAGCATTTCCAATGTTGGACCTATCCAGGAACGCGACTAGGTCTGCCGACTCTTAGTCGCTCACTCCATCTCATCTGTGGCAATATACCTACGTACATAAAGCTGTAACAAGTGGAATCAGACGAAGGTCTATTTTTCTCTACTCGACAGGACAGTTAGCAGCCACACAAGGCAAGGCATCCCGAGCATCTAGAGGTGAATGATAGCACACGACATATTTGAATTACCGGACAGCGTGTATGGACACACCATATATGAGAGAAGGGGATGAAAGAGAGGGAAGCGTAGCGTGCGGGCCAAGTTGTCAAACTTTGAGATTCATACCACAACACGTCGCTCAAGGGCCGGATCAATCTGAAGCTCGGACTCGGCAGGTTGAAGATGATCCACTGAACCATCGGCCCTCCAGCTCGCCGCCGGGTCAGGCCCAGGAGGCGCGTTGTTGTGAGCCGCATCCATCATGATGCTTCTGTACGGACAATTAAAGTGACTCCGAAGACGTCAACATGAAAACCATAAGATTGAATAATCTTGGTTGGCGGTCAGCCGCATCCAGCGGAAATACCGACTTCGTCATCGGCGGCCGGGCATACGAAGTAAGTAGAATTAGACAAGGCCGCCGAAAACCGGGGATCATCGGCTTTAGGGCCAGCGAGTTGGGGAAGCGAACAATTCACTTTACCTCTCTAGGAAAGCAGTCGGTAAGGTGGTGGGGGTGTGCATCTGCACCGAAAATGCTTGACCTTACATCAATCACGTCACATCACATTTATCTAATCCATGGTAGAGTAGAGAGTTGCAGCTCACCACTGGCAGGGCCGTCCGTTATTGGCATCGCTAACCCTCGTCGCGTCTACGTAGTAGGTTACAGACTTGTGGATATGCCAATCGTGCGAGGACCTTGAGTAGGTACATACATACATAGTATAATCAACCCGAGCATATCAATCATCAATCGGATAGCTTTACAGGCCTTAGGCTCTTGTATTGTCACCAAAGCAGAGACGATTGTGATATACTCTACTATATATGTCTCGGCAGCTTCGATCACAGGTGCTATCAGCGGTATGTCAATGATCTTTGAGATCCAATTCTAACCGACAATACAAAATTGAACGGACTGAGTTTAAAAGCACGGCAGTTGGTCCCTGTCTGATTCTGTAAAGTACCTTAACCTTATTACTTTATCTAGCTTAGCACCCGTGATCTCAGCACATCCCTAGGGCCACCAACCCCTCAGTAAGCATGTACCTACATACCGGTACGTGTACTCTTACTCTACACTACGATAGGACACTCAGATGAGTGCCTCATAGTCATAGACACAAGCAATTTATAGCATATGTGAGAATACCTGGGCACCATATCATTGCGAAGGAGAGCAGCTATTGCCGGTTATCTATAAAGACATTGTTGCCCAAGGGGCAGCCTATTCAGATGGGCAAAGACGCAATTCCGAAGAATTGGCCGCCAACCGTCCCTTACCTCACCCATCCTTCCTTCGCGCCCCATGTCACCAAGACACAGCTCGAGGCGCTTCGGATATGTTCACCAGACCTCACGGCGTCAATACCGGCCAACTTCCCTAGAGGACCTTGCTCCTTGGTGAGGATAATCCCCATTGGTGACCCCTCGCATCCGGCACACGGCCAAGCCGGACTGTTCGCAGCGCGCCACCTCGAACCGGGCACGCTGATCGTCCCTTACTATGGCATCGTCCACTCGTCACTCCCGCCTCATAACCTCGGCCATGAAAAGTCAGATTATGATCTATGGTTGAACAGGGAGATCAATGTTGCTGTCGATGCCGAGAAGGCTGGGAACGAGGCCCGTTTTGTAAATGATTACCGTGGCGTCCGCGAACGCCCCAACGCTGAATTCAAACTATGCTGGGATGCGCGAAGTGGTCAGCAATGCAGTGAGTGAAAAGACAGATGCTACGCCGCCTTTTGTACGGGACAACGTCATTGATGCTAGCGGCTGCAGTGGCAGTGTTTGTGCTGCCATCGGGAAAGAATGCTCCTACGAAGGCGAAGGCCGGTGCCGGTGCCGGTGGCATCGCGAAAGGAGCCGAGATATTGGTCAGTTACGGCAAGGGGTTCTGGTCGAAGAGAATGGAGGAGAACGAAGCCTTGGCGGAATGATAAGATGCTTGATCGTATATGAATCGATAACTGGACTCTGGAAAGGGACCAGCTATTTCACGGGTCATCGTAGTCGGCCGAGGGGTGATACTCAGCTCGGACAACAAGCCATGCGGCGTCGGCTTCACGGCCGCTGAGAAAATATCATTGGTGCTACGTAGCTATTTACGGCCAGTAATGTACCAACACCCGGCAGGCTTGGAAGCTCCTAACCTAGGTGAGGGGACCAGGTGTGAAATCCCCAATTGTTGATACGGGCATGGATAGTGACGTTCGGGACGTCGCATTCGGACATTCAAGAATGGCCGGTTAACACGGCTCGGTAGGAGGCCAATATAATTGCCATGTGCCAATCCATGCATGGCGAAGGAAGACAATATAGAGGTGGTAGTCGTAAATTAAAGTAGCAACGAGCCGTTCCTCTCTTAGACGGCTGGAAGTACAGCTTGCCTGTTCCTCTATCGAACGGCGTTAACACGACAGAGACAGAGGGATACAAACACGTACAACACACGCACACACATACATATAGGGGGAGAGACAGATAGACAGACAGAGAGAGAGAGAGAGTTAAGAAAAGCCACTGTATTCATGTAAAGCTGTTGTGGCAGCATGCCTAACGTGCTATCAGAGGCAATTTGGATGATTAGGCTCCTCTCTCGAGTCTTTCCAATCGTGTAATCTTTTCCCACCTACGAACGTCAGAGGCGTATTTCATAAATCCTAGCTACATAAAAGAGAACAGCTGAACGTTCTCAGACACAACAACCTCGAGATTCTGATATCCTATAGTACCTAGGTAGGGCTGGTAGGTATCTGCAATGCACTCCAGTGACAAGTCCCTTGCCGGCTAACTGTATGCAGGCGGGGATAAGAGTGATATAGGGCTCTGCATGTACCTCGGCCCCCCCCGTCGGTTAGCTAGGTACTTCGAGTTAACCATCGCCTTTTTAGCACATTTTGTGCCTCCGGGCTGCAGTGCGTCTTCCTGCCACACACGCAAAATTCTTTTTCCTCTTCCTCCCCCATCTTGCACTGCCCGGTCGGCCCCAATTGCCAATTCCACGTAACAAAGGAAAAAGTAATTCGCCGGAGGCCAGAGTCAACCGCCTCGGTCGTTCGAGTTCTTCCTCCTCCGCCTCCGTGCCGCCCCGAAATCCAAGCCCACCAAAGCCCTCCTTTTTCCTACATGTATCTGCGAGCTGGGAACTTTCCTTTCGACTTTTTGGCGGTTGTGGGGGGATCATCGCTTCGAGGTTCGTCATGCCTAGTCGCAACACTGCCTTTTCATCTTCTCCCTTCTACAATTCTTTCTTGCCGATGATACCTATCAACGCGTCTCGACGTGCCCGCCGTTGCTATGGTGTTGGTTGGGTGCCACGAGCTTCCAGCTGTCGATAGCTGTGTCGCTCTTGTATATCGCAGGTGACGACTTGGGCACATTTGGGCACTGTCTGCATCTTTATGTCGTGTATTCGTAGTTATCTAATTCGTATCCGACTAGGGATTATACCTGGCGACCTCGCTGGTCTGCTGCGCACTCTCGAGACTTCAATTGTGATTGATTCCATGTGAACTCGCTCGGCCTTGTCGTCTCTTTCTACATCGTCGCGTCCTTACTACCTAGCTTGCGCCGACGTTGCGAAACTAGCTCCTACATACCCACTTTGACCGTCTGCTCCAGCTGCATCTTCATCTCCATCTTCACCAGAGCTCGCATAGCTTGACGCGCGCCCGGCTCGGTCAGCCAGGCATAGAGCCGCCCGTCATGCCTGGCATTGACTCTATAGAACATGAGATAAAGGCAGACAGAGATGCTCATGATGATAGTGTATTACAGCAGTACCCGTCGCCTATAGCTGACGCGCCAGAGTCCACCTCGATCTACCCCAACGACCCCGCCGGCCACGAACAACAGCAAACCGAGCAAACAGCGCCGTCATTCGAACATGAGCATGAACATCAACATGGGCAAGTGCAAGCGGAAGAGTCTGAACCACCCCACCCTGAGATGGAGAGCCATGCCATCACCAGTGCTGAGGAGCTACGAATAGCCGCGCAGTTGAGTCAGGATCTCAGTCAAGAGCTTGCCCACGGTATCACCGCTATTCTCGATGATCCCAACCAACCAACGAATGCGACTAGTGAGACGGCTTTGCACAATGGGATTCCGCAACACGAGCACCATCCGCCGCACCTCGAACCAGAACTGCAAGAACTGCCAAAGCATGATCACTCCGAGCAATCCCGAGAACAAGAGCACGAGCAGCACGAGGACCAGCTGGCGCATGATCTCAATAATCATGCCGATCAAGACCTGTCGCATGTTGAAGAGCCCACAGCAGCCAACGAGTCTCCCGTTGATCATACCGAAGACTCGCGACCACGGTCTCAAGAACAATCATCACAATCCTCATTCTTAGCCGACGAGCAGCAGTCACTGCAACAGCAGGCGCATTATATGACAGATCAGCAGCAGCCACATCAGGCTCAACCAATGCACCAACAATATGTTCATGATCAACACGTGCCACAGTCCCACTCTCAACCTCAGCTCTCACAGCAGTCACAGCCCTTGCAGCAACGTCCACTGCTCCAACCGCATGGGGCTCTGGATCATCTCAGCCAACAGTACTCTGTCCATTCCCATCATACTGGGCAGGACAACATCCCACCTAGAAAGCGATCAAAAGTATCTCGTGCTTGTGACGAATGCCGTCGCAAAAAGGTAAAATGCGATGCTGCGTCTGAAACAGGTGAAGAACCGTGTTCTAATTGCCGGAGATCCTCAATTCGGTGTCTCTTCAGCAGGATTCCCCAGAAACGTGGCCCAAGTAAAGGCTATATCAAGGAGTTGGCCGATCGAATACACAATATAGAGGGGAAGTTGGCAAGTGAAGGGAACCTCGATTCGCTATCGGAGCTGTTAGGAGGCGGCAGGCGCGGGTCGTCAGATATCTTCTCGCCTTCCACAGAACACGAGGAAAGCAGCCGGAAAAGACCATATTCCAGCATATCGGGTGCCGACTTTGGTACGCCTAATCCATCACGGCAAGGACATTGGAGCTCGGATCCGCGGCCAATTCAGCCATATCAAACGCCTTCGAACGGCCCCAAGACAGCATCGTACTCGACTAACGGATTACCGCCACGGCCGCTGTCCAAACCGGACATGGATACACCGTCTCGAACAACTGCCTCACTCGACGATGTCCCCATGGATCTCAACTCCTCGGCTCCTTCAAAGGAGCTACTTAACGATGCTTTTGGAGTTTATCTTAACGTCGTACACCCATGTTTTCCATTTCTTGCGAGCAGCAAAGAGCGCGTCGAAGCACAGCTATCCCAATGCCCATCGCTTCTCCAAGACGCCTTCATAGAAGCCTTCTATGGTACAATGCAGTCTTGTGTCTCAGCACCAGGGTTATACACCACGGGCGACATTGGCTCGACCACACGGGTTGTTGCTCAGTGGGAATCCGACGCGTCACCTCGGAGCTCGATCTCAAACCTTGTGCATCTTCAAACACTGATATTGATGGCCATTGCCACTGATAACTATGGTACACCGTCTCTAAAGGGTGAACATGGTGGTCCCTCGAAGGCATCTATCTTAGGGCGAGCCGTAGGGTTAGCATACTCTATGCGGCTTCATGTGGCCAGTGTGAATCCTGGTTCCCATGAGCCGCGAGATGGTGACTCTGACGAAAGTATCGCCATTCGCGCGTGGTGGACCCTCGTCATCATGGATAGATGGAATGCACTGTCAACTGCAAGTCCGTTATTCATACCAAACGACAGTGTAGTGACACTCCCCGGGCTGGTCTCAGTGCTCGGCGAGAGTGTATATCATCTTGCACGTGAGTACTGTGTTTCCTGCCACGTGAGATCTCACATGCTCATACTAATGTCTTTATCCAGGATTATCTAAAATATTTGGATACTTCTCCCCAGTTTCTCTCGCACCTCCCCAAACGTTTCCACATGACTCAAGAGCTGTACCGATACTGAATGGCTTCTTCAACCTCTCCATTGAACTTTTCCGGGAAGATCTCCCAGCTAATATAACCCCAGAAACGCACCCCCTACTCCACCTCGTGTACTGGCACGGCCGGCTTCTCTGCTACCTATTTCAGTCAAATGCGTTGTCCGATGATGTGATATGGGCTTGTAAGGGATCTGCGGGTGTCTTACTAACCAACACGGCGCTTCTTAGCCCACTAAACCACCATTTCTTCTCCCTGACGACTCTATCACTTTTAGAGTTGGCGAGGTTAGAGAAGACAAAGGAGGAAGTGATGCCCATTCTCAAAGATCTCTTAGAGCACCAACTAGCACCATCCACTTGGGACAGTATCATACGAGATCGCATCACGGAACGGCTCCGGCCTTCCACAGCACAGTCTACCGCCGACCAGACCCTGCAGCATTTGGCAGAGATGGCCACGGCGTCGGGGATAGGAGCGGCAAAGACTGGAAACCCTGCTGAACCAAGAGCGGTCAGGACAAGCACGACCTATGCAGACCTCGGATTCGACCCGCGACCCATCCTTCAAACCGGTTATCTTAATGTGCTCGCTGGTATCTCGCACTCCAGTAATGGCACCAATGGGCTGGATTGACCTGCCTAACCGACTTAAGAGAAGGAAGACACCTGTTTCTCCGCAGAGCCCATGACGCGCCTGCGTAATTCTCCGCGAGTCGAGATCTCATGTATATATATTTTGTAGAATAGATATTAGTTGACTGGAAGGTGTGAAGGAGTCTCTTCAGCGGGTACTGTATTGTCATGGATATATGTTCTCACATGAATTAACGGGAATGACGATGATGAGGTTTTTGAAACGGGTATTGCGGTAGAGGGTTGTGTGTGGATGGTGTGTGACGATTTCATATCGATGGTTGGAACTGTCGGCGACATGACTGGGGCTTTCTCCCCTAATGATGATAAAAAGCTCACAGAAGAATTGTATTGTATAAGATAATCAAAGATAACGTCTACTCTACATATGACATGAAGCTATCTACTGTAAATATTTCTATCAGGCCCTCGATGTACCTACCTACACTACTCTTAGATCTGCTGTCGCGCTGCCTGGGTAGGATAAGAGACGAACGAGATCGTTTTTGTCATTTGCCGTGAACTTGAGAGTAGGATTTTTTTTTTTTTGTTAGGAATGACGATATGTGAACCTGCCGCTGTGGTGCGAACACAGGCGTCGGCTGTAGCCTCGCCTTCAGCTCGAGTTTACTAGTATCTGCAAATTTAAAAAAAAAAAAAAAAAAAAAAAAAAAAAAAAAAAAAAAAAAAAAAAAAAAAAAGTGTAATTCAGACTCTCCGTGGCCTCCTGCTCGGGAACGCACGGACGGGGGGAAGGGTCTATTCATATCGCAGCTGTTAGCGGCTTACGGCTAGGTGGAGAACAGAGCCGGATATTCCGTCTATTTATCGAGGGAATTCGGTTCGGCCCGGAAACGAAAGGGGGATCTAACCTAATTATTGCGTACCTATACTCGAATGACTATTACGCAGTTACGTATGTAAGTGTTTTGATTTAAGTGAGCTGTGCCTAGGTTGGCCTGGTCATGTTGAGACTTCCCATGGTACGTGGAATACAGCGATTAGTCGGCGTGCGCTCTTGAGCACGAGCACGAGTCTGTGTATGAGTTTTACGTGAATGTGCGTCATGGCAGTTCCTCCCGGCCTATCCGACTGTGCTGTGTGGAACGGGGGAAGGGCGAGTGGATGAATGATGATGACGACGATGACGACGATGACGACGATGACGACGATGACGACGATGACGACGATGAGTGAGCGACCAACGGCGGCTGGGCCTCGTTGCGACATTGTCTAAATCTCAATATCCGAAACAATACGGGTGAGTAACAAAAAAAGAACCGAGAAACGAGAGAAAAAAAACACGGGTTATGAGACGGGTTGAGCCGGACACCTACGTTACTCGGGTTTTCGGGGGTTTATTTCATTCCAATCTCAGTCGTCGCATTGAGTGCCAAGTGTTGTGGGAATTGTCTGGCGTCCAATCACAAGGTTCCTGGTACCCAAAAGAGGCAAGAGGGCGAAGACGGCCTGGCGAGCTGGCCATTAACCAGAGACTGTGATATCTTTTCGTAGTAAATGTATGTCAAGAATACGACAGCGCGCCACAGGAAGGAAGCAATCCAAAGCCAGGCGGAGGGATAGACTCGATATTAATAGGCACCTAAGGGTTGTATTCAGATCGCGTGTCTGTCTGCAAGATCCAAGATTCCCTTCCCGACATGCATATGTTTGTTGAGCGCGCCAGAGCTTCGTTACAAGAACCAAGCCGGTTTGACGTGCGGACAGACGTCTATGCCCAGGAGCTGATAACCGCTGAATAGCTACATAACTGCTAGTTGTACCCAGTCTCTTCAACCGCGTGCATATACATGTATGCGCATAGTCCCGTCCCCGTCGCGAAAGGCGCGGTTTCATCTTGGCCAACGTCTACTCGCGTCAACAATGTGTCAAACACGGGGTCGCCGGGCTGGCTCCGTCGCAACAATGCTTGCTTGCAAGCAAGGCGAACGGGCCGAGACAGCCAGCCCACAGCGCGCTTCTAGTTACCTATTTCAGAGTCAACAGGGCGTGCCATATGTATGTGTGTAAAATCTGCGAGGCATGTGTCCACGAGACAGCCAAATACTGCCTACACCTTTCGTGATGGTTTACATTGCAGGCTGGTCAGATGACGCAGGCGGGTATGAACGCACGAACAATCAACTCAATCAATCAATCAGTCAATCGCCGTGTTTCCCGGGCGTTGAGAACCGGGCTTTGCTATGCCCTTCGGTTCGCCACTATCACCACCAACCACCAAACCCCACGGCCCCTCTCCGCAACATGATAGAGTATGGACCCAAGGAAAAAAAAAAAAAAAAAAAAAAAAAAAAAAAAAAAAAAAAAAAAAAAAAAAAAGGTCCGAGAACGCAGGTGGACTATTTCTTGGAGGATGGACGATGCGCACTCCGAAAGAACCATTTGACCTATCCGGTCATCGTGTCCCCCGAATAACTAGCTAACTACTTAGGCTCTGTGGTGAATGGTTTTTCTTAATTCGGTAGCGACTGCACCTCTACTTAGAGGCCCCGGCGAACACCGGCGAATATGGCCTGTTGAAATGGATCACTCACGGTCAGCAAACCACACGGCTGTGCCTTTTGTCACCATCCTCTATGTTCCAATTGGGGGGGAAGGGGGCGGCGGCGGGGTCCGCCGTCATCAATCGTCATCAACCATAGTTTTATCTGCGCTGGCGAATGTTCTTGGAGTTTGCGATTGCGATGTCGTCGGGCACCTTCGTGGACTTGTGTGTTGTGAAAAAGACTTAGTTACTTAAAGGGAAGTCGCCGAATAGAAGTCTGGATGGAGCGTGTGTCTCTGCATATGTGCAGCGCAAAGCACAGATGCTGTGTTGTGTTGTGTTGTGTTGTGTAGTTTACTGGACGGCTAGGTAGAGACGACCCAGTCTACCTACCTATATGCCTCGATATTGTCTTACATCTCTAGTATTCAATTTTGATGTAAGCTCTAGACGTGTTTTTTCTATCGGGACGAATTGCTTATACCACAAGTCCATGTGACAATTCTTGACTGTCCAAGTTATATTGAGCTAAGTTAGTTACCTATCACAGCTTCTTGGTTACGGGCTGGCGAGACCAGTATGTAAATCAGCCATACTCCACCAACTACTCGTGTGTTGATATGTTCTCAATCACAGAAAAAAGTTGCCGGCGGCCCCGTTTCTTTCTATTCCGTCCCCCAATTCCAGGTCTGAATACGGGTAGCAGCAAGAGTGTCACCCGAAATGGCAAGGTCGGTTGCTCATGACTAAGAAAGTCAATTCACCTCTTCCCGTTGCCCGTGTATGACGTAGGTAATGTTGAGCCGGCAAGATTTCGTAACAGATATAGGATACCCCCAACACCACATATAAAGCTTCTCTCCTAATTCTTTCATATGTTTAAGAAATTCATAGGTTACAGTGATCTATGCTGTTTTCGCATATGAACATACCCTAAGCACCTTAATATCTCGAGATATTGAGATTAGACTATTCAACGAAGACCTTGATACAAGCGACGTGAATAATCTAAGCGAATGCTATGAGGGACTACAATGTGGCCTGGGCAAGAAGACTCGAAGGGGAAACTGACAGGAGCCATGAATGATACCACTAGCATTGCTAGAGTGCAAGTGAGATCAGCGCACCTCTGAGCGAGACCTAAGCGAGAACTAATTCTCCGACCCGGCCGTTTTGTGAATAATCAATCGATTACTTAACAAGACGATAATAGAGTTGTTGAAAAAACGAGCGCAAGATCATGGCATACATTGGCAAAAAGGGAACGTTACGGAGGAAGTGAGACAAAGAGCATGGGATGTATGGTAGCACAAGGGGTTGGAAAGTCCTCCATTGGAATGAATGTATTGCTTGCGAGAGCCTTCTCGGCAATTAACAATTATATTATTATGCTTGAAGTACGTTGAATATCCTCAACCGTTGTCCTGTTTCACCTGCACAAAATCATGCAAGAAAGTCAACGACATTGGTTCGTTGTACAAGAATACCCTACCTACATGCGCATACTTGAACGAAAGCCGCTTTCCAAGAACTAAGAAGGGTAGGTCTAGCAGCGCTAAGACTTATTCATCCTAAGTAAGTCTTGAATAACCCCTCCAGTGATGTAATATATTCATTGATGGACGGGTAGGCTAGACAGCTTTGACGTACATATAGAAAACAGTACCGACTTACATACATACATTAAGTATGTAATGCAAGCTTGCCTGCCGCGCGCAACGAATCCCCCCCAGAAATTCCTTGGGCGGGTAAATGTTACATGCAAGACAGACAACAGATGGAGAAAGAAGTTTACAGTCTACACTATTTCCTCCAATTCCAAGCCTTTGCCTAGACAAGCGGCACTCTACAGCCAAACAAGCCCAGAACTTGGCAAGTCCAAACAGCGCAGAACAAGTAGACGGGTCCTATATACATGTAAATTAAAACGCCTAATTTGTTGTATCCTACACGGACGGCAGAGGGTTAATGTGAGTATACATGTGAGCTTGAGACTGTTGCCAATGTGAGGAGTTGCTGACGGTCTCAGGCTGATTTACATAACGGTACATACATACATACTTACCCATTACTATAAACTACATGTAAGTAGAGCGAGTGAGTGAGTGAGTCGGTGGAAAGGGGGAGGGTAAAACGGACAGACGGGCAGCTAGTGCAGATAACTTGAAAAGACGTGATGCGCCGAGAAGAATCAATCTAAACTACATTATGTACCTAGGTGTGCATCTCTTCTGTCCCCCGCCCTCTCTCTCTCCATCTACTACGTAGAGCATCCCCATAAACTAGGATAATGCTTCATCCAAGGTTGCTTTAGCTGTATCCATCTCATGATTATCGTTATTGTCATTATCATTATCATTACAATTAAGTATTGTTAGATGTTTAGCTAAGAAAACAGCTTGGCCTACGAGTCAGTCACCTGCGGCAGGCTTCTCTCATCCACCCCGTCATTTGTCCCTCCCCCCACAACCACCACCACACATCGGCCGACGCGAACAACGAAGTTCGACGTGGTGTAAAAGTTAGACCCCGGCTAAGTGTCCCATCCCACCCCACGAATTCGGTAAGAAACCTAGTGGGCTGAAAGAGCTAGCTCAGCCTAGCGCATGGGTGTATCCCTGGGATCGTGCTATAGTACTTAGCAGGCGTCTTTTCCTTACACCACCAGACACCACCATAAGTTGAGACGGTGCAGAACGGTGGAAGAGGACCAATCGTCCGCCTTGATTACTTAATTGGGCGAAGAGCTACGAATGGTGCAGCTGAGCGAAAAGGGTGCCAGCCCCCCGTTGGTGGTGCCGTCGCATAGTCCATGCGGCGCACTAAGTATCGTTGTAGAATTAGGGTACGTCATGAGATTGAGCACACCGGATGTATGTATGCGTGGGCGCGCGCGCGCGCGCAATAGAGGATAGATGCCCTTGGTTTAATTGTCCTTGTTCTTGTGGACATCTCAATCATTATTGTCAAACGGGAATTACAAGACGTTGGCCGAAGTGGGAGTGTTGGTGTGCCGAGGTACGAAAGAAGGGAAAAGCAGGTAGTTACCTAGTTATAAATAAAAAGAAAAGATGAAATTCATGCTTGCTCCTAGCTGGTGTAACAAAAGGCTATCTATGATTTTCCCTAAAGCGAGAAAGAAGACAACTGCCTCGACTGCTACTTTGCTTTCTCTCTCTCTCTCTCTCTCTCTCTCTCTCACTAGGGGCACGCGCCAAAGTTCAATCTACTCGGAAACCGCGGCAAATGGCATCGACTTAACCTTTCAATGGCGCCGCCGAGTCACGATTGATCGATTGATTGATTGATTGATTTGTACGGTCCCCGTTAAAATAAACCAGGGCGAGGTGAGAGCGAAAGAAATTTTAGTCCCGGTGTCGGCGCGCGGGTAAGCGCGAAAAGAGTGGGAATCCAGAAGGGGAAACACACCGACAGCCAGAAGGGCAAGAGAGAGAAAAACATAACCAGAGTAACAAGAGAAAAAAGGCCAAATCCAAGTTTTCGAGCTAGTGAGGCGAAAAGGAGGGGCGGGTTCATTTTCCCCTTCTTTTGAATGGGAAAAAAAAAAAAAAAAAAAAAAAAAAAAAAAAAGGATGGAGGTGCCCCCCCTCCTCCCCAAACTAGCCAAGCAACAACGTAATAATAAGTGGCCCGGAGACTCAGTAGGTTAGGTGATCATGATAGTCTCCGAACAAACCCCGACGCACGTAGAGAAGGGAGAGCTACCGTGTCTGTCAGAGTAGACTCGAAAGCCTTGGTATCGGCTTCGCCAGTGTTTGTCGTCGATGTGTTGATTGGTAGAAAGAGTTGCGCTCATCTTGGCGGAGGCGAACGCTCTTTTAGCCTGCCGGCAGGCATCGATCAAGCTGCAACTCGACCTCTGCTTCTGCTTCTGCTGTGGTCACCTACCTACCTGAATAACAAGGACGAGAGAAGTCGCACGTTATGAACACAATTGTATTCTGCTAGATAAGATATTTCTCCCGCTTCTGCCATGCTCTGCTGTTCTATATAGCAACCAACGCCCTTCCGGAGCCGTTTCATGTCTACCTTCTAAATCTTGTAATGCTGCAATTCCTGCCCAAAAAGCAACTCCTACTGCTAAAGTTGTTTGTCGCATGTGTCGCGTATAGTAGTCTAAATGCCCATGACGGCTCTCGTAAATGCTCAACTATGTGCAGTGGTGAAGAAAATGAGAAAAGAACCAGGAACAACATAATCGATGGTGTAAACAAGAATGAGGCAAGTACAGCTCATCATGCGAAAGGAACCCCTGACCCCAGGTATGAAAAGTCCCCAAGACCAGCCAAACCAGCGCCGCTTTGTAGTGTAAGAACAAAAAAATATCTGAAGCAAATAGAATGACCCCGCGCTGCAGAAGAGGGGAACAGCGCTTATCGCTCGTACCCATTTTCTTAACGATTTTGTCTGATTTCTTTTTTTCGCCGTCCAGCGCCAGGGATTCGTGACAAGAACATGATCGTGACAGAAACGGGTTGAAAAAAAAAAGGAGAAAAAAAAAGGACCAGAAATTTGGTGACTGGATTTAGCAATGGGGTATAAGAAGCATAGGAGCTACGTAAAGCTTCCCAGATGATCATTGCCGCGATGTCGCATAAAGACCGTACTCCCCGAGAGACCTCGTGTATCATAAGCTTAATACGTCATGATATTCCACGATGCTTGATGAAGCATGTGGGTGAGTGAGATATACACGACCAGCCGTGTTTACATATTACTGTCCCACAGTGCGGTGGTGATAGGGTCGGGCGAATGTGAGATGCCGTCGTTGAAATTACTCATACCCCAATAGGCGTCGTCCTCGATGTAGCCCGTGTCGTCGAGGGGCGTAGGGAGAGACATGAATTTGCTTGCGACTGCGGTTCCCTTAAATTGGTCAAAGTCAAGGTTGCTGAGGTCATTGCTCGTCACCAGATTGTCGGGCATACTAAGATAGCTACCCGACGCGCCGCTGCGAAAGCCGTCCAATGGACCATCGTTGAATGCGGATGCGAAGTCCTCGGCCTCGGAAACGTCGCCGGAATTTGACGTCAATGTAGGCTCCACGGAGCTGGCTAAATCGAATCCCGCATACGCCTGCATGGGGTCAAAGCTCGATGAGGCGAGACTGTCGGTGCCATTGACCTCGAGGCCATCATATTGTGCCCAATCAACAGAGACAGCGCTCAACCCTGCGCTAAAAATTGGTGCTTCGTGATCCGAGAGACCGCTGCTACCAAACATGTCGAACGCAGGTGTGTATTCCGGGTAGCGGATGTTAGATAGATCTAGAGGCGGCAACTGACCATTTAGCTGTTGAAAAGACGAGGTACTCCCCATCAGAGGGGAGGCTTGCTCGGATTTAATCATGCGAGCCTCTAAATCGGACGAAGAGGTTGTGGCGGTTCGCGAGCGACCACCCGCCTTCCCATAGTGGACAAGATTGTCCACAGATCTCGTGCCAGAACTAGTTCCTGTGCCATGTATAGTGACGCCACGATTTAACGTATAGGGTCCGGAGCCATGTGAAGGCCTCGAATGTTTGTGTGTAGGTTTATGGTGGCCATTCTCGTCGAAGCTGAGCAGAGGCTCAGATTTAGATGTATTGGTTCGACGGCGACGGCTGCTACTGGTTGTCTTAGGCTTGATGGCCAACGGCTCTGTCTCGGACTCGGACTCGGGAACGGGATCGAGCGAGGACTCTTTCTTTGCGCAGCATGTACAGCGCCCGCCATGATTACAACAGCAGGTTTCTAGGCCGGTTAGAGGTGGACGGGGACACGGGAGAGGTGGGAATGAGGGTAGGACGAATGCGCTCACCCTTGTGGCCTTCTATGGTGGGCTGCAGATGCGCACATTTGTGCGTCTTCTCGCCACAGTCGCATTTGACATGCGAAGACCGCGACTTGCGCATGGCGCGACAGTGGTGGCATTGTGATACCGGCCGACCCTTTTTGTTGATATGTTGTAATGGTCGATCTAGGTAAGGCGTGCCAATTTGGCGTTTGCGTTAGCCCATTGCACTTCATTCGTAACCTCGCATTGAATTTTTGGTGAAGAAGGACAAGATTTGAAGAATTGGGTCGGAGATGGGGATGGGGGTGCAGTCGTGTTGCGGCGGGCGTGTAAGTTGACGTAACAGTGTCTCGAGCCAATTTATGCTCCGTTACGAAGAAAATAAGATTTTGCATTGGCGCTGAACCGCGAAAGCTACTTGGGTAGCTAGCTAGCCCCAGGATGCGCTGCTGATAACGGCCATTTTCGACAACAGCCAGCAACAGAATGTTTCCGGACGTTGAGTGGTGGTCTGCAACCTCGGAATACGACGAGGCGAGAAGGAGGGAGTTGTTGGGAGATATACAAGAAAAGAAATAAAGGACAAGAAGGCGATAATCGCTCACCTGCGTGTTGACAATTGCTCACCCTGTGTCCCCGAACACAGGCTTCGCAGGCCCATTTCTCCCCGTTGATTAACATGGTGTCTCTTTTGCTCTTTTCCTTTTCCTCTTTCCCTAATACTCCCGCTGCTTAAACCCGCTTGCAAAGATATCCGTAACACCTGCTGTTGCCAAAAGCATACACAATGTGAGGTCCGACCAGGCCGTGTCGAGTCCGATGCGCAGAGCAACAAGCGTCGTAGTGGGAGAACAGAGCAGAAAAATAAAGATAGAAATAAAATGACGGTGGTGACGCTAGGATTTTAGGGAGAGGGCAGAAGAGAGTAAGTAGTTAAGCTCGGTGGTCAATGACAAGCGGTTCGTAATGTGTAGTGTAATGTATACAATGATAGACTTGGTAGTGTATAAGTCCGGTATAAGAGTTAGTGTGGGATGGCCAATAGCCCGAGGATAGCTGAGATGTGATGTGTTGGGTTGCGCTAAGAGAGTCGAGGCGGATGGGGACGCCGTATCGCTGCTGCAGTCAGGCGCACGCGCGCGAGACAAGAGCGAGACGAGACGAGCGAGGGAACAGGGAACAAAGGGCCGAGTAACGCAGTCGAAACGGCTGTAGAACGGGGAAAACGGCTCTAGAAAACCAGATGATTTCCCCGTTGTTACCTTAGCCTCAAGCTGGGTTGCTCTGGGACCAACAAGACTAATAGCTATTAGGACGAGGGTGGGTAAAAAGGGGACACGGCGGCCGCAGGAAGTAAGTGGTGCAAGTGGTGTAAGTGGTGTAAGTGAGCGATGGTTGGTGGTGGTGGTGGGAACCGAGCGATGGAGACCAGCCGAGCTATGCGCCGCTGCAGCTGGAGCAGTTCTCTCATAGCCTGGCTCGCGATGCTAGGCAATTACTACGATCCGTCAGAGAATCATAGGGGTCCTCCGTCTTATAGCAGCTCTCTCGGCCGGGAACGCTGCCCAGACAGCGCAGTGGGCGGGCGGGATGCAAGAGGTACCTAGGTAGGCCTAGGTACTATGTACTGGACAGACTGGAGGAGGTGGTCGAGTGGTGTAAGTACCTAGGTAAGTAGGAGCGTGTGACGGAGTACGCACTTGGGTTAGTTTCGGCGGTGGTAAGGGTGTTAGTTAGCAGTTAGCGTGGGCGGAGGGTGAACAAAGTATAGCGACTACCACATTAGTAGTATGTGTAGCTATAATATCGTAGGATGACGGGGATGGGGGCGGATAGACGGGGACGGGGATCGAGTTTGGGGGGAAGGAGATGAGATGGGATGGGGGAGACCCTCGACTAGTCCCGTACCAGGGTATCGAGATACTCGTACAATGTACAATGTACGATGTAAGTAAGTAAAAGTAAGTAAGTAAATAAGTGTGAGAGAGTGAGTGAGTGTGTAGATATGTAATACCAAGGTATGTAGGTATATAAGTATGTACGTTGGTATGTTTGCGTCTGGTCTGGTTGTATAGCTGTATAGCTGTATGGTTGTATGGTCTGTACGGTCTGTACGGTCTGTATGTAGCAGGTAACGTCGTGTACAACAAGGGGTATGTAGGTACACTACGCTACACAAGGCGTGTATTGACTTACACTCCCATTGATGTACTTGAGTGACGGTCGAGATGGCAGATGGACAACAACAACAACAAGGCCGGACGGGGGGTCATGTGCAGTGTATAGGTACTCTGCCTACCGGGGCGACAGCGTGGTGGTTTTGTTCGGTAGGTATGTATGTAGTATGGACGTGGTAGTATGGGCGTGGTAGTATGGACGTAGTATGGATGTAGTAGTTCCTGTTCCCTTGTCCCTTGTCCCTGGCTTGGCTTGGTTTCTTACTGGTACCTCGCAGTCCTGCCTGTCGCTCTTGTCCGGAGAGACAAAGACCGGAATAGTGCAGTGTGTAATGTAGTGTTTAATGTAGTGTGGACAAGAGTAAAGAGGCTCCCCATCAACCAAGATCCCCCAAGGCTAGGCGAGGCCTACTACTGCAAGATAGGTAATATGAAGAAGAAGAAAAAAAAAAGGCTAGGCGCGGGAGGGACAAGTGCGGCCAAGCGGCGCCTGCAGGAATAATCAGGACCGCCGGCTGAGATTGACGAGCTCTGACTGGACTGTGTACCGAAGCAGTGGAAGACGAGCTTTATTTGGCAGTATGTAGTAAGTCGACAGTGGGCTCCGGTTAGCAGAAAGTGGTGTGCAGTTGTAGGGTACGTGGTAGGTAAATGTAGGTAGGTATGTAGTCTAGTCCGTCCGTCCGGCCGTCCGCGCGCGCACACTGGCTGGCTGGCTGCTTTGACTTTAGGTACCAGCTGTCCGACCTGATCGAGTTCGATTGTCGCGATCGAGCTCTTCTTATTGATGTTGACTCGGTTTCGCTTGCTTTGCTCACTCGATTGCTTGCTTGCTTGCTTGCTTGTTTGTGTAAGCTAACTTCTCTCTTCTCCTCTCTTCACCTTCTTTTCTGTGGTGCTCCTGTAACTCTCCGGCTTGGGGCCTTTGGGTCTTTTTCCCCCTGAGTTTCCCAGAACAGGTAACGTGACGGGCCCATCTACGGGATGGCCTAACAGCCAGAGGCGGACCGAATGCTGTTCTTGGGAGCTGGGAGGATTAGGTAGGTCGGCTACGAAAGGTAGCCATGTACTGTAGCTAAACAGGTGGATATGGCGAGGCAAGGCGAGGCAAGGCAAGGCAAGGTATGGGGATCGTATAGGTATCGACGTAGCGTACACTACACTACTCTAGGACCGCAGTGTCGTGTAAGTACACTACCTACACCAATGAACGAAGCAGGGAGGTGAGGCAGGTGAGCAGATGCGGTAGCTGAACAAGTAAGCAATACCAGGTACGTGTATGCACCTGGAGGGCCCGGTCCTGGGCGTCGGTACTGATTGCAACCGTTGTCCACGACGAGTCCAGGGTAGATCCAGGGTTAGATCCAGGGTATGCTTAGATGGTTTACGTCAATCTATCACTCAACCAGGCCAGTCAGCCAGTCAGTCAGCACCAAGTTACACAGTACCCAAGGTAGATACTACCTACTAGGTAGCCTCCTGGTGGATTACCTTGTTAGAGGGGCCGTATGGAAGTATGTAGGCAGACGGTTAATTCCACCACTTTGCTAACTGCTCCTAGAAGCCGGTCGGTAATACTACGTTTGCTATTGCTGTGCTATGTCGTTTGACTCGGCGCTGTGTTTCGTTTTGCTTGCGATGGTGGTTGCAGCTTGGGTTGCGGCTTGGGTTGCTGCCGTTCTCAGGCCGGGGAGAGCTATCTATTCTGAGTTTCAGAAAAAATGCCCTTTGTGCTGCCCGCGAGTCTCTTTTAGTAAGAATGGCCGAGCCTCTAAGCGGCACCATACTAGGTATACTGTATGGGTACCGCGCATCCACACACGATGAAGAGACAAGTATAGCACATCCATCGGGAAGGGAGATCTAGTGCACGCTACTCATACACCGCACAAGCACGAAAAGACGGAAAGGAGACTTTGACGGTGGGCACGGAATGGAAATGCGCAATATGGAGACTCGGGAATTGGCACTTGCGACTTGGGAATTGAGCATTGGCGCTTTGGGAATTGGCGGCGGTGCTAATAATACCAGCATTTGATATGGACACCGACATTGGCATCTCGGCATTGACATTAGCAGAGACATGGGCAGAAACATGGGCAGAAGCATGGGCTGAATGAAGCATGGGCACTGACATCATCCTACCGGTACCTAGAGGCAGGTAGTGCGATGCCTAGGCCGTGATACCACAGGCATCTGAGATACACCACCTACACATCTGACAGACAGTGTGGCGTCAGTGCCATAGTGGAGGTCGTTAGACGGACACCAGGAACGCCAGTTGGATTTAAGTAATTGGCAGGCATCCAGAGGTCCCTCGACAGCGAACAAACAGGTAAGTACCTACATCTAGCCAAGACTCCAGATTGGATCCAGCGCAGTAGGTAATATGGAGCCGACGGTCACTTGATGTCCGACACATGTAGTGTATCAGAAAACAGCTGCGGAAAGTGCAGGGAATACAGAGGTCCGGGTTGAATCAATAACAGGAGGGTAACGGGAGGGTTAGAGAGAGCTCCGGGGAGAATAAGAATGAAAAGGAGAAGAAGGTAAGGACGAAGAAGGCCATGGGAATTGGTCTCCTTACGCGGTGAGGGTGGGTGGTGATAATGCTGGGATGAACAGTTGGGAGGAGGAGGAGGAGGAGGAGGAGGAGAGGGCGACGACTTACACCATGAGAAGCGTGTGTATAAGTTCGGTCAAGTCAGTAGTAGCGTATAGAGACGGGGCGCTTGTTTGTAAGTAAGGGTGCAAAGCTAGTGCAATGCGGAAGATTAAGATTTGTGATGAAGGCGTGGTGAATCCTGCGAAGCAGTCATTCATGGCATGCATGTATTTCCCATCTGCTCCTCTACGGGGAGACTCGAGGTGTTTAATAGCTCGGTCAAACCAAAGACACCTTCTCTCATTCTTCTCACCCGCTCAGTCTGCCATGCGATTGCCGTCAAACCGGAGAAACGAGCGATATGAGTGAGTGGGATGGGGTGTGATGGGTGGGACGACTTGCTGGGAACTTGTGGCCGGGGGTTGTGCAGCTTCTTCGATTTGGGCTGTCGCCGCCGCCGTTGTCGCCGCTTGCTGCCGCTTGCTGTAACTTTGTCGTCGCGATGGTCCTCGCCGGAGGGTGGAAGTTCTTGGTACTTCTTGGCTCGTCGATCATGGCGAGCATAGCAGCAACCTCAAAGTTCCCAATACCTCCGCTATGCTGGCAGCACGGGCCTATTGGCGGCATCGTGTCCTTAACGGTCTATACCTACCACGTTGCCTATCACCAAGCAAGCAAGGGCCCCGGCCCGGCCTGGTATTAACAGACTTATTTTTTGCAAAGTTCCTGTAACAATGAGGCGACCTGATTATGTTCTCCGCGGATAGATGGATCACAGATTTGAGAGATGGTAGGGATGGTAGGGGTGGACGGGGTGGACGGGTCACGGATTCGCAGGCCCATCCCATGGAGCACAAACCAACCGATGAACCAACTCATGAACGCGATGTCCCTTGTACATCAGTGGTACAGACGGCATGGCAAGTACTACCTATACTCACGATCTGCACGCGCAAACATTCAACCTCGCGTAGGCTATCTATTTCTGTGCTTGAACCAGTGCTCGAACCAAGAACCAGACCTCGCCGTCGGTACGCGGTGGCCCAGTCACTGTCCAGTCACTGTCCAGTCACTGCCCAGTCAACTTCCCCTCCTCATCTCTCCCACCTTGTGGCTCTCCATCGTCCTGGTCCTGGTGGCTCTGGCGGGGGTGAGAGGAACAATGCTCGTCATCATACCGGGCGATGCTGAAAGAGGGAAGGCGACGCGCGCGTGGATGATGTACATCAAGTACAGCGCCGCTGTACTACTTACATCCATTACTGACATGCCTTTGGTATGGGTACCAAGGTCGCTAGGTAGGCTCGGTAGGTATATTTTCAAATTCCACGTCCGCTAGAGCATCCTTGGCCATGCGCGCTATTCAACACTACGAAGAATTGCCCGACAAGGCAGTCAGCAACCGCTGGTTTTTCGGTACGAGCCGTGCTAAATAAAGGGCCAAGGCGCCTATGCTACAAATAAATATACCGAATGCGCCATGGCCAAGAGGCAATACATACTACTTACATACGTATGTAGCAAGTTATGTGCTTGTGTACCCATACTAAACTGGCTGAAGTTCATCCTCCATTTACCTCCATCTTCACGCATCGTGCCGCCATACCTGCGTCGTAGGCTCGGCTGACCATCCCACGCTGAGATCCCTGGGCGACAGGCTTCTCTGTGGTCAGTTGTGACCAACCCAGTGCAACCCATTACTACAGCTCATTAGAGCATGGAAATGCCCAACTATGTATGTACAAAGCGTGGGTGGGAATCGCACCCATCGTGGCAAGGCAGTTGAAGGTGTACTTCGTAAGAGTTGGGGTGCTGTATGTACCTAGGTAGGGAGTACGTAGTATCATGATCACCAACCGACATTGGGAATCTTCTTGGGCTTATCCTGTATGATCGCCAACGCTTATTTCTCTCGTTTCTGTGTCTATGTACATTCGTCTCCGGCCCTTTATCCGTTCGTGCATAGCCTCACTTTTATGGTTTTAGTGAAACTAGTCAAGAGAAGCGGCATTGGTGGCCAAAAAGCGGAAGCTCAGAGGTTACATGATCTGACACAAGTTTCATTCCGTGTCAAATAGATGTGTACGTTGCTACTCTGTGTAGGCCACCGATGCTCGAAAATCTAGCCGGTACTGGAGAAGTGATATGTATGATTTGGAAGTAAGATTGGTAGACGTATGCATGATTAGATGATCAAAGATCGCCTACTCTACATTCATTCATTCATACATTCAGCAGGCATAAATACTTCCTCCTACAAGCTGAGTTAGCCAGTCCTTACAGGACATGTTGAAAAATCGTTCAAGAAAAGCATCAGATCATAAAGTTCCCCAGGTCTACAGTAGCCCCAGTCATGCGCCCAAACAACACTTGGAGATTCATTCATCTTCATGAATGCAATGCGGCAGGGGCAGGCCGTTCCGTTACGTCCACCGACGTCGTGCGGCGCTTCAAGCACCAGGGCTATGATGATCTTGACCAGCCAATATTCGCGCCGAGCCACTGAGTGCGTCTTCAACTGATCTGCCAACGTCTTGGCCTATTTGCTTGTGCAGCCAAGCCTTCGGGACTTACAATCCGTCTTACTGCTTGCATCGAATGCCCAGGTTGGTGTATTCGAAATACCCTACTTCTCGAAGGGGGGGGGGGGGGCATTGTCTTTACAGATAATATCATGAGGCCGTAAGCAAATTCGTTTTACTTGGACTGATTTGCGCTAACCGCTAAGCCAGGACGATCTGAATGGGCGAGGCCCGCATGAGATGAGATAGATATACTCTCAGATATCGACAAGATACAAGGATTCTTGTCACCTGTATCCCATATTCAGGGCGGGGAAACTCTCCGGGGCGTGGCCGAAGCACTTGATAACTCTATACTCCAATTCAATCCCTCGACCATGATATGCGGCCGCCCACCGCACCCTGACAATTGAATGGGAAGCTGTTGGCAATACAGTCACCTCATGTGTATACGACCTCGGTGAACCACCAATCTCGGCTCGACTGACCCTCTGGACAACCAAGTCACAACCAGTCCTTGGCAATCCAGATGATCCTGTGGGACAGAGGTGACGATAAGCGCTTCCTTGGCCTCACAATCGTGTCTCGAATGCCGAGGCTTGTGTGCTCCGTGCTCATTGTCCAGCAGTGTACCGGCGTCCTTCGGTGCCTCGAAATGGAAAGTAGAGACTACCTTAAGCCGTCATACGGGCAGCGTAAGACGCGTTTTCGTCCAACTTGGAATGAGCAAGGCCGAGTGCCAAGCGCTCTGTGTGAGTAGGCTTCATGACTCTCTTCGTCACCGCCAGTGTTGTGAAACGTGCAAACAGCAATCGATCCTTCTCTTGGCACAGCATGTATGCCACCGGCCTTGGCAGCTAAGCCGGGACTTGTCGAGTTGTATGTCGGGGCAGTCGAGGGTGAAAAGAAGTCTACACTAGCAACCCATTGCAAATTTGAAAACGGGCAACCCATATGAGCCTGAGATCGGCAACTACTTAAGGGGGCGAGGCCCGAGTTATATAGCCTTATACTGTATTGACATATCTCTACAGCTCGGCGAATAGCCGCCCTCATTTTCCAAGTGCCCGGGTCTCACCTCACCTCCTGGCGGTAAGCGTTACGTTGTGGTGGCTGATCGACGGGTAAGAATGATCAGGTTTCTCGTCGTCGCCTCGTCGCCTCTGTTGAAGTAGCACGGCCAAATAGTCGGCCATTCGCAACCTGGGAGTTGGAGAAGGCTCTGGTGATTGGGTAGGGCCCCGTGGCGTCGATGCGCTTCCTGTGCCAATTCGGCAACCGGAATTATCCTCGTGTCATGATAGGTATCAGGTTCATGATGTTTCTTGCCGCATTTACATACTGACATGTACCCTGCTTGTTGGGTAGCAACTGCATGGTAGTAGTGAACTTCACTCTGCCCTCTTACCTACGTAATATATGCTAAATGGTCATGTCATCTTACTGGTGCTGTCTTCGTATACATGGGCGGACACACACTACGTAGCGAGCAAATGATGCTTACAATTAGAGACGTCTCGCAGGGTTCTCTTAACGATAGCTGTACGGAGAATTGCATCATAGTATTCTCGCTCCGTTCCGTGTTACGGTATCCAAATTGGGTCGATTTCACCGGCCCTCTCTCACTTCGAGTTCTTCTCGCTCACTCGCTCGTTGTCGGCCCTTCCCCGCGCGCACACCCTGTCTGTCTATCACATGTTGATGTGGTGGAGGCCAGTTCCAACCGACTGGATCAAGTGCTATGCCGAACGAACGAGCTTAGCCAAACGCGGCGGAAGGAAATACCTGACTATCGTGTAGGTGCCTACACACGTAGGGAAGTACGCAAAGCAGGTTGGCTGATGTATATATGACAGATGCAACCTACTTTCTCCATGGATCGTAGACTTGTTCCAGAAGGCCATGTTTCCAGACGTGTTCCCAGCAATTAGATACACCGAGCACGAGATGAGCCGGGCCGAAGAAGAGGTCACCGGTGCAGTTGGTGTAAGGTGTCTCCCAGTCTCCCAGTGGTCTGCAAATATGAACATATCACAAACCCTGTTGGAACCTAGGGGTCTATTTACGTATAGCAATATGTTTCGATTCGTGTTTGGCAAATCCGGCATACAAGTAATATCTATGTAGGGGAACCTGGTAGATGCACATGTTTCCCAAGTCCCAAATCGAGTACATTTCCAAATGTACCAAGGGACCTCCCTACCTCTGTCCGCCTCACCTGGGGCCTCACCTACTGAAGACGCCCAAGCCACACTGCGTGTTTGGTGGAGGTCGGTAGGTACCTACATAGTACCTAGATGGATAGTGGGCCAAGCTACCTATAGGTATGTAACTACCTTAGATACTTAGGTTAGCACTGTTTGTAGGTACCCATCAGAAACCCTTTTTTTTTTTTTTTTCTCCTCTCCTGACCGCTCGTTGATCAACAAAAAGCACATACAGAAAATTTCTTCATCCAGGTAATTGGATTCATCTTATTATCTACCTACTTTTCTTCTCAATCTAACAAATATTCTTCTTTCTCTCTCTCTCTCTCTCTTCCTTCACCACCACCGCCGCTAGTGTTGGTACCCGGGCAAGAGGGAGAGATGCAAGAACACGGCATTCGCTGATCGCGTCAACCCCGTGTCCCCGGGTTTCGCTATCGAATCTCTCTATCTACTTTGTAGGGATCTACCACACAGCATCTGAAATGCCTTCCACTCGCGACTAGGTCGCCTACCTTGCACTTACTAATTGCCTTCATCATAGGTGGACTTGTCCTCCGCTCTATTTCAGTCTGTTGGTTTATTTGGCTGGATGCATGACTCGACGAGTAACCCAACCCATCCACACATCCATCCATCCATCCATCCATCCATTCAATACTTCATTTATTCACCCATCCATCCTTTCATCGACAGCCCGTCAATCAGACAATCGGGTTTTCGGGCTGCGATGGCAGTTGCGACTGCAGTCTCGGCGGGTTGGTCCTTGACGCATCCGACTTTTCCCGACAGCTACGTCTACTTCACAGCTTCTCCAACTTTTCCCGTGCCTTGTAGACTTCATCCGCCTACACAAGTACTGCACTTGCGCCTAGCTCTTCAGTGTCAGCCTTGTACCTGCACCGCTGGCGCCGTGCTAGCTCAATGCTCTGTAACGTCATTCCCGTCAGACTGGATCTCTGCTGCAACCGTGGCAGTGCAAAGAGGGGAATGATCTGGGAAAGAATTCGTGTGGCCGCAGCAAGGCGCGCCGCCCGTCCATTGTCCACTTTCGCCGCTTGATACTTTGACACCTCGCTGCTAAAATTCTTTTCGTCTCATTATCTCGCTATCCCTTCGCACTTGCCAGTTGTATTTGTCCACTGTTCCGTCTCGGAGAACCGGCTCAACTGCACAACTCTTGTGCTTTTTCGAGCTACGCAGTTTTGATCCTCTAAACCTGATACGAGTATTTCACTCTGGACAGCCCATGCTCGCTGTGAGGTGACCATGCCCACGTCTCTATACTCGGGTCAAAATTCTGGTGCTGTTAGGTCGTGCCCTCCATAACCCCAAGCGAGCAGTCGTGGTTGTCTCCCCCCGGCATCCTGCAAAGTCACCGTTCTCGCAGTCACCCTACCAAAAACTGCAGATCCTCTTGCTGCAGACTATCAAGCACAATCTTCGACGTGGGGGGGTTGCTTAATCAGAAAACTTGCTTCCCAGTGGCACAACAATAGTCAGCAGCTCTCAGCTGGTACGTCCGCGCTTAGCGCATCACCAGCCACCGTCGGTAGTAGTGAACATTGTATGCGATGCCTGGTTGAGTTTCTTATTATTCAACCCTACTCCCATATACCTTCGTACTCCTTCCCTTGGCTTTTCTCGGCAGGGGAGCTAGTAGGGATTATCATATACCCACATGCATCGTTGACGCCATGTCATGTATGTCGGGGCAGAACGTCCTGTTCCTCGTTTTAACCCTTGCCTCACTATCATCGTCTACACGCGCACATGTCCTCTTTCAAGATTTCACTTGGTAAAGTTGGGTTGTTTCTACTAACGCTTATACTTTCCTTTCTTACTTAGCGAGATGATCTTATCTCTCCATGGTCAGCCAGATCACCAAACATTCTGACCCCGGTTGATCTTGACGCAAAGTTAGACGGGGAAAGCAAACCTCAACATTGTGTTGTTCCCGTGCGAATACGGTAGCAGTATTGGCCACTCATGCATGTTCAGTGCAGATGTACCATGTCCGAGCC